CGCAGCAAAAAACGAACGACAACGCGAATGTGATAAATAATAAAATAAATAACGTGAAACACTCTTTGTACCCTGAATATTTAATCCATGCAAAAATTACCTGCAAATTAATCTGTCCATATATAAAATCAAACCGGAGCTATAATATATTCTATAGGAAAAGTGTCATGATTTTAATACTTATTAAACGACGGCGAGAAGATTATAAAAATTATTATTTACAAAAGAAACGGTTTATTAAGACCGAGTGAACTGAAATAAAAAATTTAACGAACCTCCTGTTAATTTTGTAAGCATTTCTGTTCGATCAAAACAATTTTATCGACATGAAACCAAAAAAAAAAAATCAAAAATATCAAATGCCTGTAAATAGTTCAAAATCTCAATAATGATTTTAATATAGTACCTCGTCAATATAAGACTAATATAAATATTCTATGAAAATATCATTATCTCAAAATTATTTTTAACCTAAGTATTAAAAAAAAAAAAAAAAAAAATCGAAAATGATGAAACCATTATCGCCATAAATTTGTGCGTTTTTATTATGCGGATGTCCTGGTTTTCTGCAATCACTAAGAAAATTAAAAATTACATCCTTAGTGCATCAACTAGATCCAATACGCTTTAAAAAGTTCTATAGTCGGTTTTTGGTTAAAGCAATATTGCTGGTAGAAAATTTGACCACGGACGCGAAAATAAATCTCCCATATCATAGAAAAATCACCCTAAACAAAAACAAAAAAAGATGAGGACATTCCTCAACACTATACTCAGAATCTAATATCTATCAAACCCACGAGTAATAAAATACTGTTTGTTAAAGCCAAGGATAATAATCAGACAAATGTTTATATTTTAGGTTCTGAATTACTCTAAATCATTGGCATAACTTTCCTATTGGCTTTGAAATACAAACAAAATGTGTGTAATCAAATTTCGAAATGAATATATTTCAGCCAAGTAACGTGGAAAAGCTTTGATGTATTGAATCAAAATTGGCTTTTTTTTAAAAGATCCGACTTTTAAATTACCAATTCCTATGGTCGAATTGGGTAAAGAAGACAATTTTATGATTCCTTCACTTTTCTTATTTGCTACATCTCATCCCATTAAAAATTCCTGGGCATGATACTGTTATGAACAGGAAGTTTTCTTTAGACCTATTAAAATATTGTAGAAGTTATTATTACAAAAAATCGGTTTTTTTTATTTTGTTGTAATTAACTAAAAAAAATATTTTAATACATCATCTAGAAATTGGAAATTTTCCGCCAAATATTTCTATTTTAATAATTTTTATCTAGGCATGATACATTTTGTGAATTATTTTTGCACTTTTCGAGATTTTGTATGCGGAAATTTGAAATTGTCGACGGATTTCTATATTTCAATACAATATTATTTTAGCGGAGTAAAAAAGCTCGGAATTATATTCAAAGAATATATAGTTGGTTTTAAATTAACAAAAAACTAAGATAACATATGTATTTGTCAGTTAATAAAATTAATTGAAATTTGAGTTTGAAAATGTAAGATTTTTGGACGACAATCCTTCTTAAATATTTACAATTGACGTAATCTTATAATAATAGTCGTATATGGTCTTGAGTCTGTAAGCATACTTATATAGACTAAACGATTTTGTTATATATATACTAACTCGCCAACTGTATCAATGGATTTACGAGTATGTATATTATTCGGTGGTTTTTAATGAAATGTCATTTTTGAATTATAGAAAATCTTTGCAAACAATGTACCATATCAGGCGGAAAAACTGCGTCTTTTATGGTATAGCGTATGAAAATAATCTGATCATTTTAACAACAACCGAAAAATTGTACTTATTCTGAGAGAAAAAAAAACGCATCATAGTAAAACGTTGTTTGATACGCCCGTAGTCCGAAACTTTTGACGATTAGCTATTTGAAATTAATTTTCATTCTATTTTTTATGTATAAATATAATATTTAAAATACGTAAATACGTGATATATAATATTTAAATGATTAGTACTGTTATCGGTGAAGCGTGGATTTATACGCACTAAAAAATATTAACATAAAATTAGACCATATGATGAATCAAACATATAAATTGTATCTAACACCACAAAACTAGTTATTGACTTGAATTTTTTTTCAGAGATATAGGTATTTTTGTCTTTATTGGGTAACGTAAGATAAATATATTTGTATTATTTATTACAAACATAAATTATTAAACGGCTTTCTATTATTTCATGGAAAATGTCATCTGAAATTAAATTAGTACATTGTCGCTTCGGAGATGATTGACACATTTTTTTGTGATGGCGCATACTTTCCATTTAAAATATGACAGAATGTGTAAGTACGGTCGAATATGAGAAAATAAAACTTCCTGAATTGTGTCTAATTAGTTGAGTTCATGTGAAACCCGGTTCACATGATAAAATATTTGGTGTATAGCAAACTTTCAAAATTTGTATGACAAAAAAAGGGTTCAGACGATCAAATATTTTATCAAAATATCCATAACTAAAACTCCGTAGTGATTGGTCAAATATATTAGCTGGTTTAGCCGCACAAATTTAAGTTGTAAAATTATCATAATAATTCATTAGTATATATTTATACATTATATGTATATATATATTATATATATGTTTAGTATATATAAAGGATATGAACTACACCTGTGAAAAATTAATAAAACAGTACAAATTTTGAAAACTTCGAAAATATTACAAAAACAAACGTTCAAGTTTAGTAATACTTACTCCACTTGTTCACTGTTCAGTCAAGCAATGTATACCTTTGCTCTCTTCGGTACCATTAAAAACGAACTTTTTTTTTTTATTTAGATTTTATAAGAACAATTAATCTCGACAATTTAGAGGGAGAGGGGGATTAGTTTAAGATATAATAATAAATTATACAAGAAAGCTTCAATGGTTAAAAATAAGAAAAAATTGGTGAAATTAAATTTAGATAATGTGCGGAGATAATGTGTTGAATATTAAAAGGAATGTTAGAGGAGGCAAGAGGCGAATCAATTTGGCACGTTTTGGGAAGTAAAATAGAATGTGGGAGATGTCGTAAATTGAGAGATTGATGTAAAATTTACAGAAAGAGGAATTATTTAATGAAAGTTTAAACGAGTGGGAAGGTAATAAGGTGTGGCCGAATCTGAGTCGAGAGAAGGAAGAAACGGTTTTTCTTGAAAGGTACAATTCATAGAACCACGGGCTGGGTGGAATACTCGGATTTGTACTAAGTGGCAAAATTAGGAGGAAGTAAATCCCAGTAGCTTTGTCAGAAAACAAACTGAAATAATAATTAAATACATAATTCATAATACATTTTATATACCTAGGTGATAAACAATTAATAATAACTGCAATAACAATCGTACTACAATGTTTTGTATAAAATGTGCGAATTATAATTTATATTCACGATATACGATGATAATATTATGAGAAAAATTCGTTATCAATCTATTAGCCCAATATTTGGCAAAACTGTTAAATATTTTAGAAATTTTTCTAAAGTATTATAAGTTTGACGAAAGCCAATTATTCAAATATTCATCGTACGATCAACCGTGTAAACCGGGCTTAACGATTATTAACGAGTCTTTAAATATAAAAACAGGAAAAAAATACGCAGTAACATCCAAATCCGTGGGCATCGGCTACTATCAATTATCAAAATATTATACACAGCGTTTCTTTAGATTATGAAAACGGAAAAAATAAAAGATTGAAAATAAATAAATGGTCAGTAAGTGGGGTTGCGCAAAACCCCCGTGCCCCCCGGATGCGCCACAGAGTGTATAATAGAACCGCTATACCACGGTGACGGTATTAATACCGTGCGCGTCAAAATGTTGTCGACGCAGACGACCGGACAGCAGGGGAAACTTTGCGAGAAGGATATCCACCGTGACGACGGCGCGTCTCTTCGGTGCGTCGCCGCCCCGTCGGGGCGCATGAAAAATTGATGACGACGACAACGACAAAATAACAAGGTGGCACAGGACACCGCGGCGTTAGTTTTCTTGTATTTAAACGTGGCGGGATAAATGTCACGGCATAGGATTTGCATTTAAACGGGGTGGTAAGAAAAAAATACCCGTTATCTCTATCCGACCAGTACTAGCGGCCGAAAAACCCCGCGCCAGGTGAATACACCGAACCTAACAAAGTAACCACAATGGTAGGAGGAAGACGGTAAAAAAAAAAAAAAAAAAAAAATGATTTCTCCCGTAGTCGTCGTCACCGACCGCTCTTCTTGGTGGGTACGCGACGAGAAGAAAAACACATCGGGGTCAGTCGGCGAGGCTCCCCCGCGCGCGTGCCACGCCGTACCACGGTGGACGCACGTACGCACTATGTATATACATCGCGGTAGAGGTTGGGATGGATGCTGTGCGGGCGTGGTGCACCGCCACCACCGCCACCACCGCCACCACCACCACCACCGTGACCGCCCGTGGTGCAAAAGGTCGCCCCCCTAGCCCGGTCGGCAGCGGCGGCAGCGGCGGCGGCGGCGTCCGACGACGACGACGACGACGACGAGGACTACGACGACGACGATGATGACGACGATGGCGGCGGCGGCAGCAGCGGTGGCGTCGGCGGCGGAAGAGGGGTGCACGGAATTATCGAACAGCGGCCCCGAAACCTTTATGCGGGGCGATGAGGGGCGAAATGCGGCGCACACTCCACGCAGCCTCGCTATACGCGCCTGGGCCCGCGCGCGAGAGAGCGCGCGCGACGGTGGTGGCTGTGTGGAACGGACGAGTGACGCGCGGGACCAGACGTGATGGGGGAGGAGAGTACGACGCGAATGATGACGAAGGGACCGGTGGCGGGGAGCGCGCGCGATGGAGAGCGTTAGCTGCGCGCTCCCCCAGCGTCCACCGAGGCCGCCGCCGCGCGTGTTGTTGATAATAAACGAATACGCAGTCTGGCCGTGCGGTGCGCGACACACAGACGCCCGCGTACCATCGTCGTCGCTGCTGCCGTCGTCGTCGTCGTCGCCGCCGCCGCCGACGAGACATCGCGAAAAGTTCGATTGATAAAATTTATTATAATATGATCGTCGTCGCAGAGTGTTGCCGCGAACGAATTGTTTTATAATCGTATTTAAGTAATACGTCGTATCGACGAACTGCGTGGGAAAAAAAATTAATTAATTTTTCCCCCGTAAAACATTTACCGGCGTTTTACCGTCGAAGTTGCCGTTGTTGTTATTATTGTTGTTGTTGTTGTGGTTGTTGTTGTTATTATTGTTGCGCTGCAGGCATAGTGCGCCACGTGTGACATGCCCGATTCGCCGGTGCCACCGCCGGGTGCCGTCACTACGGCCGCCCCTGCGGCCACCGCAGCAACCGACAATCCGAGCGGCACCGCCGTCACCGCCGCCGTACCGACACCAGTACACCAACAGCACCAGCAGCAGCTCGGTGACGACGCGCCACGGTCGTCGCCGGCCCGACAACACCAGAACGGCGGTTCACCAGCGGCCATGGCTGCGGCCGCGGCCGCCGCGTCGCCGGATACGCCGCGAAAAAGAGGTTAGGACACACGAGTAGTCATGTAGGGGATAACGTATACTGTAGTGCGACCATTTAATGTTAACGATAAACGGCGAGGGTGGGGTGGGAGGGGGGGTTGGGATGCGTAGTTCGATCGTGATGATAATGTTCTTATCAGAACGTTATCAAATATACATGCAATATGCGTTGTGTTTGACGGTCGAAAACGGCCCCGGCTTTCTGTAAAAGCGAACACGCGCGTGCATAGTGTGTAATAATATATAGGTATGTACAGTAATAAAACGGCCGTAAAAAATCAACCGGGCGGGCGGTCGCCAAACACGTGACTATTTTTACGTTCGCGTAAATACGAGATGAAAGAACCAAATGTTGGGTTTTTTTTTTTTTTATTATTATTATTATTATTATTATTGTTATTATTATTGCGCCCCGAGTTTACGGTCCACAATCCGACACCGCGTGACGGTAAAAGAAAAAAAAAAAACACAAAACACAAAACTGCGCCGGATTTTATCGACGGCAAAACCGTTATCGTTTGTACTGTTATTGTTTTTACGGCACATATCGCGCCGCCTTTTGTTTTCTTAACGGACGAACGTCGCGAACGTATTTATTACGCGCGCCCGTAAGGCTAATCTGCGAGTAATTGCCGCAATAATTAATATGACATCATCGCGCGCGCCGCGTACGTCGCGTCCATCCATCCTATATTGATTGATTCTCTCTCTCACTCTCTCTCTCTCTCTCTCTCTCTCTCTCTCTCCATCCACCTCACCCCGCCGTCGTGTTATATGTATATATTTTATTATGTAGTCTGTACGATATGCACCGCGGAATATATATACCGTAGGAGAAAAATGCGTATATTTTGTAAAAGAAAAAAAAAAATATGGTGAAAAAATATGTTTAATCATCGAATTGTGAAAAAAACGTAGTGTTGGCCGAGAAAATAAAACGAAAATCTCGTGTAGGGATATGACCAGTAGATATTATTTTTTCCAACATCGAACGTGTAGTTTCAACGCGCGGTTTTTCCGTTTTTTGTGCGTTTTAAATAATGTCGTTTACTGTGCAGTGACTCGGACTATAAAAGTCTGACTTAAACTGAAACCATTTTCAAATGCTTATCAACTGTATTAAAATATATTTTGTGAATCTATTATGTCGGTTAAGTCAAGTGACTGTGAAAAAGCTGTCTTAAGTTAATGGAGACGGTTGCAGCCACTGTTATAGGTAATTATGATAATGTATATCTGTGAGCAATGAATAACTATTGCTAACGAAAAAACGATTCTGAGCGAAGTTCGGTTAATAATGTTACTTTTTCAATAATACATATGTCATATTATGGTAAAATAATTACATATGCATAATATATTTTCTTTAATAATATTTGTTTAATGTTGTACTGAATTTCTTGTTTTTCCTAGATTTTACCAATTTATTGAGAAAACTCTTGAAAAAACCAAAAAATGACTAACATTCAGTACCTCCCCAGCCTGATTTCCTTTCAGAAAAAGCACTATCATTGTAAATCGAAGCAAAATTGTTGGTAGTAAAGTTGTTTACAGGGAAAAAAAGTGACATAGTATTTTATTTACTCATACCTATATTTCGTACATTTTCCCGGTTTTTCGTTTTTCTCCGGTTTTCCCCCCATTTATTAGAAAAACTTCTGGAAATATCAAAAAATAACCTCCTTAAAATATCTTCTTAGTCTGATTTCCTTTCAGAAAAAATGCTATCATTAAAATCGTAGCAAAATTATTTGTAGATAAGTGATCGTTCTTATTATAAAAGATCTTTAGCTTGATTATTAAATTGGGCCGATACTGGCGACAATAATAAAATAATGTCATATTTTGAGATATTAAACGGTTATTATAAAAATAAACGTAAAAATTGCAGAACAGAATATATTTCATTGTTTATTGGCCACCAGTCTCTAATAATGTTACATACAACAGACCTTTCCAGCCTTTCGAATACCACTCGTTTTCCTCGTGATGCTTCTAGGATGAAATCGATGAATTAGCCCTATAAATCATATAACTATAGTAGTGTTCTCAAATTTGAATTTTTGTAGGAGGGGTAAAATTTAAACATTAGGCAACAGTTTTAGGTGGACAGTTATTACAGCGTCCCGAAAATTTCGTGTGAGAAATGATAATAATTACCATCCTTCTGCTATTGATTAAAGTACCACTATTACTTTACTGTCCATCTATAAATAAGCTATTTATTGAGACCAATTGTATGGGACCAAAACGGTTGGCCAATATTACCCGATCCGGCACAGATCAGTTGTCATCGTATTTCTTAAATTGATGAAAAACCCACCCAAATTTCGAACATAAAAATATAAAAATGATGTTACGCAATACACGAAATATCGCACGAGATTTTTCAGTGATTGAATCATGGCAAAATACGTGTTTTCAGTTAATTTTTAGTTTTGCTCTACTGAAAAGTCCTCAAACATTGACACAACATATTTTTCACGTGGAACCACGATTCATCCGTCCGCCCATAATTTTAACAACACCGTTCTAAAAAATAATTATTACCGAGACGATTTTTATCGGTCCCGACGATCGTGTTGCCCGCTAAAACCGTTTCGCAGTAACTTCTATACTTATAACGGACGTGGTTTGGCCAACAAACCGTTTTGACGATATTACTTATTACAATAATTGTATTGTTTTATAATTGACCGCACTTTTATAACAACCGGGTCTCACGAATTGGTGAATAATTAAAAACTATGTTTACTATTTTCGGTTACTTGTTATCCGTTGTTACAAAATATCATACGTCATTTTGTTATAAATAGATTATTTATTCTCAAAAAAAAAATTGTAGTCGTCGTATTTTTCTCCCGAAATAATCAAAAATGTATTCATAAAAATAACTCTAAATTGTTAGGTAATTTACACTATTTCTATGTTTTAATAACCATTATGCATAAAGCACGGAGTCTTATTCCTTCGGTCATAGTAGAGCGTATCCAGATGTTAACTCTTCACAACAAACTGAAAGACCGTAATTGCTAGCTAGCTACGATACTGAGACCAATACAAATTGCCGAAAACATTAATTGGTAAATTATTTCTGTTTCTTTTAGTATAATGTCTAAAAAGACTTGATTTCTAAATTTCTGTAAAATTATATGATGAAATATAGTTTGTAGGAAACTCGACATGTTCTTAAAATATACATTACAACCGATCGGCAATCTTATCTAATGTTTTTATAACGATTGCTTTTTTTTCGTATAACTATATCTAATTTTACAGATTTTGGAAAGCTAGGAGTGGGCAAATATCCTGTCTTGTCCCCTTCCTCTCCGGTTGCCTATGGTCGTGAGGCGAATCCTACCCGAAAACTGCGAATACAATGTGCAAAGACACATTAACTATACGTCTGCGGAAGCAGGAAACATCGTGTTTAAAAAAAACATTAAATCATTTTAGTTCAGTAGGTTAGGTAGTTCAGGTTTAGTATATACTATAGATATGAAGCTAAAAAAGTTGTTTTACCAAACAAAAAAAAACCGCCGAGAATATTTAAGATAATTACGTAACGGATATATTATTTTAGTAAATGATAAAGTCTTTTGCCATTTTAAATATAGTGCCTACGTTTGAAATGCAATCTCAAAAAATAATTACGCTGGAGTCAAAGTATGTGCAGCTACAGTGAATTAATTTTTTTTGTAAATGTGTATTCATTAAAATATACGCTCAGACAATTGGGGAATTTATAAAAGAAAACCGAAATTCAAAATTATTTTAGGAAAAAAAAAGATTAAAATCGTCATTTCTGAATCGAAACTCAGTCTGCGCCCGGAAAAAAGTTACAAAAATATTTGAGCTCGAGGGTTTTATTTAGGAAAACAGCAAAAGTGGTTACAGACTGAATAGGAAAATAGAATACATATATAGTATCGAAATTACCGATTTTAAACGAGTATAAAAACGACCAGGGCGACAATCATTATTCTGACGTCGTGGAGTTTCTAAACGCAATAATATAATAATCTCAGTGGACCTTTTTAATAACTGCAGACGGACAGCGCTGATGATTGCTATTATACGTCCGATATTCGATTTATTTAAACAGATCACGCAATATTGTCGTAAAAAAATAAAAATTAATTCCATATAAATTACTAGATACCGACAGTAGAATAAATGTCATTTCATTAATATTTATCATAGATTCGCTTTACTTCGTCGAAAACGTTTATCGTCCGGGTGGACACACGACGATAACAAACCGATGATAAACGATATATGTGTTTGATTGTACGGCAATCAAGTATTATTCTCCTCCTTCCCGTGGCTCTTGACATGTGATAAACGATAGAAAAACCAAAACCGTCAAACGAAAACATTCTAACTCTTTTAATAACTAATTTTTTTTTTTTTTTTTTTTTTTTGACCAATTAACAATATTATTAGGTACCTATATAAATATGCCGCTTTTTAACATTTCGATTTGCTCAAATCCCAAGTCGTATGATGACTTTGAAATCGTCATAAAAACCTGTAAAAGAAGTTTTAGTAAAAATACTAGAACGATGCTCCACATTTGCCTATAAATATAAGTAAGCGGAATCATCGGCATCATAGTTGATCGGCCAAGAGAGCCTCTACCTCCATTCATGTGTTAAAATATAAAAAAAATATATACAATATGCATATATAAATAATTAAATATTGAACACGACTTATTATGTTATAATAAAATAGTAATCATAGCGCATTTGTAATAGCTTTAGAAAATTGACGTAGTTTACTTGTTTTAGCCCCCACAGGGGAGCACGATTGAAAAATCTTGGTTACTATACGTTCGGTAAAATATTATTAAAAATTTTGAAATATACAGAACTATAGAATATAATATAAAGTGTTTTTTTAAATATTGGGATGGAGCAGGAGGTATTCAACCGCCCCTTGAATATAATAACCATAAAAATATAGTGTGGTTACTATTTTACTATTTACCCGTTATCGTCAAATTTTAAATTGTGATTGAATTGAAAAACAAAAAAAATAATAATATAACAGGTTTGCCAGAAAAACCGATAGGTAATTCGCCGAGGTAAATTTTTTTCGGTTGATCAGTGAAAACCCGAATAAAAAAACTATAATATGACTATTTGTATAGTGTAAATTTAATTTGTTCTACAGGAATGATGTTTATACATTTTATGTGAAAATAATTTTTTGTATCCCTAGAATGTTGTGAAACTTTCAAAATTCAAAAGTTGCAAAATTATTACGTATTTAATTTTTATTTTTATATTACATAATATCATATTAGTCCTACAAAATATTGGAAATGCTCTGCATGATATATAAGTTCGAAAACATGACTTTTAAAAAATCGATCTCGCTCCTAGTGAAAACAAAATCAACGCAAATAAAAATTAATATCAGATGTTATAATAATATAATAACCAACATAATGGAAAGAAGAATCGATGGACGCAAAAGAAGATGAAGGCCAAGGAGCACTTACACAGGATAGATAATTGAAATACTGATTAGGATACAATGGCTATTCAAATACACGATGACTCTTGACATTAATAAAGGAATGGAAATATCCCTATATTCATTGCAAGTACTTTAGCTAAGAAAATGATAAAGTATTAATACAGGTTTTCTTTATAGCAATTTTCTGCCATGGGGATGTATTCCAAATAAACTTTTCAAAAAGTATTTGGAATATTTTTAAAATACTCTTGTTGTAAGCGAACATACATAATATTTGGATTACTATTATTTGTATGCATTGGAATATTTATTTTGGATACATATTTTAAAAAGTATTTTATCCAAAAATGGCAATGGCAAACGGTTCAAATGAAAATTCTATATAGGCATATAATATACTTGTATATAAAAATGTACATAAAATTTGTCGTACAGATCGAAATAATGACGTTTGGGAAAATTGCAATTAATTATTATAAGATGATCTATTATTGTGGTTTGTTCTGTTAAAAAAATTAAAAAGCCAATTGTAGTCACGTTTATAACTCATAATTATTATAAAACGTTAATTATAGATACTAGAATAAAATATAAGCTACAAACAATAATTATTGTCTCCCCCATTCCGAAACAGTATTTCGTTTGCCGATTAAAAACATGTATCTAAATGACAACCGTTTATATGAATATTATTTAATAACCGATGCATACGCATATTATAATAATGTGCTAGTTTTATTTTTGTATTTCGTAACATATGTACATAGATAAAAAGTGAAATTCTAATATGCAATAATACTTATATAAATTATAATAATTATTATTTTGAGATAAAACGCTCGAAAATTTCGAGTTAATCTTTAGATTATAAAAAAAAAAAAGAATGCCCGATATATCAAATTCCAGTACCTACAAATATTAATTTCGAATTTCATGACGTATAATGGACACTGCTTATAATAATCAGTGGCGTTTGATCATGGGAGACCCTTGCCCTCTTGTCCAAAGCATAGGCGGAAAACATTTAATTTTGCCCCCTTCCCTTCCCTTTATGTTGATAAAACTTTATGGAACAAAAACAAATATTTAAATTAAATTTGCATTAATTGACTGGTCAGCTATGACCACTTATAAAACGTGTTTATCGCTCGAACCGTTTATTTGGTCACCTATACCAGTCGAGTATATTAAAAATACACGTAGGCCAAGTAATCAATCCGATTATGTTACATTAAATAACCGAAAAATCTTTCGGTTACAAATGGAATGTTGTTTAAGTTAATTATTGTTGATTAAGTTGTATAATGTACAAGTCAAAATGTAAAATATATAAAACTTAACTAAGTTCAAAAAAAGGTTTTTTTTCTATAGAAAATCAACAATTATTCAACATAAAGTAATATTATATTATATTCATATAATTTTATATTTATAAAAACATTAAATAAATCAAACTATGACGGTAAATTTAAATACATGAATTATTACAATATTGACTGAATAGTCAATTAAAATTGAATTTCGAAAAAATCATTCTTCGTTATATCTTAGCCGAATATTTACGAAAATAAACTGTAAAAAGTTAACTGTATACAACGAAAATTGAATCTAGTTTATTTAACAATAAAAATAATTAATTTTTTAAGTAAAAAGTTAAAAAAAAAATAAATACTTTTTAACTAACTAATGCTCACCATTCTATTTAGGCCACCTATTAAAAAAAACCTAGGTTCATAACCGAAATTTTTTATTGATATAAAATGCGGTATAACCCACGAATTTCAAGATTTATAGCCAATTTAATAGTTTTATATTTTTCTTAAAAACTTAAAAATAAAATATAGAAATTGGCAATTTTCATCGACGGGCCAAAAATGTAACGAAATTAAATGCATTAAATCTGACGACTAAATTTACTTTTATTCTGTTCAATATTTGTATAGATTTTTCTTATAATAATTTACAAAGCATAGCGCTATAATTTCTCTTTAAATATTTATGCTTCGAAACAAATTGTTGGAGTTAAAAATATTTACTAATAATTAACCGTTAAGCCTTTATAATTTTTTGAAGTTTACCATATTCATTAAAAATACACAAAAGATGTAAACATACAGGTATTATTTAATAGTGGCAGCCAAAACAATAATTAAAATTATTGTTAACTTGAAAATAAACGGTTTGTAGATTTTTTTTATATTAATAACACCAAGATTTTATTTTAAAATATATTTCTGACTCTATGGATCTATTGGATAATTGTTTTTAATTTTGGAAAAGAAAACATAGTGAAAGGCTCTATAGCAATAAATACTTTTGTTTTTTCTTGTGATAATTATTATTTTAAGAAAAAAAATTATTGATCAGAACAAAAGTAATTTTAAGTGTCAGATCTTCGTGTTACAGCCTATATATATACTAACTACAGTTCCAATATTCCAAAAAAAGCTAATTTACCGTATTAAAAACATAAATAATATAATCTCGCTTTTATACTTGTATTTCATCACTTGCAAACGGTTCAAACGCGCTCATAAAGTTTTAATTTTTTACTTACATTTTTATTTATTTGTCCCGTTTAAGCATATAATTTCGAAAACAAACGAGTCTAACGTATTTTTGTTATTATTTAATTGCTCAAAGAAAAAAAAAAATATTTAACAACGTTCACACAGAGATCTATTCGTTATTTATTTAACGTGACCAATTATTTTTCTCAAAACTAACATCACCATATCTTCGTTTGATTGAAAAATCTGTAAAACAATTCCAATAAATCACCAGAGTGAATATTTCTGAATTGTATATAGAAATTATATCATTTGTAGATTATTTGATAAAAAACAAATGTAAAGTAACCATAACGTACATTAAAAAAATTAAGGTCAAGAAAAATATTAATCGATACATTTTTTTTTTTGTGATTGAGAGCTGATATTATATGAAAATAATATAATTTTGTTATATTATATGTTATACGTAACTAAAGTCAATGGTAATATTGTATTACAATATTTTGACACATATAAAATAAACATATTGTAACATAAAACATAACAAAATCGTATTATTTTTACATATCGGTTTTTTGATCTCAACCACTCAATTATTGTCATATACAATAGTTCAAATGATAAAATTATGATGGCAAGGGTATTGGTATTGTAATATAATATGAAAATCGGTTTTGTTTTGAAAATATTTTACATTACCTTACATGCTACTCGACAATAATAGTTATTACGACAAGAAATTATCAATTTCTAAGAAAAACGTCTTTTTCATCTTCTCCTGGCGTATAGCAATTCCCGAAGAGAGTTTTGGTTTCCACTGCAATATCACCATCAAAGTCACCTATATTTTCTATCTCTTACAATTTACCATTATGTACACCAAACTCTCGAATCTTTCTTAACATCCATCTTTATCCGTGTCTTTTTCTGTACCAATCACGTAGTCTTTCTTTCCCAAGGCACCCGTTCAAAGGGACTGATCTTATAGCGATTCGGTTTCTTTTTGACTACTGAACCCATTAGCCTTCGATAATATAGTTACCGGTCTCAAATCCCCGTCAATAGTAAATAATTTTCAATATGTTTACCGAAAAAATTTTCATCGTGGAATTGCGTATAGTCGTCGTGTTTGGTTCGTCACTCGAATTATTTGTGTAACATTTTGAGTTAAAACTGAACATTGGATAGTTTCAAATATTCGTTTAGTAGAACCAATTGTGTGTTGTCAATTTTAATATTAGAGTGAATTTGGCAAGAACATTGCATGTGTTTCATTGCTTGTACGTTGGTTTTTGATAGATATTGTTTGTCTCATTTAAAAATTAAAATATCGAACAAAAAGCAGCATATAAACACAAATAATAGTCTTACGTTTATGTTTGATTAGCCAATTCACTCTAATATCAAAATTAAATCTACTGATTATCTACTAAATTTTACATCATCCAATGTTCAAAATCAGCCGTAATATATATATAGATATTTCGAGCAGTCCTCTAAATTAATTTTATTGATTTAAGTTTTATTTTATTATTATTACTGAATGACGTAGGTATTCTTTAGATAAATAATAATATATTAACCTCTACTAAATTTAATTGAAAACGTTTACAATAAATTATATAACATAAATATATTTTATTATTTACGCATTAATTCATCTATATAGATAAACAAATAATATTTATCTAAAATCGAGTTATAAAGATAAAAAAAAAAAAAAAGTTCCCGGCGAATGAGGGGATATAAAATATACTTCGGCACACTTGATTTCACACCGGCAGAATCCGCGATGATGAATTTTTATCGTTTTATCATTTTTACACACGATCGGGCTCTCTTCCCGGTACCCAATGCACCGCCGCCGATGTCAATAATAATTTATATTTGGCAAAGAACCTAAATTTATTTACCTGCATAATATATTTTATCATATTAAACTATTATGATTATTGACTATGCTCTCACGAGAACCATATATATATACTCCTTGTGATATGTAAACGACTGCGGACGGTTTTGGATTTCGCGCGGTTGTATAATGTGAATAAACGGACGCGATAGTGGGAGAGAGAAAATCGCCAAACCCCGTCGGATTTCAGCCGAGAGAGTGCGGGCAGGACGGTGGAGGACTTTGCTGGGCACCAGCCAACGTACATGTATAGGCCGGGAAAACAACGACGGCAGCGTGCTTAACGGCCAGAAAAAGGCCGGAATCGTTGTATGCACGCGTATTATGAGGAAAACCAAATTGAAAATGAAATCTGCAGTAAACTGACAAACGCGCGCACGGCGGGCACCGGTCCAAAAAGACCTTTTCTGCAATCCCCTTAAAAACAAAAACGAAAAAAAACGAGGGGAAAAAAAGTGAAACGGGAGAATTTATCTCGTTTTTGCCACGCAAAATGTAAATTGCGTTTTAACTGTGCAATACACCACCTCAGCCCCCATTTTATCCCCCCGAGGGATTACCTAAGTGCCGGCGATTAACATAACCGCACGGGATCATAAAAAAAAAAAATATAGGTACCGAGGTAACATTAATGTGTTTTTTTTTTCATTTATCGGACAACATAACCTAAACGAACACGGGCTACGCGTTAGGCAGTTACAGAACAAAACTCGACGTTGATAGTCTAAAATATTACTATAACTCGTATATCGAAATCTAGTCGATTATTTTCGCAAGTGGGTTTGAGATTATTAAACGACATTCCACTGCATATCATTAACAGTTCGTCTTATAAAATATATAAACACTCTATTAAATTATGGTTGTTAAATAATGCTAGTGATCTATACCCTTGGTAATATACCGATGTGCCTATATAATATAGTCTCTTTATCTCTTTATCTATTTATTTGTTATATTGAATTTATTTGTTGCAATTTATGCTTTAATAACTATAGTTCTAATTAATAATTAGTTCTATAGGTTTGTCTATTTATGTTTTTGAAGTATAGTTTATAAGTATAATTTTTAAATGTATACAAACTTAGCTCNCCATATTATATATATATAATCATTAATTAATGAAAAATTGTACTTTCTTTTTGGCCAATAAAAAAATTATTATTATTATTATTAACTAAACAACAACAACATGAAATTTTGTTACGATTTCCGAACAATCGATTACGTTTTCTTCCAGTCTTTAGTTTCCATATAGTTATTCGTTCATTTGGCATACGTTTTGAGTTTTTTTCCCTCACCAGAATTTATTAGATTTATGACGGTGTGCGTCAGCCAACATTTTTCGGTTTTTCATTTTGAAAATAATTACGATTTGTTGTATATAATGCAGATTGGTAAATATGATTTGTGAATACAAGTATTATTAATTCAAACACAAAGTAAGTAGGAGAAAATAAGCAAAGAAACTACCAAAAATCTATTTTTAGATGACAAACAAAACCATTAAAATAGGTAAACAAAAATTATTTTATACCTAAGTTCAGGTGGTTTTCCAAATTTTTTTTCATTTTTTTAATAATGAAACTTGGATTACTCGTCCTGTATAAAAGATTATTATCTTTTAATATCTTTTAATAATATGAATAATTATTGTACGGGACGAATAAGGATTTTCGTACGACAGGTATATTATGTGTACAATACATATTACGTATTTTTTTTTTTTTTACTATTAAAACGACTTAAGTAAATTATAAATAGAAAATCAACACATTAATTTTTGTGTAGTTTTTGACTCGTGATAATCTCACCTCCTATTTTTTCCGTAATAAATTAAAACAATAATGTAAGGTAAAATTTCGTATAGCCAGTTAAACTTTTTCGAAAGACACGTGAAATAATACTCAGCACCGTTGACCTTATCAATATTATGTAGATAAATAATTACATCATTTTTCAGCTCGTCTGCAGAATATATAGCGCTCAAATGTTAAAAACTAACAAAATTTAGGTACTTCAGGAAATCAAAAACGTTTTATCTTTTTTGTAAACATTCAGACCGATAATCTGGAGTAATAACTAAAAATAATACTTGCTTATTATTAATTTAGTAAACACATAAAAAATATTGGGAATATCGGACAATATTAATAAGTCTTTACAATAAGTAAATTGTAATATTTTGCTTCTGGGTTTTTTTGGAATTCGTTTCACCACTGATTTCATTATTCCAATTTCAAAAATGTCCAAAAATAATTGGAATTTGTGCAAGTATTTCTTTTCTATGTTTAAAAGAAAACTATTTTTATTTTTGTTTTTTTTTTTTTTTTAAAAAAAATAAAAGGAAACTCATCATGTGCTTTAGTTTAATTAACTAAATAAAAACTACCGAATGTTTCCTACAAAACATACAATGACTGTTCAACCTTATTATTTATCAAACTCCGTGATGTGGATTAAAATTACACAATACGAATAGGTTTTTTCTATGGTTTTCGGTCTACGGAACACCCAAAACTTTCGATGGTTTTCTTCGTGGTAATATTTTCTTTTCTTTTTTTTAATACGATTTAATAGGAAAAGTTCGGTGTGGATTTAATATAGCATAAAGCAAAACTATATCGGCAACGGCGGTATAGCCACCGTCGAATTTGCATTCAGAGTACATATTAAAAAAAAAAAATTAGGTCACTCGGCAATATTATACATCGACTTTATTGTATTAAAATAATTATTATAATCGGGTTTTCTCGACTTGATATAAAATACAACAATGTAAAAAAAAAAAAGTTGGGCATACTTCTTAACACAGGTGGGTCACTGTATCGTTTCATATGATTTTGACTATTTTTAATTTGTTTAGCAAAACTGTCTAGAATCGAATAGGTAGACAAATTCCGTCAAATAATATATTTCCATGTCCGTTGAAAAAACTCCTGAGTATTTTTATTAATTATAAAGGTGTTTTCCAATGGGAAGAAAAAAAGAAAGTCCTAATAAAACTAATAGTATAACTATAATAACATTGTTCCCAAAACATCACCATTAAAATCTGATTAAAAATAAAAATTGTCTATACCAATACCTATATACCTTATGCTTGGCTGAATTTAAGGAGGAGGGAGAATTTCAAAGAAGCGTCATAATCTTTTAAGAAGTGTTGTAGAATAGTATTTTTTTTTTAAATTATTTTCTATCTCATCCCATAGATTACACAAGCTCGGTCAAAATAAAACAGTAAAATAGTACGTTTTAAAACGCAAAAAAGGTGCGATGGAGGCATACAATTATTGTAAAGCGCACACCTTGAAATTTTGATGTATAGTATGTGAGCTGTATGAGAACAGTGGGATAAAGGCGCCAAAAAAAAAATGTTAATATATGCGTCTCTGAATTACTGCGATAATTCTGTTGAAATTAAATTTACAAAAGAAATGTCAAACCAATACGCAAATAACTGGATATAAGCCAATCGATTGTGTATGTTTTACGATATAGCTAACAGGAGAGTATTATCTAATATTATGATTATTTCGGGGACAGATATGAACAATAATTTATTTCAAAACTGTCGCGCGTATAATACATATGCGTACATGGAAAATACTAAGCCAATTAAATCAGTGGCGTACAGTGTTACCCGTCGCATAATTATTCAGAATCGTTTAAACAATAATTAATTTTAATTCGTAGGTACTTTAAATCCTCGGAAATGGTAGTGGGCTGCGAAACAATAATTATAAATATACACAAACGTGTGTGGAATTTATAATATTTTCCTTCGAGTGATCGATATATATTGGTATATATAAGTATCTTCAGTTGTGTATCGAACGCTTTATTCTAGACCGTACACACTGAAAAACGCAAACAAATTTAAATGTTAAATTTCGTAAATAATAATAATGCGGGTTAATTCATTCATCGTTAACTATTACTTTATTATTATGTTATGATCGATTTATCGGTATACGTAATAGTATCTCTACCCTACTTGCCGGTTTAATTTTTAAACAGTTATTAAGCGTAAACGGTTAATCTTTTATTGTAAATAATAACGAATGTTGTGTGCACTGTGCATATTGAAAATTGTAGTCAAAAATTCGAAATCAGTGTTAAATTAAAGCTTTAAAACGTTGACACTGCTGACGGGTAGGTCATTGTTATTTGTTGTAGATGGGTAGTAAAGAAGGTAGGATATATGGAGTTATTTAGTTTATACTGTATATGCAACGATAAATCATTAAATCGATTCTAACCGAAGTAGTATTAGTTGTGGTTTTTTTTTTTTTTTACTGCCATAAGTAACCCCAAAACTGACAAAAATTAAACAACAAAAAACTTAGATGGTGAACTCCTGAAAATAAAATACCGTAAGCCATAAATTGCGCATCACCTGAGGTATGAGTGGTATGAGGTCAAAACACCGGAGCACTTTTATAAACCATAAAAGTGTTTTTGTTTTCCGAAAAAAAAAAACATCTTTGTATAACCACAATAACTTTTTCGTTACTATATTCAAAATCTAAAATTCCATATTGTTTGAAAAAAAAAAATTATACTTAAAATGTTCCGAGAAAATCTTTAGACTTCTACATGTTTTGGGTTCTGAAAGAAGCGGGGAATGTATTAGTCTATAATGTGTTTTTTTTGTGTGCCTGTTAACTTCTCTACCAAAATTCTTGCTTCAATTAAAAACTTTGACGGAACTTTCTTGTAGCATTTTTTCATTTAGTTGGTGCTCTAAGTCGATCATTTTTTAATTTTCTATGAAAAGTTATTTTAATAAATAGTTATAATTAGCAATTTTTTGTTGATTTCTGGATTACCTTGCAATCAAGTGGAAAACCTAGACAAAGTTCATTCTGATTAGAATCGTTTTTCGTTAGCAATGGTTTATCGTTGCGTAAATATATAAATTAAATTACTCTATATAATATCCTCCCTTCCGACGTCACTTCTAAAACTATACACCCATCAGCGGTGTTTTTTTTATGTAATAATTATTTATTTGTTTTTTGTTGTGTGTGCAATTGGGCGAAATATTATTAAATTTACACATTATTTCCGCTTCGAATAGTTTGCCAAAAATTTATCGCGTGATATCCGTTTACTATAATAATACATTATATTTCACGGAAATCTAATTTTAATAATTTTAACCTTAATTTCACCATACAGCATACATATACATCTAATAAAATAAATATTTTCGTAAAAAAATAAAAACTGTAATCCCATATATTATGATATAGCATAGATGCGATCCTTTCCGCTTCGAATATTTCAAAATATTATATCGCGCCACGTCCGCTCGGTCAATTTCATAATTTCATATTAAAATAGTATTTTTACTGCGGAAACATAATTTTAACCTTAACGTCATCGTACAATAATAATAAAACCCATACATCATAATATACAATTATACAAAAAAATTTTAATATTTATTCGAACAAAATATATATTTTATCTCAGAGAAGAAGAGCTTAAATCTATCGTTAGCATTTTTCTTTTATATAATTTTCTTAGTATAATTTGTCCCGCTTTATTTTTTGATTTAAATTGTATAAGTGCAATGTGTATTTTCAAAATCGAATTTGTTTGCATTGAAAACTATACAAAGTCGACTTTTCTTCCTAGGGAATCAATCATATAATAATATGAAGTTCGTAAAAATAGTAAAAAAAAAAAATACATAAATGGTTATTTTTTTCACAAGATTGGTAGGCCACTGTTTTAGGTGAATAGTAGGGAAGGTAGAGAGGAAATCTAATCGATATATTATGTACGCAATAATTAAGGATAGCTAGCGAAAAACGATTCTGAGAGGAGTTCGGTTATACATGTTTTGAAAGGCCGTAATATTTACGATTTGAAAATAATAAATTTCATAAATGTTTCCATTTTTCCCATTTATTATAAAAATCCTGAGAAAATCAAAACATAGCCTGCTTAATATACCACCTCAGTCAGATTTCCTTTCAAATGGTGCTACACTTTAAGATCGGAGCAAAATTTTTGGTAAAAAAGTTGTTCACGGAAAAACCAAATCTCTCATTGACCTACGGTAATTCAAAAATACTCGAAAAAAACGATATTATTATACAGTTATGCGTGTTACTTGACCGTCAAATATTAAATATTGTGCCGGGGACAATATTTCATTATCATTCCTCCATAATGCAACATTATTGCCAACGCGGTTATAGAAGCTAAGGTCCAACGATTATAAACGCTTAGTATTAGTTGTCCGTTCCCAGAGGACAGTTTTAGTTCAAATTTTACTCACGGGCACGGTGGATCACTTTAGGTCTCGTTCACGGGACGTTATATGACTATAAAACGAAAAATCAAATCGAGTTTTGTGATAATAACTTAACTTAATATATTTGGCAGCGATTTTAGTGAGTACAATTTTAACCATTTATGGTTCGACGAGCCTCGACAAGCGAACGTCTTTCAATAGGCAGAAAGTCGTAGGATCTTTTCTTTTAAGTCCTTGATCGTCACTGTAATCTATTATTATAATCCGCGGGCTTTCAATAAAAATAATATTATCTATAGGGTTTTTGCACTTTTAGCAGACTGGCTTGCTGCAATAATGATGATATCGACGTAAATATCGGAGCAAAAGATGATGCAGAGTAAAAAAATTAAACCGACTGAAGACGTTTAAAAACGCGAATTTCAAAAAAAAAAAAAACTCTTTTTTTTATTGGCAGCCCAAAGTATCGTATATATCAAATCGTTTACCAATAAAAAAAAAAACAACAACAACAAAACATATACAATTATTGTTATTAACCATTGATTTATGAATGTATAAAAATAATTAAAAAAAACTCGCCCAAACTTATTTATTATATACTAGCTGCAGTACAATGTATAAAGACCGCTGGCCTTCGTTATATCGTGCGGCCAATTTTATGACGGCAGGAATGATTTAGCTACTGAATTGTATGCGGTTTTTTTCCCTCAATATTGTCACGATAATTATATACATACTGCGTTTACTAATCGTAACACGTTGATTTTCACAATTTAAAATAATTATCGAAAATATTATTTTAATATATTTTATTTTTAGTCTCCTTTTTGTTTTTTGTTTTATACCAACTAATTATTCATGTATGATGGATCTAACCTTTTTCCTCTTTTTCCATTTTAAACCGATAGTAGTGAGGGATCTGTGTTAACCTTACTACTCCACTACTGCCATCAATTGTTATCATCGTAAAACGAGAGAGTCATTATTTGTAATTTTATTTTTTGTTATAATTCGGTTAAACATCATTGTAGAGATCTACAATGTTCACAGAATACTTATAATATAGTCTTTCCTAGACATAGTACAATTTTTAAAATATTTCGGTGTTTTTTTAGCTATTTATAGTCATTTTACCTTTTCTTAATTTCTGTCTTTATTGGGTTTTATGTGAACATTATTTTTTTAGCTGAACAAAAATACTCGGCAATTTTGACAATTGTAATCACAAGTTGTACTTTTTATTTAAAACAATTGAACGTAATGTAGTAGTTTTTTTTTTTTTTATAAATGTATACAATTTAAATTTTGATGTAAATTGTAATTTTATTTTATTACACATTTACCGAATTTCGCTCAGAATTTTTTCCTATTAAGAATGATTTATCATTACGTATAGATATAAATTAAATTGCTCTAGGTAATGTATTCTCAAATTTCCATCTACAACGGTCGTAGTACCAGATCTTTTTTTTTTTAAATTAAACTTAAACATACTATATTTTTGGAGTATATATTTTATTAATATTCGTATTAAAAAATGTCACGTTTTAGATGGACAAAAAATTGTATAGCCATTGTTTTTTTTTTTTGCAAACTATATGCGTGTGTAACCAGATAAATTAAATTGTATAATAGGTACTTATTGTTGTATTATATAGATATATGTAATATTATTTTCGTCGAATAAAACCAACAAATATATATTCACTCCGTGTATATATAATATCACTTAGAATATGAATGTTATTTTGTCCTCATGGCTGCAAAAGTCATAACAGTCAATTTATTGCAGTCTTACGCTGCATACTTAGATTAAAATTTAAACATATATTTCAAGTTATAAAACAAAATTACGATTAGCTACGTTTCAACACCCGTTACGCATTTGACGAGTGCATTTCATATATTATCATGATAAAGTTTAGTAACTTTCGGTGTTTATCAGGAAAATCATAAATAGTTCTTAAAATTAATATCTACCGACAGGGATTGGCTTTTTTTTTGTTTTTGTACTATTAGAAAATCGCTTTGCTTTTCGCAAACAACCTATAAAATGTAATTCGTCGTGCGGTTTTCAGTTACGACCAGTTTGGCGCCGGATGACGAGCAGTCGGAAGCTCTAAAATAATTACGGTCACGTGCAGAAGAAGATCTTAAAAATAACAATTTCCCCAACTGCATAGCGACAACCAACGGGAGACAGCGAGGTCGTGTGGTTAAAAGCTCACAAAAAGAAACCTTCCTTTTATAATAATTATTTGCTGACCCAGTTTTCACTCACCACTGGCGCCGGGGTTTGATTTTCTTCTCTCTTCTTTTATTTAATTTTAATTTTGTTTTTTTTTTTTTTCCAATAAAGTTTGTAGACCCACGGAATTCGAAGAAAAAAGAACTCGAAATAAAAAATAGACTATATAAACTTTTTGAATATTTAATAAGTGTAGATATGATTTTTTTTACGCCGTATTTTCTGCTATAAAACAAAATATTATATTTTATACGTCTATTTTTGACACCATTTATCTCGGATACTTCTATAATTCTGGAATTTTATACCTGTATTATTTTTTTCTTCACATCCATATTTTACTTCTCAACATATTTCCGAAATGATTTTTATTAAATCCCGTAAACTAAGGATATCAAATGTAAATTTTAAATTCTACAAATTATTATTTCCTTTTAAAAACAAGACCACAAACCTACAATTGCTGTTTCTATCTTACTGCAAACGCACGACGTAGCAAATTTTCATTCAACTGTTATAACTTTGTACAGTTTGATTTTTTATTAGAGTGATTAATTGACCTATTATCAAATTTAAGATATAAGAACATTATCTGTGTAATATCACCTTGCTGTTTTTAGATATTTTAATTTGTGAGCGAGATTTATAAGTGGTTTTAAATCGATGATATTTCACTTATTCGTATTCGTAAATTTAAATATGGATAAAAACCGACGTGCTGGTTCCACAGATTATATCCTTACCTTTATATTAATAATAGATCAATTCATCACTCAAATATTGAATCGAATAGCACAAAGTTGAACGAAAACGTGCGTTTGTAAAACTAAAACATCACGTGCGGGTGTATTGTCAATGAGAATTATTAATCTGTACAATATAAAATTTGAATTGGATATTGTATTATAGTCGACAGAATTTAATAAACATTTTATTGGCGAATATTGTTTAGAGTACTGCGTATCTTTTATACTAAAATGCTTAAAAAAAAAGCTCAAGAAATTTTTTTTAAAAAAAATTAAAACTAACATGGCCGTAAGTTTTTATTGTTTGACAAAATATTTTTCAGAAAGAAGCAACGCGGTGCCCTAGAAAATATTATCTTCATTAAATATTATTACCTGTGTTTCATCTAATTTAAATTTAAACGTCCCGATTTCAGTATTTTTATTATGATGCCCGTAGTTACACCGAATCAGTTTAAATGCGGGCATTGAAACTCTTAAAAACCATATCTATACCGTATTGTTTTATTTGAAATATTATCATAAATTCACAATGTCCCGTAGAAAACGTTAGAACCCCTACGAAGAACTGCACTGAAACGGTATTGATATCATAAATGTCAATTGTATATTTATATTAAAATATATACATTATTATTAAAATTTTGATATGAAATTCCGCTCTAATTACCGCGTTAATATATGTAGTTGAACATATTTCCAATTAAAAATAATATAAACTACAACATGTCAATTATTGATACTTCGCGTGTGTACATAGAATACGATATTATTGAACCGATATGATAAGTTTCGAATGCGCACAATAATATTATGTCCGTTAAAAGTTCCGTTCCGTACAGTATAACTAGTCGGACATACATTACAAATTATCGCGCACACTCGAAACGGAAATTTCTCTTTTTGTCTCGAATGCATACAATATTTTATAACTTTATAGTAATTTAAAATGTTTACTCGAATAATCAACGATCTCGGCAGCGTTTTGGGGAAACTGCTACAATGCGAATAGTTTACAATCGTCTTATTTGATTTATTTATTTGTCTCGTCTGCAATTGTACGATCACTCGATTGTACGATTATTTTTCATAAAATATACAAATTGTAATTTTAACAGCATTTGATTTATTTTGTTTGTTTTTTAATCAGTTAAAGTTTTTTGTTTTTTTCTAAAATATTTCACATCCTTATATTAAAGACATCATTTACACGCAAGACTAATACTTGCGACAGTTAGTTTAAAATTTATTTCGATGAAAACAAAAGAAGAAAAAAACGAATATTAATGTTATTTTAGCGAAAAACCTTTACCAATAACAACGAAATATCGGTAAACCCGTCTGACAATACAAAGCCCAATGTTCGGATTAACAAGATACGTGTTCGTCTCGCCGTAAGCCTTATTACTGTTGTGCAGCACGCGGCAGTAAGTTTTTCGAAGGGGTTTTGCAATAGGTATATATATATATATAAATACGTATTATGTAAAGGTCCAGGGAGCCGGCGGAATTCAAAACGGCGCTTTCAGTCGCAGATTCCCTTTGAAGCGTTTTGGATAAAGCTTGCCGGGCATAATAACGATATATTATTTAATCCTTAAAACGCACACCCCGCCACCACAAAGTTATTCACAAACCGACGTATACCCTCGTCGTCGTCGTCGTCTTCGTCGTTTAGATTGGTTCGGCCTCGCTCTTAGGGATAATTGCGTTTTGCAGTTGACACCCCTGTATGATGAGCAGATTATTATGGATTTAATATATATACGAACCGCGGCTGTGCCCGTAATGATGGTAATCCGTGGTCTACCGTGTGATGGAGGAAAGTGAAAAGAAATAAAAAAATTGAAAAAAAAAGGTCCAGATAATACCGTTGCGTGGTGTTCGCAAACGATCTATATGCGGCGGAATAGTGTCGACCAGGGACAAAGTAGCTTAAAGCGATCGAAAACCGAATCCGAAGGTCTGCGAAGATGGCCTTCACGCACTAATATATAAATGACTACTATAGATAGCCCTATAAACATCCTAAACATTCATTATAGTGTGAAATGCAGTCGAATTAAACAAAATTACCTACTTTTTTTTATCAATGAGGTCAGTTGTTTAACGTTTAAGGACTAAATTAGTATATTTCGTATCGTTAGCTACAACTAAATTACATTCGAAATTTTGACTTACCCCTCCCTTCTTTATGGACGGTATTTTTATACGCATTTATTAATTGTTAGGTTAGGTTAGGTTACAATATAGGTTATTATTGTATTTCGTGGAATTTTCATAAAATAATACGCAATAACAAAAACTCGTAAGTATATCAACAAATAATAAAGCCTCATAAGTTTACATATTTATATTATTTCGATCCACGCCGAACTCGGCACTCTGTTCTGCTCACTTCTGTTACAGTTTTTTGTTTCTTCTGCAAAATAGGATAAAATCGACTCACGGTTTTACTGGGTAGTCGACAATTCAAATGTATTCCTATTTGTTGACCAACGGTTAGTGTCGATACTACTGAACCTAAATAATTTACCACTATAAACTTTTTTTTTGTGGTGTTTGTTTTTTAATGTTTTACTCATTCTCGTTTTTAATTATTTACGATTACTTTTAATGTTTAGATAATAATGTACAATTACTATTAAAATTTAAATTTGATTAAATTATTAATCAAATAATAAAATAACACCATATAGCCTATTTAGTCGGTTATATATTATTATATGCGGTCGGTTATGTGTTACATGTTCCTTCTTTGGTAATCTCCTCTTTATATTAAGCGATGCGGTTTTGAGCAGTCAGGTTACTAGTTTAGTGAACAAATTGTTTTGAATATATAGTTTACTGAACTATAAATTGTTTAATAATTGAATGCATCTATTAACTATCAACAAAAAATAATTAAAAACTACGTTTACTGTATTCGGTTACTGATTATTTATCCATTAGTAAAATACTTTACGGTAAGTAAAACGTTTTAGCGATATTGTAATCGAGTATCAAACAACGAATAAACTATATACCGAAAACTGTATCGTGAAAACATCTACTTCGGTTGACTTTGTTTCTGATTATTATTAACTGTTCTCGCCTCAGGTAGTAAAATTTATTTTATTTACAAATAAACTGTTTTCATATTTTATATATACAGATTAACTATAGACTAACACAATAAATATTATAATATTAGTTGTGACAAAAAAAAAAAAACAAAAACATAAAATTAATAATAATAAAAACGATCCATTATGGACCTATGCTTAACTAAGAACTATTCAAAATAAAAGACGTCTGTGTGCCCCCAGCGTCTTTCATAAGTCTAATAACTGGGTCAATTTGCAAGAAATTTGATTTTAGTGTGGTATAATTAAAGAAATCCCTGTTATATAGTAATAACTCATCCAATATTGTGCAGGAGTATACAAATGATAATTCTGTTAATTCCGTGTTAACCGATACACTACACGATGCAGAAACTATAGTAATTGCATTATCGATGCCGGGTCAGTCCCCTCCGGCATAATACGAAAAATAAGTGCGAGAATCTTGTGAATCAAACCGAATTCACTACACGTACTGACTATCAGTGGTAAAGTGGAAAAAACTTCGAAGGGGGCCGTATTTACCAAAAATTAATAAGGAGCGAAAAACCTTCGAGAAGGCACTTTTCCCTTCCTGAGATGTAATTGAACACAACAGAACTTTCAGGAAACCTACTATGGATATAAAACATTCAAAATGTTTTTGTCCAACACGTATTTGTTCATACAAATTATATGCTAATAGGGTTTCAAAACAAACATCCCCTTCCTCATAATAAAAAAGAAAATATCCAACTTATATGTCTACCAGATAATATTCCCTTAAATAAAAAGGGAGACTCGCCCCCCCACCACTTTGACCATTGATCACTATAATATATAGTTAGGTTATAAACCCTAACCTAACCTAACCTAACATTATACATATTATTATATGTGGTATGAAGTTGGTTTTGAAATAAAGTCTCAGAAAAAAAAAAAGGAATACTATATGCTATTTAATTTAAGATAAATTTATAAAAAAATGTACAGAAAAGAAAATTACCAAAAATTCTCCACTCTTTAAAAAAGTTATTACAGTAATTCTACATCACAATAATCATCATTATAATACTTATTGATATTAGTGAATTTTTAATCGTCTAAACTCTAAATGAACACCGATAATTATCATAATAATTTGTCGATTCGTTGATTGAATTTTCGGAAATTATAACTATCCAACGGTTATATACAACGATTTTGCAAAAGTTAAAAAAAAATCTGAGGGCTGCACCGCGCGGTTATCGCGACTGAGTTGTTTATTATCGTGTGTGGAACAGATGTCGGGCACTTGGCCAAATAGGGAATCAACCTCAAAACGTCCCGATGTCCGTATCTACAGCAGCGTCCTTGGTATTCGATTCAAATTTCCCTCAATTCGGTTCGTTCGTTAGACTTAAACGAAAATCAATTGAACGGTCACTACTGCGATGAAAACAATTTGTAACTTTATTAGTTAATTTGTAATTTGTAATTTAGTAATTTGGTTTCGCATTTATAGTTCCCGAAAAACATTAAAACGATTACAAAATATATAAGATTAATGGGTGTGTAATATATATATATATATTTATAAGAATAAGGTGACTTTATTTGTTTATAAATTTTAGCACGTCTCGAGTATATTATAATATAATATAATACAAGGTTATTTATCTTTCTATACAGGTATCTTGTATTTCTTTCCTTTTTTTTTTTTTTTAAACCTTTTTACGGTTATTTTTTTTTAAAACTACAGGGACGTAAAATAATCCCATTATTTTCACTAAAATTCCGGGTATGACACCTGAGAACCGTCCCTCGGGAGTCCTTGTTTGTATTATATTATATACACAGGCTAATATTATAATAGCTCGTAGCAAACGGTCGTAAGTATCAAATTCAGTAACCGTATTATAAAAAAAAACCCAGATAAAACTATTAGGTTTTTTTTTTTTTTCTATAAAATTGATATTCGGAATAATTTATTGAGCTTATATATAGCCAATATATTATTATAGTTTTTGGTTATACTGTATACATGACAGAATTATAGTCGAAACCCACGCCAATAACTGTTTGAAAATATTTTATACGTTTATCGATTTTCGATAATACTTATTAGTAATATATTTCGATCTCGGGTATTAACTGTAGAGGTGAATTCCCTAGAATTTTTTTTTTTTTCAGCCGGTCGACGGGTTTGTATTTCAGTCGTCTGTTGTAATGTTGAAGTCTTATTTTTGGCACCTTTCACCATTATTATTAGCAAGAAAATATGTATTATAATTTATAAAAAAAAAAAAAAAAAGTTTTATTAAAAAATGTTTGGTTCGATGTAATTAAATATACGTATAGTGGAAAATGTTGAAAATTATTTTTTTAAGTACGCCATCGTTTTTTCTCCGAAACATGAAATACTGCTGATCGGCACACCACTGAGTATACACTGAGTAATGTATTGTATTGAGGCACTTTTAAAAATAACCTGATTTGCCAAAGTGAAAATGTCCGTACTTAAAGTTTAAAGGCCGACAAAATACGCGTAATATATTTTTTTATGCATACGGTATAGTGCGTTTATCTTTGCGCTCCGTTTAATGGAGTTTATTTCATTAAACGTCTTAATTCAGTGATTTTCTTTTATTCTTTTTTAAGATATTTTGTTTGTATGTTTTTTTAATAAACGACAGAGGGATGATACCACAGTGGTCTCGTGGTTTATAGAAACGACTCGCATTATTATTTAAACTTTGCTCATCGGTCGTCGGCGTGTTTTGTTACACCTGCCGAGCGGGTCATTTCGGTTTTTTTGACGGGTTTTTTTTTGCGTTATTTCTTGGCAAACTCGTCGCCACCGAGTGTATATTATAATACCGCGTATACACTTATGCGAACTCCGCCTGTAGCGAAATTTCAGTCTAAAAATAAGATATGACCGACGGGCGTGCAAAATATTTTACGTTTAGTCGGCTCCCACCCGGGGCTAAAATTAACCGTCATTGAAAAACACGAAAGCGGAAAATTACTGTCATCATCGTAACTGTAATACGCACCTACCTATACATTGTGCGCCGCAGCCTATTTGTATTAAAATTTAAAATTTTCAATATTATATTCACCAGACTGGCGCCAATTGACCTAACCTACTTGTACAGGGATAATACTTCTTCAGACTAATCATATCCGTGCACAATTAATACAAACCGCGTACACGCTTTAAACTATATTAATGTGAAAAATTTCAACTAGCAATTTTATACGGAACAAGTCTGTTCTATTTTTCGGAGCGTTGCGAAAAATTCCCCTACCACACGACACGAATTTCACAAACTTATGTTAATTGAAGAGTGTGAACATACGAGTACTTCACGAAATTTTAATATTTTTATTACAAAAATAGTTTTACACATTTTAAACAACTCAACAAATTAATAACTATACATACACTTGCTAAAAAAGTTATTGGTTTATGTGAACAATATTTGCTAATTTATATGTTTGCTTCGATAGTGTGAACTTGACTTGCTTATTCGTTTCGTCCCATGTAACCAATAAAGTTTAACTCTAAACAACGTTACTGATTTTAGATTCTAAGCACAGAAAGTAATGTATTGGTTTTACTTTTATGACGTGTGGTTTTTATTTAATTAATTTTTTTTTTTTTGTGTGTCTATAAACAAATTTTAATTATAAATCTTACTCTAATTTCAAGTGTAACATTTTTTCTGAAATTAATGTCTTTTTGGTACATTGGGAAGTTTTTTTTATTTTCCTTGTAGTTTTCTTAACAATTGAGAAAAATCGATAAAAAAAAAACCGTAGGAAAAATGGGACAATTTATTGCATAATTATAATTAGATTAAAAATAAGTGTAGAGACCCGAAACTTTTACAAAATACTTATATTAGCTTTTTATAAATATGGTACAATTTTTAAAATATTATGGCTGTTTTTAACTTATTTAGCATTTGACATTTTCGAGTTTTTTAATTTATTATTTAGTTTATATAAATAAAATCGTTTTTGCCTAACAGAAGTGCTTAAAATTTATTATCAAGTTCACTATAAGTTATACTTAGTGGATAAAAAGAAAATTAACGCAATGAAATAGTTTTTTTCTTTTAAGCGTTTTAATTTCAATTTTTGACGATCATTGGAAAAATCACAGCATTTCATTATATGTTAACCGAACCTTGCTTAGAATAATTGTTCATCATAAATAATTTATGTTTTCGTATTGATGTAAATACAATAACAGTATGTATCCTATACTTTCCCAACTTTCCATCTATAATGGTAGTAACACACCTGTCAACAGTATCAGATGTTGTTCTTCTGTTTCTTATCAATTCAATAAGTTATCGTGTGTGTTCAATACTATTCGGTTTTTTTTCGTAATATTTACTTATTGTCTACAGGTATAAAATAATAATATGCACATTATTTAATTATTTATTATAAGAAAGCTTATTCAATGGTTCGTTTATTTGAAAATTCGTTAAAATGCAAAAAAAAAAATACCAAAAATAGATTTGAACAAACGAACAGATTTCACCATTGTCTATACATAGGTATTTAATATTGAACACAGCGTGCGTTTTGTTGCTCAGCGTTATTATTTATACCCTTAATTAAAACTTGACCGTAATTTATGGTGTAGGTGTTATTATTACGAGTATACGATAATATAATAATTTATTATTTGAATTATTTCAAAACTAAAGGCGACGTCTAAAACCTTTTAAAACCGATGCGCGAACGATTCGTTTAGGAAACGATTTTTGGGTATAAAACTAATAAAACGATACCGCAAATAAAAGTATCCATATCCATAAATTATATTGCGCGTTTTGTTAATATTATAATAATATGCCTATGCAGGTATTATAGATACGAAATATTATATTAACCGGTACTCGAATTGGAGGAGAACTCAAGGGGTGGAATTACTATACAATTTGAGATTTGGAGCTTAACGATGAATCTATTGGTTTTATTATGACGTGTGTGTGTTTTATTTTTTTCTATCTGTAAACTTTTTTTCGAAAATTAATTTTAATCCGATGTATCAAGTGTTAACAACCTTTCTAAAAGAAAATTTTATTTAATTAGTGCATTATAAAGATCATTTTTTTGATGTTCCAAAGGGTTTTAAAAATATTCGATAAAACCCGAAAACAAAATTCTTGTTACAACGACATACATTTACGGCGTGCCAGTGACCATAACGATTTCATTGTTTTATATCTTGCAAACTATGTTTTCTACCATAAATAGTATTTTAATGAACAAATGCCAAGACATTTTCTTTTTTTTAATTTTCTCAATAATTTTCATAATAGTTAAAAAAAAAAAACGTTAAAGAAACGAGAAAATTTATAAAAATTCTTTTATTATTTTTAATTTTAATTTTTTTGTTATTATTCAATTTAAAATATTTGTAGAAAATTTAAATTTTTAGAGAAAATATTTATCTTATTTTTCTAGGCGTATTAAAATTGTAAAACCATTTCAGCCATTTTTGAGCTATTGATGGTAATTTTAGTTTTGCGAGTTTTGTACGTAATTTTTATTGGGTAGGTACAATAATCTTTATGGATAAAATTGTTAAACTGAATACAAATTTTTGAAAATCTATCTATATACATAATAACTGTAAACATGAAACGATCATCGGTCTTACAAACTTTTTTACGATTTTACTCAGAAAACAGCAACAGCAGCGTGGTACCTAACTGGTATACGACTTGGTGCCTAACTAACCTACGCGTATACCTGACCGGTAACCGTAACGCCGACTCAAGTACTATAAATGTATAGCGGCACTTGTTAATGGGTGTTGCGGCGGATTTTATGTAAGATACCCCGGACGAAAACTTGGGCGGTTTTATCTATATATATATAGGATCACGCGGTCGAAACTTTATAATAGTAGCAGTTAGTTTCCGCTTTTCTATACGTATACAAATATATATATATAACGCGTCGCGGACCGTTATTGTTATATTATACTCGTGACGGCGATCCCCCGCAGCGAACGTCTTAAAATCTCTTTAAAAGCCCCGAGCGCGCGGCTGTATTATAGTAAAACGCCGGACGACGAAAGGCTATAAACAGCCGCTGTAATAATAAATGTCGGAGGCCGGTAATTTGCTCGATCGGGGAAATATTATGCGCGATGACGTTCTCGGCGACTGTGACTCGCGAAATTTTCCACTGTAATTATGTCTTGGTGTTTTTTTTTTGTTTTACCACCGCCCTGTACTGTATAAGTTAAATATCGGCGGTCCATTAATATTATAATTAATGCGTATATTAACGACGACGCGCCCGCGTGCGTGGAGCTTAATTGACTTTTAAGTCCGACATTATAAAATAATATCTCATCGTTAACGTCAGTATAATACGTATAAAATTATACGAGCTATATACGCGATATCGATGCACAATGTGTTACAATATTATTATTATTGATTATATTTATAAGGACGACGAAAAAAATTGTATTATAATAGTATATAGTGTTTATATTGTTAGATAATATAGAAGTTTATCGATACTATTATATTATATTATAATATAAACAATAACGCGTCTTGGATAAGATTTAATCGATCCCAAATCCGGATTGAAAAAAAAATTAACGAATCCTCGTTAATCTTTTTAATCGGGACTGACGGATTTTATCCGTTTTCCGGATCGGCAGATGAAATCCCTCAATCCTAATATTAAACAAAATTATAATAGAAATATAAATTAGGTATTCTGGATCTAGATGAATCAGATAAAATGTATAGATAGTAATTTAATTTTATAATACGTAAAAATGATGATTTAAACTCACATTATAGGTCGTATTACGTTTTAGATTATAATATTTTGTATGAATTATCAATATTATCAGTCATGTAACGATTTTTTTTTTCATTTTATCAGCATGAAGTTGAATCATAAACAAGGATAATTAATCCGTCAATCTGGAAATAGATAATTCTTGCGATACGGATTGATAATTGTAATCGAAATTGTATGGGTTGGTAGATACTATTTTTTTTAATTCGGATTAATTTGTTTAGTAATCTGACTTATAGATTGAACTGGATTTAGAGTGCAGCACTATTATTTATGTAAAAATATTCTTTACTTATTTTCGTTTTAAAATTATTCGATCGTGAAAATCACACTATCAAAACGGTATTTTACTAACTCGAAAAATGCAAATTTAAGTTATAACATACTTCCTTTTCAAAAAAATGCAGTTCTAGAAGATGCGCTATTGTATTCTACTAAGTTAAATAATTTAAACGAGAAAATGCGATATGTAACGGTTGCTATAAACTCATTCATTAGTGAATGAATTAATCAATTCAAATAATTTGTAATTTAGTCCAATACAACTATTAGTGATACTATAATACTTAGTCCACTACAACACAAATGTATCAACTCCAAAATAAAAACTCAATTAATAAATGTATTTATAAATACATATTAATTTAAAATGTTATGTTATTAGTATACTTTTTGTGTCTTTGAGCAACTTTTCTACCAGAAATCTTGATTTCATCAAAAAATGATGCGAAACCTTTTTAACTAAATTTTGGTTCTAGCTTCTAATAAAATAAGTCATTTTTTTGATTTTCCGAGTAATTTTCATAATAATTAGGAAAACTGAAAAAAGTAGAGTGGTATATTTTTATAAAGATTTTAAGCAGAATAATCATTTTTCGTTAGCAATCGTTGTTTACAGATATAAATAAAATAACTTTATGTATCCTTTTGTCTATCCTTTGTCTTTTACCAAGTGTTTTAAGATTTGTATAAAATCTTTAAACTCATTTCTCCCAATTTACGTTGTGATAGTGCGGAATTTATTTATTTTGATACACTTTATACAAAATACAATATATATTATATATTTATTATAAATACATTTCGAATGAAGATTCGAATATACAATATTCGTTGACGCCCAATTTTAGTTTATTTTTTTTTTAGCAATTTCATTTTCTAGTTTTTACAAAATGGAGAACCGGTTTGATCGTTTTACAATACTATATTATTTATAACATTCACGGTGTAAACGTGTGTCGGTAGTCATTGGTGAACAACCGCCTGCGGGTGTCAAGAGCACCGCCTTTTACCCGTTAAATCACCACACAATGAGCACAGTTCCACTATACAATCTAGTTAACACTTAACACTTAACACTTATTTTTTTTTAAAAAATCTTTTTTCTTCTGAACGATATTTCGACCAGAAGACTCCAAATCGAAAAAAACTCTGCGGAAGATTTCGTATACAACATTTTTGATCTCGACCATTAGTGCATCATTGTAGGAGAGTTAGTTTTTCGAAAATCCTCGAACTTTTCTCATCATAACAGGGAAAAAAATGAAAAAGAAAATGAAAATATTTATAACACCTATTTATTGATATTTTTACTACGCAACTGCATTTTCTAGACGTGATAATAGTTTCGAAAATATTTTGTCTTTGTTTCGATTATTTTTAGCCAATATTTTTTATACATTCAATATATTATAGCTATATAATAAAAACAAAAATTTAAATAAAAAATATACGCTTAAACGATTCTGGTTTATGCCAGAAGATGTTTGAAACTTTTGAAATAAATACAGATAAATAAAATGTACATAATATAATATTTTGATGACGAATTGTATTTACGAAACCTTCGCACATCGCTGCAAACTTTACAATCGGATAAATCGACAGTTGCATCGTCCGAGATAACCGTGGCAACGAAAAGTACGACGGATCGAAGTCGATCGAACACAATATGATGATAATATTTATATCGTAACGCGATATATTATAAAAAATAGAGGTGCACAAAACAAATACCTAAACAAACAAAACATGTTATTGAGCAAATTTCGGGATATAATACGCAACAACCAAAACCGGCATTGTATAATTTTAATGAAAAATCAACAATATTATAGATGGTTACTGCTGTAACAACCACAGACAAATTACTTTTAAATATTCTTAGTAATGATTTTTATTATTTCTTGCAAAAAAACTGGCGGGTTTTACTCGATATCAGTAACAAGAAATACGTATTTTGTTCGTATACAGAAACAAAGCTAAATTTGCCGGTGTTTTCAATTCGAGAACACTTTTCACCAAACATACAGGGACTGCAGTCGCATTGTTTTTTATTTGTTTATTTTTATAGACACGCGTGTGCAAGACGACCACGTGATCGGACAACAGCAGCTGATAGGTCCCACGAGAGAGTACGTTACCGCGTTTTGGACCGTAATTCCACAGTAAACGGACGGAAACGTTTTTGTTATTGAAACAATGATGGTATACCACAACGTTCTTTTCATTTCCCCATTTAAATGTCTCTACAAACACTTTCATCTACAACAATTATATTATTAAAACTATACGTCAACTACAAAAACACAGTACTTGCACCTATGCATACCTGCTACCTACCGATAAATCCGTAGACGCTCGTCAAAACTTAACGTGACTTTTAATCGTATTATAACAATATTTTATGTACGGGATCACAATTTTAATTGGAATACATAGAGAATTTCGGTCCAATTTTATAAATAATACGTTTCCCCGGTCGTACGTGCCATCTATATAATAACAACCGACTACCTATATACGACGGCAACGTGAAGATAAAACTTTACCGATAAACGTATATAAATTATACCAGTAAGTTGTGTTAGCCGAGGAGTTTGAGAGCGAATGTTGTCTGTAAGTATAAAAACACAGCAGTCAAGGTGTACGAGCAACGTACTTATACTATTAAGAAACGAAAAATAAATTCGACGGAACTGCAAAAAGTACGTGAGCGGTTCCCGAGGGATGCGTCTATTTTATTTATAAATATATATATATAAAGTATGGCGCGTATTTTTACGATCCTGCCCCGTTGAACTAAAATAACATCATATTGTAAATAATATTTCTACGATGCCGGCAATAAACATGTCAGAACAGAGATTTCTCAATTTACAATCGCGTACCTATAGATAGCTTGTAAGTATATATTTAAACTCTGTGACGACACAGAATGGCTATTTTTTCGTTTGTTGTTATAGCATTCCTATCTATATCGTTGTTTTCACGACAGAATCCAGCGAGAATCGAGTGGCCGTCACTATTTATCTTTTTAAATAGAAACTTTCTGCAAACCCGCAGGTAGTGCGCGAGACGATTAAATCCGGCATAAAAATACAGCAATACATTCTCTACGAAAGTGCAAATACATAGCGAAAATACGTTTATTGATTAACCGGATTATTATTCAGTGCTTCGCGGCTGATTGAAAACTTTAGACAAACCATCATGTTGATGAGAATATTAATATCGTTCGGTACTTTAAGACGTTTTTGATTTCCATGCCTTTGTACAGTTTTCGCGATGATGAGGACCAATAGACAACAGGTTGGGATTATAAGGCTGTCATCGAGACTCTTCCGGCAAATATTCGGAACACCATCGCACATTTGCATCGTGTCCATCTCGGGGTTTTCGACCACGGGCGTTTCCCGGCCGGGAATATAACTTTGCTCCGTGTATTTTTGTATTTTGTCGAGGCTTTTAGCCCGCCGTGGTTACAACATAGTGTTTTTCCCTGCAAAACAAACAGGCACGAACAACAGGTGAGGATTATACGGCTGTCGTCGACCGCACTGCCACCGCACCGGTGGAATGCACTGCGGAGTCTTTTACCAAGACACGTTATTCGTGGGTTCAACGCATAGTTGTACCGATTCAATTATTAGAGGTGCGTGTTACACAAGAGAATACGGGGAAGCGTACTTATGTACCCTAACTTGAAACGAGTCACAGAAGAAAATTGAATCTTCTGATTAGTTGTATATAGCGTTATTCATTTTATTACTTTATCATACAACTCTACATATGTTCTGATGATGTTAATTAATGTTGTTGGGTTTAAATCCAGCGATTATAGACGAAATCTTTGTCATGTTTCCTCCCTACTCTATCTAAACCTGTTGCAGTTTTTCAGCGGTTAGGTTTTAGAATTAAACTTAGGACCTTATACAAATTCCTTGGAGCATTATCGGATTTATATCGACAGTGAAAAACACGTTAATAGAATTTGACATGTTCATTTTAATTTTGACCGTTGAAATCGTTAAATTTATATTGTACATAAATTTGTGATGAGCAATTAAAAAGCCAATCGGAGGATTTTATTTGTGCCTATGGCTTTATTCAATTATAAAGAAAATTAATACACGACCGGGAAATATGGAAAGGAATAAGGTGAGAGACACGGGCAGAAACCCTGGATGGACTATTAGTTCTCTTACAAACCGACTACGTCTCACACGCGCGCTCACGTCGTTGTCGATTCGTAATGTACAATAAATTATTATTATTATTGTATATAGAGTATTATCGATTAAATGGACTTAAATGCCTTAGACGACGCCGCCACTGTGATAAATCTCACCGTTGTACCTATTTCGGCCTCTGTACATTATGTTTCAACTAATTTATCAAACGTAAGACTTTCTTTATCTCGGAAAGTATATCTTTGAAATTTGGTTTCTAGAACATTTAAGAAACATACAGCTCAAGCCTCAAGTAAGTGAAATTTATTCCACTCTATGTATATGTGTTACAAATGCAAATATGTACCTAACGAGCGTGCAAGACTATTTATAAATATTTTTTAAAATTACCAACCTACTTCCCCTCTAGAGATAGAGTAAATATAGTTTTAATGATTCACAGTACCGCCAAAAATTTGAGGTGAGTGGGTGTTAGGTCATTCATATGTCTGCAAAATTCGAATTATTTAATTCTGTAGATAAGCTTTTATTCTTAAATTATCAGAAATATGTAACAATGTATTAATACTATAATAAGTTGATTCTGATCATAGATACTAAACAATATAATACGGTTGTATGTATACTTGATTAGGTATTGGTTTTTTTTTTTTTTTTTACGAAAAATTTTATTGGTTATATTATATTCGAGGTATGGGGTGTAATGAAGGTTGGTATTATTTTATACTACTTGAACCATCACCAAATAAAATATCTCAAGCCGCTTCCCTCCTCTCTCCTTTCATGTATTTTTTTAGGATTGAGAAATTGTTTTATAGTGAAACGTCGTTCTTCACCACGTTACTGCAGTGGTTGTGAATTTATTACACTTAAAAATACCCAAGAATGCGCTTTTAAACTACCTATTTTTTTTAGTATACCAAACACGGCACAACGACATGTCGGATTTCGTAAGACGTTACTATAGGTATATACTATTGTCTTCACAGACAATATTATTTATATTATGCCGCGTTGTCCACTAGTATTATTATTATTTCACGGCGTCGTCGTTGGTATTTTAAAATAATATTCCGAGACACTCCGAAACAACAATGCGGCTTATATTTTAAATTACTATGTAATTCGGCCTCGCAGACGTTTATATTTCAACTGTCGGTTTAAAAAGCAAAAAAAAAAAAAAACGTTTTATTTCACGTTCATTTATTACAATCCCCTGCGCCGTGAACTTAAACGTATAATAATCGTATATGAAGTTGCGTGGTTCCTCAATGGGCTCGTATAATATCATATTATTATTATTATTATTATTATTATTATGATTATGATTATTAATACAAACAACTTTTTCCTTTTGACTACTTGTATAACAATAAAATTCGATTTCAGTCTTGTTAAAATAATAGTTCGGTATGACGCCGACTTACTCAATGAATTGTTTCCGTTGCTTTTCGATTTGATTAGTTAAATGTCATACTCGAATGCATACCTACGATGATACGCAATGTTATGATGGAATATTATTACATAATATACAGGGAGTCCTACAGATATTTAACAAATACAATAAATCGTTTTTCGATTTGTTTACGTTTTTCTCTTTTGCAATAAATACTAGATCCTTGTGCTATGATTCCACTTTTTTATATATCTTTTAAACTAAAAACAAACAATTTAAAGGTTGGTATTAAAAATATTTACTTAATTATAAGTTTCAAATTTAAAAATTAAAATTCTTAAAGTTTACCTAAATCATCAGTAAATTTATTTTTGTTATATTTGTAATTATTCTTTACGACTGATAGTTTTTAGTGGTAACAATGAAAAAAAATATAGAGACTAACGAGTCACCATTAGTATACATTTCTAACACCAATATTTATATTAAATAACATTTATAAACATTTATATTTATATTTTGTTTGAAAATAAATGTATGAAAAAAACTATGTTGGGTTTTGTAAACAAATGTCTAAAATGTAATTTTTTATTTTTAGTTAATAGTTTTAAAAAATACATAAAATTAGAAATTATAGCGCAAGGCTGTAGTAATTATTACAAGAAAAAAATTTTAAAATCTTGATTAGAAACAATCAAGATTTCTGGAAAATACTCTGTATACGTGTAAAGTTGACTAAATAAAATTAAATATTATTTTAAAAAACCCCGATGAATCAGAGCTCTGTCATTTGAGTAGAATTCCCTTTCCCTATTTTGTATATCTAATAGAATAAATAGGTAACTAAATAGATATAATAAAACCCCTAAGACACATCGTCACTAACGTCATGCGTATACAAAATGACATCTCTTGACTTCATTTGGAGAATCTATAGGAGTGTACCCTACACTCGCAACAATAGGTACATGGCAAAATTCATATTCCCGATACTCCACGTCATTAAGTTCTATTAGTATATGGCCTCTTCGATCAAAGCCGCTATCTCATGTTTACAAATTAAATTTGTGTATCCGTTACCTTCTGTATCACGCTTGTTTATTATGAAAAAAAAAAAAACCAAAACTTCACAGATTATACTCATACATTATAATTCTAATAAAAATGCAGAAAAAAAATTATATTCAATTCAACCCAACTTTTAACACTTCAATCCACCGACAAAACAACGCAAATTCCCGAATTCGAACTCGTTTGATCCCGAGATAACCACTATAAATATTCAAACGTAGCCAAAAAAGATATACTAGTATAATATAATGCATATAATGCCGTACAATAATCTCTATTTTCTGCCAAAAATAATCTGACATAAATTCGACAAAAAATAAATAATAAATTAAGCGTTTGTTGAAAATATAGTAAACAATATTTTGTTTCGGTTTTATTAATTTCGCTTAAAGCTATTTAATTAAATGTTTAATAAAAAAAAAGTTTTTTTTTTTGTACATAAACGGTTCTTTGAAAAGGAAAAAAACGATAATGACTGAAGTATATAATAGTACACTGTGATGGTAACCGACGATATTATTAATTATAATTAAAGTAATGAACAGTTAAACTTTTAGCACTTTTGGCAATACTATATATATTTTAGACTTAGTATGGTTATAAAGTTAAGAATTTAAAATTTAAAAGAAGTGAAATTAATTTGCATATTGAGGTATTTTAGTTAAAACTTTTCTAATGTTGCCTACCATGGGCCTAATTCTTAATATTGTCACAACTCCTAAAATGCGATTTTGAGATTATTGCATTGAATGATTAGAAAAAATTGAATGCAACTTTTAAGACTATTCCTATTTTATCAGATAGTTATTTTTTCATAAAATTATCTGAAGATAATGAATGATTACCATGAAGTATAATAAACCAATTTTTATTTCTCCTAAAAAGTAGTCAATATAAAGTTACGACAATTGTGATTTAGGCCGATGATATTTATTTATTTATTTATCGAACAAAAACTAGCTATATACTGTTGTTTTTGTTATTGTTGTTATTGTTGTGTCTGGATTAGTGCATGTGATTACACATTGTAGACGAGATTTACCGGTTCAATTGTGACAATGGATGTAAAACGTACGGAAAAAAATTATTTATTTTATTTCTTTGGTTTTTCGCTAAAAAAGTTATGATATAAAATGAACGAAGGAGTAGAGAAACCGAGTGCTGCACTTTGATGAAGAACAAACACAGCTGTAACCCCTGCAGCTGTATGATAATCGTTGAATAATTAAGTCGACGTAGGATGATGGTCGAAAAATTAAGAAATACTTAGCTCTAAAAGGTCCCTCCTTAATTAAGGAGGAGCTTTTTTGAAATTTAATTTTTTTCTAGTGCCTATGCCATATTATAATCTTTATTATTATTAATAAAATAAATATTATACGAGTAAATTAAAAGACAAAAATATGACAAATTTAAAAATTTAAAATTTTTAAAATGCATTTGCATTATTTTATAATATCTATTCCGTATAATATTTAGGCTGTACGCGTATATTCTACAACTTTTAAAAGAAATACTATAAACCCATATCCTTTCTGCGGAGTCAAAGAAGAATACACTCGAATAGATGTTTTTATACCGTTTTTTGGGGCTTTTAACAAAGCGTAGTATGTTTTATATTTTTGTTTATTTAAGTTACCGTTTTGAGAACCCGTGGTGAAGTTATTCGGATCAAATTAAAAAATAATATTTCTCTCTGCAGTCTACCATATAAAACGAATTTTTATTTTTAAGAAAATTGTTTAAATATATTTGTATATTAAACATTTTTTTGGCATTTTGAAATTAGATAATACATTGAAGAGGCCAAATTTTGTATACCGTGCCCTTTTCGTAATAATGGGAAATACTAATACTCATATTAAAAAATTAAACACTAATACAATAATTAGATTAATAAATGGGATGCGCTCAGGGGAAAAAATTAGAACCGATATTAAGTTAGAGAAAGATGTGCTATCTGAGTGCTGTTATGGAAGAAATGATTCGATATTTTGATTTAATCATAATTTATAGTAAAACCAATAAATTTCTCGCTACACTCACAATAATAATAATTTTTATTTTACGGAAATAATATTCTAATTAATAGATATGTAAATTGTTTACATATCACATTCATAATTATAGGTACTATACTGAGCAACAAATTACAAATTTTCAACAACACATTACTTATTATATAATAGCGTATAAATTATTTAATTATTCTTAAAATTTGAACACGAAATTCTGTTAAAGTTTTATTAAAATAACGGATATACTCGTACTTTGCATGATAGGTAAACCACTATGTAAATAAGAAGCTGGAAAGATAGAGAGGAAACTTAATGTAAATCTGTACACAAAAATTAATCAATTCTAACGAAAAACGATTCTGAGCAGGGTACGGTTACACATGTTTTAAAAAGCCGTAATATTTACAATTTGAAAATAATAAATTTCGTTAATTGTCACGTATTCCCTACATTTTTTTCCGGTTTTTCCAAATTATTATAAAAATCGATTGGAAAATCAAAAAATAACTATGTACCACCCAAATCGAATTTTCTTTCATGAAGGGTACTACGGTTGGAAATTGAAACACAATTTCTGGTAGCAAAGTTGTCAACACAAACAAATAATAATAATAAACATCATTGTAAAACCAATACATTCTAGAATTTTTCGCTTCGCTCAGAATCTAAAATTAAATGTTATTTATAATAATTAACAATCACCATCAGTACCTATATTTGATGGTGAATATAAAAATTCCTACCATTACACGATAGGTTATAATATACTTGGGCTCTCCTTCGGTTTTTGGCACTATAAGTAGTAGTGCGATTATATAAAATAATAAATGCATTTATTTATAAATGTAAAATTAAATTAAATATAAAAATTAAAATTAAATATAAATTTATAAAATATTTCCCCTTAGAAACAATATGTGTACGGTAAAACGATAAATACTATAGGAAGAATGCTTAATATATATCCCGTGATAAAATGTTCAACAAATGTGTGGCTCAAACGTTTGTTTTATATATTCCTAAACGAAAATTGTGAATATAGGTGAAACTGTCAGTACGGTACCAAACAATGGTAAAAATTAAAAATACCTGAAAACAAAGATATATTTTCGGTAAATATTTTTGAACCACTCTGCTTCAGTTTCAGACTGTAGCTAGAACAGCCATATTTAACGAATTCGTTAGAATTACAATTCAATGGCATTTGTCGATTTCCAACAGTATAGCTATAGGTATAGGTATAAGTACATAGCTATAGGTACAAAGAAAATGAAGCGATTTCAGAAACTCGCGACACCGTCAACATTGTAAATGTAACGTCCCTGAGGAAGAAACAATTTATTTTGTTTTCGGTTTTTTCGCGAGAAACTGTTTCAAAAAATACCAACACCTCAGTCGTCGTTTTGACCGACGCGAACTTCACTAACTTTACACGCGTGCCAACAAGTTGACCTCGGAGCTTTTTTAACAAACACGATGTGCCGTCCGGTATCCGACATACCAGTGCAACGGCTCCCGTCGTATATATCCGCTCTAGACCTTTTTGTTTAATGGAAGAACAAAAAAAAAAATAAATAAATAAAAAAAGTAATAAATCTATTGACGGAAAGCTCCCGCGGTGTTTGAACGCAATGAAGGAGAACCCGGCTGTGGCCCGGTGGTACGTTCATACTGTATAGTTATTTACGATTCCCCGTACGTTTTCGAATGCACAAACCGAGAGGGAAAAAACATTATATTTCGTGGATGTTTTACAAAAACAAAAACCCGAACGAAATGGAAAACTTTCCTAATAGAAAAGTAAAAGTATATATATATATATACATGATCGATACGTCTACCTTTATACTATAAACATAATACGGTTAAATTAATTGTGTTAGACATGAAAATACATAAATATAATATATTTAAAAAAAAAAAACAGCAAGTGTTCAAATGAAATATATAAATATAATATATATTACAAATTTAGTTGTATTATAAGGAAATTTGTATGGTTAAGTAACCAAGTACAAGTATACTTGCTTGTTATTTCATTAAATATGTTATTTTTAATGTACATGTATAATAATTTAAACTATCGTATCGTACATTTTAGATTTACTATATAATATTATACTATACTTACCATGCAGTTCGTATATTATTAGATCCATATGTGACAGAAATAATAATATTCGTATTATTTGAGAATGTTGAGATACCCATTTATAAAATATTTATGAAGTTTTTTTTGTTTAAGTTTTTGCAACTTTATAAAATTTGAATTCAAAAGGGAAAAAATATTGTAAAAAGTTTCTTTATAACAAAGAATCTTTGACTATATAATAATATCCTTTCATATGTAAAAAACACATTAAAAATATTGATTTTCCCGACAGCGAGATGCGTGCAAAAGGCGTGCAGATATTTTACATATACGAGTATACGGTTTTACTGTACATTAAAGGTCAATCTAATTATGTATACATCAAACATTTTATAAAAAAAAAAATCGTAAAGTCCCTAGTGGGAATCACGGACGTTATAGATGCGTCCCCCACTTGAAAAAAAAAGGTACGCGCCTTTAGTGCATTCGGTATTGGTTGTCTATCACAGAAATCTAGGGTTTTCTCCGATTCCTCTGCGTCTCGTAAGTATAAAGTACATTATAGGGATCAAAATCAACAACATTAACGATATAGTATGTGCTATTTGTTTTTACGAACGTGCAAATGTTATAAATTTAGAAAATGTATGAAAGTATTATAAGAAAAAAAAGAAACTCGAGAAATGAAATCCTTAGTCCCAGGGAAAAAAGTCATTTCTTGCCATTTTCTTTTGATAATTTTTCTTAAGTATATGAAAATTTAATCCCTTAATTTATTGGTCTAAATAAGATAAGTTTAGTATTAAAATTAATGCATGTAGTGTATTAGTATATGTATTTATAATTATAATTATATGTATAATATTACATAATTTACTTGTATTGAAAACAATACACAATTGACTTAAGCAACTCTTTTCTAAAACCAAAGAACTAATACACAATACGATATAGGTAATATAAGCACCAGTATAATATATAGATCGATATAGTATAATAACGACCGGGACGGGTGTTTAAAAGGAGAATGAAAACGGTGTGATTTATAAAACATAACTCGATTAATAATATAAACCTTCGTCAGTATAATGCGTTTATAACCTATTAGACCAACAGTTTTTTTTTTTTTTTACTATCTATATTCTTTACGTGTATAAAATACCGTATAATAACACGATATACCTCACCTATATGATATAGGTATATAAACTATAGTCGTAAACATTTTTACTAAAAACCGACAGAACAATATAATTTGTATGGCAAATCTCGAAAACTGCAATAATCAAGAATAATACACATATGAACATTTTAATAATTTAAACTATGTGTGTACCTATTTAAATAAGTATTTTAATCTTCAAATGTAAATATAATATTATATTTGAGCTAAGTTACAAAGAAAAACTTGATTTATTTAATAAAACTGGCCTTATAGAGCCGGCTTTTAAATTCCCGTTTTTAGAAGAAGGTTTATTCGTGATATTATTATTTACTGTTTCCCTTCTCCCGTTAAAAATTTCGTGAAGCAAGCCCGAAAATGTCATCATATATATTCGATGTTATTATAACCACAGTCAATCGCAGACCGTAGTAATAATCACACCGTGGTATAACATAATGCCTATCTATTAAAATTACAGTAAATAATGATAAATAATAACAAAAATACGGGTTACAGACAATATAGCTATAGTAAATATATAAACACACGCCACAACAACCACCGCCGCCGTCATTAACGGCAATAATAAATTTCAAAAGCGAATGAACGTCACGAACTATAAATTTAGAGGGAGGAGCGGCACACAAATCCCAAAAGCTTTTTTATATTTTCGATAATTTATCTCTTCTTTTTTTTGGTTATAATTCACCTCCTCCCTCCGTGTTTTTCTCGTCGAGCTCATCGGACCGAGTTATGACAGTGAACTCCCCAAAGTCCCCAATATTACGATGACAATGTCCTGCGACAATAATTTTATGGTTAATTTTTATTTCTGTTTTTTTATTATTGTTATTATGATATCATACATTATTAATTGGCAAATGACTGATATTTACATAACGATTTTTCAAGTTGCAGGTTATATTACACCACGGTCGGTTGTGCGACAAGTGCAGCCGGTACCCTGATAATGGCAGATTTTCATCAGTGTCCCTTGCTTCCTCTTCTCCACGAATACACTGACACTCGAAATTCTGCGGGATTTCGTCGTCTAAAAAATTAAATAGTTTGACCAATATCGGGAGAGTCTCATAATAAATATAGTCCACGATAGTTGTATAAACCATTTTAACCCAAGGACAAAACAATTGTATACATATTATACGGATAATATCTCGCGTAATCAAAATCGTAACGTTTAATTAGTATAATTATTTTAAAATTCATATCGTCAACCTCCCAACATAGGGAGGGGAACAAATGTTAATTAAATCTTGTTACCACCGGTCACAAATGGTAATTGAACAAAACGAAAAGCGTGACAAAACATAGTAAAAATTTAAATATAAATGCTCAGAACTAGCAATGAAAAATCAAAATATCGACAATAAATTGCATAAAAGGTTCATCTATGAAAAATTATTCAAAAAAATAAACTTGACGCTATATTTAAATATTTTACTGTACCTTCTTATCTACCTAATCTTTTTCTATTGGTATTATTTTATTTTGAACAATCACGGACTAACGGGAAACGGCCTCGTGGGTTATTATCATTTTTCAATAATGGTTTTTTATCGTGACCAACCATAGTTAAAACTATATATCTAATAATATACACAGCATTGTATTATTTTTGTGAAAACATTTATTATTTATTAATATAACATAAATTTTTATATTTGATATTCTAAGTCTTCTATATCGGTTTTATTATTTATCGGATAATGATATTTTATGTTTCCCATATATAATATGGGTCACCATAAAAAACGTTTTCGTTTTGACAACTTGAGTTTTAGAGGAAAAAAATATAGATACTAACACAATCTAAGGTATTGTCTCATGATTACAATGCTGTAAAAAAGTATATCTTAAAATATCAAGATAAATATAAAATATCATCACTAAAATAATTACTAATTCAATCGAAATAAAAGACACATAAGGGTGTGATTATCTTATTAAAAATAAATAATTAGCAACTTTTTATTTAGATAAAAAAAAAAGGCATTTTGTTTATTACCTAGCCGAATCATAAAAATAAGTACTGAAGGTAATACAAGCGTACCAACTATAGTACACATCTAAATATTAAAACGATTTTGTGTTTTAAATAAATTGGTAATCAAACAATTAAACCATGTTAATATAAAGTAAATATTTTATCTCTAATTTCTAATAAATACAAACAATTCAATTATTCATCTGAAATATTACCTGCTCATTTATCTAGAAAATACATAATATAAAAAATAAAAACAAACGGGACATACTTAGCACTATGGATGAGCCACTGATGTAGGTGAATATTTGGAAAGATAGAAGGTAAATTAAATGTATATCCATGCAATAATTATTCATTGCTCATGAAAAACGATTCTGAGCGAAGTTCGGTATTACATGATTAGAAATTCCGTAATATTTACGATTTAAGAATAATACATTTCTTAAATTTCCCTACGTTTTTCCCATTTATTATGAAAATCCCTGGGAAAATCAAATAAAAGATCCTAATCAAATTTTTTATTTTTTCAAAAAAACTGCTATACTCGAAAGTTGAAGCAAAATATTTCTGCCGAAAAAGTTGTTCATAGGAAAAAAAAGAAAAACACCATTGTAAAACTAATATATTCCTCGCTCTGCTTAGAATCTAAAATATTCTTATACTTACAAATGCTGCTCGGGAAGTGCCTAAGTAAAAATATTTTTGGTCCAAACTTTAATAAATATAATCGTCCATCAACGATAGGTACAAAAGTTTTATGTAATAGCCATTTTTTTTTTTTTATAAAGTAATGTATGTACTTTTCTATGATTATTTTATTATCATGGAAAATTATAAATTTCGAAAAATTCGTAATGAAGTTATAGAAACTAACCTCGGTTCAAAAACGCAATATATAATAATGTGTTGTATATAGAAAAAAAGAATATATGCTCTAATCTCCCACGACCCCATAATCCCTATATAATATATATAAAGTGAAACTTTTTGAAATGAAATTCAAAACAAAATAAAAACTTCCCAACTAGTTGAATTATTATATATAAGTGTATTTTTCATTTATATTATAAGTATATCGAGGTATATATTGGTTTTATTATGATGTGTACCTATTTATATATTTTTTTTTCTGTATATATACAACTTTTCTACTAGAAATGTTATTCCAATCGAAAAATGACATGACAACCCTTTTGGTAGCATTTTGGTTTGTAGTTGTGCATTGAAGAAATATTTACTTTTAATTTTCTAAGCAGATTTCATATAATTGAGATAAAACGTGAAAAACCGGGGAATATTTATGGTATTTACAGTTATTTTCGTTTTTTTTTTTCTTAAAAAGCGATTACAAATTAAGGTATATTAAAGACATAGTTGACCGAAATACTAAAAAAAGCCTTTATACATTCAGAATCTAAAAAATTAAACGCGCCGATTTATGATAAAATATTATCGTCAACAAAGAACACCTGAAATTAGACGTTCATTAAAATGTATGATGTTACCTAAAAATAATATTTTAACCCATTTTTTCTCTGATAAATTAATTTTCCAAACTCATTACACAATATTTCGATGGTTCTATCATCAGTAAATCGGTTATCTCAAAATTGAGATTATATGTTTATAATATTTAATATTATAGGTTATCGATATTTTGTGTCCCGTCGTTAAAAGATAAAAAGTTCAAAAACTACATCTATATTCACCTATATTTATAGATTTACTATTAATGTTCTAATTGATTATTATTATTGTGCTCATGAAGTCTACGATTAATGGACATTTTGAAAACGTTATAAACAGACATACTTGATTTACCAACGGTGTGTAATCATACATTACATTATCATAATTTGTATAAACAAAGAATACTGTTTGTTTGTTTATTTATTATAGATTCTGAGTGAAGTGAATAATACGCTTATAGTTTTACAAATATGTTTATTTTTTTTATTATTTTTTTTTATCGGTGCTTTTTTACCAAAAGACTTCCTCAGCTTTCTACGTGTAGCACTTTTTCTGAAATAAAATCGGCATGGAAAGATACTTTAAAGAGGTCATTTTTTTGATTTTCTCAAGAGTTTTCCCATCTGATGCGAAAAACCGGGATAAAACATGGGAAAACCGAGAAAAACTTAAGAAAAACAAAAAAACTCGGTATAACAAACAAATATTATTAAAGAAAATACATAATGCCTATTTAATTATTTACCATAATATGATATATATATATTATGTTACATATATATATATATATATTGTTGACAAAGCATTACTATCAACTGAACTCTACTCAAAATCGTTTTTTCGTAAGCAATGTTTTAGCGTTGCTTACAGATTTACATTAAATTATCTATAACAGTGGCTGCACCCATCCCCATTATCCTAGGACGTTTTTTTTTTTTTTTTTTAAATATTTTGCATAATAAAATAAAAAGTAAAAACAAAATTATTAAATAGTTAATATATTTAAATATTATAATTCGTTACTGTTAATGTTGAAAATCTGTTAATGTCAAATTTCCATTCGGTAATTCCGATTTTGCGTTTAATCCAATTTATATTATCAAACAAAAAGGTGATAATATTATCTGTGTTATAATTTGCGTTTTAAAATATTAAAATTTAAAAATGGTTTGTCTCACAAATTATTAAATCAAATATCGACATGATATCAAACCGATTTACTCAAATATTAAAATTAACAGTATAAAATCGAATTTACTGGACGAAAATTTGACATTATTGTATACGCGATTATGATTATACCTACCCTACAATTTTAGTGTAATAGCAGACTGAAACACTATATTAGGATAATATTTTAGTTGAAAAGTTTTTATTAAAATGTTTGAACTAATTATGTCCCCCCTTCTCCCATAGATATAAAAGCAGCATTTTTCGTAACGACAAAACTTTTCGAACAATTTATTCACGTTCGTTTAAGTTTTCTCGAGATTTTTAAAATGATTTTTACATATTTGTTTTTATTATAATGCGTTTACCGCATATTTTTCTCGCGTTTTTTTTTATTATTATTATTTTGCCGTAATGAGAATTTAACGCGTTTGTATCTATATATTTTTCATATTGAATAATTTTTGTAATTTAATATTTATAAATTTGGCGTATATAATATACTCTTATACTTATGATCTCTCTTACTTCATTGTTTTTGATAACTTTCGAGTTTTCTATAAATATTATTGTTTAAGTTTCAAAAAGCAATAAGCGAAAAATATGCGTTACTCAAATGAAAATAAATAAAACTACAATAATAATAATAATATATTATGGTTCTATAGTTTTATGGCGACGTCGGCGTTCATAATAATGACGAGTTTCACCGTGCAAATAAAACAAAACGGAAACAATTTAATAAATTAATTCAAATGAGTTTCGAGTGGTGAAACAGTTTTTTGTTTATATTCAACCCGTTCTACAGAGTGATCGATATAACTCATGCAACACTCTTTACCTCGGGAAGTGTTAGCTTTTTCCAAAACTTTTAGAAAATTTAAAAAACGAGTCGAAACTACGTCACCACGCAAATGACGCTCCATTGTACTTTCCCCTTGATCACGAATGCGACAAATTTAAAAGTGGAATATATTTCCAACCAAAATGAAATATTTCAACAGAAAATAACTGTATTTAAATTAAAACTGAATTAATGCAATTTGTAATATACTTAAATCATTATAATTGAAAATCGAACGTAGATAGTGATTTCATCTTCGAAAAAGTAAGGGTTAGATATAATATTTAATATAAAATAACGGTAGTGTAACATTTTATAATTAAATTATCTAAAATAAAAACAAAAAAAAACAAATTTTGAAAAATGTTATTACTTTCAAAAATAAAAAGTGTTTCACATTATGTTAATCGCTCTGTATTATAGCGACATAAGACGTTATGATTTAATTTAATCTCAATTGCTAAATTCCAGCGAGTGTGTCAGTGCAGGGTCATTATATTTGGCATTTTGTTGATGGTTTTTTGTTTTTTTACCATTTTCCCATTGTTTCGTTTTGTTTTTTTTTCCATCCATTAGAATAATCAGTTAATAGAAATCATTATTATAACGTGAATGGTGGTTAAGAGGAAAATTACAATAAAAAAAATTTTTAAAAGCCTTTTTCTTACAAAGTTTAATACAACGTTCGCTTCATTTTTATTGAAGTGTAAATCAATATAACCGCTTCCACCTGTTCTTCCTGCCTTACAGGCAGTGTAAAAATAGGTCAGAAAACTTCAGAAAATAGAGATTATTCTGGTTTCTATGGTTTATTTAAAATGTTAATTTTACTAAGATCGTATAAAGCTTTACGGTTTTCAAAATTATTTCATATTAACGAGCGCAAATAAAATTGCAAATATTTCACAAATATTTTGTTCAACGTCATGACCGTTACGATAAATATTGTATGGTGTACAACAGTTCGATATTTTAGATTCTGAGCGGAACGAGGAAATGTACTGGTTTCACTATGATGTATGCGATTTGTTTTTGTTTCTGTAAACCGAAAATCTGGCTTCAATCCGACAAAAGATGAAAAGATCTTTTTTGATGCATTTTTTGAACTAATTTGGTTCGAGGAAGTAATCTTTAGATTTTCCAAGCGACTTTCAAAATAATTTGGAAACCTACGTTTGTTATTGGTGACACTGCTGACACATAATAAATTCCTGTATTTCTATGTAAATCGACTAAATTTATCGAACTTATCACAATTGACTGAGTCTCGGTTAGAATATAGAAACATGCCCATAAAAATATTGTTCTGAGTCGGAATATAAAATTTACGGGTGTACAAATTGTTAATTGAATGGTAAAAATTTCCTATTGTGGGAATAAGTACAAAATTTATTACATCGGTCAGATTTAGGTGCATGTGTTTTTAATTTACAACAAACCTATATGTTTTAAATATTATATTTTTTAAATGACGTATTATTTTTTATCATAATTATTTAAAAACAAAATAACAATTGAAAAACATAAAAAAATAAGTTACTTCTTTATCTAAAAGTAATGTAGGGCAACTGTTTATTTGCATTTATATTTTCAGAATGAATATAGGAACTATGTAAACATCATCACTCTTCCGAACGCGTTAGTGATTTTAATTTAATTTGTTGACGTTTAATAAAAAATGTTTAGAACACTTCGCAATGGTTTGTCGGAATAAATATTATTCTATCGATTTTTAAAACGTTTCGTGAATCTGTTTATGTACAGTCGTCACAAATAATATTATAATAAGTACAATTATTATTATTCAACTGTAGTCGCTTTACAGAAAAATGTATGAGCATTACATTGTAACGAATCTAGTGTATTTTACTCGCGAAAACAAATACCTATAATAATATTGAAATGATTATTACTGTTGTACGTTTATTGTCGTGAAAACGATATTTTAACAAATAGCTCGTGTATACATTCTTTTCGGGCCGCGTGTTCAAATCTCCAAATACAATAAACCGATCGACGACTGTTTAATACCCCTGCTATCCCCTTCTCGTTTATCCTCCCCCCTCCCCACCGTATATATCGATCCGTTTGTTAAACTACACGGTTTTATTATTACGTCACGGAATAATGACAATTTTATAAAACAAACAGTAAAGTGTTATAAAATGTGCTCTATAGGTTTATACTATTAATAAAAAAATCGTATTAATTTTTTTCTGTTTCCAGGTGACATTAAAGATGAACCGTACACCAATACGTCCGAAAAGAACAGGGACTCTGGATATGAAACGAATTTATACCTGTATTCGGTAAGTACCTATATTTAAATAATGAAAATATTATACTTATAACATCGTCGTGGACAAAAGGATAACTCGTAAGTATCTCTAGAGAATTGTTATTTTTCGGGAGAAGCAAAAAACAAATTACAAAATTAAATCTTGGTAATAGTTTATCAATAGTTTATTAAAATATTTTATTTTTATATTGTTTGATTACACAAAGTGATAAAAGGGCTAAAATTTGCATACAATAAAAAATTATATAATAATAATACAATAATAAATATACCAAAAACAGTGTATTATTTATTAATTATTATTATTAAACTAACACTTAGAAGACGAAAAAATTTCTTAAAATTATTTCTCTAAACAGTTAAATATGTCAAAAATATGTGGTAGAATTCTTAAAATATAGAACATATTCTTAAAACGCTATTCAAATATTGTATTTATATTTTTAAATTTTCTAATTTAAACGATCTTATTTGACCTCAATACGTTTTTATATCTACTGAAACTACGTCCAATATCACATGAAGCAATTTTTGCGTATTTAAATTTTGTAATTTCCCCAGGAGTTAAATTTTAGTTTGAAGGTATTATATAATTTCCATGAGAGGATATCTTAAGTTGGAAATGCATGACATAAATTTAATGAAAATGCTGAGTTCTTACCTTTGAAAAATATGTATTTCTTATTAAATTACTAAGGTTTTTTGCTGCACTTAAATGTTGAATCACTTGAAAGGCCTTATTCACTTTAACGACCTGGTCACAAATAATACAAAATAGTGTTTTTCCGTCGGTTTTAGAAACTGTACTAGAAGATTTTTCGTTAGTTTTGCACAAGTGTTTTATATTTTTTGGCATTTTAAACAACAAAACGAATACGAATCACAAACAACACGGTAACGTACACTATATGTATACGAAGATAACTATGTCAAAACACAATAACATATAAGTTTATTACTTCATTATAGTTGTACGACATAGGTAAATTTTGTTAGATTAAAATGGTTAATAAATAAAATAAGTATCTACGTAAATAAATACGATTCAGATAAGATATAATTTAAACATCACTGAGTATTTTTGTGTAGATAATTTTTTTTTCGTGTTTTTGGCGTTAAAATATGCTATAATATTGTATTTAAGACATGCAGAAATATGCATTTTATAAAAATATATGCGTAAACGTGCAAAATAAAAACTGTACCATTTTCATCAAAATAATTACTATAAATCTATTGTAAGTCTATTGCTAAAAATGAAAATTTGGAAGGTCGATAATTAAAAACCGCACATATTTGATTGGTGGTGAAAAGCATTATAGGTGAAATTAGAGACCCAATGTGTACGTTTAATCAGACAATTTTAATCGAAAATAATTATTGATTTGTTGAGCAAAACCACGTTCGATAGGACACAAAGTAAAATATAAGTGGTTTTGAATGACGACCTTTTTTAAAAGTGTGCGATTATGACGACCGCCATACACACTAAAACTCCATTTGGGCGTATCAAAAAAAAAAAAAAAAACAAATTGTTCTACTTAAATCCTAGGCCTAATCATAACCCTCAAATGCGAGGTAGTTTGACAATAGTAAATATTATTTTGAATATACGTGATGTATCAAAGTTTATATTTTTCTTGGGTTTTGTAAATAATTGTGTGTAGTATTTACACAAATTGCGTAGAATAGCTAATTTTGTATACTTTCGGAGTTTCGCGAGTATGTGCCCCCTCTCTTTTTTGTTTCTTGATTATTCCGGTGTATTTTTTATCATGCTAAAAATAGCAGCTTAAATAAAAATGATAGTGCTCGTACTCCCGAAAAAAAAAATTGGCTACGGTACCCACTGATGAACACCTGCGAATAATGGACAAAGTTTTATTGAACTCGAGATCTGAATGTCTAAATAGTTTACATTTACCCGTATTTGATTCAATAAGGAGATAACTATGTAAGTGGCGAGGTGAGGTAGGGTTAATTTCAAAATATTTTATATAATATGTGACACTTCGGAATTACGGACTTTTTTATGGAACGGAAACTTTATATACCAAACTGAACTTCCTCTTAATAGCAGCTGATACTAGTGCTATAGTCAGAACTACAGAAGGTACTGGGGGCACGTGACCTCCCCCCCCCCCCGATATTTTCAGTTAAATTCGATATTTCGGTTTTTAATAGGTCTAAAAAATAGTAAGTTATGAATGGCAGCGGTGGGTGGTGACAGGGTATACCTACATAGATAAGTTTAAATTTCGGTTTTTTATCGGTCTATTTACTGGTAAGTTATGAATGGCAGCGGTGGGTGGTGACAGGGTATACCTACATAGATAAGTTTAAATTTCACTATTATATCACTATATTTACTGGTATAGTTAATTATAAGTTATTAACTTAACTATTCAAAAACTACTAATTGTAATACTAGTTATACGTTATTAGATAGCTCACTACTAAATAACTACTTACTGTATTATTTCACTACTAAAAAAGAAAAACTACCGATTACAGTAGTTAACTATTATATACCTATTATAAATATCTGATAGTTTTTTTTTTTATTAAGGGATCCCATCCCCCACTGTATGGCCTGAATGCATAAAATAATAACCGATTGATTTATCGTTTCTTCTCAAATTACCTGACTATAAACTATTTTATTTCTAGCGAGGAATTTATTAGTTTTACTACCTTGTACGTGTTTTTTCTTTTCGTGGGTATGTGAACAACATTTCTACAAAAATATATTTACTCGGATTTTCAAGTGTAATATCTTTCCTAAAAACAAATGCTATCTAGTTAGTGTATTGAACGAGTATTTTATTTTTTTTATTTTCTTCATAATTTTCTTAAAAATTGGTAAAAACGTAGGACACACGGACAAGTTTACTGTAGTAAAGATTTCATTATTTTTGATTTTAGATTCTAAATGTAGGAAGGAATGTATATGATATTTGTGTTTTTTTTTTTTTGTGTGTAAACAACTTCTCTACGAGAATCAAAAAATAACAAAATACTCTTTTTAGTACATTTTGGATCTAGTCAGTAATTAAATAAGTTATTTTTTAATTTTTCAGGCAGAATTTCATAATAATAGTGAAAAACCGGAAAAAGACGTAAAATAAAACCGTACAAATTTACGACTTATACGGTTTCATTATTTTAATGTATATGATATATTTTCTCTACAAGAGCATTGCTTTAATCTAAAAACGATAAAAGACCTTTTTTGTTGATTTTTAGATCTATTTGGTTAGTAAAAAAATCGTGTTTTGGTTTTCCAATATTTTTTTATAATAATTGGAAAAATTACGTAAAATAATAACTTACATTTTTTTTTCATAAGAGTTAAGATCAAATTTTTACAAAAATAGTAAAAGTGTATTTCAAAACATGAGCGTATTTTGTTAACAACGGTTTTTCGTTGCTTACGATTATGAATCAAATAACTTATTTATATAGCCTACCTTCTTTTTGTTTTATTTAAAAACTCTGATTTTAAAAAGAGTTTTACTATTCAGGTTTTTTTAGAAGAAAAAAATATATTTACATTTAAGTATCCGTTTATGCCCTTATACCGGACGCTACATTATAAAATATCGAATAAAGTGCAATATTCTCCCGCTATTTCGAAATACGCGTGTATTATAAGAGGTATTAGCTTATGCATTACGGCGTATAGAGATGTGATTGACAAGCAAATAATAACGTAATATTATAATATCGCATATGCTCGTGCCTTAAAGTATCGCGACGACTAAATAAACAAATTTGCATTTCAATAGGTTTCGTTAAAATCAATATTATTTTTATTATTATTATTATTATTATTATACCGTAATATAGACGTCACATTTTTGACGTTTTGTATTTTAATTATAATTAATGTTTTAATACCGTGTATACTTTTAAAATCAGAACTCACGTAGTTCACTCTCCTCTACTTCTTGCCTTCCATGATAATAAAAAATAAAGCAAACATACCCAAGAGAAGTAAAAACGTTTTTATCCTGTGCGGCTACGTGGTTTTATATAAAAAAAATCACGGGTATTATTTTCGATTGAGACTAAACTATAATATTGAAATATTTAAGGTTATATATTATCATTGTTTTTTCCTTATCGGGCGTACCGTGGAGATCGGACCCTGTCCTTTTAAATAATCATCTATAAGTGAACATTTACAAAAATTCAAATGTACTCTATCTTAACTGTGGAATTTTTAAACTGTGTATATAGGGAATATTCCAGTTGGCTTCATACTCATAAATTCTATAACAATCACAAAATATACTTTCAGGTATTTGGTAAGTTTTTTTTTTTTTTTGTGACAATCGATTGCCAATTATACAATTTATGTGCAGTGTTATTACATTTATAAATTGTATTTTTTAATGTTGTACGCAATCTAAAACTGCTCCGAACACGGTTTTTTTTCTGTTCTATTTGCTTAATTATACCCAATTTTCCTTTGATTTCATTGAAATATTTAAATACACGATTCACGAATGTCCTTTAAAAATCACAGTATTATTAATATTATTTATTTCTGCCATGCAAAATAAAAATACTCGAAATATATTTTGTTTAATGAAAACGTATGTATGTCGGTACAGTTTTACAGTTTTAAAATGTTTTTTTTTTTACATAGAGCGAGCGTATTGATTTTACTATTATATGGTTTTTTCTCTGAATACTTTACCACGGATAAAAGGAGAATAATATAAAAGTTTCGCACGAAAAAATATCTAGAAATAAGAAATTAGATACAGATGAGAGATTAGATATATATTTTTTGCGAAATTTCTCAATTGTTTTTTGAAATTTATAAAAAAAAACCAAACGGAAAACTATATCGGAAAATATTTACGCTACGCAACTTTTTTTCTATCCTGAAGTCTACTATCATGTAGTTATATTTTATCATGATTATAAAGAGTGACATGAAATAATTTATATTCTGCGTAAATGAAGGAATATATAGGTTTTACTATGATATGTGCGATTATAAGTTCTAAGCGGAGCGAAGGATAACATACTGATTTTACTGTGATATATGTGTTAATTTTATTTATTTTTTTTTTTGTATAACTGTTACCAACCTTTAACCGGAAATCTTGATCCAATAAAAACAAAATAAAAATACTTTTATAATTTTCTAATTAGTTTTCATAATTATTGTGAAAACTGCGAAAAAACAAGAAAGTTTTCGATAAACAACTGTTTTATAAATTTAGTGATCTGAAATCATAGAACACTAATTATGATTTTGTTTAGACTTGGTAATATTTTAAAAACATTCAGGCACATTTCAATGTTTGGATCTAAAGCAAGATAACAGAAAGGAAAGCGATTTTGAAATTTCACACATTTATATGGTAATAAATAATAATCAAACTATGAGTATTTTGGGGGAGAGAACCGAAAAATGCGATTTGTATGAGCTTTTTACATAATTTTTAGAGGGGTAACGTCCTCTTGCGCCTCCCCTCTGCACTTCGACCCTTGGCTACAAGTGCCCCTGTTAAAATCCATTTACACGTGGAACACTTTGTGTCTTGTAGAACACATCCATAATTCTATGTTTTCTCGTGTAGCTGAAAAAATGAATAAATTGGTTTATTATAAAACGATCGTCGTTTTTCCACCTAATAATATCTTAAGACGAGTTAATTAAAATTTGTCTATATTATACCGATTGTTTGACTTATACAAAAAAAAAATTAAAAACATTTCGAAATATAATATAAATTAAATAAAATACTAATATTTTACGAGCTTTATAGTATTATAATATTTCGAATATTTATTTTTATTCTTCGACTGAGAATATAAATAACGAGAACGATTTGTTGTGAATAAAAAACGTCTATTGTTGGTATAATAATCTGGGAGCGTGTTCACGGAGACGGATGTGGCGGGGTGATGGTTGGAGAGGAACGGCGACTTTCGTAGAAATTCCGCGAGAAAATTATTTTTTGAAAAAATCAACAAATTATAAATCATCCAATGGATTCCCGACGTTGGATTTTTATTAAATGTTTTAAATGTATTAATTTTCTTGTTTACTGAAAGCGGAGAGATTTTTTTTCTTTTTCTTTTCTTTTTTCGCGCACTCATAACCGGACTTCAAACGTTTAATCTACAACTGTTCCGTTCGATATGATTTTCGTAAACGGTTAGTGACATTGAAATTTAACGAATTTCAAAAACAATACTCCGTAACTAAATGTGTATTTGTTTCTTTTTAAATATACCTTATTCCATTCGGGAACGGCACCGAAACGCATCATTTTTAAACTAACCACAGACGTGTCTCGAGTACACTTACTAATATTCACTAAAGCCAATAAACTGTATTCCCAAAAAAGGTATTAAATATAAATGCAGTTATTTCCTAAAAATTATTAAAATATTAGAAAAATATTTCTTAAAAAAAAAAAATGTATTATAGCATTGGAAATTCAAATATTTCATTTTATTAAGCGTCATAATTTTGTTAATGTTAATGTTTCTCGGACTGAAAACAAAGTTTCACGTTTTTTTATAACAGAAAAACGTATGTTTTATGAAAAAAAAAAAACCAATGTCGGCATGGTAAATTTAAAACCCTTAACAACTAATTTGAGTGAATCAATTAACGAACAATATTTTATTTAAAATTTAAGGAATAGGTACTAAAATTATTGAGTCTCAAACGATTTGTATTTTTAAATTATCAATTTGTTGAGTTACATAGAGATGAGCATTTTGATGAATTTAAACAAAAATTCGAAAATATGCCCAGCATAAATTTAAAAATACGGACATTCTTCGCACGTGTGTGGGCTAGTGTTGTAGGTGAGAAGTTGAGAATGTAGAGGTGAAATTGAATGTATATCTTTACGCAACGATTAACTATTGTTAACAAAAAACGCTTTTGGGTAGACTTCAGTTAATATTATTGCTGTGTCAACAATATATACGCCATTTAATAGTAAAATAATTGCATATGCATTGTATATTTTCTTTAATAATATTTGTTTAATATTTTACCTATTTTCCCGTTTTTCCTACGTTTTTCGCCGTTTTTACCATTTATTAGGAAAACTCCTGGAAAAATCAAAAAATGACCTCCTTAAAGTATCATCCCAATTAGACTCACTTTCAGTAAAAGTGCTATCATTGTAAATGGGAGCAAAATGATAGAAGAAAAGTTGTTCACAGAATATCATTGAACATAATTGAAAAACCAATACATTCCTTGTTCCGCTCAGGATCTAAAACATATGCAACTTGCTGGCTCATCGTGAAATACATTCTAGTATCTACTATACAGAGTAATTTTTTTTATTATGAACCAGCATGAATTTTCTCGGAAGATTTTAAGTAAATTTGATTTCTGTTATTTTTAATCATTAGACTAGTGAGTAGGAAAGAGTAATAAATTACACATCTATTTTAAAAAACTAAATTGATAAATCTTTTGTCTTTTGGACAACCAACATAAATATCAATAATGGGTATTAAAATATTTATCCTAATATTATAATACTCGCTGTTTACAGGACGAAATGGAGGACCGGCCCAGAGTGGCCACGTTTCTCAACTCTATCGCAGACTACTCGAATACCATACCCAGTGCAGCGGACGCCGATTCCAAGTCTATTGCGCCAAAAGCGGCGTCCAGAATGGGAACGCTGGTCGGCGTATACTTGCCGTGCGTGCAGAACATCTTTGGCGTCATACTTTTCATCCGGCTGTCGTGGGTTGTCGGCACCGCTGGTATCATCTACGGTTTCGGCATCGTGTTTACCTGTTGTTGTGTGGTAAGTTCAGCCCCGTGCTCAAAAATAATAATAATAATAATAATAACTTAACCAAAGCCTACTAAAAATTTACCACTGTTCAATAGGTTTTTCCAATTTTTCCGACCAACAAAAATTGTTTGGTGTCGACTTGAAGATAATTTGTTCAGATTCTTAGCGGTCTTTACACCATTAATCTGAGATTTAAATATTCGATTTTCCCAGTAATAGTATTTTATTAAAATCATTTTTTCGCTAAACAAATAATATTGAAAACACTCGGAAATACGAAATTTTAAGCAAAAGCGTACCTACAAACGCCGGGTCCGATAACACGTCGAAGACGGATTTTAAAATGTCAATTTCTATACTTGAATATTAGACTTTTTGCTCCTACACTTTGTTGCGTACGGCAAAAACTTTTCCACCTCGTGGTGAAAATTGACATTGTGCCTACGGGTAACGCCCGTTTTTTTTTTTTATTCACGTTCTTCACACCGTCGTCCGATTACGGTTTATTTACGGCTGCGGGTCGGTTCCCGCTGCTTCAACGATTCCGTTCGTATATTATACCTACTGTGTTTTTCCGTGTTCTGTAAACAATAAATAAAACAACAACCGGAGGATTGCTTTTCGTGTCCTACGTCAAAAGAACAAAAGCAAAAGCGCGAAAGCAAAAGACCGAAAACAAAATGAGCGAATTACAATTAATATAATGGGAAAGCACAATGAACGAATTACAATTAGAGAGAAAACAAAAAGGGGCAAAATGATTGCATATTACTAATATCTGTGAACCATAATGAAAACGCGTATCATACAGTAGCAATTAGGTAAGGTTAAAAATATAAAATCAATCAGAATTTTTTTTAAAACAAAATTTCGTTTCTATTACCTATTTGTAAGTACCGAGTTACATATAATGCATCGTGTTACTCCGCGAATACCTATCCCAATATGGCAATAAAGTATTTTAATTTTGGATTCTGAACGTTTTGCATTAATTCTGTACAATAATCTATGCGAATATAGATCCAGTGGCGTATTTGAAGGGATATCAATTAATTTGTTTGTGTAGGTATTTGCCATGTACATTTACTATACATATATATAAAAATTTAATTTTTTTTATCACTCGACTAATTTTTTTTCTTTGCTTTTTTCATTAACTCTTCCATGTTTGATATCATTCAAATTTCAAACATTTTTCACCATGTAAATGTACGTCGCACGACCACTTCGACATGTTATCCAGGCATTGAGTATCGCACTCATCAGAACCTTAAACAGTCGTCGGCCGTACCCCTCTACGTCTTGTTTTACCAACGAATTTTTATCAGTATAATTATAGTAGACAGCTAAGTATGCGATATTCAAGAATACTGGCAGATAGATCAATATTATCAACACTCTAGTGATAATGACAAAAAGTTACATTTTATAATTAATTTTTGTGTTTCTTGTATATGTGTATTATTTTTAAAGTTTTAAATAAATATTTGCTTTACTTTACATAAAATGATTCGATAGAATGCCATATCTTTTTTCTTGCCAATCCTTCTTGTCTGATTCGTCAGTTTCATATATGAAATATATCTGCATAATATATAAAATACACAAAGAATGTGAATCTTTTTTACTACAAGATAATGCTCAATAATTTGTCTCTCGTGTATGTAATACGTGACCAAAGTCTCGCATAGTCATCAAGTAGGTACTAAAAAAAAATACTAAACAACAGAAACAGATAACTACATTATATCTAATATCCAATGTATATACATAAAATATATTTTACTTACTTGCGTACGTACCCAAATAAGGTACAATATATTTTACTTCAACTCCTAGGGCACACCAAGGATTTTTTTCAGAAAGGAGGGGTGCTTGAGAGCTACAGCCCTCTTTGTACTCTTTGAATGAGTTTTTTTCGCTCCCCCTCTCATAAACATAAGTTAGATACAGTGTACACCACTGTATAGGTTCCTCAACTGCAGCCTTCATAATATACTTATCACTTTGTGACTCGTTCGGGGTTATAAGCACACCGTGTACGAGGATTAAAAAGATACTGTATCTAGCCTTGTGTGCATTACACCATAATGGACTTTACGTACTCGACACGTCGTAGGCGATTTAATGTTTTAATCTAAAGACACCGTGAGACATATATGCAGCTTAAATATACTTATATGTACTTCGGAGTATTTTCAAATATTAATAATTTATTCCGGTAATACATCTCTATCGTAATATAGTTATCTATACAAATAAATCGAAGTCAGTCTTCAGACAGGCAGACCTCTCATTGTCTGTCTGTCTGTCTGTCCAGACTAGTCGCGGAAACGATTGAACCGATTTCAATGGGACTTTCAGTTTTCACCATGAAGTAAAATAGTTTCCTAGTCATAATTTGGGGTACTTTTTATTTCAATCAGTTCCTACAAGAAATGTGGTTGACACTTGAATTTTTCGTTTAATAATTGGACAATTTTCATTATTTTCGTTTATTTAGGGATTACCTTATTTCAAGGCTGAATATTAACGAGTTAATAATTAAAAAGTTAATTTCAACTTATTAACTTAACTTTTTAGTTTTCCATTTCAATTATCTTAACTCATTTTACCTCTACATTAAATTGAAATAAGCTTACATTTTTTTAATTGTTCCCATACTAGGTTATTTTTTAATTTTCATATTATTCAAAAAAATATTTTATTTATTACCGTTATCCGTTTAAAATATAATTTCGTAAATTTGAGATGATATAAAGTGAAAAATGATCAAAAATGATTAGAAATAAAAAATTATTGATCATTATAATTAAACCATAAATAACCTTGAACCCACGAATTTTATTCATAATATCTACTTGGGTATTACTTGGGTACTACCTATCTGTTGTTAAAATTGAATAGATATCTTGAATAAAAGTTTATAACTAATGGATAGTTTTTTTGTACTTCTTTGTTTAAGTCGTTTATTTAGTAAATAATAAAATTATTGATGTTAAACAATATTGACTACTTTTAGAATTAAATTTAAATTTAAGTAACCCTTAAATCTGAATTATGATTAGAGTTCTATAAATGCCAAAACTCTACAGATTTGAAAATTGGTAATATTTCATATTTACATTTACAATTGAATTTTTAATACCTAATTAATGCATTTTTTTTTTTTTAAATTATTGAATTTTTGTTAAGTTAATGGTATATTTTTACTTGATTTTTAATTTAATCGAACAAAAAAATATGTTACTTGAATTAAAAATATCATTAACTTACTTAGCATTGTCTTATTGATGACGGGGACAATCGCCCTTCAAAACACGAACAGTTCGTATTATATTATACTACAAACTATGCGGACAAATCGATTTTGATAGAAAAATCCACAAACGGTCGAATATCTCAGAGCTTTGACTGTGTAACGACATCACTGCTGAACATACCTATAATATTCTTCTCGTTTCTCTCTCTATCTCTCTCTCTTTCTCTCTCATCTTTACAGGAACGTGAATTATTTATTACACTAATGGTGATGCGGTAGTAAAAGAGCACGGAAAACGGCACGCCTTTATGGAAACAATTAATAATATTAAACATTCGGTCGAGTACACGGCGTGGCGGCGGCAATAGCGGCGTTTCGTAAAGGAAGGGAAAAAAATCAATCCATTAAAAAAACATTTTAAACGAAGCGCTATCATCGAAACCGTAAAAATAACGGTGGTTAAAATGCTCTTTTTCTTTTTCTTGTTTTGTTACATTTTAATAACGACTGATTTTAATTATTACGCGGCAATAGATCAATTCCGAAACATCAGCCGCACGTGATTGCGTTGAACAATTCGTTTAAGAACCGCTGTCCATATTATGCGATAACTCGTATCACATCGCCGCTGTCGCACGTACATAATATTATTAATATTATAATGTTACGTTTATGTAGTTTGATTACCTTAATGCAACCTATTATCCCGTCCGTTAATCCGCGCGCGACGAGTCGAATAAACATAAAATTTTCCCTGCGTTATTTTTTTTACGCACGTCCAATTACTTAAAAAAAAAAAAAAACGGTAACGACTACTGTGATTTTAACGATGTCACGTGCAGAATTTTCTCCTCTCCGGAGATTGCGTACTCGGACGACAACAACGACGACAACGGTGACAATACATTATATACGCGTACCTACTGACGAAAAAAAAACAAAATAAATATATCACCTCTCGCAGTCCCGTAAAAATAGCATTTATCTCCGACCGTAATTTAGAGGGGATGGATGCTCATTTTTATTATTTAACCGAGCTACCCTCCCTCCCACCACCGAAATTTGTTCTAAACTAAAAAAAAATAATCGTGTAAAGTTTCGTAACATTTGGTCAACCCTAAGACGTGCATACAGAAGGTTACAGTTGAGAAAAAGGTACATTTTCGATTTTTCAATGATTGGCAAAAACATGCCGTATAGAATAATAATAATATATTAATTGTTCAATTATATTCCCTATACAAATAGTTAATTATGTTTTTTTTATTACAAAACCCATTCGCCAAAAAAATATTATTTTGAAATCTTAACCGCTATGAGACACGCTTTATTTTTTATTTTTTTAAATGTCCCCATCTATGTAATAACGACTATTCTGTATTCCGTTCAGAATGAGAACATATTAGGACGGTGGACCAAAACAGGTTCAACACCACGCCAGTCAGCTACGATAGGTTTACAACTATGACGAGGTATGCCCAATCGGTCGCCGCCTGCGTAATACGATACGTTCTTATTCTGGACGTGTTATAGGCCGTACAATCAGTATAACGACGTCCCCATCATCCCGTTGTATACTTTAATTTAAATCGGATTTTAAAAAAAAATAATAATAATATAATAATTGTTTCAGACAATGTTAACTGCCATCTCGATGAGCGCAATCGCCACCAATGGTGTGGTGCCGGCCGGCGGGCCGTATTTCCTAATATCCAGATCGTTGGGCCCCGAGTGTGGTGGCGCTGTCGGCATGCTCTTCTACACCGGCATTACACTGGCCGCATCTATGTACATCATAGGAGCCGTCGAAATTATTCTCGTGAGTATCTATCTACATATATCTATATCTTGACAAATATTTCAACTAAATTAACCTGTCTATAGTGTCTATGCTAAATAACAATGTAACGTTTGCGGTTTTGTATATAAAGCCCCGTCCAGGTATTATAGGACCAAGCCAAACGAAAGCATATGATGTGAGTTAACGATTCGAAAACGCCGGTGTAAGTGCGGACAGCACAAATACCGAATGCGTTTGTCATCTACTTTGAACACGAATCGTCGTTAGTAGTTACACATTCGGTCCAAACACTATTATAGGTATTTTATTTCATACACTTGTGTGTTTTTACGAATCTGCGCGCGTGAGCGAAGAATTCCGATTACGGACTAACAGAGAATTCTGCCAGAGTTTGGACAATGTACCGAGACGCATCCGAATCGCATCGGTAAATGTGAAAACGTTGCAGGCGTTTGATTGCCTTCGTTTGTCTTGATCTTACAACCTGGGCGTACACTTAATATTACGGAGCGTTTCAGAATACAGGGACATTAGCATAATTATAATAATATTTTCAAACGCGTAGAATTTCGTGTACAAAATTTATTGGTATTTATTTATTTCCCTTGTATTCACCGTTTTTTTTTTTTGATAAGTCCCATGTGCCATGATCTTTTTTTTTTTTTTTGTTAGATTCTTACACTTTATTATCTATTTTCTATTTTCGTTTTATAAGTTGTATTTATCTAAGTATATACAATATTTTCGGTCGATTGTATACAATATTATAGAGTTTAATACAATGTAAAACGTGTAAAACGTCAATATAAAAATATTTTACGGCCACTTGGTTTACACAAACATCGCGAATTACTTATATACTATATATATACGTGTTATACATTATGATATTATTTCGACAGACGTACATGGCGCCGAGCTTATCGATTTTCGGTGACTTCTCCAAAGACAGCAGCATAATGTACAACAATTTCCGCGTATACGGAACAATATTGCTGATAGTCATGAGTTCGATCGTATACGTGGGCGTAAAGTTCGTCAACAAATTCGCGTCCGTGGCGCTGGCTTGCGTGCTGCTGTCCATATTGTCCGTGTACGTGGGCATTTTTTACAACTTTTACGGCAGCGATAAACTTATGTGAGTATATTCATATTTATTACTGATACCTGTAGAGAACCTATTTATTATATACTATAAGAGAGTGTAATGTACGCCGATTGGTTGATCCGTTAATCAGTGTTATCTATGTTGTTCATGAATACCGTTATTGTATAATTGTATCCTATACTGATAAATATCCTACCTAATAATATATAATTACATGCAGAGTTGGGCGGGATTTAAATTAACCTTTGAGTTTTAAAATCTAAATTCGAATTTATGATTGTTTGAGGATTTTGGACTTGGACTTTCAAATTGTGTTGAAAATCATTTTAAAAACAATCATGTGTAAATTATAACACAATAAAATCAGCTGAGTAGGCCTGTGCGACAAATCAATAGTACGGATGTTAAAAAAAAATAAAGCATCAATTAATCTGGTGTATCAGTAGTATCGATACTCAATTATAATAATAAACACAGATATTACAACAACAATATAATTTTTTGTGTCAATTGCCGTTATATATCACCGTCATTTCACTGTTATATTTATAATTTATATTTTCTTAAAATAATAGTATCGATTACTTTATCGACTATAGTATCGGCAATCGACTTGTGTTAATAATAATAATAATAACATACTAAATAGATGTGATGAATATTTGTGTTTAATAAATAAAAACTATATATATTACCTAATTAATAACCTGACGGAGTACATAATTATTTTTATTTTATCAACTGACAATTTTTATTTATTGTTGACTATTTCATAATCATAATACTTTATTGAAATTAGATAATGATATGAAATATTGTTATTAATTAACACTTGACTCATGTTATTAATTTATTATTTTCTAGCTACATATTTGATATTTATAAATTAAAATCGATATAATTTATTAATGACTATTTCATATTGTATCACTTAATTTATAAACTGTATAAATTTCGGAGATTGAATTTTAGATTTAGATTTTTTTTAAATTCGTTTTTTGGGAGAATTTACACATCTCTAATTCTGTGGTATATTAAATATACCCATTATCGTCATTAATATTTCAAAATTGTTCGCAATCAATTATTTAATTTAATTTTCCATAAAAATAATTAATTTCATCTCAATCGTATAATATTACTCAGGTAATACGCATTATTATATAATACAATTGTGTAGTAATTTTGTTTTTATAGATTCAAAATAAAAATCTATTTAACAGTGATAAACTAAATTGAATACTTGTTGTAATTGGTTCTCTGCCAATTTTTCCAGGCAATTTACTTATTTTAGTACGCGTTCCCGCGGTCGTCAAATATTATAATTGACTATATCTTCGGCTACTCAGCAAAACTTTTCAAGTCGAAATTTTGACATATTTGTAAATTTTTGACTCTGCCACAGTAATTCACTTCACTTGTTCAATTTCATTTAGATCGACTTACGAAGTTTGCTGAATACCCGACGATTTATTGACCGTTGTATTATTACTTTCTACGAGTTTCCACAGGTTTTCCTTTTTAACCTAACCAATCAATTTTACAGCTTTTGCTCATTGGGCAATCGGCTATTGAAGGACGTCGGGTTGAACAACTGCACCAAAGACGTAGGTGGCTACTTGCACAACGTGTACTGCGCCAACGGCACCAGACCTTGTGACAGTTACTTTGAGGCGCACAACACTTCTTTGGTTCAAGGCATTCGGGGCATCAGCAGCGGTGTTTTCTTCGGTTGGTAGATTTTAATGTTGCGAAATGTAAACGTTTATTTCTGATTTCATGCGTGCGAAATCAATCGTTTCAAAGCGACGGACGGATTATCGAAAACAATTTCTATCCAGAATATTAATATAATGTTTACCAAATTTAAGTTTTAATATAAACAATTATATGCCGATAATGACAACACAACGAGAGTTTACGATTATTCCGATTTGAAATCGTGCAAACTTTATCGGTACCAATACGATTCGTTGTGAAAATTAAAAAATAATAATAATAATATTAAAAACGTTTTATACTTATACTTTTACGGGATCTTGATATTATTCATAATTGCTGTAACAGACAGCAAAACACCCGACTTATTATATTACAATATTTATGGGATACCTATATTTTATTTTCGATAGAAAATATTTTCGGCAACTTTTTGGAAACCGGACAATACATAGCCAGGACTCATAAGCCAGATGATATTCAACCGTTAAACAAAAACACTTACAATATGGTAATGGTGGACATCACGACTTCATTCACGATACTCATCGGCATATTCTTCCCGTCCGTAACCGGTTCGTAACTCATTGAAAGTAAAACTATTAATATTATATATTAAGCAACGTGGAACATTTTGTCATTGTTATTATTATTATTATTATTATTATAACCAATCCCCTTGATAATTATTATCAAAGGAATTTAGTAAAGTTTTCCAAATTTTCTTTATATTTTGGAAAATTTAAAACAATTTTAATGATAATAATATAAGGGTTCGGCCGTTTTAATGGACGAATATGACGAATATGACAGAAGAAAATGTAGGAATCGCGTTTGACAGATTCCAATTTTAAAACCGTAGGTATTATGATTTGTTTATGTTCTTTACTAGGATATGTTGTAATTACTTTTTAAATTTAAATTATGTTTATCGTAAGTAAAAGACAAAAGACTTAAATTGCATGTTTGAAATTTTGTTTCCAATTCCCAACGAACTAATTAAATTTCTATTCCCAACATTGCCTAGTAAAGAACCTAAACAATCGCAATCCGTTTTTAAAATTGAATCCGTCAACACTCAAATTCTATAGTTGGCTTGGCTTTTAGGTCTAAATCGACTTTACACCGTTCCCAATTCCCTTAAGTATCATTATAATTCTTTGCACAGGAATAATGGCCGGTTCCAATAGATCTGGAGATCTCGCGGACGCACAGAAATCCATTCCCATTGGCACAATATTGGCCATTCTGAGTACGTCATCGGTTTACTTGTCTGCCGTTGTACTATTCGGAGCAACCGTCGACAATTTACTACTCAGAGACAAGTACGTGTCCAATAATATAATTATTTTAATCGACACACATATATGACCTATATAAAAAATAGCTTTCTTACAAAAAAACAAAAAATTACACGAGTCATTTAAACGTACTTACTTGTACGGTGTATACTGTTTTCATTCGGTTTGAATACATTTTTTGCGAGCATTTTACCATTTTACTCTATACTTATATATATTATACATACTTTCAAGGATATTTGAAGATCGATAAAATAACCGAACGTGTATACAATCTAATTTATCGCGGTGAAAAGACCGGACAACGCGCGATAAATTCAATGGAATCTAATTTTAGTCGAATGCCCTAAAAGGGACTAGAATCGTTTTTATCCCTTTTTTTTCATTCTCTTTATGCGTATACGCTGTTTTTCACATAGTCAAAGAGGGACAGGAAAAAACATTTTATCTTACATTGTAAAAGAAAAGATAATATTTTCGAATTTCCTATATACAACATTAGGTATATATGTATATATACTATATTATATACTAGTATATTCCGCGGGTTTTATTACACCTATACTTACTTTTAGTAAAACATAACAACGCAGCGTCTCGCGTTCATTTTGTAGTTTATACTCTGTACCTACGCTATTTTTCCCATTCAATAATGCATCAACAGACATATTATTACCCTGTCAAAACATCAACGCGAATAATCTACTTTGAATAATCGTGTACCTACCTTATATATAATATATAATACTAAACTATATATATAATATATTCACTGGCTTCTCGGTGTTAAATATTAATGTCGGCATACGAAAACGTATATACCCAGGCTTATCAAAACCGTCCATCAGACGTAGGTATGGGAACGCGATTTTCGTATATACTCGCATATCGTCAACAATGAAGCCGCATAAGCGTTATTTGAAATAAAATAATGGAGTAGCAAGCAACTTGAATAATTTTTTTAATTCAGTTGTGGTCTAATGAAATGAGGGAAAAATTGGCGGATCGATAAGTCCTAGTCAATCAATTTGTTCATCAGAATTACATAGAAATATACGAAGAAATCAGTTGAATGATCTTTTTAAACGTTCAAATTCAATATAGCCAATAGTATAACTGTATAAATGTTAGTTATACTAATTTATTATTAGTGTTTTAGAAAACTATACTTTTTTTTTACAAATTACTCATAGGGTCGCATAGATATTAATTTGCAACGCCTATAAAAATGATGAAATAGCAGTTTTATTACTCCTTGCTACCTCGTAATAACGCCTATGGATAAAGGTATAGTGAAGTTGTTTGACGAATCGAGTTAAATGATAAAAAGCCGAGTAACTTCGCACGTGGGTGGGCCACTGTTGTAGGTGAGAAATTGGGAAGGTAGTAGAGGGAAAATTTAATGTAGGTTTATCTGTACCAAATAATGAACCATTTCTAATAAAAAAAAAACGATTCTGAGCAGAATTCAGTTGATAGTGTTGCTTTTTCAACATAATATATATGTCATATTATGGTAAAATAATTGCATAGGCATTATATATTTTCTTTAATAATATTTGTTTAATATTGTACCTATTTTCCCAGTTTCCCCGTGTTTTTCTTGATTTTTTCTATTTATCAGGAAAACTCCCAAAAAGTACTATCATTTTAAATTAGAGGAAAATTAATTTCAATAATAAAATCAAAGAATTAAATCACTCTCGTTTCATCGTCATTTGTTTATTTTATTATGTTTCGTTTTTAAACCGCGAGTACATTTTCCCCAGGCTCATAAAACGTTTAGGGTAACGCCAAACGCGTAGCCATCATGCATTTTTGACGTAGCCGATATCATCTTACATCGAGTTTTAACAATAATGCCCGAAATTTATAAATCATTTTTGTTTTTACCGTGAAAACCATATTATTATAAATAAGAAATGCGCATTTTTAGTGTCTGCACGTTTGTTTTTAATATGGACGCGATCGAAGGAAGATTGGTACGCTTCAACTTTTCTGAACACAGTTCTGACAACGCCACCGCTACCGTTACCCCGTTTTATTATAAACTAAATAAATTGAACACTACTCTTAGTTTTTTTTTCCCCCCCGATCTACGTATAGAAACACTCATATTTCCGTTATCTCAATACTGCAGATAATCTTACATCTTATTTTTTAAAAAAATAAAAGTACCTCATGAAATTCGATAAAATGGCCGTATAACGATGTGACTGCACTTTTATATTTTATCAAACACCGAGTGATCTAAAAGGAAAAAATACATAATATAAGTCGAGTGAATCTTACTCAGTGTTGTGTTTTATTTAAATGAATTTATAGTGATAAATTATCTACATACATATATGTGTATAAGTATATATTGTGTATTTTTTATCTTATCTAGATAAATAAGAAAAAGTTGTCTGAGCTGTTATCTATGATAAATAATTGAATTATCTAGATAAATGCATTTAGATAAATATTTTTAAATCTTTATTTATACATGTATATTAGTTATTAGAAATAATAGATGAAATATTTTATTTATATTAATATGGTTTAATAAATTCATTATTATACTTATTAATCATACATCATTTATGAGAAAACTTTATACTTTATAAATAAATTTAATTACTTAAATACATTTTAATAATTCCATTTGTATAACTAAAACTTTACTTTTACTACTTTTATCATTTTTTTATGATAGGTTATGAACAAAATAGAGATTTTTGTTCATTATAATAATTTATATACTATCGTTTATTTTTCGACTAAAATGTTTTTATGTTATCCCGAAGGTTTGGTCAGAGTATTGGAGGACGTCTGGTAGTAGCCAACATTGCGTGGCCTAACGAATGGGTGATTTTGGTGGGAGCGACATTGTCCACGTTGGGAGCCGGACTACAGAGTCTTACCGGAGCACCGAGATTGTTACAAGTAAGTAATAAATAGTCATTCATCATTTCATCATCTAATAAATTGAATTGAAAATCTAGTGTATCAATAAAAAAAAACATCAGAGACCAGCAGAGCTCCGTCACTATAGAGTCGAATTTCCCCCCCCCCTCTTATTTTATATTATATTATGTACTCTTTATAAAACAATATAAATAGCCGAATGCTATAATAATACAATACTATACTAAATTACAACTAAACTACTTCCAAAAATATGGTGACATTTGAGCATGAAAATGGTCCCGCACATACAAAATGTCATCCCCTGATTTCATTTTAAGTATCTAAAAAGACACCTTCCTTCCATATTAACATGGTGAAATTAATATTAAAATTCAATACAATAATTGTATCAATTAAAAACCACTCTTAATTCCTGAATTTTAACTAAATTGGTCCCGAAAAAGCCATTATAGAAGTGTATCGAAGTAGCGAGAAAAAGATTATAAAAAAAATACAACGGTCACAACAGACTGCAACAGTCTCTATTTTCGAAGAAAATTCGAAAAATACGTCATCCGTCCTTTTCCGGGTTCTTACGTTTATTTAATTTATTGTCTTATTTATGCCACCAGGCTATAGCCAAAGACGACATAATACCGTTCCTGCAACCGTTCGCTAAGTCGTCGGCGTCTGGTGAACCAACCAGAGCATTAATCATAACCGTGGTCGTGTGTCAGTGCGGTATACTGATCGGAAACATCGACAATCTCGCTCCGCTGTTGGCCATGTTCCTCTTGATGTGTTACGCGTTCGTCAATTTGGCGTGTGTCCTGCAGACGCTGTTGCGCACGCCCAACTGGAGACCCCGGTTCAAATACTATCACTGGCACGTACTTGCAATATATAATAATACTTTCAAACCACAACCGCATCTAACTCACGCGCAATAATATTTCCTACCAATATTGTAATACCTATAATATAATTCGATTTTTTTGTATACGATTTTCTACAGGACACTGTCGTTCACCGGACTCACGTTGTGCATCGCCGTCATGTTTATGTCGAGTTGGTATTTCGCGCTTTTGGCCCTGGGCATGGCAGGAGTAATTTACAAATATATCGAATACCGAGGGTGAGTGATGGAAAAAGTGACGAATGAAAAAATAATAAATGCCGATAATTAATATATTTTTTAATCGTACAACGACAACGACGGGTGTTTATTATTAATCGACTTCGGACCACTATAATATAATAACGAAATATATAACGATATATAACGTTAAACCTGCTGGACGCTTTTATCGTTCCGCATTTATTAATAACATTTTTTTATTATACTTTAAAACACACCAAATACAATAAATTTGATTTTTTATTTATATATATACGGTGCAAAGAACGCGAGTAGAATTTGACTAAAGTATGACGATTTTTATTGTAGAGCGGAAAAAGAATGGGGAGATGGAATGCGCGGTTTAGCTTTGTCGGCCGCTAGATACAGTTTACTGCGGCTTGAAGACGCGCCGCCGCACACCAAAAACTGGCGTCCGCAGATACTCATGTTAGTCAACTTCAACTCAGACCTGCCAAAGTACCGGAAAATTTTCTCGTTAGTATCTCAACTTAAGGCGGGCAAAGGACTTACGGTGAGCGCGACGGTGATAGAGGGAGATTATATCAAGAAAACAGGTCATGACGTACAAATGACCAAGAAAGAACTGGTGAGATTGATGGACGAGGAGAAAGTCAAAGGTTTCGCGGACGTTTTGGTCGCAAAAGATACATCAGAGGGCTTAAGTCATTTGTGAGTTATTTTTTAATTTTGAACTTAGCTCTTGTTATTTTTACTAATCTTCAAATTTCACGGTATGTAATAAGGATACAAATCGCCGGGCTCGGAGGATTGAAACCCAACACCGTAATTCTAGGATGGCCGAACAGCTGGAAACAATCCGAAAACGACCGATTATGGCAAGTCTTCTTGCAAACTATCCGTGTCGTCACTGCTGCGAAGATGGCGTTGATTGTACCTAAAGGTATAAGGTCATTCCCGGACTCTGCAACCAAGGTAAACAAGAGTTTTTATTATATCTTCATGAGATCATTTAAGAATGGCCGATAATATTGTTGTATAACGAACAGTTGTCGGGCACAATCGATATTTGGTGGATCGTACACGACGGAGGTATTCTGATGCTCATACCGTTCTTGTTGAAACAACACCGGACCTGGAAAAACTGCAAACTGAGAATATTTACTGTTGCACAGACCGACGATAATTCCATCCAAATGAAAAAAGATCTCAAGACGTTCTTATACCAACTCCGGATACCAGCCGAAGTCGAAGTGGTCGAAATGGTAAGTGTGAATGATCAAGTAGTTTATTGGTTCTCGTATATGTTTAAACCTAAATGTACCTATATTACAAATCATAATACTGATTTACTTGATTTCCGTTTCAGACAAACAACGACATTTCAGCTTACACGTACGAAAGGACACTTATGATGGAACAACGAAATCAAATGTTAAGGGAACTGAGACTCAATAAGAAAGAAAGCTTTGGAATGGTAAGTTAAAACGTGCCGTTATTATGTCTCATATACAACATGATTATTAACTAATAATTTATATTATTATATTAAACAACGATTATTATTCTTCATTTTACGACTATCCTTTTAAACACGGCTTGTGGTTTGTTGTTTCTCTTTTTTTTGGCTTACAAAAGATGCGTAATATCATAGATTTCAATCGAGAAACACCGACTGGAGAAAACACGCCGCTGGTTTGTTTCAGTTTATTTAAAATCTAGGAACGCTTTGGACTTATGGAGTAACTTAGTCGATGTATTGAAAATATCCGTAGATTGATAACGCGTAATTGTGTAGATATATTAAAATAAAAGTAAAAGTATATTAGTATTAATAGATAGATAGAGCAATTATTTAATTAAACGCTTTCGTCATGTAGTCTACTCATATATTTTTGTATTTTTGTTTTTAAATGTATTATTGCTACTAGTAACTATTGCCTCCGAGTTTAAAAATGTAATGAATAAAATTGAGGAATGTCAATATAATTTATTTACAATTGTATATTATTACAGTTAAAATCTGACATCTGTCAAAACTAACTTCCACAAATCCTTTTTGTCAAATCTGATTAAATAAATCAGTCAAAACTAGTTTTAACTGAAACGTGTGTAAGTACTATGTATTTAAACTCGCACTAACTAATATGCCCATGATCACAGACGTTCTATAAATATCAATCGATAAATTCTACCGACCGACTATTAAATCAATTTATTTCTTACACAGAGGTGTTCAACGTTCCAAGGGTTCAATCAAGCGTTCCAGGAAATATTATTTTCCTCTGTGCATCCACAACAAAAGCATCGACTGGGTTGAGATAAGACGCACTTTCAAAAATGTATTTGCAACAAATCGTGCATATGAGTAAAAAAAGTAGATCATGCATTCATGCGTAATTCTAAATGTGATGATAGTTTACCCTACAGAAACAAATCACAATGTTGACAATCCACTTTAAAACATCAAGAAATTTCTATATCTATCTTAATATGTACTTATTTCTGCTTTTACCTAGTTTTATTAATTTAAACAAACGATATAACAGTTACTTCTGAAAATCGATTTTCACTAGATAACTCTAATTTTCACCTATATATTTCAGACACAATTATTAATTCTCAATAAAAAAAAAATTAAGTTAACTCTAATTGTAGCTTTAACGTAAAGGGTTTGTGGGACCTGATTTTGACAGATTTCAAGATTTAACTGTAAGATACTTTATTTATATATTTGCATTTTTAATTTCTATAAAAAGACCTTCGAGTAACTTAAAACTAACATATATACTGATATAATATTAAACTATAATTTACAAAATATTAATAAATAAAACACTAATTTTGTTTTAAAATTGTGCAAGAGTGTTTAAAGCTTTTTTAGTTGTTTTAAAAAAAATCGTATTAGGTTTAATTTATTTAATTTGGTTATTTATTTATTTTTATTTTTTGACAATACTATACACTATAACGTATTCTTCGATGTAGACGATTGTTTTAAACGAGCATCCATACCCTGCGAAACGTGTTCACTTCGACCGTCAAACATAGTATACTCATTTCACTAACGCAACTATTATTTCATTTCAAATATATAGGTACAATCAATAATTGACCAGCACCACAGAAAAGATCCTTCCGAAGGAAGGTCAGCTACTAAAGTGCGTTTCCAGGAAGAGACCACTGCGGACGACGAAGTGAAAAAATCAAAACCCGTAAGTCGAAGATGTGATAAGTATATCTATAATATAATTCCTAATGAATATATAATATAGCAGGCGAAAAGCGTAACATTTATGCTCGTTTATTATAGATGGAAAGTGCATTCAACGTTGACGATAATCGGACGGCTGCTAATGGAGAGAAACCGAGAGTGCTGAAAGAGACGTCAGACTCGTCTACTTCTACTATGAAACCGTAAGTATCAATAATATCTGAACGCTTATTGGCTTATTATCGTACCATTTGGCCCAGTTCAACTAATTACATTCGATATTGCAGGGACGAGGATAATGTGAGAAGAATGCATACAGCTGTGAAACTAAACGAAGTCATTGTCAGTAAATCGAGAGACGCTCAATTGGTTATATTCAACTTGCCGGGACCGCCTAAGGACACGAAATTGGAAAGAGAATCGAACTGTATCCTTTTCTTATATTTACTACATATTTACACCTACCGGCACAATTGTCGATTAATCAGTTTATTTTCGAAACGCATTTCGAGTTTTCATTTTAAAAAAACATGTTTTACTGGATATATCTTTAACAAATTACTTTTATAGACATGGAATTTTTAGAAGTAATGACCGAAGGCCTCGACAAAGTGCTGATGGTAAGAGGCGGTGGTCGCGAAGTGATCACAATTTATTCATAAGTTACCTGACGAAGCTCACGTCTCGTCCGTCAGGTACGGTTATTTTATACTCATCGTTTACACTAATTTTTATGTTGGCCGGCAACTTTCTCAACACGCCGGACGCTATCTATCGAACGGTTTCGTTTTTATTCGCATACACGTTTTGTTCGTTTTTATTAGTATTATATAATATTATTATTACTACATTAAACGTATAATTATTATTATTATTGTTGCACATATTTATAAAAATTGTTCATTATTGTATTTGATAAAAAAAAATCAAAAAAAAAATCACTATCACCGTTTTCTAAAATAATATTATCGTTATGATTTTTTCGTACTCACCCTCGATCTCGTGTAGGTGCCCAAAAAATTTGACATTATTTACAAATTGACGAAACAGTGACAAAACCTTTAAAAAAATAACAATATGCGATTGTTCACAAAATACCGAAAACTTCGAACTGTTTTCACGTTTACCCGTCAAAATCGGCTTTAACTTAACACGGACATCGGACGAATCGTCTTCGCCTTGTAATTTAGCGTAGTAATATTGCAGGTCATTTTTTAAACGGTTGTTTTTTTTTTCTTTATAGATATAGGTATCTATCTACCTATATATATAGGTATATATAGGTAGATACCTATATCTATAAACAGACACTGTGGTTAAACTTTGCAGTGGATAAATATTTCGAACGACCGGCTGTATCCACAATAATGATACTATACTTAAAATTTCGAAATCGAGTCTTTCTAAATACCTACACTTACGGAGCTTTTGATTTTTTTTCTAAGGAAAAATGAAGTGGACACACGCCGTGAATGTACACTAAAAAAAAAAATGCCCTGTAATATTGTAAATAGTGCGCCGGCAGATGTACTCGTATTTCTTTTCAAATTGCTGTACATATTTTTCATTAGCAAGTCGACCGTAATGGTTATGGACATATTTTAGAATATTTACGAGCATAACATTAATTGTTTTAATTTTTTTTTTTCTTATCGGCCGTGCGTATTTTGCGAGACCTGCCGGCGGCGGCAACATTCAGTCGATCGCGTGCGCGATTTAGGTTCTAAAATTATTATAATATTATTATGTAATATACTTATAAACCGAAACCGACCGGGCCATGTCTACTTAAACTATAGTTCGTCGACCTAACACACAAAATAATATATCACACACCCAACACTGCGTATATTGTATACATTGCGTACAAAATCCTTCAAAAATTCACTGCCAATTTCATTTTAACGCCACCCCCAACCCTTCCGCCGTCCCCGCGACCCACGCGTATCGCCCCGTGGGCCTATCTTCTATCCCCGAATAGGGTTTTGTTTTTTTTCTTAATTTTAACGCGTGCGTTAAGAGCAATGACAATTATTGTTACGTTTATTACCAGTTTTCAGTGTACCTATATACGCTAATAAAAAAAAAAAGAAAAAAAAAAGAGAGAAAATTAATAGTAGTATTATTCGTCTCGTCACTAGCATTTTTTTTTTTAATTTTTTTTTTTTCGGTTTTAGTCCGACTGAATAACAAAAACAAATTTTAAAAATAGTTACCATTTATTAACCGGCATTCCTTATATAAATTGTACTTACACATAAACGCTTCTAATAAACATAATATTATTTTAATCAGTTGTTGTTCTGACATTATAATATTATTTAATATTGTTGATACGGTTGTCGATTTATACTATAAATACAGATATATTAACAATATTTTATTTCAAAGTTATAATATTTGCATTTAATTTAGTTTGTTTGAATATTGTTGTTCTTTTATGTATTTTCGTTTTTTTTTTTTTTTTTCGTGGCATAGATGTATAATTTTTTTTCCGTTCTCCGTTTTAGATAATTATATTTTAACGCAAAGTTGTAATTGAATATTATTATTATTTATTTCGTTATATATATATATACATTATATTATTATGTATTATATAGCAATTATTATATTATATAGTTTAAAACTAATCGTTAACGAACAAAATATTATTATAAGTATAATATTATATTATATTATTATTATATTACCTATATGATTGATATAAATCTTAACCCGTTAAGTATATATTATAATATATATCTCTAAGTATATAATATAATCGATTTCCTTATATTATATATCGTTACGATATTACGTTAAACAAATATAACTTATAATATTATGAGTTATATACGGCATCGAAGTGTCTTATTATATCTAAAAGTATGCTTTTTTTTCATATAAATATTTATAATTATAGTTATTTAGTGTAAAGGAACTAACGCGATAAGTATCAGCTGTTTTAAAACGAAATTATATTGTTGTGTTCGTTTTTGTTTTATATTTATAATAATTTCATTATATATTATGCGCAGCGTACCTATATACCTATGTATAACTTCGTCGATTTAAATATTGCAATAAACATTATCCGTATCCGCCTACTTAAGTATATTATTTTATCGGATCGATAAAAAATTGATCGAATAAAATTTATTTTCGATGTAAATCAATCGAACTCCTTGTATACATTTTATTAAATTAACATATCTCGAAAATAATTATTCAATATGGAACATTACCGGCTAAATGCCGATATCATTTTAATAATAATAAATCGATTTAAAAATCATGGAAAACGGAAAATTATTGCAATCGAAAAATCACGTGAAGTTTTGCGGTATATAATCGCTATAAAATTATTATATTATTAGTTATATTTTACTGTGAAAGATTTTAGTGAAACCGTATAATTATATAGATATAGCCACCGTATATTCTTAGATAATGTTATTAATTATGTATATTATTACTATAGTTTGAACCATCTCGGTTTTCGTCAGTTTAAGGGCTTTCGGCCTGTACATTTTTATGCATATGTTCGGGCTAAAAATCTATCTTTATGCCCGCAATTTCATTTAAACGCAAGTTATATAATATGTTGTGTCGGGGGAAAAAAAAATCCTAAAAAGTTTGTTACCCATACACAATTTGGTAGCCCCGTATATAATATTAGTAAATTTAATACGTATAAATTATATTGTTAATTGTTGTTAATAATTACGTACAATACTATTACACCGTCAATGATAATTCTAATAATATAGGTATTGTCGTTAAATTTATGATAATAATAATAACGCTGTTATATATACTTAATACTAATAATTACTTACCACAACAAATTTTAGTATATTATATTCGGTTTTTTTTTCTCTTAAAAACCATTGATAATACTATTGATTTTATTTGTCACACAAAATTAATATATACTATAATATTATAACATTATATTAATAATATTTTACTAAACGGTTTCGCTACGTAAAATCCGTGCAGCTTCAGTATAATAACAATTAATCAATTATAATACTATATTAGCCGTCGGAATAGTTCTGTTCGTGGACATAGTGACTATAATTTTGTTTTTTCGTTTTTAATATTTTTTTGTAAGTCAATTATTAATTTATTATTATCATAATATTATATTATAATCTCTATTATTACTGTTATTATTATTATTATTATTGTTGTTGTTAATAATGTCCGAGGCAAATGACGGACAAACTCGACTTATATCGTTTAAAAACAAAATAAAACTGAGTACGAAACGATCGACGACGTTCTACTTCACGTGATAATATTATAAAAAAAAACCTTGGAACAATTTCGCGGGTAACGACTGTACATAATCTTATAAAATAAAACAGTTACCCCCGACCGATTATAAATGTACATAATATTATAGGTATAGGTAGTTTTAGGTTTAGATATAAATAGGTGTTTATAGTGCCATTGTCATTCTTTTTTTTGTTTTTTGTTTTTTTGTTATTTTTTTTTTAATAGACTTTATAGTTTGAAAATATTGTTGAAATTTGACATGCCTAAAAATAATTAAGTATATAATATATTTATAAATAGCTACGCCAGTTTCCGGTAGTCTATCTTTTCGATTTATGACTTTCGGTATACATTATAATGCGCATCGTATTGGATTATGAATAAAGAATAAATATTAATACATTACAATTACATATTTTATTATTATTAAAACTCTATTAAAGACGCTATTATATGGATAGCATATTATTATGTTTACATTTATTAGTGATAAGATTTGTATAAAATTTCATTTAAATTCGATATTTTAATTCAATTAATATTGTTATAACGCGCCTCTAAAACTGCAACTACGTTAAATCACCCGAGTATGCTTTTAATTCAATTTTCTTTTTTCAAGACTATTCTCTCCGTCTACTTAACTCCCCTCCCCCCTTCCCCTTCTAAAATTCCGACACGGTACGAATTTATTCTATCGGTAAGCATAAAATATACACGCGTTCGCGATTGGCCTGTTTTTATTAAACGCTTTGGCCTGCAGTATGGATTAAATAAAAACAATTATGCTATTCGGCTTGAATTATAATAATTCAATAATTGAGTCGTAATATTATACCCGAAAATGATAAAACGAAAATTCGATGTCATAAAATCGTTCGACTGTTCAATGTTAATTTTTATTAGACGCGAATATCTACCCCCATGAAATAGTGTGCAGTACAATTTTAAATTATATTTCAATAACGACTTTACAATTACACGTTTATTACAAGTTCAATAGTAATGAACAAAATTTAAAAACGATTGTCTATTGGATTATTCTACTATACTTACTTATTATAATATTATATAAGTACATTCAATTTTTAAAAACCCGCTCAATAATTAGATTTTGTTTTTGAAACTAAATTTCAATAATATTTACTTAGAGTAATGTTCTATCCAAAAATTATTGGCGAAGGCTAAAAAAATTTATTTTAAAAATTTATAATAAACGAATAGAATTTTACAAATTGTTTACTAATCGCCTACTTTTAATAAAACTAAATAATAATATTGTATAGTTATACCTATACTTTTAAAATAATTTTTATGTGCCAATTTGCTTAGTCGTTTTAGTATACTTATATTTATAATACATACATACATGCATACAATTACATAATTAACTCCCCAACTAATTAAAATTCTGTAATCAATATACATATATATATATATATATAGAACTACTACTACCTGATACAAATTGTATATCATAAACAATAATGACATTAAATTCGATTAATATATAAGTAATATATTATATAATATTCAAGTTACGACTAATATATAAGTAATATATTATATTTATATATATACAAATTATATTACGTGTCAATGCACTTATTTTAGTAGTTGACGCACTGTTGTAAGTTGTTAAAACAAAAATTAATATTCTGTTCCTATGTATGAATTTTTGAAAAATAATGTAAAAACAAAAAACAAAAAAAAAATGTAAAATTAGTGATTATAACTATTCGTTTGTTATTTTCAAAAAAAAAAATTGTTTTTATTTTCCTTTTACTATGTGTTCCTGTTGAAATTATAAAAATCTATATGGCGTCAGTGGCATAACAAATGTATTTTCAATACGCCTATGAATCACGGTTGAAATTTAATGGGTGGTTGGATGTAAGTTTTCAAGAAAAACGTCAACAATAGGTATTTGGTGATGAATATTAATCAATATCAACAAATGGATTAATATACTATTTAGTCAATTGTCAGGTATATATTATGTATAATAATGTATTATAAGTATAAAAATGTAAACAGGCTTTTCCACGATGGAACTATAAATATGCTTCATAGATCTCCATCATTAACCATTGAATTTAATTAATCCAAAGATCAAATTTTAGTCAGACAATTGACATTAAAATTTAAAACTGGCAATATAATTTGGCGATCAATTGTTTTACACCACTATACGCGTGACTTGCACAAACATAGTTAAAACTAGGCTTGAACGCTATTGGGCATAATCAACTTGAGACCTTGGGCTTAAAAAACATCAGTTCCTACTTAATTATAATTAATAATTTTCTATTAGTTGACTTTTAAGGACATTTGACCAGATAGATAACAATAAAAAAAAAAAATACTAAGGAAGTATTTTATAAAGAGGCGGGGTGGATGCTAAAATATATTATGTTTCTGCATCATTGTTCATAGGGGCGTCATCTGACTACATCCCGATTCGACCTTTTTAACACTTGTCGAGTTTCGATTGCATCCGGTTTTAACAGGTATGCATCCGCAATTGCGTCCGGCAATATCATTCTAATTACTAAAAATCATACTATACTACTTATGATATTATATCAATGGCGGATCCAGGGGAGAACACAGGGGCACGTGCCCCCCCTGTAAATGGACTTCAGTTTTTATTTATATATTTGATATTAATTTAATATATAAATTATAATTAATTTACTGAAAGTATAAATAACGTGTCTGCCCCCCTTTAAAAAATTACTAGATCCGCCGCTGCATTATATTATTGTATTAGATATAAAATTAATAAATTGGAACTAAAACTGTTTTGATAATTTTTGTATGATATAAATAGTGCGTTTTGTACACAAATTATTGAAAACATTACATTTATATTATATACAGCCAAATATTCAACGTGGTACCTAATATAGCGTACAAATCTATAATAAACGTGAAATAGTTTTACAGTTGAATCTCATATCTTTTTTATTGTATTTTCGATCAATATATAATAATAATTTATGTGTATATCATAAATACCTATTCATTAACCCTACAGAGGCTACACCAATATTTTTGAATATATATATTTAGTGCACAAAGTGATTTCAACTTAACAGCACGTACAAAATGACCACAATGTTAAGGAAACAAAATTAAATAAATTGCTGTTATCTAGAATTAAAAACATTAGTTCTATACAATGTTAGCCAATAATATTACTCATTGAATATTGTACTAAAAAGAAATGCATGTGTTATTCAAATAAAATTGGACTAGAATGCTCCGAAGTACAGTGGGGCCGAAGCCTATCATTATATGTATAGCGCTAACCACCTATCCACCCAACAACTCACCCATCTACAGAAAATGCATACATTTTCTACTAAATATAAATAATTTATTTCCTAGGTATATAGTGTACCCAGTTATTCCCACATGATTGTTTATTATTCCCCATTGATAATCGCCGGATGCAATCGAGAATGGTAATAAAAGGTCAAAAGGGACGCAGTCAACATACTCGATTTTTCGGTATTATGTATTTACGCCGACGGTAAAAATGTCGACGGGTATATATGCCGACTAGAATTTACGCCGATTACATTTTTTTTTAATTGTTTGTTTGCCCTGAGAAGAACAGTTTTCAGAGTTAAAAGAAAAACTAGTTTGACTAAACTAAGAATCATTGGTATCATAACTTCCATAACCTTCAACAATTTCTTTCATCCGCAATGCTGTGTCCCGATAGTTCCTTCGTCCATATGTGAAGCTAATTCAGTAATATATTAATTAATTTGAAATTCATTGAGACTGCTGATTGTTCAGACCCTCAATGAATTTCCAAGTAGAAAGATAATTTGGTCCTAAAAATGAACTGAATCCCCTATGCCAGCCTTCAACTGCATTGTTTTGGGAAGGTCATTAAAAGTTGATTTATAGCAGTTCCAAAGACTGAGCTTGAATCTGGGAGACATTCGTCCAATACCTGTTCGTCGAGGTTTATCAAACAATCCGTGTTGTTTCAAAATAGTCCACCAAATCAGTCAGCAAGTCCTCGTTGTCAATATAGAATTCAGTCTGAAAGAGTGTGAAAACACTCTACGACATCAGGCTCTGAAAAGAGCCCCTAATTTTCTAACGTTCAAGGCAAAATGTGGGTTATCCTTGTCCTTATACTGCGATCTAATATGATTGAATGCGTTTATTTGAGCGTTTTCAAAATCGGTCATAACACTGACTGTCTCCAGTTCCTAGTTTGAGTAACTTTATTTTATCTAATACACGCGAATACGTTTCCTGGTTAGAAGAACATTATTATATTTTATGGCGTGATTGTAAAAACTTGTTAGAAAAGCGACGGTGCCGTCTTGAAAGTACCATCAGCAATGGTCACATATAGCCATCTGGTCTAGATTTGCCTGTGTGCTTAAGATAATAATTCTATTTCCTGAAGCACCACTGTCAAATTGTATATATTATTCTCCAGTCACTATCAACAAATATTTTTTAGGAATTACCGAATCATACGTATTTGTAGGACAAGACATAGCTCTCGCAGCTTTCTGTCGTACATTAAGCATGTTGCGTTTTTGTGTTTTATACAGGTAACAAGAGGGATAACTCCAGCCACTGATGCTGGAAGGCCTAATGTAAGCCAGGATTTGCTGCGGTGTATCCGTTTGGGCCTTTTGTTTAACTTTAGCCATTACCTCCTTTGCTCGGACTTTTACCACGTCTGATACATGGTTATGCTTATCATTATTTTCGTAAATGACCGTGTTATTAGCTGTCCATACTCGCCCCCAACAATTTTGTTTATTATAATGTCACATTTCCAAATGTGCTTGTCTTTAGCTGCTTTGTCAGTTGTATACAAAAATCCTTGGTACACCAACTGTTTATTGCCCTTCTGACTTAATACAAATTGGAGTGACATGGTGGTAAAAGTCTGTAGGATTAAATTTTTGGGTTATACCTGCTTTAATGTTTGATGGAGAAGTGAGCTCCTCTCGGTCCGTACACCGGTATATGTATATACGAGTTGATAGTATATAATATACCAGCGCACGGACCGAGAAGAATTCATTTCTCCATCAAACATTAAATTTGTATAGTACTACGATTTTTTTTTTCTGGAGACAACTTTTCTACCGGCAAATTTGCTACAACTTTTAATTATAGCAATTTTTCTAAAAGAAAATTTCACTGAGGAGGTACTTTAGAGAGCTCATTTTTCGATTTTTTTTTTTTTTCCTGAGAAATTGGTTTAACATTAAACAAATATTATTAAAGCCTATTTAATTATTTTAATATGGCATATGTATTATTGACAAAGTATCACTATCAACTGAACTCTGCTCAGAATCGCTTTTTCGTAAGCAATGTTTTATCGTTGCTTACAGGTGTACATTAAATTACCTATAACAGTGGCTGCACCCATTCCCATTATCCTAAGACGTCTTTTTTTCTTTGTGAATTGGAATTACATTGCAGTCCATTTCGATATATGACTTAAGCACATGTAAAAACATAACTTTAAACTAAAAATTTAATTTAATTTAATTTCTGTAGATATATATTATGTTTAGGTATAGAGCGTTGCAAATTTTCTATAGATTATTACGTAGGTACCAAATTTTACGTAAACGTAATTTGTGTAAAGAATTCTGATAATGTCACAGAATTAAAATTAGTTTCAAGTTTTGACTGGTTTTTTGAAACCCTCAATATCAGTTATGTTGTAAAATAAGTATTTTCCTATATACAATTATAATAATAGATACTAACGAAAATTGAACATTACCGGGGGGGGGTTAAATGATATGCTTGTTCCATTATACTTTGAACTCCCACTCAATACTCCCACCTCGGAGCCATTGAGTAAATGTCCACATTTTTTTAATTTGTCAACATTCACCAATTTGATCACTAAGTGACTGTCAGCATTTACCAATTATTATTCTAGACATTCACTATAACAAAGTTGCAATAAAACGTAAAATACATGAATCGTAAAATCACGAAAATTTTAATTGAAACAAAATAGCATTGTTGTCACAACGATAAAATACAAACTATTGAATTAAAATTATCAATGTGAATTAACTTTTTCTTATCACGTTTATATTCGCCCCGTAGTTCCTATCATTAATAAAAAATAATAACATTACATTTTAATGACCTCATTTTACAGTACCATATGCGATTTATAAGTATACTTATCATAGCATGTTATCGAAACTTTGAAAACGCTTAAGATTTACAAATAAAAAAATAAATAGTACCCAAAAAAAAATGCTAATAATGTTAATGGGTGGGCCATTATTGTAGGGAAGAAGTAAGGAAGGTTATTACAAAATTATTACAAATTTTTTTTCATTAGCAATGGTTTATTGTTGGTTACAGATATAAATTAAATAACTTTATAAACCCTACCTTCCCAAATTCCAAGCAGACAACAATTACAAACCCATCCGCAGTATCAGCTCATTTTTTTTTTTTTTTTATCACTAATTACGACCAATAATAAACCTCTTGTTAAATTGTCAAGCTATTCTATTTAATCTAACAATTTTATCCACAGAATACTACTAAATTAAAATTACGAACTTCGCAAAATTAAAATACCTAAAATGTCTCGATTATTTTGAAAACTTACCATAGAAGAAAAGCAAATATAAGTTTTCTATCAAAATGTTAAGTCTCTATAGATATTTTTAACTGAATTACAACAAAACGCCTAAATTAAAAATAATAAAAACATTATTTACATTAATTTCCCTGTTCTTTCTACATTATTTTTTTAGTCTTTCTCAACTATTAGAAAAACAGCAGAGAAAATAAAAAAACGACTTTCTACACGAACAACTAGATCAAAGATTCAATGAAAAAAAAGTCACTTGGAATTTTTTGGTTAAAGCAATATTTCTGGCAGAAAATATGTGCGTACAAATTGAAACCAATGAAATCGGTAACGCCGTGGTGTGTCACATATTTGCCGTTTTTCCAATAGTTATTTTCCCGGTTTTTTCAATTATGAAAATAAAAAAATTACTTCCTTCCCAATGCATCAACTAGATAAAATTTCCTTCAGAAAAAATGCTTCACTTGATACATTGGAGTAAGATTTCTAGTAGAAATTTTTGTCACAGCGTAAAAAAATAATAACAATAAACATCATTATAAAACTAATAGCATTGATTATAAATACTATAATCAATGCTAATATGTACAATATTCTACGTTTCACTCAGAATCTACAAAATACAAATAAAAACACACATCATAGTAGAAACCAAAAGATCCTTATCTACACTCCAAACCAATGGGAACCGAACCAATGAGATCCATCGTTCTGCTCTAAATCTAAAATCAAAAATTCCGCATAATTCTCAGAATTACAGCCCCATACAAATGTCACGAACTCATAAATAAGGGAAAATTAAATGAAAAAATGCATTAATATCCCGTTTCCGTTAATAATTGTTGATTGTCGTTTGGCACGTACACAAATCCACAAATATAGATAATATTATAATATTATATAGGAAGGTATATATTATATTCGGTGCACAAATTACACCTGTATTATCTATCGCCCATTTTGATAACTCTTATCAATTACTTTTCAAAATGCTACAAATTACAAAATATTCATAAGTCTTCTAATAGTTTATTTTGTTAATTACTGTCTATTGTTTTCCATTTAAAACTGAATTTAAAAAATAATAATAATTTTCGTAGTACTGTTTTTACGTACTGACATGTTACTTTTAAATTGTTCTATTCATATTATTTGTTGTACACGTTAAGCTGACTATTTTTTTTGTTTTAATATTCGAATAACATTATAATAGCTTCTATGGGTATGTGAATGCACATCGAATTATTATAGTCGTAAAAAGTACTTATTTACGTTTTTTTTTAATCGACATCATTGACATCAACAAGAATAATGGAACGTGATTACGCCCCTTTGAGTGCTGCGTGCGTACGGGCATTGAACGATAAGTTGTATGACAAGAGAAAAGCGGCAGCGTTAGAAATCGAAAAGTAAGTGTTGAACGATCCGTTATACGAATACCAACTTATTACTTAAATTGCTAATATGTCATTTTAGGATGGTCAAGGAATTTGCTGCTGTCAACAATTCCATGCAAATTAGACGGTTGTTAAAAGTATTAGGGCATGACTTTGCGATGTCCAAAAATCCCAATACTAAAAAGGGAGGCCTCATAGGACTTGCTGCCTTGGCTGTCGGACTTGGAAAAGTATCCGTATTTTGTTTCCGTGATATTTTTACGTAATAAACTAATTTATAAAACTATTGAAATCTAGGATACTGTTAATTATATTGATGATTTAATTATACCTATATTGGTAAATTTTAATGACTCTGATTTAAAAGTCCGATACTATGCCAGTGAATCACTGTATAACGTTTCTAAAGTAGCTCGCAGTGCCGTACTAAAACATTTTGCTGAAATATTCAAATCTTTAAGTAAATTAGCCACTGATCCAGATCAAAATGTAAAAAATGCTTCAGAACTTCTGGATCGTTTAATGAAGGTATGTATAAAAGAATCTATCTAGCAAATGTTCATTTACACATTAAAACTGATTAATTTTTTTTTAAGGATATTGTTACTGATAACTCAAGTGAATTTGATCTTATTAACTTCATACCATTATTACGAGAGCGAATATATACAGACAATACATTTGCGAAACAATTCATAATTTCATGGATAACTATATTGGATGATGTCCCTTCAATTGATTTAGTAGCATACCTACCAGAAATATTAGATGGTCTATTTAAAATGCTGTCTGATCCAACATTTGAAATTAAAAAAATGTAAGGAAAAAAAACATACAATAATACTAAATAGAATAAAGTAAGATAATTCTCATGATATTTCTTTAAGCGTTTGTAACAGATATACCTATTGTCGGTAAACTGCAAAGTTACATCAACATGTTACATGTGGTACAGAAATATCATGAGAAATATCCTATGAAAATATCGACCTATTTTTGAAAGTATTATCTTGGAATATCAAATTGTGTACATTTAATATCTTCTATTTTTGAAATAAATATTAATTGTCAATTGTTCTGTTATTAAAACAATCATGTTGATATATTATGAAAACTTCAATATTAATATTTACAGGTGTGATGCAGTATTAAAGAAGTTTTTGGGAGATCTACATCAAAACCCTGAAAAAGTAAAATACACAGATATGATAAATACTGTGGTAATTTATTCATATTATACTGATGAATTTGTTCAGGTGTGTAATACTTTATTTTTGTCATTCACCTACAAATATACTTATTTGGTTTTTTTTGTTTTAGTATACCGCTATGTGTTGGATCAAAGAATTTATTGACATTTATGGTTCCAAAATCTTACCATTTACTTCTAGTATTTTAAAAGCTTCATTGGCATCAAATTCAAACCAAGACAATGAATCTCAAATTCGTAAATATTATTTTCATACTATTTCTAACATAAATGATTAATATTAAACAAAATTCAAGTAATAATAAATCATCTTAATGTTTAGCACAACTTTGATATGTAATTAAAACATGTTTTCATTATGTTTCCTATGATAATGAATATGCCACATCAGTTGTCTAGTTTATGTATTGGTTAACAAATATACTTATTACCTTTATTTGTTTAAATTAAACAGATGATTAAATAGCTAACAATCTTACATAATTATAGTTTCTTTTATTAATTAAAGAATTTGTGTTTCTTGAATTAATAGGTATCAAACAAACAGCTAAATTAGTCAATTCAACTTTGCTAGAGCTTATTAACAGTGTAGATGACAATATTCATAATACAGAAGAAGTTAAACAAGAAGTAATAACATTAATGACGAAAAAATAAAAAATATTTATTAAATTCTAACTTTAATTAGGGTGAAAATCTGGATCTTACATCAGTCATTACTGTGCTTATCAAAGAATTAGGTGGACCAACAATCGAAACTAAAATAACAGTATTAAAATGGATTTATCACTTGTTTATTCATTTACCAAATAGAGTAAGTAGGTAAGGTAGTAGGTTATATAGCAAATTGCTATGTTATTATATTTAAATATTATGTCTTATTCAATTACACAGATGTTAGTGCATATGGAATCAATATTTCCTTTGTTGTTGACAACACTATCATATCCTAATGAAGAAGTAGTACAAAATGATTTAAAAGTCATTGCAAAAATAATTTCTCCATCAGCAACTCAAACAAATAATAAGCAGTATTTTGACAAATTTATATTAAGTTTATTGAAACAATTTTGTTGCGATCGGACATTATTAAAAGACCGCGGTCAATTTATTATTAGGTTTGTGTATTTATTTATATTGTATTCATTGAATAAACCTCTATAACTTGTTTTCAGACAAATATGTGGTTTATTAAACTCCAATGATATTTATCGTTCATTATCTACATTCCTGTTGGATGAGGAGAATATGAAATTTGCTTCTGTAATGATAGGAACATTGAATACAATATTGCTGACATCTCCTGAATTGTATGATCTTCGAACCCAATTGAGAGATATTGAGAAACAAGTAAAAATATTTTTTGAACATTCAAATATAAATATGAAAGTTTTTTAGCGTCTAATTATAAAACTATTATCTGATTATTATTGTTTCTTTAGTAAACTATAAGTTAAAAATAAAATGAATAATATAATCCTATTCTGTTCTTTTATCTGCTATAATTTTTTTTTTTCTTTTTCATTTAACCAGCAGATAAGCTTGTTCATTTTTACATAATTTCAACTTAAATAATTTTTTAATTTCAGGAAAATCGAGAAATATTTCTGTGTTTATTTCGACCATGGTGTCATAATCCAGTAGCGGCGGTGGCACTATGTCTGCTGACTCAAAATTATTTTCTTGTTTGTAAGCTATTACAAACTTTGTATCCTTTATTAGGAAAATTAGATACACAATTTATATTCATGTTTTACTTAGCTTATAATTAATTATAATTATTATTGTTTTGTAAGTCTAGTTTAACACAAATATTCCTTAATAATTATTCATTTAGTGCGTCAATGGATGTCACCATTGACTTACTTATCGAAATAGACAAATTAATTCAACTATTGGAATCTCCAATATTTATATGTAAGTGGATATAAAAATAAAGATAAAAAAACAAATATGTAAAATATTAATATTTTCAGATTTGAGAATGGAGCTATTAGACGAACCAGTTAATCATTATTTAATTCAAGCACTTTATGGACTCCTAATGATAATGCCTCAATCTGATGCATTCCATTTATTGAGACATAGATTGAAGTGTGTTCCTCATTTACGAATAGGGTTGGAAAAGTGTGTATTATTAATTTTTTCTGTACAAATTGAACCATTTAAAATATAATTCATCGCTGCAGTCCAGTGTATTTTATGTTTACTTGATTGCATTTATTTTAGTGTTTAGGATTTTAACAATGATAGTTCATAAATAATTTTAATTGTAATTAATAATTCTAATTATCTACTCTTTCAAATACTAATATCAGTAATATCTAAAAGAACACACATACAGTGTTATGAATTCAAAATTGTATTTTTTTTTTTTTATTATTCATAGGTCTGGCTCTGTAAAAGTTGAAAAAGATTTAAAAGACGGAGTAGAGGGAGTTTTTGACACAAACTCGATGCTAAATCATTTTACCTTACTTCAAGAAAAACATAGAAATTATCGAAAAAATGCAGATTCCAGTTCTCAACTCGACAAAACTATTGCCAAAATTGATATACAATAATCATCATTACTATTTGAGTTATTATATGTTATTAGCAATTTTTTACATTAACAAAGACCAATAATAACATTAAATTTATTTTGTGCTATACATTTTAATTAATTATAATTCTATTGTTGTTATTTATTTTAGAATGACTAGGATAATTCCAAAATCTATTTTTAAATTTATTAATAATTAACATATTTAATAATCTTGACCATTATTACATTAAATTTAAATATGAATATTATAATTTGATTTATATATTTTACTATTGTTTTATTATTTACGCTACAAATTATTTATTTATGTAACATTTTAAATAAAATAATTATTATTGTCATCAATATATATTTTCATTTTTCATACGTTTATACAATTATTACAACAATCCTCACTCAAGACAACTTTCTAGAGTCAACAATAAATGATTTTATCATCTGATCCAAAACATTTGTTTTATTTGCAAAACCGGACGGGACAGCTTGTTTAATATAAATAACACAATAATAAATTGTAAAGACCTATACATAACAAAACATTTCTAAATCTAAAATGTAGCAGTAACAGAAATGACCTACACTTAAAGGTTTCCGTCTGTACTTTTTTACTATCCAGGTGTCTACTGTTTTTTTTTTTTAATGTATTGGTTTTTTACAAATGTATACCTACACCAGCTAAGTATTATTAAAAACCTACTCAATATAGTTAAACATGCATTTCTCATTGGTTAGATTTTTGTAATTGATACAATTTATTTAGATGATATTGAGAAGGAGAGGTGATTTTTAAAATGCATATAAGGCACACATTTATAACGAATCAAGCTAAGAGCATATTCAAGAGAGTCATGGTGAACAGGAGAGGGGGTAGTATGAACGCCCTCCCTTGGTCCACTACTGATATCTTAAAACATTTTAAATATCTAGATTTCTAATTTTTGACTGTATTTTTATTTATTGTCACAATTGTCAGAACATCTTGACAACGTTAAATGCAGCACTTTATCCAATTTAGCGGCAAGGCAATTGTCCTCTTGAGCAGTCTTCAAGTCTTTTTCTATATTTATCAACATCTCGAACATGCAATCAAACTTTTTGTCCTGTAATCAAATTAATAAATTATATTGAGTGGTGTCTGCTATCAATAAGTATCCATAAATTTGTATATCTAGGTATAAAATATAATATTTAGTGCAATTAACATATTATAGATTAAGAAGATAGGTAGATATATAATACATTACCAAATCGCTTTTACCGGGAAACTTTATCTTGCCATTATTGTTAACGATGTATGGACACTATATGTATAAAACGAGAATATGATCAATATTATTATAAATATAATAAAATGTGGAATAAAAATTTACTAGCTCTAAAAATGTTGTATACTAAAAAAAAATCTAATTTTGTGATTTTCTTTTAACATGTTTGTTTTTCAATAGATACCTAGGTAATTTTCAGTTAATCTTAACGGTACTGAAAGTCTTTAACTCGTGATGTTTTCAAAAATTACCACTCATACTTAGTTACTATTTTTTTTTTTTTTTATATATATATATATAAATATACACATATTTATTGCAATTTAAACATAGGTAAATTACAAAATGTCGACAACTAAAAACATTCAAATTCCGTAATTAAGCCACTTTGGTGAACAAACTTCTTAAGTCTCATTAATTAGGGTTCAGTTATTGGAAGACATGGTATTGGCATAGAAAAAGTTGGTGTGTAAAGATGAAAAAAAGCTTTTTAAATTTAACCTATTAAAAATAAGAAAAGAAGAGTAAATTAATAAGTGAAGGAAATCACAAACATTCCCACCGCAATTAGTGAGGGTACAGTAATAACTGTTGTTGATATTTAAATTATTGTATGTAGGTATACACATTTTTCGGCAGCATGTTGTAACCCATGCGCAGCCTTAGTAAACATTACAATTATTAAAGAATCACTGATGTGATCAAAAGTGATTTGAAACCATAAATGCATCTCCATGTGATATTAAGGGCCACTAGTTTGTAAACAGAAGCGTAAATTTCAAATAAACATTCCCATTTCTGCTTCCATAAATTCCTGATTAAACGACGGAAGATAGGAATTAGGTCAGAGTAAGAGCACAGTGTAGGACATGACAGATGTGCATTAGTCGTTGAGCTAACTAGGATATCACCTCGCTCGTTACCCAAGATGCCAATTATAATTAGCTAATTGATGGCCAGGAACCAACGGGAATTAAATGTGAACGGGACTGGCAATGAACAACACAAGTATAGTTGTATAGAACAAATTTTTAATATAGCTATCTAATCAAAAAAAAACCGATAATAATTAAACACATTAGCTAGCTTGTAAATTAGATATTATGAGGAAATTACCCGGAGGGAGCGACCCCTGATGCAAGTGAGAGATTCTAATTCACTGCATTCAGCTGTGAACGCAGAAACATAAAGAAATGATGGCAGCCGATTTAATACGGAGTTCGGGAAAAATAAATGCGTAACCTACTCTAGTAGAATTAACTCAACCGTCGGTAAAAACTAAAAGCTACACTACTAGAGGAATGATTTTTTTATTTAAGCAAATTGATAACTGATAAACTAATAAATTTTTAATAAATAGATAGCACTCTATAATATAAAAAAGGGAAATATCTGGCGGCGAGATGACAAATATTCTTGAAATTTTGGCTAACATACAGACAGTGGAATCGGTAGTTAGAAGTTCAAACCTTCCAATGGCATCTTCGACAATAATTCTATTTATGTACACAAATTTTAACCAAGTTACTTAGGTACTTAATTTCACGATTCTGTAAGGTGATTTAAAATCCTCAATTTCCTGTGAAAACATGAAACCTGAGCATAAAAAAAAGGGGCGGGAAAGAAGTTGAAAGTTGAAATTGCCAAAAGGCACATCAATAATACTTACACCATACAAATACAAAATGTCATCCCCCCTGGCTTTATTTGAGGGTAATTAGAGGTGCAAAAAGCTAAAAAAAAACACCACCCTTCCGCAACAACGTAGTTAAGTTCGTATTGAAATATAATTAAAATTTAATTACTTCAATCCGAGAGTAAAAAAAACTCTAATTCCTGAGTTTGAGTTTTTTTTTTCTGAGGAAACTGCTAAAAGTGCCCAAATGTACCGCAAGACAGATACCTACTATATATAGATATATTATACACCTATATGACAGACACAATACAGCGTAATACTATCTGTATTTTGGGGGAACATTCGACAAAAACACACAAATTTAAACCATTTAAAAAATATTAAGAAGTCAACGATTTACAAAAAATTCCAAATTTTAGGGGCTTTCCACTATAATTCGAAAAGTACCCATCTAATTACGACCGGCAATTTTCAAAAAAAAAAACATTCAAATTCGTTATTGAAAAAAAAAAAAATTAAACTAGGTCCGTGTAAACTAGATTTATTGTTTCAAATATCGATTAGTAGGTACTATTGTAACTTACTGTTATACACTGTTCCATAAATAAGTTTTTTTGAATCTATAATATGAAAACAATTTAGTATTATAGATATACCTAACAAATATAAAAATACACTAACTGAAATAAAAATTGGATGTTGATAATTTCAACTTACCGATTTTTCGAGTTCGGCTTGGAGCTGACAATTCATGTTAATTAAACATTGTTCGCGTTTCCTACAGATTTCCATTTGCCGTATCATGTTTTTGGCCTCGTTATTATTTATTATTGTATCGTCGAAAGTTTCCGGTTGTTGACAATTGGTTCTGAAATATTATATACTTATAACGATTAATAATTATTATTGTGCTCTTCTCGTCTCGCACAAGAAAAAAGTATCGCCGCAATATTTTGTTTTTACCTGGGCATATATTATAATTATAATTTTTTGCCACGTTTAATTTATTGCCAGACCGCTTAGTGAAAAATTATTTTTATCGGTTTGTAAACTACAAAATTAATGTACCTACATATTTCAATTATACACGTCTAGTCTTACACGATTTTTGTTCAGTTTTTACTGCAAATATAGAGACTTATCTTGATAATAGATCAATTAATTAATTCACTATAATATTAAAACTAACGGCACAGAGTTATACGAACATTTTCTTAAGTCGTACGGTTATATAAGACCATGGGAGAGACAACACATCATGCGAAGGTATGGCGTCCTCTTAACCGCTATTATGAAGAACGATTTATCTTCAATCGTGTTACGAAGTTTGCATATCATTGCTATTCTAATTCTAATTTTTGAACGTGTTAATTATCCTCTATTGAATAGATAAGATATAATATGGATGATTATTAGTGAGGGAGCTAGGGTGGCAGAGACGTAGATATAGATTAAATAACGAGAGGAGGGGCGAGGTTCTGATTAATTGTTCGGCATTTATAATAGAAGTACTTTGCCCCTGGTTAGGTTAAGTCGCTTTTTTATGTTTCGCTACATCAATAAATTTTAAGATAGCTGAAACTGCTCAAATGGTCATACAGAATAATTGCTAGGGTAGTCAGATTAAATATATATATATATACGACTTGTATTATAAATGTACTCTAAGGTGCGAGATTAATTCGGTGAGATTTTTACATTACCGAGATTTGAACGTCTCCTTTTTGCAAATAATATTTCTATTTCTATAATACAAATAGTAAAGGGGGGATTTGACTTAAGTGACGGAGCTCTGCAGATCACATATTTTTTTTTTCATCTAAATCGTTTTTACATTAAACGAAGGTTTTTTTATTACACTTACATACAGCCTTTGTCGCGAACGTTATTATCTTCATCGGGAATTTGATCAGCGCACCAATGATCGCATGGCTTGCAATTCTGCATAAAATAATACACGCGTAAAATATTACTGCAGATTTTATATGTATGAATATAATAAACCACCCCCCCCCCTAAAAAAAATGGGTTTTTTCACTATCCGCATTGCTTACACGTCTGCTGCATTGCGGATTATCGGGAGAAATGTACTATAGAGTATAGATAGGTGCCTAGTGCCTACCTACTTATATTTATGAAAACCGTCTGCCAGCGCACCGTTGGGTCATTTCCAGAAGACATTTTCCAAAAAAAAAAAAAATTTCATTCGTGATAAGTTAAATACATTTTATTATGGTTTTAAAATTAGTGTTTTATGGATACATTACTTTAAAATGCGCATTTATATGTTCCAGGCATTAGGTATACCTATGTCAGCCACGCCTATATCAGTAGGTAGGTATAACAAGTACCTATATTTTTATGTTGTATGATCGTAAAATTTGTTAAAAAAACGCGTTCACGCAAAACAATTTATAAACATCTATAATAAAATATTAAAACCGATAGACAAGACTGGTAGGTCCGATAGTGGACACCGGACAACGTTTTACCAATATCCAACACCTATCATAAATGCTAAAGTTTATATATATATTTAGTTTATATATAGGTACATATACTCGTGTGTACTTTTTGAAAAATAAATTAAGGTTAGATCTATCTATTACCTATTTTTTTAAAAGATATTTTGAAAATTGCGTAGATATGAAGTTCCTTTCGAAATACTATCCTCTATAGCTGACTACATACATAGTTACTTAAATGTTGTATAGGTATTTATATAAGTACTGGGTAGTAGGTACCTACCCAAAGTGTTTTATCTCTAAAATCTTTTCAACGGGTATCCACTTTTGAAAAGATTTTGCGTAAACATGTTTTTATTGGGTACTGAATATTTTCGGTGTGCGTAGTCCTCTCGAGTAACGATAGACCTATAGGTCTATAGTTAGAGACTCATAGACAGCGCATAACAAACCACATTTTCTATTATACAATTTTATCTACCTACCCGATATTAGTACGGCGTGTTTATATAGGTAGTGTTCGAAAGTGAAATACCTAATTAATTGTTACGATTCGATTTATTTTAAATGTTTCTTACTTCATCCGCCATTGTCTATATGTGTATGTATAATTTAGTTTTATTGATGTTGACACAATTTTTTTAATATAAATATACTATGGATGTTAGTCTAATAAGTATATAGTATATAAGTTCTATAGTATTCTATAGTAATACACTTGTCTATTTAGTTAGTAAATTTATTTATGAATAGTTAAGATTCTTTAGAAATTTGATTAGTAAAACTGTTTTTCAAATTTGTTGTTTTTTGTAGTACAATATTTCGTTGTCATAATAACTCGAATTGAATTATTATATCATGATTGGCGTTTGAATAGCCCGCCGCTATACTGTTGGTCACACTGTGCGGCTACTGTTTTCACTTTCAAGAATTCGGTGAATCACTGTGTTTACGTTCGATTTTTTTTTTCATCTAATCTATAGTTTGCAAAATGCAAAGCAAATTTCAGTCGGCTTCGTAAAATATTTGCCGTTTGGTGTTTTCCGGTCTATGGTGTTCCAGTATTATTTGTTGTATTATGTTCCATCGAAATATGTAATTTTCTAAACAATTATAAACGTTATTTTAGTTGTCATCAATTCATCAAATTAATCGTCTAGCCATTGAGATTTTAATGTCTCGTCCGTTCTACATATCTTTATAAATGTAAGTAAATTTACAATAATATCATTATTATCTTATTGTACCAAACATGTAGTTAGAAATTTATACTTTTTTTGTTGTTCTTATAGTTAGTCAGTGTTTTATTAATTTTATTTATTTCATTACGTTAGCTGGCTTGATTTTTTATTTGTAGTAATGTTGTTCAGGGGAGCTTTTGGGAGTCCAACTTTTTGGATGATAGTATGATGCAATTGGGAGGGTCCTATACATATATAGTTAGGGCAAATAATATTATATCCGCCTATATAATAATTGGGTTAGGTTTTTTGCAAGTTACAAAAAGAAACCAGTTATGTTTTTGTTTTTGTGCTAGCTTGTTGTGTAGAAAAAATGCAGAATCAAGAACATTTGCTACAAGAGATTGAGAGCATCGATGATTACTGGGGCCCAACTATCAGAGCCATATACGATCAGGACAATGACAGCCGCAAATTCATTGACATTTTGGACAACCGTATCAAGCATTATGACAAAGAAATTGAACGTATGTGTAATTTCTATTATCAAGGGTTCATAGATTCTATCAGAGAATTGCAGCAAGTTGAAAGTCAAGCGTCTAAGTTGAAAAACCAAGTAGTTCAGCTAAATTCTGATATACAAAAAATTGTTGCTGATGTCACAGATGCCGGTGAAGAGTTAGTGAAAGCCAGACAAGTTGAAAATAACATTGAAATGGCTATTGATAGTTTGTCTTTATGTTTACCTGCTCTTTCTTCATATAGTAAATTGCAAAAACAAATGGCCAGTAAACGTTACTATCCTGCGTTGAAAACATTGGAACAACTGGAACAATTATATTTACCACAAGTATCCCATTATAAATTTTTTAGGCGAATTATTGAACAAATTCCTAAGCTCCGAGAAAATATTAAAGATTCTTCTATGTCTGATTTAAATTGTTTTTTAGAAACCATAAGAAAATTTTCATCCAAAGTTGGAGAAGCTGCAATGAAACACAGTGTTGAACGAGGTGTCGAACAACAAAACTATGATTTTGGTTTGACTAAGTTGAAAAAGAAAAAAGATTCACCCGAAGATAATTCTGATGATGAAGACTCATTGAGTGCACAAGATCTTATTGATTTCTCACCTGTTTACCGTTGTCTTCATATTTGTACTGTATTGTCGTCGCGAGATACGTTTGATGCATATTATAGACAACAGAGAAGAGAACAAGCTCTCTTAACTCTTCACCCTCCCAACAACATGCACGAGTCTATTTCAAGCTATTGTAATTATTTACAGAGTATTGTAGGATTTTTTGTCGTAGAAGATCACGTATTGAATACTGGTAATGGATTATTGACAAGGTCTTATTTAGAAGATTTGTGGAAAATGGCATCTGACAAAGTGGTGAGCATAATGAGGACAAATACCGCATACTGTACTGATGCAAATTTACTCTTGAAAATTAAAGATTTAATTATGGTATTTTACATAACTCTTAGAAGTTATGGGTATCCTGTTAAAAATTATTTGGATTTATTACATGAAATACAAGAACATTACAACGAAATATTAATGCAAAAATGGGTTCAGGTATTTAGAGAAATTTTATACAGAGAAACATTTTGTCATCTTGAGGTTGACAACCAAGAACAATACGATAATGTTATACATACATTTCCCTATCAAGATGAACATTTAGAATCTCTACCATTTCCTAAAAAATTTCCATTTTCATCGATGGTGCCCAGCGTTTATGATCAAGTAAAGCAATTTATATTCGCTTGTCTAAAGTTTTCCAACGACCTTAATTTTAGTGAAGGAGAAGTCGACGAAATGGTTCAAAAATCTACAAAATTATTGTTATCTCGAACTTTCAGTGGATGCTTATCATCTGCTTTTCATCAACCCAGACTTGGTCTTTTACAAGTTATACAAATTATAGTTGATACTAGATTTTTAGAAAAATCATCAAACTCAATTCAAAAATTTGTGTCTGAGGCTACTGGATCTACTGGTGGTACTGTTGGGGATGATGCAGGGATTACATTAGGTGTTGCCAGAAGTGATGCTGAACATCATATGTACGATAAAATGAAATTGAAATTAAATGAGTTTTTGGATTTAGAAGACTATGATTGGATGTTAGCTGAACCGACTGGTCAAGCTTCATCATTTGTTACCGACTTAATTAACTTTTTACGGGTAGTTTTTAATGCATTAAGAAATCTCACTGAAGAAGTATCTGTTCATGTCTGTCAAGTGGCGTTTGAACACATTTCTAAATCTATATTGAATTTATTACTCAGTGATGATATCAAACAATTATCTATGGGTGCCTTAAATCAATTAAATCTTGATGTTATACAGTGTGAATTGTTTGCTGCATCAGAGCCCGTTGGGAAGACTGACGATCCGGATTTTTCTCAGCATTTTGCTCCTCTAAGACAACTCTTGGACTTACTCCTGAGTTGGGATTGGTCAACATACTTCCACGATTATGGCCAGGAGACATCAAAATATTCGCACGTTAAACCAACCACAGCCATTATTGTTTTAGAAAAATTAAAAGAAGCTGATAAAAAAAGTGTATTTTCAGTATTAAAAAAAAGTGAAAGGGATAAAAAAAAATTATTAGAAACTGTTCTAAAACAATTGAAACAATTGGCAATAACTGTTCAACAATAGCTAGTGGTTTAATTTTAAATAATATACTTTTTATTAATATTAACCAAATACCAATAAAACCCACCACCTGATATAAGGGTTAATATTATAGATTAACTTAATATTTATTCTAAAAAGAACATAATGTATACCCACATAGATAATACCAATATACCTACATATTAATTTATTAATACAGATATTAAGCTTTCTCCATTGATCATATTATTTTATATTATTATAATTTTTTACATAGTTTGCTAGAAGTTTGTTTTTATTTTATTTAAAAAAAAATTTTAAATCAGTTATTTATTTATTTATTTATTTATTAATTTATTTATTATTATATTGTATGAATTACCTAGTCATTTTGAACTAAAACAATGAATATTTTCTGTTCATTGTTTTTTATTTAAACATATTAATTTTAGTTCAGAATGACAATTTTTTTCACCATTGTATGTTCAAAAACCAAGTGACATTATTATTTAATAAATTGTATTATTATTAGATACGAATAAACAAATATTTATTATTAAATAAACTATTATAAATCAAATTTAGTGTTTCGTTCGATTTATAGGCTCCTTTTATGGTTAACATTTTAATAAATACTCCACTATCATTAAACTAATATACATGCAGTATTCATTTTAATTTCATAAATTTTACTAGGAAATTATTTTTCAATTTAATAACTACAAAAATAGTAAAACCAAAAAAATATATCCTTGAGTAGCCCTATTTTTACAAAATAATAAAGTGGAAAGTATAATTGTATACAATTAACATAGTTTAGTTTTTTCCACATTATAATTTTGTTAAAGGTCATGATGTCAAGTGACGGAGACTATATTACGCCAGATGAAATTAAGAATGCATTGGAGTTGTTGGACAAAGATGAAATTGCCTCAAAAAAACGTTTAACAGCTTTCTCAAGTCAATGGCACACTGTTATAAATGAAGTTGACTCCGTTTCTAAACAGTTTAGTTCCTTAAACTCACTTAAAGAAAATTTATTTCAAATCCAAACAAGAATCAACGATTCTTCTAAACTTGCTGAGGACATATCTTCTAAGGTTAGACAGCTAGACAAAATACGTGGACGTGTATCAGAATGTCAAAAACGAGTTCAAGATTTATTGGACCTCCAATTGTGTAGTGAGGGGGTTCAAATTGCAATGAAAAATGACGAATTGGAGCAAGCCGCCGCTCATGTCCATCGCTACCTATCAATCGATCAAACTAAATTGCAACGCACAGCGGACGATATGGCTCAAGATTGTTCAATGATTACAAATGCTCTTAAACACTTACAAGATGCTACTGAGCTCCTTCAAAATACCGTGTCAAAAAGGTTTGAACAAGCGTCTTTAACTCAGGATTCCAAGTCAATAGAAAGGTATTTTAAAATATTTCCATTACTTGGAATGCATGACATAGGTTTGGAAAAATTTGTAGATTATTTAGGGCGTGTATTGCAAGTTTCAGCCGATAAAAACTTAAAAAATGTAATGGAAACTTCGTTGTCGAGCAATCGGGCCAGCATAGTTTTTGCTGACGGGTTGACATTTGTTTTTGAAGAAGTTGCTAAAACCATCGAAGTCCAACAACCATTAATCGAAACCCACTACGGTCCTGAATACATTTTCAAGTTTTTGTCTCACTTGCAAATGCATTGCGACAATTTCAGTAACGTTCTGTTACAAACATTTCTCAAAACGCGTAAAATAAAAGAACTATTGAAAAATTTATGGGACGAATCCGATTTAAACATCGACAAACCCGATTCAAAAGACATAGACTTGTTGATCGAAGAAATCGTGTTGATATTAGCGCGTTATGATCTATATTCCAAATTTGTCTGTAAACGTATAAATGCCGATTTGGAGTCGAAAACGTCCAGCGCCAAGTTAATACTAAACAATAGCAAATTGTGCTGTTCGGTCCAAGAGCTGATGGGTAAATATCTGGAATTCGAGAGGTATTACATGGAAGAGAGTATAAAAAAAGCCATGATGATGGACACGATCGAAGGGGACGACGACGCACTGACTTCGAGCATGGTGGACGACGTGTTTTTCATTATTCGCAAGTGTGTCATGCGTTCGCTGAGGTCTGGAAGTTTGGACGTACTGTGCGCTGTCATTAACAACGCCGTTAACGCGTTGGAAACGGACATGTGTACATTTTTCGGTCAAATCCTGAGTGCCGGGTACCCGGGGTCCGGTTATTTCAACCGATTCACCCCAGACCTGGAGAAGATACGGCAAACGTTTTTGGCGTCGCTGAACAACACTGAGGTGGCCATCGAGTACTCGAAATCGCTGTCACAAACGTTCCGGGAGGAGATACCGATTAAGCTGTACGACTGCAACACGGACAAACTGGATAGTTGTCTGCAGGACTTTTCCCGGGTGAACGCGTCGCTGGTGACTTCCAACCGGAACGGTTTCAGGCAACTGCAGTGTTCACTGGTGGAGCCCAAACTGCTGGCGTGGATGGAGCCGTTTTACGAGCAAAATTACAAAATGAACGAGTCTGAGTTCACGCAGACGGAGGCGGATAACCCGTTCGTGCAAACGCTGATATTGAACGTGGACGGATTGCTGAGAGAGTTCAAGGCAAAGCTGACTTCCAACAACTACGACGTGCTGGTGGTGGCCCTGGCCGCGGAATCGTCCGTGCAACTGGAAAAGGCTGTGATGAAGACCGAGTTCAACCGGCTGGGAAGCATGGCCCTGGACAAAGTGGTCAGGACGCTTATTAATTATTTCAGCGGCGCCAGTGCTTGGCCGATCAGAGAGAAATTTGCCCGTCTAGTGCAGATCACGACGGTTTTGAATTTGGAACGCGTGTCTGACCTGAACGAGTTTTTGAGTCCCGACAGCGGGATGCGTTTCTCGTGGAAATTGACTCCCGACAGCATAAAACAGATATTAAAACTACGGTCCGACTTCAGAGAAGACGAAATAAGAAAAATTAAATTGTAAACTTTTCCAATTAAACAGTATTTATGAGTAAGTAATAAATACTATACAATTACCTACCGTTTGTGTTATCCAACTATATAATTTATTAAAATATCGATATTTAACGGGATTTAAACTTATTTATGAAAAATGTATTCGTTATAGATTTTATTCGTGTGGTTTTATAATTATTATACTATTTTACCGTAATCCAATATTGAATATTTTACGATTTGTTTTTATTATTTAAAAAATTAGTCAATACTGCTGTAACTTTTTTTTTTTTTTTTGTTGCAATTAATACTTTCCATTTTTATTATTATTACTGTTATTATTATTTCGTGTAAAACTCGTCCGAATAAAAGAAAAGGTTTCTCGACAGATAATCATTTTTCATTTACCCTGATGGTATACTCTGCAGATCATCGGTCAAGTGGTTAACAACTAATATTCTGATGATTCGGCAGTAATTATTTTTTAAAAAAAAAACCGATTACTTTGTTAATTTTACATAATATAGTTGATTTTTAAAATCAATACCCTGTACCTATAAATGTATTGAGCTGTTGGATTTTAATTCGTGGCAGAGGTAATAAAGTCGCCAAAAAAAACTTGATAAAAAAACCTTACAACATTGTTTTTATATGATCGAATGACACACGTAAGGAAACATATAAATGTCAAAGTATTTTCATTTTGTTTGGTATTTATTTAATTTTTTTAAAACATAAATCGTAACCGTTTTACAGAGCCTAAAAAGTTGATTGCATCAAACGGACTCTAGCGTTATAATTACATTTTTTAAAAATGCATGCCTAATAGATTATCGCTACGTGAACGCGCGGCCTTCCCAAAAATGCGACCGTGCCTATAATGTTTTTTTTTTTGTTTTATATTTTTCCCCTGCTCGTCAGGCCGTAGCTTCGGAGACGCCGTGTCTAACCCAAAACTCAACCCTCGTCGGCAGTTTAAATCGTAGGTACGTCATAGTATTAAAACCTACCTATCCGTTTGTGTGTTTTCCCCAGGGGAAATTTATTATTCAAAATGTAGGCACCTATATAACGTGTGTGTGTGTGTATATAAATTGTATGCGGTGGTGATGGTCGTTGAACCAAACAACCCCTTTTGTCATTATTATATAGGTAGGATTTTTTTTTTTTTTTTTTTCATAAAACGCGTTCGAGTGAATGTATATACAGTGTTCCATTAGTCAGAGTTTACATACACGTAGCGTCATCATAACCCTTCCCGAGCGTGACGACACGGTCGTCGCGTGCCAAATCGTTCGGTCACGATAATTTCGACGACAAAACTGCTGCCGTCGGTTCTTTTATCGTACTCGAGCCCTGCCACCCGAATGGACTTCTGAGTTCTGAGGCCGGGCCTGTTCCGTGTGCCCCTTTACTCCGGACCTTTGTAAGCGCAATACTATGATGTTATTGAGACGTTTCACCGTGTGCGTTTAGACTTGGCGTCATTCGATTTCGCACCGGCATGATAACCAACCGACTCCCCGGAATTTATTATATTCTTAGCTTTTTGTAATTTATTATAATAATTTTTTTTTTTGCATGACTTATTCGTTTTGTTGTATATTGGACTGTTTTGTATATGCTATTTTGTACCATCCTATTGATGGAAACCCACGAGTAATAATACCTACCTACATGATTATCGAATACTGGACGATGGACGATATGTGTGTGTGTGTGTGTGATGTGTAAATATAGGTTGGATACCAGGTGTCTGCAGATCAGTGATGCAGCGGGGCCCGGCCCAATTGAGTTCCGTGTCTGACCTGTACGTTAGCGACGAAATATCCGTGCTTTTGGAAGAGATTCACGACCTAGAACCGAAAGGTAACATCGCTCCCATCGACGACGAACAGGAGTTCGAAATCAACGGCAGCCAGACGGGAGGATCTTGGTTAGAGGTAACCAATAGCATGGCGGGTACGCCGGGTTCGTGGGATTCACACGCCAACTACAAACACCAGGAAGCTTCCAGAGCAAGGTACAACGGAGTGGTGTTGCACTATGACAAGAGGCCTATGAAGACTCCATCAGGTGTCATCCGAGTTTTGTTGTTGGTGAGCGTTGTCTCCTCTAAAATAGATATACATTGATAGTATAATGTTTTGATGTGACTAATTGTGTATGCATTTTTTTTCTTTTTAGATCACTTGTGTACTGTGTATGCTGTGTCTGTGTTTTGCTGGAACCTCCAGGCTCGCCTTGTTCATGTTACCGATGCTAAACCGTATAAGGTTCATACTGTTTGTAACATTATTCAATTTTCTTGTTACTGGAGCTATACTTTTCCTAGATGTCACACACACTGTTTACCTTTTTCCATTTAACTGGGGTAAATTGGTATGTAAAGTATCTGAGTAATATGTAGTGCTCGGACTTTATACACTTAAGATCCACAAAAAAGTGATACAAATGTCAAAAAAGACTTGAAAATGTACTTAGAAAAGCCCTTCCCCCTCTCATGGCAATATCTTATAAAATACAATTTTCAGACATTATACAAATTAAAACATTAGTTTTTAAACAAAATTGTGTTATAAAAAAATAAAATTACATGGGTTAGATAATTGCATTTAAAGGTTAGGTAGTCGGAGGTGGGAATTTTAAACCCATCTGGGCCCTCTGTTATTTTTGCTTTAAACATTTTTTTCCGAGCTCTTTAAGCTGTTTTCTGTGGATTTTAAATGCATAAGGTATCGACTCTTAATTATGTGTAAAGCTACAATAATGTTCAAATATCTGAAAATATTATTGTTTTTTGATAGAATGTACTCTTTTACGTTTTGATGACTGTCTTGTGTCTCACAAGTTCCTCTCTAGTTCTTCATCAAGTATATTCGTTCCATGAATCTTACACGTGGGTACCACGTGCTACACGCCATCAATTACTTGTGGCTGCAGTAAGTATATAGATTTGATTGTTGAAATATTTGAATACATTTTGTGAATGATTATAGGTATTAGGTTATTTATGTGCACTCGAGACATTGTTATTGGCTTTGCTGAGCCGCTGTGATGGTTTAGGTGGTCTACACTATCGCCAAGTCAAAGACGATACGACCAGTCCGCCCAATACACTACCACTGCGTCAAAGAATTCCACCTCCTCCTACAGTAGTTTACTCGCCATCTCCATCTCCTTCGTTTTGTTTACGATCGATTAATCCAAAATCATAATTACAAGTACATATTACGGTATACAAGTATAAAACAAATATTTTACCCAGAAGTTGGAATTAGAAACTACTATTCTTACTGAGTTTTAATGTATTCATTTTTATTATAATTTTTGGTTTTATGTGTGGAATTTTGACCAATTTTAATTATCATTAAGTTATAAGATACTCTCCAGAATTCTTCCTATATTTTTATATTGACACATTATCTTCTGATAAATTTTATTTTAAATATTATTATAATGATGTATACATTATTTAATTGCAAATGGATCATGTAGCAGTGTTACTATATACATCTAACATTATATATATAAATCAATTTTTCCTCTGTGTAGATTACTATGGGGGAAACAAATATTGAATTGCACTATTTGATTCTTAAATTCTGAGCCCTGGTTTTAGATTAAATTAAAATGATAGAATAGAAATAAATTCATAGCCCAACTAATCACATTAAAAATGTTCAAGAAAAAAAAAAAACTTAGATTAGGATTTTTAATCAGTATTCTTTATTTTACCAAGTAGTCGATTGATTTATAAATGTGTGTATTTTAATTTTCTATTAATTTATACTCCTTGTATTAAATTTGTTTGATATATTTTTTCATATTACCATTCAGTTAAAAATGGATAATTTTATGCTTTTAACAGCTGTATTGCTTAATATATTTTTGATTATATTTCTTAATTTAAAATTTTTTAAAAAAAATTCAAACCCGTTACTTTAATTTATAAGATCTGTAACCAAAATGCATACTTATGGCACTCAAGTTATTAAATTATTATATTATTATAATTTTAGTTATTTTATAGCAAAAATAATTTTTAATAACAAATTATAAGCAATCATTATTCTTTCCTAACAGGTTGAAAGGCATCAAAAAGCTTGTACATTAAAAAATTAATATTAGTCGAGTTGTTTTTAATCAAGTCGTTAATATTTATCAATTAACATAGCAACAATCATTGACCATTGTACAGTTATCGTAGAAACATAATATATTTAAACAAAATCCAATGTATTCTCGTTGTTATTTTTCTAGAAACTAAAGTTCCCGAAATTTGAATTCATATCATATATAGCCAATAATTGTGGTCTGGAATATTCTAATCAAAACAAATATTATGTACACATACATAAATTATTATAAGTAAAATTACATGTTCTATTTTTATTATCACTCTATTGTATAGCCATTAAAGACGCGAATATTTCGTTGGTTTTTGAATATTTTAATTAATGTTTAATACTACTTATAGTGTGGTTCAATGATATATTATATCATAGGAATAAATGTAGTCGGTGCTTAACAGTTTTATATTATCGGTCCACCTTCATCTTTATCACCTTTCACATTTTTGCTCAACGACTTGTTGTGATTGACAATGTAGCAAGAGCATTGATTGTGTTTGTTGTACGGAAATATAATTCTGTATTACTATTATCGTTACTCCATAATATTATGTTTTAAAGTACAAAATTATGATTACACATTAGTTTGTCAGCAATATTATAATAGACTAATTTACCAGTGCATCTGACTGCCAATAAACATTTAAAAATATAATTATTGGAGCATTGTATGTGTTACATGTTGGGCATATTATGCAAGACACCTTGTGAAATGTATTTGTAATGTACAACTGTACAAACTTTATTGAAAATCGATCAATCTGTTTTTATCATTACTGCAACTCTCAAACATTGTTTTTTTTTTCTTAAACGAGTAAGCTTTTTTTTCTGAAAAATATATTTTGAAATATTTTTTTTTTTTTTTGGTGCACATAATTTTCATCGTCCTTTAAGTTAATCTTGTAACAATATTATTTTTTTATGTTGGTTTAGATACTATATTAATTAATGTGCAATCTAATTGTTTGCCACAAATAAGAGTGAGTGATAGTTGGTTGTGAAGGAAATGTTTAATGTTTCTAAGGGTTATTTACAATAATTATTGATCTAAAATAATTATGTTTGATGTATTTAATAAATTAAACTATGTAATATTATTTATCAGTTTGGAATAAAATATTTTTTAAGTGTATTGTTTACAACCAACTTGAATTAAAAATTTAATGACGGATTATTACTAGTGTTAAAACTATTAATTTTAAATTGCATGACTGCTACAACTCTATTTTCACTGTCGTCTTATAATTGTGAGCACATTATTTTATATTTTGCAACATTTTTGGACATTAGTCATTTTCTATGCTGAAACATGTTTTTGATTTATTTTTCTTACTACTTGAAAAAACAAAAATAATTTTTCGCTACTCCTTTAAACTTATTTTGAGTAGTACAATAATATACACACAAACCAATTAAATAAAAAAGTTTATTGAGTATACAAAAAAAAACATCACAGATTGTAATACAATTATTCCAGATTGGTTTCGTAATTTTTACACTTAATTAAATATATTTAAATGTTTATATACATGTATGTATTATGTGTACAATAGCTTTATTATAAGCTTAAATTTATTAAATAAAAACGCGCTATTATTTAATATTGACTTTGTTGTTTCTATTTGCTTTAAACCTACTCACAGGTCGTGCATTTTCTTCCTCTCCTTCATCCGTATTTTCATTTTTCAGGTGTGTTTCGGTAACTCTTTCAACAATGTCTTCGATAATATTGTCAGTAGTTTCAGTTACTAGTATCTGAAATGGATTAAATATGCACTGTCATTAATATAACTATGATAAAAAACAAACAAAGACTAAAGTAGTTTAAACAGTTAGATTAGGGTTGAAATCTGTAAACTAAAGTTTAATTGAATATTGTACATAAGGCAAGGAATAAAATACCTAAAAAAAAACATACATATATTTTTCTTCTTATAATTCAAAATAATGCACCTAATTACTTTAAAATATAAAATTATCAATAAATGCGAAAAAAATTTCTTTTACTAATTCAAAAATACATGTAATGAACTTGTTACTAAAAGAACATCGCACAATAAGCTTTAGAAAGCACAGTAATTCCATAGTGGATTTAAATCAAAACCCTAATTATAAAGAAGATATTATTAATATATAAATATTATAAAGATTTAGAAAATAAAATAATATAAAAAATTAATTTAACAATTTTTAAAGTTAAATAAAAAGGTTATAACACGATTTTATACATACTTGGGGATGTCTTCTTTCTGATAAAGTTCCTTCTCTTCGATGTATGAAATGCTCTTCGGGTCTTGATTCAAATTCTTTTACTTCGACATTTTTATTAAATGATACTCTTTTTTTTATTAGTTTACTAGTGTTTTCAGGCACATCATTAGTGAAAACTATTTCTATTTTACTGTCTTCTTCATCATCATCTTCATCATCGTCATCATCTTCAATATCTTCATCATCAGAACTTTCACTTTCGGAATAATCATCACTATCATCAGGTATTTTGGCTAAAAGGGCTTCCCTATACATTTTTAAAATTAGATGAACAAGAACATCCAAAAAAATATATTAAAAAAAACCCTTAATACCATCCATCATCAGCTGCTTTTTGTAACGTGATAAGATCATTATTTTCTTCCTGATCATTACATTCTTTGACTTTTTTATTTTCGTTAGATAATTTTTGTTTATATTCTTTAACATTTTGCCTGTGTTTATCTGCAAAAATAGTAAAAAAAATTATAAAAATGCATCATTTATAAATCTCATATAGTAACACATACCTCGCCAAGCATTCATTTCTTCTTCGTCGTATGGTTCCGTTATTTCTATTAAATCTTCTGGAACTTTACTAATTTCGTGTCTTTCATACAAATTTTCTTCTAATAGCTGTTTTTCTTTTGATAGATTAAAAATCATACCGTCACACCCTAATACAAATTATTCACTTAAAATATGATATTAAATGATATTTTTCAATTCTATAAAATTGCATACTATTGATATGTCTTTTGCATACAGCTTTGGCCTCATAAGCTGTTTGTTTAGTAAAGTATTCGCCATGCCTAATAAATATTTCATTAGTATTACACAATTGTGCGCGTAGGAACACTTTTGATCCAAGCGGCATCAATATTGAAGCAGACAATACTTTAGGAAACTCTTCTAGAGATATATGCAAATCTTCAAATTCTTTTTTGTATTGTTTCCATTTTTGTTCTAATGTTCTGTTACATTCCAAAGCCTAAATAAACAAAAAATAATGTTTATAAATTTAATACTGAGTACAAATTAAATTTTTATTTTAAATATTTTATAGCAAAACAATACATATAAATATTAATTTTCAATTATTAAATAAATATAGGGTAATAAGAAAACTTTTTTTTTTATTACTAAACCAACAATTATGCATTAATTTAACTCAAGTTTTAATGTCCAACGATATTCAATTATAATTGTATAATTAATTTAATGATTCATTTTGTTGCTTTTTTGTACATAAATTTATAAAATATCATTGGAATACAATTTTCAAATTAATTAAGTCATGTTACTACGTGGTACTTACAATAAAAAGTATTGATATGTAGTTTTTTTAAATTTATATTAAAATTTGTATTTAATTAAATTTTATAATTTCCATAAACAATTGTCCAATGTCCAAGATATTATTCTATCTTTATTTACTTGTACCTAAGTCATAATATGTGAATCAGCAAAATATTATTGGTTGAAAATAATGGTCATACAACATTATCAACTCATGGTAAGTAGATTATAAGTGACTGAATTGTAGATTATACTATTAATTTATTAGTTTATCTATGCTTTTTTTATCCAAGGTTTTATAATACTGTTTTTATCTAAACCTCAAAAGTTTGAATTACTATTAATATTTTCTAGTACTTTTTCTTTCAAGCTATCAATTTGATAATCTCATTATTTGATATTTAAATTTTTTAGAACAACAAAAATGCAAGCTTTATCTTACATGCCTTATATTTAAATCTAAAGGTAGGTAGGTACTTATATTTTATTTGTCAATTAAAATAATATGTTTTGTAATAGTTATTTAAAATGAGTTATTATAAGACATAGATTTGTTAAAAAATAAATTATTTGGTTATTTATTTATTTATTTCTACAAAAGTATAAATTATTTATTTGTATATTCATGTACGTGTATTAATCATTTAATAATTTTGTTTTTATTTTATTATAAATTGGCATGTTTAATGTTTAAAGTTGTTAAAATATTTCAAACGATGTCGGGTAGCAATTTATTTTGATAATAATATTGTATTTAATTAATCAAATTGTTTAAATTACTGCATTTTCTACATAAAACACAATTCGAATTTAATGAATGTTCTATCCCATGACAAAACAGATTGTTTTGTCGTGTTGTTTCCATATAATAAACCTCCTAGATTCTATAAGTTACGATTTAAATGGCTTAGAAATACATTTTGTAATATATTTCATGTAGGTACCTAATTAAAAATAATTGACCAGATAACAATATAAATAATTACGTACGATTAAAAGTGAGTCGAGTCATAACGTTAGGGGATCTGATGCAATGTTGCACTTAGGTAATAGTGAGGCCGTATATCGAAACCCTAGTTGACCGAATTCGTGAATCCCCGTCCGTACAACTGTATGGACACCGTCGAAAGGACTCACCTCGAGGTTTATTTTCTGAACGAAGGCGACGTCCAGCAGGTCTTTGGAAGTCATGACGTTTCAACACACGGTTCGTACGACAATTTTAGTGCACCGGATAATTGCTCTTCAACGACGGATTCGATCACTTTAAACTATAGGTAACACAAGTAGTCGACGACAACAGTACGAGAACGAGAGAAGTGTTTGGGTTGACTGGCGCGCATTAATTTTCAAAGAACGTGATACATGTGACTTCTAGCTGATAAGTAAAAAAATGATAGTGTCCGAGTGTCGATTGCGGCAGCTGTAGACCTCCGGACGTCGTCGTGTCGTCTCGTCGAAGAGCGGGGAACGCACACGCAGTCAACTGTTATTACCTAATTATTAATATTAAAAAAACGTACGTGTATTATTTGCTCTTATTTATTATTATTATACAAATATACACGTAACCGATTGGGTAGTAATTATCACCGTCCGACCCCCGATGTTTTTTTCGTGGAGCTTAGCGGTAATGAACGGAGGTGAGGGCCCAAAAATGTGTACACCCGTAGGGGAACCAAAATATTACGCGTGTACGTCGTCGTCGCGGTGTGTGCGGAACAGTTCCGTTCTCTCTTCTGCGGCCACGATATCTGCTCGTCTGATTAAACCGCTTACCCGCTACCCAGTACTTGGTAATGTGTGGTGGTGCATGTTGTTGTTTACGTTTACCCACTGTGCCGCCACCACTGCTAGTATATTGTTGTCCCCGGTGTAATTGTACCTCGCCGCTTTTTCGACGCATGCTTTTATAATATTCTGTATTGAAGTTTCTTTTTTTTTTTTTATTATTATTATATCCGAATGTTGTGGAACAGTAAACGATTTTTATAATATTTCCTTTTAACGCGGTTTTATTCGTTCGGAATATTATATTTTGATTTCTCCGACGTACGAGACCGCGATTTCCCCGCGAACGTTTTTTTTTTTTTTTTTCTGCGTGTGTGTCTGTGTGTGCTCCCGCCGCCACATGTTAAAGTAGGCGCGAAAGTGTGTGTGATTCGTTGGACAAAAAAAAATTCGGTATCGATTACCACACGACTATTAACTTATTTACAATCGTTTTGCGCAGAAGCCATACGCGAATTGTTCCATTTACCTGCGGTGTTTCTGTGCATTTTGTAGGTGTTAAATTTGCTGCGTCAAAAATGGTGCGACAAAACTGCGGACTTTTGGTGGTCTGCGGGCCATCGGGAGTAGGAAAATCCACGCTGCTCCGTAAACTGTTCGACGAGTATCCGGATAAATTTGGGTTCTCGGTCTCGCATACCACCCGGTCTCCCCGAATTCACGAGGTGGATGGTCAACATTACCACTTCACTACTAAAGAACAGATGCAAGCGGCCATTGACCGCGGAGAATTCCTAGAACATGCTGTGTTTTCCAACAATATGTACGGCACCAGGTATAGTAGTTTTGTTTCACCTTCGTCCCTCAAGTGCTCTCAATGTATTTTGCATACCTAATATTACCAATTACTATTCTGTAAATATAGCTTGAATGCTGTGCAAACTGTTCAGAAGTTGGGCAAGATTTGTGTACTAGACATTGACATGCAAGGCGTAATTCAAATCAAAAAGGTGCCCAACTTGAAACCGGTAGGAGTCTTTATTAAACCTCCAAGTATTGGTGAATTAGAAGTACGGTTGCGTAGACGAGCTTCAGAATCCGAAGCCAGTCTTCGCGCTAGATTAAATGCTGCTCAGCAGGAAATCAACTACGGTAAGCACTTACCCTCATAATTTTGTATATTAAACACAATATAATTTTTGTGTACATTAAATTTTAGGAGAAACACCAGGGAATTTTGATTATATTATAACCAACGAGTCATTGGACAAAGCGTATAATGCTTTCAAAGAATTTGTTTTAAAGTCATTTGAAAGTATTGGAAATTAAAGGTATATAAATAAATAAGTATGTAGTCATATACTAAACAAAATATTCAGTATTTAAAACTCAGTCAATAGATTATAGTTAAATTAGGTATGTGTAAAATATTTATACATATTCTTATTGAATAGTGTTAAGAAAACACTAGATTAATATAAATACTAGTTATTTGACATTATCTAATTAGTGTTGAACTTTGCGAAATAATTATTTTTATTAACTAGAGAACATAAAATATAATACACATACTTATTTACTACCTATATGTATTTTATTAGATTTCAACATGGGTGTCACGAGAGGAGGAGGTAAGGTGGGTTTTTAATATTGTGTACTACGTTAATTATACTGAGCCTTATTTATTCCCCCTTCACCAAAACATATGCAGATGCCCATATATTTTAAATCAATTTGAAGTACAATTTTAAATTCACCGTTATCAATAAGTACTTTGTTAATAACAAAAATAATAAAGTCTTTAATTTTCAATTAAAAATGACAATGCTAAAGTCCATTATAAATAACTTGATTACTTATTAATTTTTTATTTTTAAAATAGGTTAAAAAAAATACTTTTTAATTTTAATTAATCTGATTTTATTATTATATTTTTTTCAATTTTTCTCCCAAATTAACATTCTAAGTTCTAATTACCTATCTTTTTTTCAAAAAAAAAAAAAAATATATGTATAACATTTATTTTTATAATAAACTAAATGTTTAATTTTTAAAGGTCTGAAATCCATAATCATTTTTAAATAAAACTTACTGGTCTCAATTTTGTACAATCGCTAATTAATTACTGTCTGATATACTATACTACTATAGTAACATATCCACGAGAATAATTGAAATTTTAACTCTAAAATCTTTTTTATTCATCGCGATAATTTAATTTACATGTTAAGGATTATAAGACAAAATTTAAAGTTGGTAATTTGTTTTTTGAATTACATATCCATAAATTTGTAATAAAGTTTCGGTTTTGGACATGATTTGTAACTTGTACTACTTAAATTTTCATTCCTTTAAAAATAAAAAAACCTCTTTATTACCAGAAATCTTTGAATGTTTTGGTAATCAAAAAATTATGTGCCAAATAAATTGTACAACCAATTATTTTTACCTCATCTTTTGCTCGTTAATCGTTCCTTACCTTACTATAGTATTATTTAAATCAAATACCATAATATCCTTATTATAGTATTGACCTATTCCTGAAAAAGTACTTCCACATTTTAAATTTGTATTCAAACAGTAACAACTTGCAAATTAAGTGGTGAAATATCTAATTAATATACACTAGAGTAAAAAAAAAATTACACACAAATTTAAAAAAATAAATACAATTATGAGTTTCAAATATAATAAAAGACCCTACTTGATAGGTATTAAGTTGGCAGTAACTAATTTAAGAATGAGACTTATATAGTATTATTTATTTTTATACCATGTGTATTAAATATTAATAATATGATCATAAGTTTTATATTTTAATTCTTTGAAGTGATTAACTTTTTTTTGAGACCAAATTAACAGACAATTAGTATTGATATTGTATACTTGTGATTTTTCATTATATGGTTACCAAATTTTGGAGCAATTTTCTCATTTAATACAAAACAACTGATGTTTTTTATTTTAATAACTTATACCCACTGTTGGCTTCGTATATTATGTATGGTTATGTTATTTAAATATATATATATATAGCATATATATTTGTTAATTTGTGATGATGTCTCTTAACTTTAGTGACATCTTTAGTCTAAAGTGATATAAATAATTATAAAACCTGAGATATATATATTAATATGTAATGTACTTTGTAGTAGTAACTCTTGTATATAATTATTATCTATTGTGAACTAAAAAAAAATTAGTATACTTTATTATTATTAGAAATAATATCAATAAGAGTTTAAGTTAAAATTAATACCACTTATTATTATTTATTGGTTTTTTTCTTACCTCGATAATTATAGTACATGAATTTATTTAATTTAAGTAAGTTTATAATACTTCTGAATGTATTTATTCTTTATAAAAAAACTAATTTTTTTTTTTGTTTTTTTTTTTTTTTTAATTATGTTTTAGTTATTATTATTAAATTTATTTTATTGGCTAAAATACTGTATATTATTTATTTTAGCTTCAGATTATTTTTCTAATGATGTTAAAATAATATAATTTTCAAGTTGTAATAATCCAGCAAATATTGTTTATAATTTAGCGAGAAAAAATAAATTAAAAGATCTTTATGTCGTAGATATACATTTTAATTTATAAATGTTGACCATCAGTATTAAGCCCTGGGCGTAGTTTGACAAAAAATACCTAAATAATAGTACTTACAAAAGATTTGTTGCATACTGCTACATATAAAAATTGTTCAGTTTTTATTTTGTTCATACTAATAATAATATTAGGTTAATGTCAGGTAGTTGATATTTACTCCATTACTCACAGTCACTGACTGTGGTGTTTTGTTGCCTCCGCTTTCGTTGAACGTTTATTGTATGTACAACTGGTAAAACTAGCTATTACCCGCCAATTTTTCTGCGTAGACTTTTATAACTACTAGCAATATAAGGGTAGTAATGTTAACACATCCCATTATTGTCAGTTTAAATAACAAAGAAAAGACAGCTTCTCTGCAAGATTAAATAGGTTATTAATATAGATACATATGCCTAAAACAACTCCCAGCAGTCAGAAATTGCGTAACAGATATTTCTATCTATTCTTATTAACTAACTTAAAAATAGAAAATGATTTTCCTCATTTTAATTGGTTAGGGGTTAAATTTTTTAAAAATGATCAAGCGCATTATTAATTTTATTAATTATTATATTATAACAATGCATATTTCAAGATTACATTATTAGTTTTATTCAGATAAATAATTGTCCATTTCACTATAATACAAAAGAAGATAAAACAAACTCTTGAAACACAAAAGATAAATTGTTAAATGCACATCATAGACCTTATATGTGATGTGAGCTCTATGATGCACACATGCAAACATCTCGCAACCACTTCCCTGAGAAAATCGAAAATTAGGCTTGTATAATTTCTGTGTTATGATGCATAGTGGTTGTGGTATTATGGCCGTGGTACTAAGACAGTGGTGGCAAAGTTAAGATTTATTTACTTGCAGTTTTACTCATAAAAATGGTAACATTTGTTTTATTGGTTAAATTTGGTTTATTTTTCATAATACATGCTTATATAAAATCTTCGACAGTCATGTAAACAGCCCGCTTATAACTGGATTTCTGACCGAACAACGGACTTTTGATCGAACACTGTACTCCGGCCTGTGAACTGTACAAATTGGGTGGCGGGACGGAATCGGCTTTGATAACTGGTTCTCGTATGGGCGTCATGGTTATCGCTGCAGTTTTTCCGTATTTGTACTTTGCCGTTGATGGCACGTGATAGATGTTCGGGGCTGGGTTACCTTCAGACTTTTGCTGGAACCGACTGTGAACAGGTAAAACGTCATATCTACGAAAAATCCGGTTTATTGGTATTTGAGTGAATGTAGTGGCTGTTACGGTTTGATCGATCCGCAAGGAGATTTTTTGCATGGCTTTGGGTAGCCCGTTTGCAGTGTGTACTTATTTGGACTTGGCGTCACGTTGTCGGGACGTCCAAAATGCGTGCGCCTTTTAAATGACGGCTGCGGCGCTTTTTTCAAAACCGGATCCATTTTTGGATAATAATGGTTCGGGGCCGGGTTTCCTTCTAACATACCGAACCAAACGTGAAGTAAATTAAATAAAACTATTTGGAATTCTCGGGAGATGTGGAGGTTAAATTAGATATTATAAATCAAGTCGATAATTTCTAGTATTTATGTTCAATATGACCCACATAATGTGGGTGCTATAGAATTGAGAATAATTCGTGTAGCCTGGTAGTAGAATAAGAATTATTTATGTGTGGGTAACTAATGTGAGATCAGCGATGATGTATGAGTGATAAATGCTGCATACTGGTATATGAATACAATTTATGAAATTCAAATTGGATATAGCGGAAATGAGAATTTTAAGTGCAGGATATGTGATATAAAAGAAAAAGTGAATAGCGGGTATAGCAGAAAAAGCAAGAAATCAGACTATTGGATTGCAATAAACATGTTTAGGCTGAAGAGTAACGATGAGATACCAAAAAGATAGGTATCGAGAGTGTTGTAAACGGAAGTGGAGTCAGAGGCAGGCTAAAGAGTCCATTGTGATGTTTGGCATGTCACGTGTGGAGTATTCAGAAGATAACGGGAAATTGTCGACAGACAAGATAGGGAGATGTCGAGGGCAAGAACAAGAGTAGTTGGGTTCGGTGGCCTGCGTGATGGAGTTGAGGAGAAAAAAAAGACGAAGAACTTACCGACTCATCCCCATAATATAATTTTGTGTGAATAAACTGTTTGACGTGTACCGTAAATTTGGTCTGGCCTCTCGCTAAAATGGTACTTGGTTTGATGAGACTTTCCGTAACGGGTTTTGTCTCTGAGGTCTAACACGACCCCGCAGTCGCCGCGACGCCGGTCCAAGAAGCATTTGCTTTTCCGTCCGAACGTCGTAGCCGGAAGACGTTGTTTATTTATCGCGTGTCCTTTAAAACCCACGGCCGTCGGTAAACCGTAAGCGTTAGATGCCGGCGCTATAATACAATATACACGAAATTCCGTTAGGCTGTTAAGTATAAATAGGTAGGTACTAGGGTACCTAGGTTCCCGACGGACACGGCGTTGTGCGGTCATCGTTTCTATAAACGGCGATTGGATGATGACGAAAAAAAATAAAATCACGCAGCGGTTCGCCAACCGTGAGACGCCCCTCCCTAGGTGGGCGCAAACATTTACTTAACAAGGGAGGCGCAAGGTAAATATTAATATTTTTAGATAACCGATGATTTCGTTGAAACGTTTTTTGTAATCTAATAAAACATTTCTCTGTACCTAATAGGCTGTAGCCGTGGCGTATTGTTAACTGTCAGATTATTTTTATTTGTTACGAGAATGTTTGAGAACAGCGATATCTATGAGTATGAACACCCAGCGGTGTCACGTTGCCCGAATCAAGACGGATTAATCCATCTTGGCCCGAATATTTTTAAACCATAATGAGAAATATATTATTTATTTGTTTTAAAATTAAATATTAAATCATTGTTTTTTTTTTTTTTTTCATAAAAATAAAAATTGTTGAATATTTAAACAGCACAAAATCGTTATTAGTTTATTCGTACGGGAGAAGCTATTATTTTTTGTACTTTAAGGGATGCTTTAACTAGAAAAAATTGATAACCGCTGCTACAACGTTTCTTGTGAATATTTTGAATATATTTTTCGCAAAACGTTGCACGACACATTTTAATTTTTAATATTTTTGCGGTAGCAAAAACAGAAATATGAGAATATTATTCTATCGCGTGTAGGCACTTAATTTATTAAGCCGGTTCGTAAAAGCTTTGAGTTTTTAAGTAGGTAAGTAAACCGAAATGTGTTAGGTATAACTGGTAATACTGCGCATTTACAACATAAGTTAAAAAAAAAAAAATTAACTAGGTACTTCATAATATTATTAAGTACTAAGTACCTATTTAGGTATATTCGAGATTTATATTGGTACTATACTTACCTCCTTCCATCGGGTGAATAAAGAATTATAATCTAAAATATATTGGTATGCACGAAATAATCCAATCGACAAGTAAATGATAACGGGCATATACCTACTAATAATAAAAAAATATATCAGTATAAACGGTTTGTTATTGTTTGGATATCTGATAAAATGTAACTCTGTGTAGTTATACAATACTAGCTGAATTACCCGGCGTTGCCCGGAAACAAATTCGTGACAAATTAGATAACGCCACGTATTACCCATTTACCGTCTTAAATTCATAATTATCGATAATATACATAATAACCTAATATCTATAAATTTATTTTTATCGATAAGCTTCTCGGAATCATTATTCTTATCTACACGACGACGACGAAGACGAACAAAAAGGATAGGTTGCAGGTAGCTGGAGACCCGCGGGCCGCCGTGNATGGGCGGTGAATAATTATAATTGTTAATTACTCCACTAAAACGCAACATTTTTGAAAATCCCACCTTGATGCACGGTGAAAATATGAGAAGAACCAATATTCCAAATTTCAAGTCCGCACGTTACGCAGTTTTTGAAATACAGCGATCAGTCAGTCAGTGGTATTTGGATTTTATATGTATAGATAATAATATATAATTTTGTGGCCAACACTAATGCATTATAATGTATAGCCCATAATAGTATCCACTATAGAATTAGAATCGATGGTTTTAGGTCTGTGTCTTATACACGCGCAACGTACCTATTTTGGTAAGTGCTTACCGGTTGGGTCTAACCTAGTCAAAACGATACAAGTTCTGAAAGCAAATTTGAATTTTGCGTCAAGCTACTTGATATCGACTTTCCCTCTTTTTTTTTTGTTTTAGATTCAATGCACAGATAGGTATTTTTTTTTTTTTTTTCGGATATTTTGTAGTTTTTTAGGTTTTCTCAAATATTTTTGAGCAATACAAAAATACAAATTGATAATTGGTGATCAATTTCCGGTAATTTCATAGTACCTAATGCCTACCGATTACTCTATTATCTACTACGCTAAAATAATGTATTAAATAGGTACAGCGCCGCATATTGAAAACTCTAGGTTAGAGACTATGGGAAATAGTAATTGTGTAAAAACAATTAACAAATTATACCATAACTTCTGACGCTTCTGTTAAATAAGTACCAGTACAAATTATTAATATTATTATTAATGTTTTTTTTTTTTTCAATCGGATTTTCTTTTATTTACACAATATTTAAAGAAAAATTAAATTTTCATTATCATTCAAAAATCACTAAAAAAAAAAATTGATTTTCTGACCACTTTTTAAAATGTTCACAAAAGCCAATTTGTAAATGCTGTATAGGTATGAATTCAGGCATGTCAAACTCAAAGTATCAGGTGGGCCAAATATATTTAAAAATTTACTATTTGGGCCGCACATAAAAATTTAGCGAAAAAATAAATATTTTGTACAAATTTTCAATTTTATTCTTTATGTTTACGAGTACAGCAATTACAACTAAATTAAAAAATTAAAAAAGAAATGAACATTAACATTTAAATAAAATATAAATCATACTAATTATTCATGAAAATAAGTAGGTGTTGTATAAATTACAAAAAAAACCTATTAATAATTCTTTTTAGACGATATTTGACATCTCTTTTCTCCCACCAACTTTTCAATTTCCGGAGAAATATTATTTGACGAAGCCACTTTTAACACTGCATTTAGATGTGTNGATTTATTACTGTTCATTAATGAAAAAAGTTGCTCGCATTGATAAGTACTACTAAACATAGATATAATTTTACTAGCAAATCTACGAGTTTCCACATATTGTATTGACACAAATTTATAAAAATCAGGAACACCAACCTCATTGAATTTATTTTTTAAATTTGAATCATTTTGAATCTCGATCAGTTCCATTTGTATACGTGTTGGAACATTTACTGCGTCTATCGAAAAAGGAGACGTAAACAAGGCAAAATCGTTTTCTAAATAATGGAAATCTTGAAACCTATTCAGACCTATTGAGACCTATTGAAACCTATCTTCTTATCAGAAGATAAGACAGTATAATAATGTATACCAAATAAACCACTCTCTAAGAATCTAAAATAGTCGTTACACGACATTAATATTTTTTTTTTGTCCATTAATATTGGTAGCCGCGGGCCACAAAAAAATGAGCCTCGGGCCGCATGCGGCCCGCGGGCCGCGTGTTTGACATGCCTGGTATGAATTGATAATTTTAAACTATTAACAAAAGAAAATTCATAGTTGATACCTAATTGTGTTCCGTAAAATAACAGTATTTGAGGTTTTGAGCATAATATAGATACCTATGTATGAGTGAAATACAAATTTACAAACCATGTTTAAAAAAGAGCTGATATTGAGGATGGAAGCGGCTACAGATGAGAAGTTGGAAGGTAGGATATATAAGGTTATTTCATTTATATTTTTAAGCAGCGATAAACCATTGCTTGAAGAAAGACGATTCCGAGCGCAGTTCGGTAATACATAATTTGAAGTGGCGTAATTTTTTTTTTTGCGATTTTCATTTAAATTTTATTTCAAACTGTTTATTAAATGCTTATTAAAAAAAAATAAAAAAGTCCGATGATTATGAAAATTTTACCACGTCTAGGTAAGTCCAATATAAGTATTATTATCAAGTTTCAAGTCTATACGTGTATTTATAATTTTTTAGAGGTGGAAAATGTTAAATAGGTACATAAATTGCAGTTGTTTAATCGCTTATAACTCATCGGTACATGCGATAAAGTCTTTATCATAAATGTACCTTGCTTTTATCGCATTTAATATGACTTCTCTGAAGTACAATCTAGACAACTTGAGCTTTCAAAAAAGTTGCTACACGTAAAATTCGGAGCAAGTTTACTAGGAAAAAATGTGAACTCAGGCTAGAACAAGGAACAGTTCATTCATTATTTTCGTTTTAAATTTGATATTTGTATTTTGGATAACTGTTATAATGTCGCAACCATATGAACTTCGTAATTGCATCAAAATATATTTGACTGGAGATGTTTCAAATCAAATTGTAGGTAATTAGTTACCTTCAAATATGCAGGTGTTAAAAGTTTTATTTTATAATCTCAGAAAAGTGAAGCTTAATTTAAAATAGAGTTGTTCTTTAGTTTTAAAAGAAACAATTGTATTTTGGGAAAAAGCGCGAATACCGACAAGAGGTTTTCTATGTTGCAATTAGACAATTTGTACAACGATTGGAGAAAAATACAAAAACATGCAAAGGGAAAAAAAGTGAAAATCAATGAATTAAAAAAAAAACAGTTTGCAGAAAAATTAGAAGATTTATTTGATATTGCTCATGCTAATGCTCTGGAGATGATTAGTTTGGAGGAAGACAAAACATTTTTAATTTCACAGTGCTAAAAAAGAAGGCCTGGATATTTATCAGGTATAGATTATTCATCTATGAGAAAAGTTAAAAAGAAAGAAGAAAAAGAAAAGAAATAAAATGATAGAGAAAACGTCATTACGAACAATGTGCTGCTATTTTCAACAAGCGTAAGTTGAATTGTTTTAATTAGGTGAACCATTATTTTAATTTTTACAAATTATTAAATCATTTCTATTTATAGACCTGGAAAGTGAAAAATCATCTACTGATTGCAGTGATGAAGAATTTGTCGACGAAGTTCCAAATAATAATGCAATATACTGTTTACCGGGTTCTTCTACAGAATCCAAATCTAATTCAATAGATATTCAAATCACCACCACTAATAAAACACGAGGTAGAAAATAAATTATGACATTAAAATTATCTTCAGTCCTTGACTGTTGTACAATTTGTGACAGAGATGCAGTGCATATAATAATTGTAATAGCAGAAGCGCATAACGTTGAAGTTAGTGATTTAGTTGTAAACAAGTCTTCTATAAAACGGTATCGCGAGCAATCGCGTTTAGATTTAGCAAATAATATTCGTAAAAGGTTTTCAACAACTGAATTAAATGCAATAGTTTTACACTGGGATAGTAAATTACTCTCAGATTTAACTGGAAAACAAACTATGGATAAATTGCCCATCGTTATAACTAATAATGGTAATGCACAACTATTAAGTGTACCTAAGTTATTAAAAAGCACTTCAAAGACTCAAACAGAAACTATTTATCAATGTCTATCTGAATCGGGATTAATAGATCACGTGAAAGCAATGTGTTTTGATACTACTGCGTCAAATATGGATTAGTAAAGAAACAAACGATTCTTATAATATTGAATATATTTTAATAATTTAAGTATTTTTGGTTTTATAACTTAGGAGGAATCGGTGGTAATTCATTTTCTTAAACAATGAATGGAAAGAGAATTATTATATTTACCCTGCCTTCATAACATTTTCGAGTTGATTTTAAGAAGTGTTTTCGATCAAAAATTTGGTTCAATATCTTAGCCAAACGTCTTATTATTTCAACGGTTTCAATTAGCGTGGTTTCAGTCATAACAACTTCAAATCGGACTCCGAGAAACTAAAGTTATTCAACATTTAGATGATTTTATTGAAACATTTTGCAGAACTGAATTAAATTAGATTCAATGTAGGAAAGATTATCAAGAATTTCTTAAACTGTCATCTTTTCAAATGGTACTCTTGGAATCTCGTTTCGATTTCTAGGAACAATTGATCATGCTCGCTAGATGTCAAAGGCCATATATTGTTTAAAAATATTTACATTTCGTCAGGAATATAAATTAAACAAAAGAGAATACAATTCAATTGCTCATATTTGTATTTTTATTATTCGTTTCTATGATAGATAGATACTATTTCATTATTACCATTCATTGATTAGGATTCCGGTAAATATTAAGTAGGTCTTACAAAAACAATATTAATAGCCAATAGGTAAGGTATTAAGGTAGTATATGTATGAACACAAATACGCTCCTTAAAAATATTCCAAATATATAATAAATTCCCTCATATAGATTTCTGCGTTCTACACATTACAGACAAACAGTTTCAACTTGTTCATGGATGTTTAATTTAAATAGATTCAAGAATTTCAGATGTTGCATTACAAATTCGCAGAACCGTTATAAAATATTATTTTAGAAACAAAGTTTAAAAATTATTTAATACGAAAATATTTTAATGTAATATAATAATATGTATTATGTGTAATATATATTATAATATAATGGAAACGCGAACAAAAGTATTTTAACATCTGGAATAAAAATACGTAAAAAAAAACAAACAAAAATATTTTCTACGTGTTCAAAATACATATGCCAAAAAGTATTCCAAAAGTATTTAAAGACAAGTATTCGAATAGGTACTTAACAAGACGGATCACGAGCCACCACTGAAGTGCAATATGATACGCGAGCACCCACGCGCACTTTTTTCCGTCGTCGAATACAATATAAAAAATTAAAATTAAAACAATTTTTTTTTTAAATCAGTAAGACAGGATGTCACGTATTATCATTATTATTGTGGGGCTACTCTGGTATAATAATATCGTATTTTTAACATTATCGCTTACTGTCGTACACACGTTTTGCAGAGTTGTTGAGTCGTTGCGCTGTAGTCACTTGGTCGGGATCTGAACGACGCGAAAAAAATAATGAAATCGTAACGACCGATTTATTTCAATCGTTTAATATTATTTTAGACTCCGCGCGAAGAACGATGAAAGTATGGTTTTACAAATGTGAATTTTATTATTATTATTTTTTTTTTTACATCTATCTTCACTTTTCGCAATTAATTCATTATACGCTATACACCAGAATTTTACAATCTCGATAATATAATGAATAATTCATAACGGGCATCGTACCAAAATTACGTTTTATTAGAACATTGGTTGTGTCGTTTGGATTGGAATTGTTGCGTTAGAACACATAACATAAAGCGTAAAAGCAAGCAAAATCTAGGAAGGACAAATAAGACATAAGTCCAGGGCCCCGCGCTTCTTTGGGTTTTAATGGGTCCTGCGGTATATTTTTGTATATGTAGGTATACAATCATTAGTTGTACTAAAACATTGTCCAAGGCCTTGCAAAACCTAGAGTCGGCACTGTAACCATGATCCATTTCTAATTTCTGTGATAATGCATAGTATAGTATTACAAATGACGTTCAACTTCTTCAGCGGAGTGTATCAACTATTTGTTCTGAAATATTTAGTAAATTTATTGTATGTTTATAAATTAATATTTTTTTTTTACAGTTTGTTATATGATTATTAATTATTAAAAATTGATAGTATATAAAAAAAAAACTATTTATTATGAATACTATGATAAAAGATAGGTTATAAAATATAATAATAATATATAATAAAATATACTCTATAGATTTCATTAATAATATATTAAACTAAAGTTTGTTTTAATATTATTATAAATTAAAAAAACGAAGACTCCAAAACAAGTGCAGCATTAGGTCTTAAAGTAAACGAATCCGTACGGATAATTTCTCTGAAAATTAAAATTATATACAAGCAATAATAATTGTCGTAATAGGAATAACGTAATGGAATTAATAATTGGTACTAACCCGGTATATTGTTCTGCGTTCAAGCTTGAAATTCTTACTTTCATTTTGTAAGGCAATAGTCGCTTAATTTTCCTAAGGTTAATTATTTCAATTTCACTTCCCAAGTTCAAGATAACAAAGTATGATCTTAAAATGCTGTTACTTCTAAAAAAAAAAAAAAGAGAAAAGGGGAACTAATAATTTTAGCCCAATGACTTAAAATTGGAAGTTGCCGCTGTTAACATTGTATTTTTTTAAATAGGTGTACGAAATTCAGGAAATGTGTATTGATTACGGTTTTTATGTTACCTCGAGAATGCGAATACGTATTTTGATACTTCGTAAAATTCTACATTTCCAGTACAAAAAACTTCTAACTTTCGTAAATTAACTAATGCTTTGAATATTTTCAGGTGACTTTTAGTAGCGCTTTTTTCGTATTCAACGTTCCGAGTCACGTAATTAGGATTCACTGGTAACCATGTTATTGTTTTATTAGAAAATCCAGCTTGAGCCGTCGAATCCCATTGGAATGGTGTTCGGCCTCTTTCTCGTAAAAAAATATTATTGATGTCATTCGGGCTTTGATCATTTCTCAAATACGTATTTGTCATTCCCAATTCATCACCCATGTACACAACAGGTGTTCCCGGTAAGAGCAACTGTACCATATGAATACCGTCGATCATCTCCTCCCCAAATGTCGTTGTAGGATGTCCAATATCATGGTTTCCAATCTATACATTTCATAATTATAGGTACTTATTTTAATATTATCAAAATATTTCTTTATCGCATGAAGTTGGTTTGAAAATTTGAGAACAAAAATTAATTTTAATTTTTGTTTAAAGGTATTATTCTGATAATTTTGATTACGTACCACCCAACTTGGCCACGCTCCTGGTGTAGATTTAAACAAACTTTCATTAAGGTTATGTACGAATGATTTTGCAGGGTGATGTGCGAGTCCTCCAAGACAAAAATTAAGCACAAAATGGGCACCGGGATGTGTTGTATTTCCAAAACACTTTTTTAGCAAATCCATATCGCCATAGATTTCAACTGTCATTATTCTATTACATACATACTTCATCACCATCGTTATAGTGTTATATAATATAAATTATAGTATTATTAAGTACTTGGTTTCAGAATTTATCTTCTTGTATTCATCTAGAACGACTCTCCAAGATTTTATTTCATCGTACGATTCGTCGAGACACTTAGTATACCCAATTCTTTGTTGTTTTTCAGGGATTTTAGGGATCGAAGGTGCGTCCTTTAAATCCTGTCTTTCGTACAAACATCCAAAAGCATCTATTCGAAATCCATCCACACCTTTATCCAACCAGAACCTCATAACATCCTAATAAATAATACGAACTTTAAAATTATTAATTTTTCAGAAATATGGTTTGTTTTATTATATTAATTACTTTTATTTCTTTTTGGACTAATGGATTTTTATAGTTAAGGTCTGGCTGTTCTTTGTAGAACTGATGTAAATAATATTGTTGCCGCTGTTCATTCCACTCCCACATAGAGTTTTTCATGATCGATATCTATTTAATAAAATAAACACACATATTCTGGGATAATTAGAGCAAACCGATAAAATTACCGTAGCGCATTCAACAATAAATAAAATATCAAGCAAGTGTATAATGACTACTAATCAAATTAGAATATTTTAGGTAAGTACACATTTTTCTCACCCAATTATTCGGAACTTGTCTGGTACCGTTTACGTACTTTGCGTCAACCCATACGTAATAATCAGAATAAGGTTCAATATTTTGTACTGATTTAACAAACCATTCGTGCTGATCACTTGTGTGATTCGGTACAAAATCGAGAAGAATTTTGATTCCTATTAAAAAAAAAAAAAAGTACATTAATATTACCTATGTTTGTATATAGCTGTACCGCTTCGGTTTTTTGTTTAAATTATTCAAACCATTGTTGTGAAGTTGTTCAATTAACTCGTCGTAATCGTCCATTGAGCCAAACAATTCGTCTATATTTCTGTAATCGATTATGTCATAACCCGAATCGATCCCCGCAGAAGGATGTATTGGGTTTAACCAAACAGTATCGATTCCCAAATACTTAAGATAAGGTATTTTTTCAATAACACCTAAATCGTTAAACAATTATTCTTTACTGAACTGTGAGTTAGACAATTTGAACTAAATATCACCTATAAAAATTGTACAGTTATTTACAAGAATTAAAGTTTAATACAATTAATTGTTCAAGGACTTGGATAATGGGAATAAAATATTTTTTTAAACTATGTATCTTATAATATGTATGTTTATCTTATCATGAAATAAAACATATACCTAGTGAGTTATAATGATTTGTATTGCGGTGGTTATCTATACTTAATGTTGTTACACTATTGTTAAATACCTATTATCTTCTAGTAGTTATGCTAGATTACAAGAAATTACTAAGGCACACCCGACACACCCCGTAGTTCCAAAAAACAACTTATTTAAAGTACAATCTAGACAACTTAAGCTTTCAGAAAAGGTGCTACACTTATACATCGAAGCAAGTTTACTAGGAAAAAATGTGTCCATTGTCTAGAACAAAGAAGAAAAAAATAATAAACGACATTGTAAAACTAATAGTTCCCTCACTGTGCTCAGAATCTAAAAGTAAGGTAATGTAAATGGTAAAAGGATATCAAAAATTATTGTATTCATCTACTTTTCAGATTCTGAGTGTAACAAAGAATGTATTAGTTTTACAAAGATGTTTTTTTTTTTTTTATGTGGACCACTTATCTACCAGCAATTTTGCTCCGATTTACAATGATAGCACTTTTTCTAAAAGATAATCTTACTGGGGAGGTACTTTAAAGAAAATGTGAAAAAACGGGAAAATCGGTACAATATTAAAGTATTATTAAAGAAAATACATGATGCCTATTTAATTATTTTACCATAATATGACATACATATTGTTGATAGAGCAGCGGTTCTAAATCTTTTGTAGAACACGGACCCCGATGAAAGATTTTTAGAAATCGCGGACCCCCTAACAATTTTTTGTCGAATATCTTTTTTTTTTACAAAGCATCTCATGTTATCCTAACTGAAATTATAATAATTATTTTATATTACAAATTATAGATACATTTTCGTATTCGTATCTTACATAACGCAGTAATACTGATTTATTAGTTATTTATTGTATCATTTGGCAATACAATTTTATTTAAGCTATTTGCAGCTTCTTACTCTTTTCATACACGGAGTCTTTTCATCATAAACGTCAGAATTCTTCCTTTTTAAATTTAGTCAACGCTCCATTTTAACTTAAATGTCTTTACGATGATTTGAAAAAATATCACGTATTAATTCTAAATTACGTAGGTATAAAACTATAATTGAGTACAATCGATAAATTGCACTTATTGGTAGTAAATATACGACTGCCGACTAAAGTGCTGTATGCCTGTACAATTCGTACGAACAAAAAGAACTGATAAATAAATATTAATAATAAAATTAATAGGTTTAGATACTTAATTGTATCGAATTCCATTGTCATCGGTGTAATAAAGATAGATAAGATAGGTTTATCTCTTACGATATAATTTAAAATACATACATTTTATATGAAAAAAAGTAAAATAATAATACAAAAATATTGTAATAATGCACTTATATCACGTATTGACTCATGTTAGATGTTAAGACTGCCGCGGACCACAGGTTAAGAACCGCTGTGATAGAGTATCACTATCAACTGAACTTCGCTCAAAATAAATCTTTTTTAGTAAGCTTCAATGGTTTATCGTTGTCCTCCCTATATCCTACCGTTCCAATTTTTCACCAAAAACAGTGGCTGTACCAATCGTACGAAGTATGTCTGTCTTTTTGAGAACTAAATACCTACAATAACGTAATATTATAACAACGATAGATATGTAATAATACAATATTATAGTTCTTTTTTTTTTTATAAATTCATCGACATCATTTTATTACACGTTTTTTATTTTATTTTTCAAAATGGAAGCCACCAAAAATTATTTACCTTTAAATAATGTTAAATACTGCACTTACCAAACTTGTTTATTTGACAAGAGTTAATTTTATCAATTACCTCGTAAGTCTCCCAATCCGTTTCCAGTAGTGTCTTTAAATGATCGTGGATATATTTGATAAATTATGCCGTTTTTCCACCACTCAGATTTCGTATTTTTTCCTTTATCTATAATAGTGTAATAGAATAAGTCGCAAGTTCTGAATAGTAAAACGATTTTAAGAAAAAAAAAACTCCAAATTCTTCTGCTCCGTTGGTATCAATTGTATAAAAGTGTTTATTACCTTGATTTCTTATACCATCCGAATGTTTTATGTTTCCATTTTCTAAAATATTATTATGATTTACGATTAAGTTGTTTTCATAATTGACCAAATTTGAACTTTTTCCGGTTAAAATAATACTAAATATTAACAGAAATGCAAATATAAAATACATCATTTTTATGGTAATAAATTTTAAAATTATTATTTAAATAAGTTAGATATTTCGCGTATAGTTAACGTTCTAGCAAAAATAATATCCATTCATAATTTCATGTCAAGAGCATAACTATACGTAGTACCTAATTTAACCGTATTAAATAAACCGTGAATCGTTTACCTATCTGTGCGATAAACGTATGAAGAGATAGTGCTATGTTTACTTGAAAAGTCTTTAATTTAGTGATTTTCAACTATTGCGCCTCTTTCGGTTAGCGTCCTTGAAGTTAGCTGTGTAAAATCGATTGTTTTATTCTTTTTTTTTTTTTGGTATTATTAAATTTGGATTAACTAGTTTTATTAGTGTCTATTAACGCATATTATTGATATTGAATGACAACTGACATATAATAAACATAAAGATAACATTTTAAATCTATTAAACAGAAATTATAATATACAGCATGATTTAATAAACGTTCTCGATTGTAATAATTTTTATGTCTTAAAGCATTTCTTCATCAATCATACAATATTAAAAGTCTAGGTATTACTATTTTTTAATATTATTATTATAGTTAGGTTTGTTTTTAGTTAACTTTATAGCGCCAAAAGTAGCGAAAACCAAAGAAAATCCGAGCGACGCTGCGGTACACTACGCATTTTTAGATTCTAAGCTTAAAGCAAAACATTTATTGGTTTTCCATGATGATTGTATGTTTTTTTTAAATTTATATTTATTTTTTTTTATATCTATAAACCACTTTTCTAATAAAAATCATACTCCGTTCATCAACTTTAAGGGTGGTTTTTGATAACCAATTTTATCTAGTTGGTGTATTGGGGAAATCATTTAAATGTTGTATTTGTTTATAATTTATTTACTTTATTTATTTACGAGTATTAACTATTTTAATAATTTTGTTTTTACTTTACAATTGTTTACACATTTATGCTCAAGAAGTTGTAAATTATCTATCGTCAAAATATAATGAAATAGTATTTATTTTTAATTGTATGTTTAAAATTGTAGATTCAAAATTAAAACAGTGGAAAATAGTTATATCATTGATAATGACGCACCTAAGGAGGTGGGGGCGGCTAAAGAACGACCTATTTTACGGTCCATTGACCATGTTTAATACCAAAAAAAATAGCATTAACTATTCAGCATTTACAAACTATGTATATATTAAATCAAGTTCAATTTATGTTTGCTTATAATGTAAATCTATAATTTTATTCCGATCTGGATGAAACTTCAGTTTTCACGCTTGATATTTAAAACACAAGACGATAACCACGGTCTACTTTTATCTAGAAATTCAACCCCTAAAGAGTGGCTGACATAAAATTATTAAAGGTATTCTGTGTTTGTCTGAAATGTTTTCCATTACAAAAAAAAAAAAAAATATGTGTATGGTGGATACTATGGAAGGGATGTTAATGATGTTATTTGGGTGATAAAAGTTTCTATAAATGTATGGTCAAAAAATGTGTTTATACATTAAACAAAAATTATAATTAAGTATACAAAATTAGATTTGTTCCACATCATTTTTTTTCTCAACGATTTTCGTAAAAATTTGATATTATTAATTTGTTCAAAATATTTTTTTATAAATGTTTGAAAATTGTTAAGTGTTCATCTCGATATACATTCACTAGCATTGTTTCTCTAAAATACTAAATAAAATGTATGGTATGTGTATATTTATTGGTATCTTAGTTAACTGAGTACCTAGTTAATTTATACTTATTTATATTAATCTATAATACTAATTTATACTAAGCAACGTATCTATTATTAACACCACAAACTTAGATGTACTTATAAATATAACCTAACTCGTAATAAAAGAAAAGAAAAAAACACTCATTGAGATAATTAATGAAGTAATAAAAATAAAAGACAACTGGTAAATTGATGAATTAAATTTAAAAATAATACCTATAGTAATGTTTTATATTTTATGTAGTTTTCGTTATACGTGTAAAATGTAGGTAGGTATACATAAAATTAAAAATTAATCAAAATTGATATTTTAGGGAAAATTGACTTTAGTTGAGCACTAATAGTTCTGAAACCGATATTGTGTTAAACTTAATTCTATATATATCGTATTAAATAAGATAAATAAATTTAGCTATAAATTAACCAACCACGGAATTCATTTATAAATATTTACATCTATTAATAATAATTGTGGATGAAAAATAAATTTACCTAATTAAATTTGAAGACACGATATACAACGGACTGACAATAGTAACGTTAACACGGTATAACCTAAAGGGCAAATCAAAAATCAATAGTTTACAATCCTTAGGTTATACATTCATAATAAAAAAATCGGTTACAAATTGCATATTACAAATTAAATATAAAAATTTTAATGAAACATCATAATAAAAATGATTTAACGAAAACGTGAAGCGCTCACAAGAACGAAGACTATAAAAACCACGCGGATTCGAACGACTCATAAAAATCATAAACTATTTTCTACCGTACATGAAAGGCGGACGTAATAAATATTACGATTAATAATAATAATAATAATAATAAAAATAATACACTGTTCACAAATCAGTTTGTTTTTAAGAAAAATGAAGTTTGCAGGATCTTTCCGATAATTTTGGCAGTGTAGAAACAAAGACAAAAGTGCAATGATAAATGATGCCGCGCTAGACCGCTGAAAAAACTACTAAAGGACTGTTGGATAGGCAGTAGGCACCGGCACATCGTTAAAACGCAACTAACATTCTAAGTGTTCCCAGTAACATAAAAGAAAACTAGAAGAAAACTTTGAAGATATTTAAGTGTACAAGAAATGCCCAACTTAATAGGCGACGAAAAGTTGAAAGAAATACCACTTATAAAGCCTTTGCTATTGAGCATACGTAAGGTTTTATCGCGAAAAAAATATTACGTGTGATGTGTGTGCAGCAGAATTAACAGACACAATTTAATTGATATTAAATTAATATTAAAATATTGTAATACTATTAGGTTACACCATTTTAATAAAGAATTAGTGGTTTGAAAAATAAGAACTCGACCACTGTTAATAAAAATCAATAAGGAACTTAATAACATGTAATTTTTAATGTTTGTAAACAATACAATTAATGTAAAATGTAACTAAAAATTAATAAGTAATGAAATATATAACAACTCGGAAAAATAATATCGTTACATTTCTTTTACCACGCACTTCCAACTCGTATTACTATTCGTTTTGCACGATGTTCACTCCACACTTCTCTCTCTTTCCCGCGACCTCTTCGCGGTCNCTATTCGTTTTGCACGATGTTCACTCCATACTTCTCTCTCTTTCCCGCGACCTCTTCGCGGTCTACAGTTGATACGTCTGTAACGAATACAACCGTATTCAAAGACATTACAAATGCCGAAAGTTATGATTTCCGGCGAAAAAAGTCGTAACTTGAGTCACCAATATTACACACCACTATATTTAAACGAGATCACCGACGAAAACTGTCGTAACTATTATAGAATATTAAAATTCTGTTTTCGGAGTTTTCGTTTGTCTACCTTTGTGTTATTATCGCGCGCGCGAATTAGAGAAGGGGCTGTTTTGATGAGAAGCAGCGTCACGGCGCCGTTGTTAATTAACAAAACAAGTTTTTGTTCTCCGCGCATCAGGATTGCGTAATATGCTCAACAGTCTAAATGTGTGGCGTACGCCATCGTTGTGCGGTCGGACGCCGCCGCCGCCGCCGCCGGAGAATATCGGGAAACATATTACGAAAATAGTTATAATTTTGGGCCTTTGGCCGTGTTACTATTATACTTAATATGCCGTTACACTGGTATAAGGTCTATGCCATTTCAACCTTTCACGAATCGCGACATACATATTTCCCCCCCATCGTTTATGACGATACCCTCCCAACAAAAATCGTTTAGTATAACTTGAATAATACGATGTACTTACAATACGTCGGGGTCGCCACATCTCCGGGTACTCCAGTTTCACGTATAAATCTACGGGCCGCGTCTACGGTTCAGTGAAATCGTTGAACCCCACTTTCGAGATAAAACACGATTTATTGAATGTTAGCCATTTTTTTTTCTGCTTATCAGCCTGTCTCTGGGTCTACCATTTGTCCGTCCATCAGAGTTGCTAACCCTATGTACAGTATACATCATACGATACTTACGGTTTTTGACGATCCCCTAACTATCACTCGCACGATACGAATTGCCTACTTATTCCTGCGATTCTGATTTCTGTCGCAGTGTCGTAAGCTATAATTTCGAAACTGATTCGGCCCGCTCGATTCTGACTTCATCATGGTTCTTAAAGTGACAATATACAGGTGTTCCAAACAAAGTGGACAATTTATATGAGACAGTAATGAAATATTACAGATTACTGTCGCAGTCATACTATTAGTATGCTACGGGAATTTATAGTGATATTATCCAAAATTGTTGTGGTAATTTTAACTATATGGAGCCACAAGGTTTTCATACTTTTGATAAGAACCTTTGGGCTTTTTGGCGACTCGTGCAACCGTTCTATCCAAAACCGTGATTGGTTAACTGACCCACTAATCGTTATCAGTAACCCAAGGTTCATCCACCGCAACAATCCAATAATACGTGTTATCAGTAAAATCGTTTTAGCATTGTTTTGTACAAACTATATAGCGGCCCTCACACGGTCAATATTATTGACGGTAATTTTGTTACTGACAGTATTATTGATCGTGTAATGCGAGTACTAATGTATTCAGTATGAAAAAACGATACTGATGACAAAATTGGACATCGAGCCTTCAGTATTTTACTGATAATTATATTGACCGTGTGAAGTAGATACTGACAGTTTGTCAGTATGTTTTTCGCAGCCATGGGTGACGAAAGTCAAAATACGCGTACTAGTGAATCCCGAGATAGACAAATTTGTTGAAATACTATAATGCAATAATGGTGCTACCATACTTAAAAGTTGATTATAATTATCAATGTTCATTCGGAAATAATTAATTAAGTCCCTTGGATCTGAAAGTTGCACTTCTTTTATAACATTTAGATGAGTGTACTATCTTCGTTTGGAAATCCATTATTTTACCAATTGTTTCCGTTTTCTCGAAACTCGTTTATTATTTGGAATGGATAAGGCTAATATAATTGCTATACATGCTTTTTGCTGTTCATCCATACCCAACTATAATTATTTTATTAAATAAAACAAAAATATTTATCAAACGGAGACCAAAGCAATCAAACACAATTAAATACTGACTGTCTGAGGACTATACTGTCAATATGCTCAAATAATGTCAGTATCTATACTGTCAATAGTATTGATCGTGTGAGGGCCGCTTATAGGTATCATCATAAATAATAAAGTTTATTATCTATGGGTATCATAACAAAGGTATTATTTTAAGACTGCGGCAGGTCTCGTAACAAAATATCGAAATATATTAGGTACCATGATTCATGACTCTTGAAGGCTTGACTCTCACACGAGAGTATAATAGCATAACGCATACAAAAAAGGGCTTTTTTTTTTTTATATAAAGCCAGAGGTACTCCGTACAATGAGTAGACCATATTTAGATTAGGTATCTATAGATATTATCAAATTAGAAGTGGGCGGGTTTGCAAAGTTAGTGCGCTACACTAGAACAATGTAATGTACTTTGACGTCCGTCAGGCAATTTAACGAAAACGCGTTTTCGGAATTCCAACTCGAAATGTAGATATTTAAAATAAAAAAATATACATCAAATTAGAAACCATAAAGCGACAAAAAACAAAATTTAGTAGGTTTTCGCATAGGGAATTTTTTTTTTTTTTATATTTTCATAATAAGTTCTATATTGAGATGTAAGACAAAATTAAATCTTCTATTTATAATTGCCGGTATGGACGTGTCCGGGAATATAATACATACTTTTGTGAAAAACAAATCTATTAAGAGTAGCTGGTATTGTTGGAAATCCGAAAACACATTTTTTCTCAGTGTTTTTACCTCGGATAACCATGGATAATATATAATTATATATGTTCTTTACCTATATTGGGTTTCGCCAAAATTGAAAATAACGTCGTCCGATATTATTTACACCTGGGGTTACGGGTTACCACATTTAAAAGACGATGGTAGACCCGGAGAGAGGCTGATCGAAAAAGAAAAAATTCAGCAAGATGCCGCGCCTATGTAGAAATTAAATATACAAGAAGTCAATTTTAAATCGTATTTTATCACATCCATAAACAGTGCTAATTTTAGCACGACCCGGAGAATAGTTGACTGAATCCGTAAGCGTAACACCGGCGATTACATTGGTTTTATTTTCTTCGACCGAACAACAGCGGTCAAGGAAGCAAGAGTAAATAACCTTTAACAACATTTCAATAGGTACACACACACTAATAATATTATTATTTTCATACAATTTGTATTCATAATAATAATGTTAATGCGCTTATATTTATGGTACCTACATTCGCAGTTGGAGAATTTGCGTTACCGAGTCGAGTCGCATGGAGATTTTTAAGTCTTTAGAGTGCGCATTTATTTACACGAGATTTTATTTTACCCCCTTCTTTTGGACATAATAAAAATATCGAGTACAGTAATAATAATGTAAATAAATTAGAAAAAAATAAAAATAAACGAGTCACCTGCAATTATTGCATTCTAGTTCGACATTGAACCGAAAAAAATAGTGAAACGTGTTTTGTTCAACACTGTTCGGAAAACACGACTGCGCAAAGGAGAACGATAGCAGCAAAAAAAAAAAAAAGTCGATTTATTATAGTAAACGATCGTTGTCCTTTGCACGCGAAACAACGGATTACACCAACGACCTTTAACCAACGGTTGTGAAATACATACGCACGCCGCCGTCAACAGTAGGTTTTCTTTCTTTAAAATCTGTGTAACGTTGAAATAATAATAAAAACACACAGTATTAAGTATTTATTGACGTTTAAAGCATTTTGTCATTGCGAAATATGCAGTGTATCAGACCAATAATAACACAAATGAACAAATATAGCCGCCAATCAAATAATTGGAATCGAAGTTTGATTTCTCAATCGCCTTGCTCGTAGATTTTCGAGTAATCGAGCTTAATTGCATTTATGAATTTACGATGCACATTACAAAACGTTCACATAATACAGATTTTACGTCATGTGAACAAATTTAAAAATAAATGTGAAACGAATCATCGCCTCGGCCACATATTGTTATGTTGTCATGGTAGTTTTAATATCCGCGTAATAATATCTGTAACGATGTATGAAATCGTGACGATCAATAGTGAACAGTATTATTATTTTAAACATTAATACATTAAATATACATTAATTAGTATATTAAATTTTAATACGCTATTTTTTTTCCTTGTTATAATATATTAAATAATTTCAATGTAAAGTTACTATTTTAAATACAATTTTTACATGTCACCAAAATGGGTTTGGAGAAAATCTTAAAAAAATAGTTATGTTACCCGACAACTTGAATTAATTAAAATAATAATAATAATAATAATAACAAAAATAATAATAATAATAATAATAATAAATAAAATAATGAATTTTAACAAAAGATCAATATTTCTTCAATCTCTAATAGTTCATGTTATTTTTTTGCATACAATGAAACAATTGTATATGTCAAGTTCTGTGTACCATCTTTACAAAATGTAGCACTATATCTGAATAAACATTTACAGTGGTATTAAAGTTACTTACAATTATTAGACAAGGAAGAAGTGAGAGAAAAAATTAGAGTAATTTTAAGGATTAGGGTAAAAGAATAAATAATATATACTACAGGTTGAACTAAAAAAGAGCTAATAACTAAGCTGACAGAATTATTTGTTATTATTATTATTATTATTAATTATTTTTAGTAGTTTATAATAAAATTTATACATAGTTATACATCAAAATATGGAGAAAGCAAAAAAAAATAAAAATAAATATATATATATATATATATATATATATATAAATGTATAATATGAAAGACTACCGTATTTAAGTGACTGCAGGATATAAGAATAATGTCACATATTGCTTTTCAATATTTCTTTTTATGATCACATGTAAAGAGACGGTTGACCACAACGTATTAAACCATACGAGCTTACATATTATATCGCAAACAATGTACATCCATATTTATTAAGTCAGTTTTTATAAAATATGGTACAGGTTTTACGAATACCCTATTTCAGGATTCACCATTACCACTGTCTGTGGCATCATCCTGATATTCTTCTTCAGAGTTTGCATCAGATTCTACATCTAAATCGTAGTCTTCCACATAGAAATCACTGTCCATTGCAGCAGCTGAAGTTGATGAACGAGCAGTCTGACTCACTTTGCAATAATCTTCTAAAGTAAGTGGAACCACGACACCATCTCTTTCAGCCTCTAATCGGCCAACTACCACTTGTTTTCTGAAATAACACAAAATATTTTATTTAATAATTAACTATAATAGATAACTAAACAATTTTGTTTACAATAAAAGCAACTTACTTAATTATATTTTCGTATTCTTTATCTTTGCCTTTAGAATCTTTCCACCGCCTATACATGATGGAAGCATCAACATTAGCAGGACTAAATGTGTTTGGTTCATTCAAAAGAGAAATTACAGAAAGTAATACTGTCCTATAGACGGAAGAAAAATATTATCAATATAATTTAAAAACTAATTGTCTTTTTTTAAAAAAATAATGTGTGCAAAAATTGGTTTTGTATATATTTAGTTTGTGATTTAATCAGAACTGCCACTCAATTATATAGCTATAAAAAGAGATTATAATGGATGAGTAATTTTAAAAGTAAATAATTAGTACATAGACATTATTTTTAATAAAAATGAAACAAAATATAATATACCACATTTTAAGAATAAGAATTCCAATCAAAACAATCAATAATATATTGTTTTTTTTTTTTTTTTACAATAATAATATCTATATATATATATATTATTATGATTACATATTAACATAGGGATCTAGGCTATAAATCAATCAACTTTAGGTTTTTTTTAATAAAGTTATTAATAAGTATTATTTCAATAAGGATTTGAATACTTGCAGTGTTTTTTTCTAGTTTCCTTACACATAGTTTATTTACTGTCTTTAATAATAGTACCAGTAAAAATGGAAAAAAAAACTAAAATTATTTTGGGAAATTCGTCTATATGTATACATACCATTCACAAAATTTGCAACTATAAATAAATAATATTATCAATAAGAATACACTCCTTAACCACATAATCTCTGGACTACAATTAAAATTTAGGATTTCAAAAAGATAAATATATTTTGAAAATTGATTTGATTAGTCAAGTATATTTTTTAATAACATTTTAATAATTTAATATTAATGAAGTTACAGAAAAAAAAAATGTTTAATTTTAATATTATAGACATAAGTATTTTTTTAAATATGATCGGAGAAACAGCAAAGTATATAATGTTTTATCTCTTAAGACGCATCTCAACTTGTTTCCAATATAATAAACTGCTGAAAATGCACAATATAGTTTGTTGTTAGTGAAAGGAATGGCCATTAGATATTTAAATCCTAATTTTAAGAGCGACCCACACTACAAGTTCCTTTATTTTTGTATAGATTCATCTTTAGTTAAATTATTTTTCACTAAATCATTTTTTCTCCAGCAACTTGAGATTTGAATTGGCAATTTTTCTTTCAACATTTATTTGATGTATTGTATCAGTTATTCTTCTTCATTATTTATCTGAAGGTAAATATTGATCATATTTAATATTTGCTTTTTAATCAAAATTTTATTGGGATTTGAAAACAAGGCTTTTAAATCTACTAATTCATCATTGTTATCTTTACATGGATTCTACAAATAGTTAAGCACATAAGACAACTTGCATATTATTTGCTTATATTTATTTATAATTATTATATATACTTTCTGACAACCCTGAGATAAATTAAACACTAATCTTAGTATTTTATTCGTCAATTATCATACATTACATTTCAAAAATAATCCATGCTCTATTTACACTAGTAATAGGTAAAAAATCAAATGAATCTTTAATTTTCTAAAGTATTTGCTTATTGTTGTTATTGATAGGAAAAAGAACCAGGGATTCATCCCAACAACTTGTTGAGACAAACATTCTTTAATCCAGGATGAGAATGCAAATGCAGAAAAACAGACAATTTATATTTATTGTATCTGATATATGGTGCAGAAATACCAGATTAGTGATTGGGAAATGAATGGTTTATGGTTTGGTACTAGGGGAACAGCAGCATCTTTCCTCAACTTTTTCAGGATTCATGGTATCATACTTGACCAAAAACTGGTCAAGATTTGTCACATTGGGAATAATTCAATTTCATTTATATTCCTAATCGATATTGTATTATTATTACGTTAGTGCTAAGCTATATTACACCATATTCATTAAGTTATTTAATTATTGTACACTTCCTGTTTTAACTATAAACTTTGTACTGATAAGTAAATTGAGTCCATTGACAACTCAGCTTTATGAATATTTAATAAAGTTTTTTTTATATATATAAGTAAATAAAGTCAATAAAAGTGTGCAAGTAACAGCCCTGTTTAATGTTTAAATTTGTAATATTTGTATATTTTTACATATGAGTTCATGGCGTGGAAGAGTGGAGTTAAGAGCTTGAGGTTTTGTATGTTACCTGACACTTTGGGTAGGATTCCACCTTTCACATGGTAACTCTCCAGATTGAGGATCGTCTATTGGTGGATGAAGTATTGAAATACATAGATCACCATTCTGAAAAATAAAGTTTTTTTTTTTTTTTATAAATTTGAATTATTATTACCAGGTTTCAAATTCTATATTATTTGTTAATTATTCTGGAATATAGATAAAAATAGCAAAATGAGCATTAAGTATAATTTATTTTGTATTTTAAATCTCATTTAAATTTAATGGAAATAAGTAAGAACAAAGGAAACAAAACTACCTTACAAGACAAGCCACAAAGCTAAACAAACTAAACAAACAGAGGGACAGAACACTACCCTTGCCAATTTCATTCACCAACTTAAGTGACACTGAACGGCTCTCTTTGGAAATAGTTTACTAATATAAAATTACTAAATTATTGTTAGGAAGTACAAAATAATAAACAAAAAAACCATATTTTCATTTTATGAAATGAAATTTTAGGTCATACTTTATATTTCATATTTCAGTATTTTTTAGTGTTATATCATTTGAGAACTAATTCATTGATCTAGATAATTATATAATTTATACATAAAAATGAGTTAATCAAATTCATCTTGTAAGTACTTAGAATTATTTTTTGAATACAATTTTGATGATTGTTTTGAGTCAAAACATCAATAATTATTATTTTACAGAAGATTAATTTGCAAATACAAGACTTGTTAAATTAATAGGTGCGTTATATTAGAGAATGTGATGTATGTCTTACAAACAAATAATAGCTAATTCACGTTCAGCAGGGGCAAGCCCAGCTGTGAGTTTTAATATTAGAATAAATTGTATAATACAATTTTAGGATATGAACAATATTTGTGCAGCAGTGTAATTTTTTTTAATATTCTAATTTTTAAGAGATAAAAGCATTCTTACATTTTGATTTTTTACATTATCATATTTTACTTTAAAATTAAAATATATAAAAAAAAAAATTCTGATATAGTTGTACAGATAATCATAAAATATCTTTAAGTTAGGTAGATATCACGTCCTCATCACGTCCGTGATCAATTTTCATAATATCTAAGAATTATGTGTGAAAATATTTTCACTTGTACTATTGAGAAAGTAACACAATTTCACGCTTTCATAATTTCTATTTTCTTTTTATATTCTAATTGTTAATATTGTTTATGTTAAGAAACAATATTTTTATATTACCAGAGTATAATATTATTAAATACCTATTTAATTCTTATATAAATCTATTAAGAAGTTATATTTGTGTTTATTGTCTTAATGTAACAGGTAACAATTTAGAGCGACCTTTAAAAATAAATATCTAAATTATTTGTTGTACCTTTCTCTCCATTCGTTTACAATTCTCGGCTAGGTAGTTCAGACATTTTTTTTACAAAAAAAGCTAACAATATTTTTTTTTTAAATTAAAAACATGCATCCATCACAAAAATCAAGTAACAAATTTTATTAGTATTTAATAAATGTTATTTTCAATGTTATTACATTATTATTAAGGACATAGTTACAATTTTTGGAAAAAAAAAAGTAAAGGCTCAAAACAACATCCAGCAAAATGGTGTTTTGTTTTATATATCATATCATTTTAACTATTTATAATAAAATAAAAAACGAAATTATTTTAAACTACATTTCCTAAACTTATTGTAAGCTGTGTTTTTTTGATTTGATCACATGTTACAGACTTAGAGCTAAAAATATATTAACAATTTATTAAATATGATACAAGTGATTGTATAATTTTAGCATTAAATATAATATTTGTTTTTCCTTTGGTTATATAATTGTGTAAAAATTGCTTTCTTACAATTGTTAAACGTTTTCTATAGTCTATTTATTTATTCGTATGACATATATAATGAATAACAGAATATATATATATAATTATTATAATGCTGATAATAATAATAGTAATAAATAAGTTATAAAAAATAAATTATTAGATTTATTGAATTAAATTTAGACATTGGTAACTTGGTAATGTGCAGGTAGTTATAGTTTGAGATCAAGGTTTGTTATCTTAATAGTCACTAACAATTTGCAAAACAAATATTTTTTTTTTATACCTTGTTGTCAATAGCATAATTATAATCCTCTATTAACTTAATACCTCACTCTACTGAATCATTCACGACTCGTAACTTGGTTACAACAATGAATGTATTTTAAGAGCATCAATCAAATCAATGGATAATTTAAAAGAAAACTTCATCCAAATTTAACAGTTGGAACAAATCTCGGGTCTCACTGTTAAAAAAATTATCTTTCATTTTTCAATCTCATTCATGTCATACTGATTCTTTGGTTTCGAAAGTTTGGAATTTTTGTTAGAACTTATATTATTATTCAGCCTTGTCACCATTATTATTTTTATTTCCTACAGCTAGGTATATCGGCTTTATATATGTTTTTTTTTTTTTTTTGAACAGCTATGCCATTTTTCATGTAAATATTCAAAATAGAGCAAAATGTAGGGTGTAAAAGTTTTTCCAATTTATAAACATTTAAAATTTGTTTTTTTTTTAGAGGGGAAGAGTTGGGAGTGAACTTTAAAATTAAAATAGGAACATATGTTCAAAATACCATAAATATATGGAACACTATTCAAACACTGCACCCGTTTCATGTCACCACACAAGCGCATGATCTACTCTCTTCCCATACTTAAATTAAAAAGTGGAATAACTTGTGAACAGGTTGATGAAAATCAAAAATTTCAACAACCAAAATTTATTTTAACTAATACTCCACCTAATTATGGAATTTTGAGGTTTCAGTTTAATTTCAAAAGTCGCTCCCCCCCAAAAAATGTACACATTTTAGACGTTTATAAATCAAAAAACTATTGTATCATATATTTTTCTCTATTCTGATAAAATAGATATAACAAATTTTAAACCACCCTGTAAATATAGGTACTTGATAATTATTATCATAAAATGTCATAATTAATTAATGAGCAATAGACAATGAATAAATAATGTTGTTTATTAGCCAAATATAGATTAATATCAGTTAAAAAATACTTAATTCTATAATGTAGGATACATATTAATTTATTTTATTAAATTATAACCTTCTGTATTTTTGTACCTATAATAATAATATTAATAATAATAATCTATAGAATTATAAAAAAAATTTAAATGGGCATTTCTTGGCACACAACATGACCTTCTTACCTAACGAATAAATACTGAACTCTCTCGGGGCCACTAACAAAATCCTACTTATCATTTTAATATGATCACCTTGATGTACAACTAAACAGGTATTTGTGTAGTACACAGTAGTAGTGTCTCGAGTAATATAACTGATTTTTGTTCTTAAAAGGACAAGAACTTGACAGTGACCTCCTATAGGGCTGTACGGCTTTCCTTACGTTTGTCCCTGACATGCAGAAAGACAAAATAGCTTTATGACATTAAAACAAGTTTAATGATGTTATTATGACTGAAATAATTTCAATAATATTTTTAAACTAAATATTTAAATTATATATTAATTATTATGATTATTTATACCTATATTAATAAAAAGAGCTATATTGCTTTAAACAAGACAAGTTTAATTTATTTCTTAAGTAAAATGTTTAATTTGAACTATTTAAACAAATGTTTTACTTTTACATAAACAATATACCTATCGATAATAAATTTACTAATAATTGATATACATATATATAATAAGTAAAATTTATTTCCAGTTTGGTACACATTACACACAAAAATTAATATTATTAACTTTATTACTATTTATATTTTTTGGATTTAAAATTATGAAATAAACATTTCATGTTTACTTAAAAGTTATAATTAGTAACAGTTTGCTTTGCAAAGAATATAATAAATTATTAACATTTACCAGATATATACTGCCTATATAGGAAGAGTAAAATGATAGATAAGCTGTTAAAAATAATGTTTATAACATAATATTTTGTATTAGCAAATTTTAAACGAAAAAAAATTTTTGTTTAATAGCACGTAGTGCAATAATAAAATAAACAATATATTCATTGAAGCATATATTTAAATTATAATAATGTTTATTTATTAAAGTTAGAACAATAAATAGATGCATTAGATAACTCTAATACAAATTAAATGTGAAAGAAAGTAGTGCATGATGGGAAACATTGAAAATAGACCGTGTCAAAATAATGTTATGTTTAATAATATGAAACAAGTATTATTTTTTAATTTATCTGAAATGTTTTTGTGTTTAAATTAGATAATGAAATTAGGATTTTTTTTAAATGTAATCTAGTTGTGCCCGCATAGTAAGTTTAATGTTTTAGTATTCAAAACACAGACAAGTTTATTTCTGTGGAGAGGGCGGAATTCATTTTAACCAAAACGAATCAAAATCACTATATTTTTACTCAGAAAAAAAAATTGTTAACTAAAATTCTGATATACCACTATATCTTACAATATATATATATCTATTAGATTTAAAAAATAATTCTCCACAATTATTTTTAATTCCTTGTATCTGTTAACAGAGATATAACCATGGCACATTTTACTTCTTAAATTTCAACAAATTTTGTCTTAATTGTTTGTGTAGTATAAGAACTATTTTAATAAAATGATTGATAGAACATAATGAATAATATGTGCATTAAAAAGTGAAAAAAAAATGATGGCAGGGAAAGTATATTATTTGATGAAAATTGTTGAGAAAATAACTTTCTCTAGAAACATTCTCATTTCCCAAGTGAACATTTCCTTAAGGTGTATGATCTCTAGTGTTAATAATTTTAAAACAATATAAACATAAATTAAGCTTAATTTCTTCACTCAGTTGAACAAATATGAAATAAAAACTATAGTTTAGGTTAAAAAAACATTTGATAAGATCAATTTTTTTTAGGAAGAATTAAGGACATTGACCTTGCTTTACTTAGAAAACTTTTTTTATAATATATTAAAATATTTGGATTAAATTATATTTAATAAATCGTTCTCAAGTTGTAAAATTGGTTTCAGTAGCTTATACTGATATTAAAGTACATGCCACAATATCGCAAGGATTTAATTTAGGTCCTCTATTATTTGTTTTATTTATAAATAACTAGCCCAATGTTTTCGACACCCTTATACAGCTTCTATTATTCACTGATTGTGTTAAAGTATTTTCGTTTATAAACTCACTGAGTGATTGTATTAAATTACTGTTGAACATTGAAAAGTTAAATGAATGGAGTATTGTAAATGAGTTACATCCTAACATAAATAAGTGTGAGGTTATTTTGTTTTCCTGAAAAATTCTTTAACTATAGATTAGGTAATTCTATTTTAACTAGGATTGATTTTATTAGAGACTTAAGAATAATTTTTAAGGATATTTTTTCCTTTTTCTGTCATATTCAATTACCAGTTACTAATGCTTTCAGGATTTTGAGTTTAGTAAACAGAAATACAAAAGTTTAAAAATATAAAAATATTTTTTAAAATTAATTTAAGGAATATACAAAATATATTTATTTGAAAATTAACCACTACCTAATGTAATTATTTCAGGTATTTACGATACATTATTTTCAAATGTTTTATATTTATTGTTGTGTACCTAATTCAAGACTCAGAACACAAAGGTTGGTTATTAAATTTAAAATAACCAATACACAATTTACAGTGATTAGTTTACAAAACATTAAGTGACAATTAAATATTGCACATAATTTGTCATTTTCTTTATATTTAAAATATGTTAATTTTTAACTAATTATTAATCATACATACCTACACAATTATATTAATAGTAATGCAATTAAAGTAACATACCTCATACACATTAGGATGCCATACTTTGGTCAGAAATCTTATAGTTGGTGGTGAATATGGATAATCGGCAGGAAACTTCATATGTGCCTATAGAAATAAATAAAATGTTTTAATGTAACATTTTTAATTTAGATATTTGATTAATAAAGAAAAGGTAACTAACCTAACTAAAACATGAAGCAGTAAGCAAAATGTAATCAAAATAAATAGTAGGTAAATTATTAAATAAATAAAATAATTTTGCTAACTACCTAAAATTTGTTTTATTAAAATAATAGTACAAATGTTAATTGCAACTCTTAGGTTAGTATTGCAACTGTAAACTAAAAATATGAATCAGCTTGTTGAAAGATTTTCAAGAGATTAGAGGTATCAAAATAACATCAAAGTATTAAGAAATCCCACAATGAGGTAATTAAATACTAAATAGAATGATTGATAGAATAGAATTGATGACCTACTTAACAATATAATAAGAAGTGTCAGACAAATAAATAAAGCAATTTTATTTAGGATATGGTTAATTGTCATACAACGATATACTCATAGTATGATTAATAAAAATAGACACTTCACGTAAATACCTTAAAATATCCTCCCTGGTACAGGGTTTCCGGGGGACCGAATATGGCTACTTCCCATTCTCTGAGGTTGTCCTCGATTAATTTTACCCTGAAACCCTCGACGGGCTCTTCTTGCAGACTTTTGTACTCGTGCGCTAGGGCTCTGTGGGCGCTCGTCGACAGATTCTGATTATTAGCCATAAATACAAATGCGTTTCGAGTTCACAGTGAATATAATATTGAAAGTGTTGTTGGTGTGTAACCACCACAACGACCACTACGTTATTAAATACGAGGAAATTAAAAGAAAACCGTGTACGATTCACAGAATGCGCATTGTGACACGGATTTGAACAACGACGGACGCACTGCGCATTATTAATTGACAACTATAAATAATAATATTACTATTATTGCCGTTGTTATAATATTAATGTATAAATGCACAAGTATACGGAGAACAGAATAACGTAATCGTAAACCGATATTGTACTATAGTCCCGTGTAGTCTATGGAGCACTGTGAGATACAGTTTCGTTTTCGGATGATAATAATGTAATGCCGCGTGTGTACTTAAATTTTACAGCAAAAAAAAAAAAGTTATTATATATTTGTTCCGTTTTTTGCGATTGCACAGTCTTCTCGGTACGTGAATGCGATGGTAGTAAGAAAAACAAAAAACAATACAAAGCGAAACAATAACAACGATAACAACAATGACTTTTAAGAAAGAGAAAAAAAATATATTTTAAAATAATAATTGTATTAAGAAAGGCGTAGAAACTCTTCGCAAGTGTGATTATAGCGTGTATGCGTGCGTCTTTGATCCACACGGATTGATAGAATGAAAAAACAGCATCGAAAGGTGAGTGGAAAAAAAAAATTGTCTTCGCGCACGCACTCGTATATATATATATATATTTATACTATATATTATTATGTATATGGTTGTATACAGCTACATCATGTAATATACGAGTAGCGGGCAATATTCATTATACGACGTGCAAATGATTTCGAGTGCAGCGGTTTAGTCTGATGGTGGTGGGGATGCTTCGCGGGCCAACAATGAAACAAGGTTGCCGTCCATTCGTCCGTAGAACCGCACAGCTGATCCGGTCCATAGTAACCTGATACCAGGTTTGTCGAATGGCGGAACGTTATCACAACGATTGTATATTATCAGTTATCACTATTCGTCGTATTTAAATTTTAAGTCTTCATCCAGTTGTTATTAACTAGTGGGTACTGGACTACCGACTAACTTCTTTCTGCTTTGTGTGTTTCAATGTCTCCCGGTCTAAAAATAATATTTCAATTTAATGAGCAGTGGAAGTCTATTTCGTGGTTGTTCGATTTCATAAATGACGCACTAGTAAGTACTACTTACGTTATGATTTTCCGAATTCAATATTAAAACCTTTGTGTCAATCGCCTACTAAAGAAACACATTGGTGTCATTGTCTAGATTCAATATCAAAATCTATCACAATCACTAGTTGCTATTCAAATACCCTGGATTTCACCAGTCAAGGCAAGTTAATAATACTTAATTTATATAAAAACTAAAGATTCAATTTTACACCAACAGAAATTCCAGACACGTCTAAGTGCTATGTGAACTTTCGTAGATCGGCTCCAAAAGACTGTCTATTAAAGCGCAGAAGTTTTCAGATATCTACAGACCCTACTAAATAAGCTATACCAGTTTTCAACACCAATAGTGACAACTATGTACAGTTGGCCTGATAACTGGATTAAACCTAATCAGACCTGCATACTATTAGCTTGCACGTGGGATGTACCCAAGACTAATAGACAACAGTCCACGATGGGTGTAACCTGATTTCATATTTATCAACATTTTTTTAGGCACTGTTTTAAGTTGGACATAGTAAGTCAACTGGGTGACAACCAAAATATATCAGTCTTTGCACATTTGGCTTTGTAGTAGAATTTAACCACAAGACAGGGGAGTTTGTTTATTTGGATATACGAGTGAGTTGCATTCTTTTGTGGAATGGAGTATAATACACCACTACCAATATTATTTAAGTTATTAAGTCTTGGAAGATTCTTAAATATTAATTTAAACATAATGGTATTTAATTATACTTGTAATGAAAAGTTAGTAAACAAACAACAATGAACTAAAATTACAGTCCTTCAAAGTTATAAAACTAAAAGTGATTATGTGTTTATTATCTGTAGGCTGTTAAAAGATGGACCATTTTTTTTTCAAATGATATTTAAGTAAAATAAATTTGATTTACATACATAAACTTCAAAAATAATATTTTATTAACAATTGAGAAGGATAATATTTTTTTGAATTTATAAATGCAGAATACTGTTGATAAAATTATGTCTGTTCAAATTTCTTAACAATTATGTTTATAATCACCAGATTAAATTGCAACTTATTTGGGAAAATAAATAATGTTATTGTATATTGTTGAACACCACTTTTTAGTTAATTTGTTGTATTTTTTTTGATTTAGATTTTCTAACCAGAGTAACATATAAAGAAGAATATCAGAGTTAATTACGAGTTATTGGAATTATTAAACTTTGTCATTATACCTATACACTGTAATATTTTTAAATTTTGTTAGAGAATATTAAAATTAATATAGACAAATTAATTATAGGTTTTAAATCAAAGTTTACCTACTGCTTAAAATTGAAAAATCATATGGATTTAAGAAGATTAAATTAGTGGTTCAAACATGTAAAGCAGAATTTGAGTAATTCAATGAAAATGATCTTTAAATCTCGAATAATAGGTAATCATATATTTTAACTTGGTTATGAACTATTTCTAAAAAAAAAATAAGGATGTATGTAATAAAATATATTTATATCTATTCAAATTTAAATATTTAATTTTAGTATTTCATAACAAGTTTGTAGAACTAAAAATATGTATACAGAGTGTAAAAATATTTGATATTTTTACATGTAACTACAAGGTAAAAATGTCAAATAGTCCTATTACTCTCTGTATATATATATATATATTTTTTTTTAATACATACTTTATTTTTAAATATTTGGTTTAATTTTAGATTCTGAGAAAAGCATAAGAGTTTTTATGTCTTATAAACAATGTGTTTTTTAAAAACACAAGTCATGTTATTTATAAATAGTAAATTGAATACTTAATAGATATTTTTAAATTTTTAAATTTGTTATTTGAAAATCATATGATTATTTGATGAAGGTTTTTTTTGCTCTTTCACTTTATACCAAGTGTAGGTAAATCTTTACAATTCTTCTTTGTCTATTACTTTTATTTTATATTTTTCTAAATTCACTTTTGATTAAATCACGACACAGGGCACCCTAAAATTTCAATGGGTTCTGTGCAAGTGCATAGCTTGCACTGCTTTCAAGATAGCCCTGGTTATAGTATTGATTGGTTTCAAAAAAATATGTATACCAAATATTTTTAAATTTTCTAAATTATTATTGATAATAAAGCCCAATATATAACAATAATTAATGCTGATGACTTGTTTTTTTATTTCTAATAGTATATATTAACACTCTCTCCTCTTGTAATTTCCAAAATATTTTATCTATGATCGCATGATAGTCGTGATTTTTTATTACAAGTCTGCTACAGATATGATTGCTATAAATCTTAGTAAATTCTATAATGTGGAAGAATCCATAGGTTAATATAGTGTTACAGTTATTTACTATGTGTTTAACTATATGTTAGAAGATAATTTTTCATAAACAGATTTAATAAATATCTTACTGTTTGAATTAAACTTTTTTTAAATTTTTTTAGCTGTTACCTATGTACATAATCAACATTTGTGAAGTGTAAGAAGAAAACTATAAAATTTTCTACCATTCAAAATTTGCAAGAGAACACGAATACTGCATTTACATAAATTGTTTCAGACTGTCTTATGGGTAATTAACCAAAATTATGCCTCGCAAACTACATTTAGGTTAAATATTTCCAAATAAAATACTTGCTGATATTTAATTAAGTTTTATAAAGTAAATATTAAAACACTTAACTTACTTAAAAAAGGTTATGAGTAAAGTTATCACACTTTTTTCAATAATGTTTATTTTGTATTTAATATTCAAGAAGTATATAGTTTGAATTATCAAAAATAATCTCTGTTGTGTGTTTTATATTAGATTTTGTTTTATTTCTATTAATTCTATGATTTATCACCATTCCCGAGATTAAAATTTCTTGAAACATTTTATTAGACACCTGAATGTATGGTACCCCTTTAAATAGTCTGTTATTTAAATATTTAATGACATTTGAATTTCTAAATTTAACTCAAACACCAAATAACATTATATTGTGAGTAGTATTAAAACTCTTGATGTATCAATAAAGTATTATGCAATTTACACAGAATATCTTTGGTGTTACATTTTCTGGTATATTGTTTTCATTATAATTTTCATCAGTAATTTAGTTATGTTGTATTACTGTAATTAAATTCCATTTTACCATTAATAAATGGCCAGGAACCTCTCACAATGATAGAAGGGTTTAAAATAAATGGAAAGGTCCCTAAATTGTTTAATAAAAATAATTTACTCAACATTTTAAAGTAGGTAGTTTTATACGGAAAAAAAAATACCTTCATTTTGCATGAAGCCTTACAACAAACTATTGACAGCACTGACTGAGTGGATTATTAAATGTAATTCCTATTTATGCACCGATACTTAAGTAATAATACATATTTTGACATTTTGGTTATTGTTCAAAAGGTTGTATAATTATTATTCAATGGTTGTCATTTGTTAAGAACAGGGATGAAATGTATAATACTTAAATGTATAAATGTTTAAACCTCTAGATTTATACCTTTTATGCGTATAATACCTATTTATAATATAAACATCTGTATGCAACAATACATTTTTGCTAATGAAAAATGATTCTGAGCCTAGTTCGGTTTTACATGTTTTAAAAGGCCAAATATATACAATTTGAAATTAATACATTTCGTAAATTTTCCGGTTTACCACTTAAAAAGTAAGACAGTGTAATGTATATGAAACTACAAAATACAGACAAGATAAAATATGTAGGGAAGCAGATTTCAGAGCTGCAGTATAAAATTATATGTACAGTGTACACAAAATATAATTGCGCTGTGAATTCATTCTAACCTAGCGAAAAAATATATAATAGTACCTACAATATTCTAATTGAAAGTGAATAGCGATGTGTTTATTCCCACGTGTTTATACTTAATTGTATGCATTTCAACAAAATATTTTCATTTTAGAAGGCAAACGATGGTATCTATTATTCTAATGTCTACTAATAATATGTTTGAACTTATCTAATAATACAAATAATTTTATTTATTTTGTAAAATAATAAAATACGAATAAACTGATACCTACTATATAGTTTTAATTGTTTAATAAATAGGTAAGTTCAGTTGGAAAGAGTAATAATTTAAATATTTTTCGTGGATATCTACAAACCAACTGTGAATTTTACAAACACAGGTTTTTATAGCTGAGGCTCAATTTCATGATGTGTTAACTTCAAAAGAAAAAAAATGTCTTTAAAATGACACCGGAAAGCCTATTAAATTATTGATTGCCTAAAAAGTGAATTGCACTGAACAAATGTATAATAAACCACTGGCCTATTTATTTAAATTAACTTGTACCTAACCAAATTAATATTTCTCACATTTGATCGAGCTACATATTTTAGACTCCCAAGGCAAATGTCCACCCTCAAGATCCCTAATAACATCATTGGTCCAAATATTGTAATACTTATATAGCTACTACCTAACATGATAATATTGTGATTGATAGAAAAATATGTTATTTTGATTTACACACTGGGACTTGCACTTGAACCCCACTTTGGAGTTTTTAATTACCCTAATTATAATTTAAGTATTTAAGTAGTTTTAAAAATTGAATTTCATTGATAAATTAATTAAATTTCTATACAGGGTTTTGATAATTTCATGTTGCGATCAAAATTTTCTATGATATAGGTACTTATTCTTTTCAAAAAATGATTTATTTTACATTATGACTATTTTTGGGGGTGACACCACTAACCGCTTTTGATTTTCAAATAGCAACAACTTACTTTATTAAAAATTCCGTAATTAGATGAAGTTCCTATATTAGTTTAAATACATTTTGGTAATTTGGTATGACGAGTTATTACACTTCCAAGTTTTTGATAGGGGGAGTGAAGTGGAGAAGGTACAATTCAGAATATCAAAAGTGTATTGTAGTTTGACCCAATTTAGCAATGTAACATTTTAGAATATATGATTCTAAAAAGTTTTTGCATTTGTAATTTTTAATAAAAATATTTAGGTATTTCATGAAAAATTTGAAACAAGAAATTCTGAAAAACCATAATTACCTACCTAGTTGTGATAAATTGTATTATAGTATATTATATAGGTATTGATTAACTGTATTATCTAGTTCGTAATTTTATTTTTCGATTTGATTACTTACAATATAGGTATAGACATTAAACATAATATAGTTTGCATGCAATCGTATTTCACTTTTAGCCATAGTTATGGATACATATAGCATGCGTATAGGTAATATATATATTTATGTTTAATTGAATGAAAATATCAACTAGGTACCTTAATATATACATGGGGAATTGTTTAACAAAATTAATCTGAGGCAAGGGGGATAGTGGGATTCGGAAAATGTTTTCATCCGCTTATAAGAAATTAAAATGGTTGCCCCTGTATCTGCACGCTGGTCGATGAACATGCTCAGACGTATTCATACATTATAATAACCAACCGAACTCGACCAAAATCTGAAATTTATAAATTGGAATATTATTTTTGTTGTGGAACAATAGCTAATTCCCCTTATTCGTCACCGTAGTATCTACGTAGGTTGGTATATATGTATTACCTAGGCACTGTATAATACCAAAAATAATAAGATATTGAATACGTTTTATTGATACCTACGTACCTATTACCTGTGTCGTGGGCGTTCGCCGTTCAATTTAAATACACCAAGTGTCGACGTGACGTAGAATTTAATTGTTAAAGCTCATTCAAATTATTGCCTACCGAAGTACCTATCAGATCAATATAATCAATCTTAAGCTAATAACAATTTTAAACTTTCGTTGATCGAGCCAAAAGTTAGGTAGGAAGTGCGTAAAAAAGCCGAAAATATTTTATCCGAAAAAAAATATGTCTTTTTTTTTAGCCGACATATATGTATTATTTTCGTCCGAACCGTAATTCAGCCGACACGATTACCGACGCTTATACCGGTTGTGTAGCGTTGGTTATAGTTGAGGGGGATTAGAATTTAAAATTCATCGAATTTATGTAAATGAAAGTTTAACAGCATTCGATAAAAATTGTTTTGGGAAACTAGAATAAAAAATAAATGAACTGAGCTATCGATTTATCTGAACAAGTTATGGCAGGATGCCAGGATATTCTGCAAGAAAGACGAACAGAGCAAAAAGATTCAAGTAAAATGTATCGAAGATTTAAATTTGTTTATAATAACATATTTCTAATTATAGCACAATATCGTTTATTTTATATTTATATTTATGTTTTACATAACAAAAACATATTGCTTGGAACATTCTATGCTACTTTCAACTGATATTCTCTAAAATGTAATCAATTAACTTGTACACTAAATTCAATCGTCCATAATAATATAATTATGTTGTCGAACAAACTAAAAATAGATTCAAATTAAATATACTCAAACGTGAGTTTATTGCGTATCAGCAAAATGTAAATTTATTAATTACTTCAACACATTACGATATTAAAAAGTATTAAATTATACCGCTAATCGCATATAATATAGCTCAGCTCATATTGTAAACAAACGAACAAATAATTTTGCCCTGGTTCGTCAGTAGTATGTTACACGTGCGTATTGTAAGCGCACATTCATAATATTGGGTTATACATGTGTGGGTACACTTACTTATCGGTTATCATTGGTACCGTAAGATTTATAGATGACAGGAATGAATTTAGACTTTATAAACCCTTATATTATAAATAATGGTGGGAATGTATTTAAATGAGTATTTGACATTTTGACAAGTATAGAATGTAGGGATTTAAATGTATTACAAATTAAAAAATTCCTATAATCGAAATGTAGATGACTTTTGGTGTGATTAACTCAATTAATTGTTTAGACCTATGTACTTACGACCTGCCTAATTATTATTTTCAGTAAAACATGGAATAGTACTGGATTTGTTCCCCATATGAAACATTTCTTGAATTATAAAAGTAAAAATAATTTAATCAAAACGATGGAGTTTTTACATATACGTATACAAACAATAAACGTTATAATCTATTTCTTGACCAACTACAATTATTTGTGTTTTGTTCTCAGAAGCTAGTTGCTTAAAAATAAATTTAAAGATAAATAATAAGCCAATTACTATTTTAGCCACATATTGATCAACGTAAACTAATATAAACATTTTCTTATCTGAGCTAAATACCGTGTTGACATCTGATCACATTCATAAAAATTGTGTGTGGATTGGAGATATAAATATTGACATACTTATTTAAAATAAACATGCTCATTGTTACCGAAAACTATTTAAATATATTGTTATTAAATGGTTTTATTTCTAAAATATGTACATATACTTGAGTGTGACCCGACACCAAAATATCTTGTATTGACTATATATTTAGTAGAAACATAAATCTTAATACAGCAGTAATTAAGCTGGCTTTATCTGATCTTTAGATACATAATTATTATAGGTTAGTATTTTAAACACATCACTGTTAAATAATAAATATACATAATACTACTCAAACTTAGCAACATTCATAGATTGTAATATAAGGTAGTTATACTGTTATTCTGTAACGAAAGAATTAGATTATTTGAAACCAATAATATTACAACAGCAATAAATATTTTTAATTATTATATACTAAAATAGTAGATACCATAGAAAGTAAAATATCAAAGTATTTATTCTTAGGTTAAAACCATGGATTACCAGTGGTCTTGTGACGTGAATAAAAATTAAGACAAATGTAACACGAAAATTAAGAAAGCTCCAACAAATCACAAATTAATAAATTATTACAAAACACCCATATAGAAATTAATTAACAATACTTATTTGGAAGGCTAAAGAACTATACTATACAAATAAAATTGAAAAAGTGTACTAGGATAATAGGGACGGATACAGCCATTATTGTAGGTGGGAATTTGGGAAGATGTATATAGATGGGAATTTAATGTATATCTGTATGCAACGATTAACCATTGGTAACGAAATAACGATTATGAGCGGAGTTCGGTTGATAGTGTTGGTTTGTCAACAATTTATATGCCATATTATGGTAAAATAATTGCACTTGCATAAACATTTTTTTTTTTTTGATAATATTTGTTTAATATTGTACCTATTTTCCGGTTTTTCCCATTTATTGAGAAAACTCCTGGGAAAATCAAAAAAATTACTTCCTTGAAGTACCTCAAAGTAATTGAAAACAGAAAAAACAAATTAGATTCTGAGTAGAGCGAGGAATTTATTGGTTTTTCAATGGTGTTTATTTTTTTGTTATCTGTGAACAACTTTCTACTAGCAATTTTGTTCCAATTTACAATGATAGCACTTTCTTAAAAGAAAATTGGATTGAAGAGGTACTCTAAGGAGGTAATTTTTTTTGTTTTTCACAGGAGTTTTTTCAATAAATGGGAAAAACGGGAAAATAGGTACAATATTAAACAAATATTATTACCAAAGAAAATATATAAGCTGTCCCACAATGATATACTCCTTGAATATCTTAGGAGATAATCAAATTCTGTTTTTTTTTTATATTACTCATAGGGAAAAGGACCACAAATATTTATATTTGAATCAATTGTTTTTTTTATTAAAACAAATTTAAAAAAAAATTGTATTTTATTATTTTCGGAGATTTAATCGTAAAGATCGTAAAGATTATTCTTCTGAAAATTGTAATATATCATATTTATATCCAACGAATAGTTTCTATGTAACAGTCATTTTAAATTCTACTAATCCGTGTAAAAACCGATGTTATTTAGGGAATAACTTAACCGTGTTTACGCGATAACATCGGATGTGAATTGGATCGATTCACACGGATGCCTTAATCGATCTAACTAACTTTTTTCATAACTAAAAAAAAAAAAATTAATTTCATTCTTAGACTTAGAAAAGGCATTTGATTTAATAAGTAGACAATCATTTCTATACAAGTTAAAACAATTTAATAATTTAAATAAGGTTTTGATATCATTATATTAAATTGATTTATTAGTTATCTGAGTCATACAGATAGACAACAACAAACCACTACTGAGTCTCACTATAGTGGTTATTTTTATGTCAAAGATTATGGATCACAAGGTACTTCATTAGGCTCTACATTATTCTTAATTTATATTAACTCAATATCGGCATCGGTATTAAAAGATAGATTATTCATGTTTTCTAATGATATAGTTAATGTCGAGGACAATTGGGAAATATTAAAAGAGTCTAAGACAAGTTTACGTGGCATTATGCATTCAATTATATTGTATGGTATAACATGCTGGGGAGGCTCAAACAAAACAGGCATACTTCCCAAAAAAATTATATTTATATTTAATAAAAAAGTTTATATGAAAATTCAATCTAATAAAACCAATAATGGGATTAATAAAATTATATAAAAAAATAATTAGTAAAATAGTTCATAACCTTGATGAGAATGTATGTATCAATCGAATTAAAAAAAGTAAAAAATATGTGTAAATAGAAATAATTAAGGAAACTTTGGTGTTAATATTGGTAATATAATTTAAACAATACTTTTATGTATATATTTATAGAAAATTAAGTCAACTTTTCAACTTTTTAAGAAATTTTATGTACAGGGTGATTTAATAAGCGTGCACACCCCATTTTTTCGGTAAATTGTATTCAAATTCTGATTTTTTTGAAATTTTAAGTATAGGTTAAAGCCGATATTTTCGAATATTTAGATTTTTCACAACATTTAAGGAGTTTTTCTCTGGTGATATATTAATTTTGGTTTTTCAAATGAGAACCTATATTAAAAATTCTTTGATAGGGGGAGAGAAATGTAACACTAATAAAACGCCACGCGCCATGGCGCTACACAAATGAAACTCCACTATTCTTCCCTACCTAAACTTAAAAGTGAAATATCTCGTCAACGGATAGACGGAAATAAAAAATTTTAACAACATTCATTGAAAGTAATACTCCGTCTATTTATGGAATTTTTAATATAAGTTCTCATTTGAAAAACTAAAATTGATATCAGAGCAACTTCATTTTCTATACATAAAATTGCTAAATTGTGTAGTCTCTCTTGGCACATATAATTGATCTCGAATAATTCTGTACGAGTTTGAGTTTGCTAAAACTGTGTTCATACATAGCTATAGCCAAAGTGATAATGTATAATAAATAAGATATCTACGTTTAATTTTTAGTTTAAAACCATTTGTCAAGGTTTAATGCTCCTATTGTCTCTCAACGCCTGAGGCAAAAATCTCAGTCGGTACTCCAGGCACTCCATTGTCTTTTAAACTGGATCGAACCGGGCCATAGTGGTTTGGACCGTGCAGAGCTTTTCTGTATATATAATAATATATTAGCTGGGTATGATACACAATATTCTTATTTACTTGAAAAACCAAACTAAACGAACGTAGGCAAATTTTACTGTCCGTCGTACTGGGTAAACCGTGTAGGTAAAATTTCGGGAAAGATTCAGTCCACGCCTCGCGTATAGAATAGGTAGGCAGTTACCGAAACGTCTTATTGTTGTCTTTTGATCGACACGATCAAGATTGTGCGATTTTGCGAGTAGAGGCACGCCGCAACATAAAGTTTGGACAATGATAATTATAAAACCGATATCTAAGTCAGTGGGACGGAAATGGCAGGTAGGATACGCGTATACTCGTTTCATTGCATCTCGAATGCAGTAATATTGTGGGCAGTCATACTGAAAGTGTAAGGTACACGGTGTATCGATGCGGTTAATAAAATTAGAATTCAACCGGTATACGCTGGGGCATAGCATTATTACCTGTTTTACTTAAAACTAGAACTGAATTCTTCGAATTTGTATCGATACCTACGTGGAAAAAACATTATTATTATTTAATTTATTTAATTTTATTTTTTTAAAACCGGCGCTTTACCGTAAAAAGTTCGGGCATGGGGATGAGAGTGTTGTAAACATTTATACTTATATATAAAACGGCCAAATACGGTCAATCGGTTATGACGGCAGTGCGTTAATCAGATTTTGTATTTATAAAACGTGCATAATATCATTATATATACCGACGACATTATTATAATATACGCATTCTCCTTCGATTTCCATTTTGGGTATGTCTCAATATCTGCGCCGGATAAACTGGCTGCCCACACGTCCGTCGTCCTACGGTACCTACCTATACGACGGCGTCGCGGAAGGCTGCATCATCGACTTATACGCGAAGGTTCTAGTGGGAGTGCCTTACATGGTCCGGAGAAGAAAATCGTAATACGCGTATACGACCGGTTTATATTATTATAGAAAAAAAATGTATGTACAATAATAACAAGCAATTTATTATTGTGAAAAATCAAAAAGTGTTATCTTCGATTACCTATCGATATACATGCAATAGTATAAGTAGGACTTCTATTTACCTATAGCGGATACCTATAGGCTATAGGTGGATAAAAGTGTTATAATCATTCATGTCGGTCACGTCAAAATCTGTACATATATGTGTAACTATGCGCAGTAAAACAAAAGGAATGAGAATTATGAAAAAAAATCTGTATGATAGTTATAGGTATAGTGTTAAATCACGAACAAATCGATAAACGAATCAAACCGATAAACTGGCATGACAAAAATGTATCTAAATATATTTGTACGAGTTTAATATCGTCTCAAGTCCATATTGTCTATATCCAGTGTCGTATTTATGAGGTGGGGTCCTTGTACTGGACTACCCCCAGAGTCAAAAAAAAAAAAAAAAAAAAAAATAATAATAATAATAAATAAGATAATTATTCCATCAGCACACGGACAAAAGTTTATCATAATTTTAGATGGAGGGGAAGAGGTTGATATTTAGAAATACTTTATTGCATATCAAAGCCGGTCTCTGGGCTTGAACAAATTATCTTACCTTAAACACCATGTAAAACCTAAGTGTGATTTATTTTAGACCTCTGCTATACCGATTATACCATACATATACGAGTACATATCTAATATGTATGGTATATTATGGTACACCTATGTATTATATTAGCAATTTTGAACGGTAACTATAAATATTTCAGAAAGATAAATAATTTAAGCAACATTAATTAATTAAATTTTAATAACGATCTTTAAACTTGAACATTTAATTTGATAATATTATAAGAATTATTAATAAAAACAAAATTACAAGTATTTCATTACAGTGAAACCTATTTATATTAAAATATATTATACATTTAAAAGAAATATAACATATTATTACATAATGTACATTCGTAGACAGATTTTTTTTTTTTAAATTTGATTTTTTTTACACGCACTCCAACAATATTTTAATTGATACTATACTCATATACATAGATTACCTATATATTCATTATTTATAGTAGTGACTCATTGAACATTTTGTATTTAGTATAATTGAGGGAATTATAATTTCTCTGTTTATATATTTTGAGAGGGTTTAGCCCCATTAAGAACCCCCTAAGTTTCACCTTTGCTGCAGATTATAAATTAGTAATAATAAGTATAGAAATTATACATATTATAGCCGTTGTGTTTATACTTATTAGGTTTACAAGCTACGGCTAAATATTAAGTACGATAAAAGCAAGGTACTTTTATGATAAAGACTTTATCGCATGGACTGATGGATTATAGTTAGTTATAGGTGATTAAACAACTGGAACTTATGTACCTATTTAATGTTGAACCTCCTCCAAAAAATCATCAGGTACGTAACTAATATGAACTATTGACCCTTCTTTAAAAAATAAAATATACCTAATTATACAATTATCTATATTAGGAAATTAACAAAAATCTTCAATTATTTGTTACTGTATAATTATTATTGATTTTAAAATAAGGCGAAAAAAGTTGATTTTAACTTTACTTATCGATATAAATAAATTGCACAGTTAACCGTTTTTACATTATAGTAAACATTATAAAAATAAAATAGGTATATACTATCTAACGTCAATACCTTATGCAATATCGGATTGCTCGACTTATTTAATAAATCTCTATATATTTACACAATCAAGTTCAAGTATATGCAATAATGTCTATATTATGTTTTTGAATATAAAAATATATTATTATTATTATAATATTAGTTTTGTTACCTACCTATGTTTACGGAAACATTATGCGTTTATATACCCGCGTAATTATTTATTAATGAATGCATACTATAATATTATAGTGTTTATAACTGCACTCGTCTGTTTCAAAGAGCGGGGAAAAAAATAAGATTTTTTTTTACGATTTCGTTATTTTAAATAAATACCTACCACGTTTTCTAGCACAAATATGGCTCCAATTGAAAAACAACTAGAGACCTTTTTTGTTGAATTAAAATTAACAAAATTACGGCACTTCAAACTATGTATTACCGAACTGCGCTTGGAATCGTCTTTCGTCAGTAATGATTTATCGTTGTTTACAGATATAAATAAAATAATCTTATGTATCCTACCTTACCAACTTCCCACCTACAACAGTGGCTGCACCCATTTGTAGTATCAGATTTTTTTTTTTATCTGTTAACATATTTTCTACTAGAAGACTTGCTTGGATTTCTAAGTGTAGCACATTTTCTGGAAGGAAATTGATGTGGGGAGGTACTTTGAACAGAACATTTTTTAATTTTCTCAAGAATTTTCCCAGCAAATGTGAAAGACCGGGATAAAACATGGGAAAACCTGGAAAAATATAGGAAGATTGGAAAATCAGTGCAAAATTAAAAAAATATTATCAAAGAAAATATATAAAGCCTATTTAATTATTTTACTATAAAATGACAAATATATTGTTGACAGAGCATCACTATCAACTAAACTCCGCTTAGAATCGTTTTTTCGTAAGCAATGGTTTATCGTTGCTTACAGGTTAATATATTAAATTATTTATAGCAGTGACTGCATTTATCCCTATTATCCTAGGACGTCTTTTTTTTTTTTCTATGTATTCACATGAATAGCACTAAAACACGGAAACACGGATTGTAAATTCACGTGTATTAAGAATACGTGAATAAAAATTTTCATTCAAGTGTACACGATCTCAGTTTTTACACATCTACCTACTTATTAATTCATGTTACTAATCGAGACCTCTAGTGTATAACTATGTAGACCGATAAGTTGCATTACAATTGTATATCGACACCCCGTATAGGTATCATAATTATATTATGTTCGAGGCCTCGAAGACATTCTGCGAAATGAATCTCCGGTTATCTGTCCATTTTTAATTTTTAATTTTTTAAATTTTTTTATATTTCACTAAACATGGTAGTATAAAACTCATTCACGGCCGGTCGGTGCTGAGTAATAATATTATTATCGAGAAAAACCGTAAATATAATAGGTATATTTTATGTACCGGATAATTTAAGACGAGCAAGTAGTTATGTATTATATTGTATGAACGTATTATATTATATTATTAACATGTAGGTATGTGTTCGGTCGAAGAAAAATAAACGTTTTATTGAAGTAAAAAACGAACGCGTCAACTGTGGCAGTTCTCTGTGTATAAAAAGTACTTAGTATAAAAAATATATTAAAACGTTTAATGCATTTTTATTGTCAAAATGGCGATGATTTTAAATTGCTAGGTATCAAAATAATAAAAATAGGTAGTACACTACCTATTTTAGTTGATCAAAATAAATTAAAATAGTTTCGAATGGAATGTTTTAAACGAATAAAATATATTCGCCTGCGATATGTTATATGATATTATTTCTATTTGTCGTTATATTGTGTATATTGCTATTTGTTTGTGTGTTTTTTTTTTTTCATAAACAAGCTCGTAAAAATAACAACAGGTAATATAGTTTTATGAATAAACTACGAGTAGGTGGGTACTTACCTATAATATATTTAAGTAAAAATATCCGCGAGCAGCAGAACTCCATCATTAAGAGTCGCATTTTCTTCCGCCTATTTTGTGCTATAGAAATATTTTCCATCGAACAATAAATAGGTAACTCAATACTATATTATTATTTACTGAAACACACTCTACGAAAAATAGTTTCAAAAATACTTTCGAAAAAATTCGATAAATTTTAGTAAGAAAAATCGTAGAGACGGTGGTTGATAGTTAAAGCTCTCAATATGCATATTATACTTTGTACAGCGACATGCATATACTAAATTTTATCCCTTGGCTTTATTTGAGGTTTCTGTAGGAGCGATCAAACCTAACAAAAAAAAAAAACCTTTCATCCCGTAATAACTTTGAGCTATTCAACCTGTATTTTTTATCACTTAAATTCGTTTATTTTCGGTGAAAATTCTACTCGAAAGGAACACAACTTGCAGATTCTTATTTCAGAGATACTATTGTAAATAAAATATAGGTACCTGTAGTTGTAGTCTATGTACAAACTAAACATTTTTAAATGACTAAAATACATAATTTCGTATTATTTCAAGTTATTTTATAGTTTTAAATGTTATAAATTGTTAAAATAACTTATTTTATTGCAAATAAAGTAGTTTGAAATGCTTTCTAGTAAAATGATAATTTTTATAATTTTGTGTAAAATTTATTTATTTCTTCGAAACTTTAAACATGTTTTTATTGTTTCTAATAGAGCTTAATGTGTTCGAAAATCGCATAAGCCATCAAACTTATTAATATCGGTTGCATTTTAAATTGCACAAGTATGTATAGATATATATCACTATATTCGATCGATAAAGTAATATTTCTCTATACATTATGCACCTATATTTAATTTTATCGGGTAAGTAGATAGTTGGCGTAACGTTTGAAACGGTATTGCCAAATATAATATATTTTAATAATTATATAGGAGACTCGGTCGATCGGTAATAATAATTATAGTATACGTAAGTACGAATAATACAATTAATAACATGTTACATAAACGGACAATTTATACATTTCAAATTCTAATATACAAGTCGTCCGCGTGCGTTTCTCTTTTAAACTTTACGAGCTATAATATAGTGCCTACAATATTTTAACATTTTATGATTTAAATACTATATTTCCTAGGTACCATCCGTAAAACTACGCCGAACGTATTTATCATAATAACATTAGCCTAATACGAACAAATACAAATTTGCCAGGAAATTAACATAACGATAAGATGACGTGCCTGTATATTCCGTACCTACAATACTATACAGGTAAATAGATAATGTTAAAAATAATTATTCTCATACATACGACTGATTTATAACACGTATACCTAATTTAAAAATCATAATTGTCATTGTAGACAAAAAAACAAAAAACAACAAATTATTGATATATTTTTCAAATAAAATATATTATAATATTCATCATTATACCTGTACGGTTTTTTTTATAACGAACGAATTAAACGAAGCAAATATAAGTATAAGTAACTATCTGCGATGAGTAAGATAAACATTTGTAATAAACGGTGTAGGACGAAACTGGTTTAAGAGAGTTGCGTTATAGCCGGTGCGGAGGTTTGTGAAGGCGTATGGGGGGGCCACCTCTTCAATTCATGAACCAGCGTTCAGTTAGATTTTCCACTGTCAGTAGTAAAACAACGCTGTGCTCATTCGTTCTGTTGTTACTAGTACGATTTTATTTTCATAATTTGTATTTATTTAGTTTTTTTTTTTTTATGCGATCGTTACGTGCGCCGGTAAACATATTAGTTTGTGCATTAACAATTAAGCATTTACTTATTTATTACATTTTTCTTTTCTTTTCTTCTTTTTTTTTTTTTTAAATAACGACTAAATAAAAAATAATAAAATGTTTAAATCAACGAAAAAAACCAAAGATCCTACAAAAAAGAGGACCGCCAATGAAACTAAGGTAAGCGAAAAAACTATTATTAAAGGTGAAAGTTCGGTTGGAGTTCCGAAACAAATGTTCAGCAGTAAATTAGCAAATGAACAGCCTTCAAATTTAAGCGGCAAAGGGCGCAGTTCAACTCCACAGACTTCAAAAAAGACATTAATCAAAGGCGTTACAAAACAAGCGGCGGAAAGTTTGTCTTCGACTTCTCTTTCGAAATCATTAAGTTCGTCTTCCGTAAAAAAAACTACTACCGGAAAAAGTGTAAGAACAATTACTACCGTCGATCAAGACGGGAATGTTCATACTACTGTAGAGACAGTAGACGATCTACCGCAATCGATGATTGAAACTTTCGTCGAAGAATCGAACATCGCGGATTCTTCGAACGATTACATCGAATATACAGATGAATTGTCTTTTGACGTAACCGCAGAATCACTAGAACGATTAAATGCTTCATCAAATATTTTGACTTCGGGTAAAAAAGTGCAAATATCTGAAAATGATCAATCGTTGGTAAATCAATCTACATCATCTGAATCCAAATATAGTGCCGTTGTATCGCAAAGTAATTCTGAATCAAGAGAACAAGTATTAGATATAACAGATGTAACCGAAAGTGAAAATATGAATAAGTTAGTGAGAGAAAAAAATGATAACCAAGATATAAATTCGGGTTTATCAGTGAAAATGATTGGAGGAAAATTAATAAAACAATTTAGTGCACCGACACAAACTAAATCTACTTTTAATAATATTGCCAATGATAAAAAAAATGTTGAAACAACTCATATAAAGAATATAACTGATGAGTACGAATATAATGATAAAATAAAAACGACATTTGAATCTAATATGATTGATCAAAATAAATCTAATGACAATACAAATGATTCAACGACTGAGATGTTCATTTCACAAAAATATATACCAATATTTTCAAGATCCAATCAAGAAATTGATGAAATAACGTCATCAAATAATGAAAACTCAACAAAAACTGTTGAAAAAATAAACAAAATCGAAAAGATAAAAGACCAGCAAAATATTAAACATGACAAGGATAACCTGGGCAGAAAAAATGAAGACGTTGAAAATGAAGGATTAACAGTACGTATGGTCGGTGGAAAATTAATAAAATCGTTCAAGGAGCCGACTACAGCGAAGAAAAATGTGTTAGACGTCTCTCAAACGAGTAATATTTCAAGTAGTGATATTTCTTCGAATGATATCACAACCTCGACGTCATATTCTACAAATGAACAAACTTCTTATTCTAGTTCAATAGATGGGGTAGATCAGACAACCAAAAGGTCATCCAAGACTTTTGATTCGATTAATAAAACCGCTGATCGATCAGATGGACCAACAAATAAGAATAAGCCAACGGGAGACAAACAAAAAACCAAATCCCGAACCGATGAAAATATCGATGAAGAAGGTCTATCTGTCCGTATGGTCGGTGGAAAATTAATAAAATCGTTCAAGGAGCCGACTACATCGAAGAAAAATGTGTTAGACGTCTCTCAAACGAGTAATATTTCAAGTAGTGATATTTCTTCGAATGATATCACAACCTCGACGTCATATTCTACAAATGAACAAACTTCTTATTCTAGTTCAATAGATGGGGTAGATCAGACAACCAAAAGGTCATCCAAGACTTTTGATTCGATTAACAAAACCGCTGATCGATCAGATGGACCAACAAATAAGAATAAGCCAACGGGAGACAAAGAAAAAACCAAACCCCAAACCGATGAAAATATCGATGAAGAAGGTCTATCTGTCCGTATGGTCGGTGGAAAATTAATAAAATCGTTCAAGGAGCCGACTACATCGAAGAAAAATGTGTTAGACGTCTCTCAAACGAGTAATATTTCAAGTNACTTCATATTCTAGTTCAATAGATGGGGTAGATCAGACAACCAAAAGGTCATCCAAGACTTTTGATTCGATTAACAAAACCGCTGATCGATCAGATGGACCAACAAATAAGAATAAGCCAACGGGAGACAAACAAAAAACCAAACCCCGAACCGATGAAAATATCGATGAAGAAGGTCTATCTGTCCGTATGGTCGGTGGAAAATTAATAAAATCGTTCAAGGAGCCGACTACATCGAAGAAAAATGTGTTAGACGTCTCTCAAACGAGTAATATTTCAAGTAGTGATATTTCTTCGAATGATATCACAACGTCGACGTCATATTTTACAAATGAAGAAACTTCATATTCTAGTGCAATAGATGGGGTAGATCAGACAACCATAAGATCATCCAAGACTTTTGATTCGAATAACAAAATCGCTGACCGATCGGATGGACCAACAAATAAGAAAAAGCCAATGGGAGATAAAGAAAAACCCAAACCCCGAACGGAAAAAAATGTCGATGAAGAAGGTCTATCTGTACGTATGGTCGGTGGAAAATTAATAAAATCGTTCAAGGAGCCGACTACATCGAAGAAAAATGTGTTAGACGTCTCTCAAACGAGTAATATTTCAAGTAGTGATATTTCTTCGAATGATATCACAACCTCGACGTCATATTCTACAAATGAACAAACTTCTTATTCTAGTTCAATAGATGGGGTAGATCAGACAACCAAAAGGTCATCCAAGACTTTTGATTCGATTAACAAAACCGCTGATCGATCAGATGGACCAACAAATAAGAATAAGCCAACGGGTGACAAACAAAAAATCAAATCCCGAACCGATGAAAATATCGACGAAGAAGGTTTATCTGTCCGTATGGTCGGTGGAAAATTAATAAAATCGTTCAAGGAGCCGACTACATCGAAGAAAAATGTGTTAGACGTCTCTCAAACGAGTAATATTTCAAGTAGTGATATTTCTTCGAATGATATCACAACCTCGACGTCATATTCTACAAATGAACAAACTTCTTATTCTAGTTCAATAGATGGGGTAGATCAGACAACCAAAAGGTCATCCAAGACTTTTGATTCGATTAACAAAACCGCTGATCGATCAGATGGACCAACAAATAAGAATAAGCCAACGGGAGATAAAGAAAAAACCAAACCCCAAACCGATGAAAATATCGATGAAGAAGGTCTATCTGTCCGTATGGTCGGTGGAAAATTAATAAAATCGTTCAAGGAGCCGACTACATCGAAGAAAAATGTGTTAGACGTCTCTCAAACGAGTAATATTTCAAGTAGTGATATTTCTTCGAATGATATCACAACCTCGACGTCATATTCTACAAATGAACAAACTTCTTATTCTAGTTCAATAGATGGGGTAGATCAGACAACCAAAAGGTCATCCAAGACTTTTGATTCGATTAACAAAACCGCTGATCGATCAGATGGACCAACAAATAAGAATAAGCCAACGGGAGACAAACAAAAAACCAAATCCCGAACCGATGAAAATATCGATGAAGAAGGTCTATCTGTCCGTATGGTCGGTGGAAAATTAATAAAATCGTTCAAGGAGCCGACTACATCGAAGAAAAATGTGTTAGACGTCTCTCAAACGAGTAATATTTCAAGTAGTGATATTTCTTCGAATGATATCACAACCTCGACGTCATATTCTACAAATGAACAAACTTCTTATTCTAGTTCAATAGATGGGGTAGATCAGACAACCAAAAGGTCATCCAAGACTTTTGATTCGATTAACAAAACCGCTGATCGATCAGATGGACCAACAAATAAGAATAAGCCAACGGGAGACAAACAAAAAACCAAACCCCGAACCGATGAAAATATCGATGAAGAAGGTCTATCTGTCCGTATGGTCGGTGGAAAATTAATAAAATCGTTCAAGGAGCCGACTACATCGAAGAAAAATGTGTTAGACGTCTCTCAAACGAGTAATATTTCAAGTAGTGATATTTCTTCGAATGATATCACAACGTCGACGTCATATTTTACAAATGAAGAAACTTCATATTCTAGTGCAATAGATGGGGTAGATCAGACAACCATAAGATCATCCAAGACTTTTGATTCGAATAACAAAATCGCTGACCGATCGGATGGACCAACAAATAAGAAAAAGCCAATGGGAGATAAAGAAAAACCCAAACCCCGAACGGAAAAAAATGTCGATGAAGAAGGTCTATCTGTACGTATGGTCGGTGGAAAATTAATAAAATCGTTCAAAGAGCTCACTACATCGAAAAAAAATGTGTTAGATGTCTCTAAAACGAGTAGTTCATCATCGACCTCTACGTTTATTACTGCTAATGAACAGACTTCTATTTCAAGTTCAATTGATGACCAGACCTTAAAGACTTCAAAAACGTTTGATTCCAAGCCCAATGCTAGTGGCGAACCAATTGATCCGAAAATTAAGAGAATGCCGACTGATAAAAGTGGTACTTCTAAAGCTAAAAAGGATAAAAGTATCAATGAAGAGGGTCTTTCTGTTCGTATGGTCGGTGGAAAGTTAATTAAACATTTTAAGGAACCATCACAATTAACTGCAAAAAATACTTCTAAATCAACTAGAGTCGATACTAATGTAAATACATTTCAAACAAATGTTAATGTCGAAAATACTTCTCAAATTTTGAATACAACTTATATTGTTGAAGATTCATCGCAAATATCAAATGATAGAATAACGGAATCGGTTGATTCTATGAAGGATAAAAGGATTACAATGGTTAGTGGAAAAATAGTGAATACTCCTCATGAACCACAGGAGAAACCACGTGGATTAAAAGGCGATGTCTCTTACAAACCCAATTCTGAAATTATACTTTCTGATAAAAACTTTACTACATCTTTAGACGACACGCGGATTATTCGTGACGTATTTTATGACGTGTCTGAAGAATCTTACATTGAATCTCGTGAATTTTCGGAGCAGTCTGTTGTGCAAGACTTCCAAGTGACAACGAATACATCCGAATATTATCCTGAGCGGCCCTCACGTAATAGGGACTTAATCGATACAGTAGTTGTTCAGGATGTCGGTGATTTTGTGTCAGTTTCAAGTCATTCAGAAGTGAAAGAAGAAAGAATAATCTCCGAAGCAATTATTGAAAAATCAGTTGTAAAAGGCATAACTCAAAATTACGAAAACCTCACGTCCTCATCGAAGAATGTACGAGAAAATAAAGTGGATTCAAGGACAAGAATGCCAAAGGAACCTACTGCAGTTCCAAAAGAACAATGCATCTGCGAAATTTGTACGTGCGGGTAAGTTTAAATCATAGTCAATGAAAGATTTTAATTTTACTTTATAATATAAATTTAATTTAATAACATCTAACTCAAAGTACCTACTTACATTTTATGAATAGAAAATGTTGTTTTATAAATATCGATAAATATATTGACATAATAGTTACCTAATAAAATTATTATATTGAAAATAAACTGTAATCTCGATCATAAATACGTTAAATGATTTTTAAATTTAAAAGTTGATAAATCTTAAAACGATTACTGTTAATTAATGAATAATCTTACAATTCAGTTAAACATTTAAAAATTACCAATTCGATATACCTATGTACATATTTTTTTAAATAATAATAAAATAAATAAATTCTTTAAAATATAAAATATAAATTATTATTATTATTCAGTTATGTTAAAATTTACATATATTTGGATGTATAGACACTCAACTTAGTTGAGAAAAAGACCATAAAATACCATTTTAAATTTTCATTCTCACTAGGATTAAATGATTCATATTTTGTCTAAAACTGATATTATATTATGTCTGTCAGATATTATGTTGTATATTATGAATTTACAAATAAAAGTATAATTTCTAATCTTTGAGTAGAATAAAATTAAATTAAATAGCGTATTAGATTGACATCGATATTTAAATGTAAAAAAAAAAAGTTAATAAATGTATAGACTATTAATTGGAGTTATTGTAATTTTTTTCGAAAATAAATTATTATCAGATATTTACGTTCGTATTGTTTAGTTGCATCTTAAAAATATTCAACATAATGACATTATTGTCTATTTCAAATTAAATACACAATGTTGCACATTTATTAAAATTTAATCTCCTCGTGATGGCGTAATTTCAAAATTATTTCATTGTATTTCATTGTACCAATTAATATGTATGTCACTGTAATTAAAGCATTTAATAAAGATACATTGTGTCTGAACTATAATAGTTTCATCAGTTTGCACTATTTGTTTTATGTTTGTAATTTCTAACTTCAAACTTGAAGTTAACGTCAAGTTTCATTCATCAATTATCACAAAAGTATGCTTTTTTTTAAATTTAAAGTTAGATAGTTATCTAATTTTTTATTAATTTGAACCTAATTCCATTATAGTTTACGGTAGTTTTCGACTATAATAATTAATATCATTGTTTGAACTATCAAAATATTTATTATTGTTGTTCTCATTCTCGAGAATTCGATTAATATTGGTAACGACCGCATGATTCATAATAAGAATTCATTATTTTTAGTTTCTTCGTAACGCCGCAGTATATTAAAGTTGTAGGTATACCAACTTTTCAAATGAATGTAAACATTCAACGATTGAATTTGACACGTCGAATTCGCTTGTAAAAAATATGTTTTTGATGATAAAACATATTACTATTATTTTTTTTTTGAAATTAAATGTTTGATTATTATGACGAATATATTACTATTATTTTAATTAATTTTCAAGTACAAGAAATTCCTTTTAAATCGGTTTCATAGTGATCGTGAATAATAGTTTTAAAACAACCTCCTCAATGTACTAACTAGACAAAATTTGCTATTAGAAGCCAGGAAATCAAATTTGAAGTTGAATATCGGAACAAGATTTTTGGTAGTAAAGTTGTTCTCAGACAGAAAAGAATCAGTAGGCTTTTTATCACTATATGTGCGCTTTTCTTTTGTCCAATACATTTTCACTTTGATTAGAATTTAAAAATAAAAAACACAAACTATTTCCATGGAGCCTATATAGGTTGTCGACAGTGTTATCCTTATGCTAATATTTATATCAATACTCATTTTTTTTCTCATTCTGATTTTGTACTTGGAGAGGGGACACATATGAAGAGAAAAGTTAAAGTTTTATTTTCATTCCTTAATTATTGAAAAAGTTATTTAATTAAAATTGTATAACTTTTCAAAATGTAATTCCTTATCTTTTATTGAATATTGATTGTTTTCGTGTCTATTTTCTATACATTAAAGCCACTATATTTATATGAAAATATTAATCGCTTATAAAAGTATGTTATATTAAAATTTTTAGAATAATATCTTTTTATAAAATTACCATTTTGGAAATTTTAAAAATTTTTTTCCACACATAAGCATCCTTAACACAAAACCAGATTAAAAAAAAAAAAAAATTAAAGATAAAAAAAATATTGAGTTATTAGCATAATGATAACACAGTAGAAAACCCTGTATACTTGAATATTTCATGTTTTCGAGTTAACGTGACTATCGAAGTAATAAGCAAAAGTTTGAATGGTCAATGAGTTGTATAATATATAATTGAATACAGTTAAACTTCCGTTAACGGTTACCTTTAAAAGACGGTCACCTCTACGTAACGCTAATTTTTTATGGTCTCTCCAAAAGTTAATACATTAATACTTCTATATAGCGAGCATTCTAAATAACGGTTAAAATATAAGTACTTTATTGTATCCAAAAAAGAAATTTAAAAGTCATGGTTTGCCCAAATTATTTAAAAAAATGTATACAGTTGTAAATGGATATGTACTTTTGGTCTTATCGAGCTTTTACGATAACGCTATGAAGTAGTATTCTAAGTTTGTATTTTTACCGCCAAATACATCAAACTGTCAATGTATCTAAACCAATGAACAATACAACATGTTTTGATTTTAAATTGTACACAGTGAATAACTCTTCGGTGTACATGTCCTAAATACATTTTTTAGTATGTACGTATTATTTTTGTGTATTTGGTTTTTTNGGATATGTACTTTTGGTCTTATCGAGCTTTTACGATAACGCTATGAAGTAGTATTCTAAGTTTGTATTTTTACCGCCAAATACGTCAAACTGTCAATGTATCTAAACCAATGAACACTACAACATGTTTTGATTTTAAATTGTACACAGTGAATAACTCTTCGGTGTTGTACATGTCCTAAATACATTTTTTAGTATGTACGTATTATTTTTGTGTATTTGGTTTTTTTAAAACATTTTTTGCACTGTATATCGGTAATCTGGAAGTATTACATTTCTGTTAACGGTCATCTCTATAGGACGGTCACTTTTAAATAGTAATAATCATTTCCGGTCTCTTCGATGACCGTTTTACAAAAGTTTTACTATATTTTAACAATATTTTATTTAAATCCGGTTTTGTTAGAAACTTTATTATTACCGTATTCGAATTTAAATATAAATGAAGAAGGTTTGAAGTTTTTATTTTTTTTATGTTAAACTGCAGTTTGAATATATTATTAATATTATTATTAATTTATCGATTTCCTGTCGTTTTTATATCGCGGACATATATACATACACACATTTTCTTTTCAACCTATTTTGTCAATATTAAACCTTTTTGTAGGTCGGTATGGGGTAATTATTAATAATTATATGATTTACGTAGTTATCAANTTCAACCTATTTTGTCAATATTAAACCTTTTTGTAGGTTTGTATGGGGTAATTATTAATAATTATATGATTTACGTAGTTATCAAAATTAACGTAATACTTTAAAAAAAAGAGTATTAAGTACGAAAAATATTTTTCAAACTTTTGCTACGCGTCCGAAACCTGATATATGACTGTATTACAAAAAAAAATATTACTGTCGATTATCAGGAAGGCTGCAGGAAATAGGTACGCACTCTATAATAACGCAAGTGTCTACACTGTATACTGTACCGACAAACCAACCTGGGTACGCTAATTTTGTGTTTTTGTATTATTCGAATTGTTAATGAATTTATAATCATATGTATAGTGTAATCATGTACGGTAATCACCCGAACTCGTTTGTTTTGTTCGTCACAGTTCTCTTCCGGTCGTCTTATTCTTATAAGGCTAGGTTAGGCTTTGCTACGATGATGACGATAGAAATAATAATAATACACTTTTTCTCCGTGGTGTGGGCAATAAACGACTGTAGTATGGCGACAGATTGTTTTCCAAACCGAGATCGGAATTATAAAACCAAAAAAAAAAAAAACTATTTTTGTTAGTGTTTTGTTTGGATACGTAGTTTTTATGACAATTAACAATTGCCATATGGGCGCGTCAGTGTTAAAAAAAAAAATACAAAACCGTATTCGGTATACTTGTCTATATAATAATGGCAGCATCGCATGTAACCACAACGGTACAACGGCAACCAAAGTACACGAAATTTACATTCATACGCTATTACTAAATCAATATGTATAAAATGAAATTTACGTAAGGATATTAAGAATTATTTTAAAGTCTTTAACAAACCGTATAGTTTCATGACAACTGTAGGTCATTGACAGTTTGGTATTGGATTTATCGAATTAAAAACAAGTTTACTTCTGAATTTTAATTTGTGTTTTTGACTTTTGTTCTTATTAATAATATTAACGTATATTTTTTTTGAAAGTCCTACCCCCCCTCCTTTCCATGAAGAAATCCTGCGCAAGGGTCTGTTGCTTATTTCTTGCAAGATAATGTCGAATCGATAAGATATTATATTATTATGGTGCTCATATCATCTGCGGTTTAGATTATTGTATAATTTGTGGTTAACCCTAGTGCAAGACTTAAATTTTCGAAAGGCCGAAATAATATTTTATTGAATTAAGCACACATTGCTGAAAATACCAACCACCACCTGGGCGGACATATTAAGAAACGAAAAATATTTAATCGAATCTTCCGTTTTCGGGTACGTATATATTGTAATGTATAAAGTGTGTAAATTAATTAATTGTTCGATTAAATTCGATTGAATTCTTAAAAAGACATTATAATAATATTCGTGTAAACCTAATAATTCGATGCAATCATTTGGATTTCGATAGAATTCGGGAGTCCGTACGACGTGCAGTCTAAACGAGATGGACCACGAGCAATATATAATTAATAATAATAATATTAAAAAACATTATTTAAACGGAAATGAAATATAATAATATTTGAGATATGATACGATCATAGACGGGAATTATTGAAATAATAATAATAATAATAATAAAAAAAAATTCAAATTGATCAAATACAAAAAAAGCAAAATTAATAACGGTACCTGTGGCCTTGATCTTTTGAGACGAGTGCCTATACTTCCGAAACCCCGGTTGTACTTGTAATGAGATACAAACTAATATTTCAATAAAAAATACTGAAAAAAACGTTTATATACCTACTGCATCATATTGTTAAAAAATTAAAAAATTAAAATACAAAGCAATCCATTTAAATGGGTACACTCATTATCTCGGAAAACATTAATTTTTTTCGAAATTTGTTTTATAGAACATTTCAATGATCAAAAAACTTTTCAAAATTTTCAAAAACAAGCAACTCTACAATTTCACATTTATGTTATTTTTTTCCTCCTTATTTTTAGGAGTAAAATTACTACCTACTTTTGATTTTCAAATAGTAACCTATATTAAAAAAACTATAAGTAAATGGAATAATAGTTATAATAAATTTTGGTGTTGAAATTGTTGAATTCTGTCAACTCGTAGACGAAGTATTCCAGTGTTAAGTTTTGGTTGGAAGAGAGTAGTGGAACATAATTTGTATTGCAGCACGGCGCGTGGCATATTAATAAAGCACCACTACTCCGTTTACCCAAACTTAAAAATATAATATTTCGTCAACGGGTTGATAGAAATCAACAATTTCAACACCATAATTTATTTTAACTATTATTCCATCTACTAATGGATTTTTTAATATAGGTTGCTATTTGAAAATCAAAACTGGGTAGTGGTTTTAACACGAAAAATAAGGGTGACAAAAAATAACATAAATGTAAAACAATAGAGTTGCTTTTTTCTTAAATGTTCTATACAACAAATTCCGAAAAAACGTAATATTTTGATTGTACCCACTTAAATAGATCACTGCAGATACGAAAAAAGACAAATCGCTGTATAACTAATACGCTCGCTCAGAATCTAAAATACTATTTATATACATGTAAATCGTGTACCTATAACAATATTCGATATGCAAATTGTATACGTTTCATATATCTAGTATACTTAAACTAATAAATTTGTTACAAAAATAATAATATTATCGTGATACGAGACGTGTCACCGGGTTAGGTTGGGTTAGGTTAAGTTTGTGTTACGACACTACCATATTATCGCGATTCGCGACGAGTCTATCGACCGTTGTTGCGAATGTACTCGGATGGTTGACCGCCACCGGGTAAGTACAAACCCCTCCTCTTCCCAGCCATCATAATATAATATATAAACCTACTGAAATCGCATGAAGACGTAATTTTCTGGTTCTAATAACCTCGGGTCTAGTATAAAAGCTATAATATAGTATATAAAAAAATAAAAATTAAAAAATATTGATTACCGACGAGATGAACATTCGTATACCTAGGTATATAAATATATATATGTATTTGTTATAACGATAAGAAAGTGGGAAAAGGTACCTGCGTATAATATAGCTGACAAATAATAATAAAAAAACATTAAAAAAATTCTTATTTTCCTGTTTGAATGTAACTCAGTAAAAAAATAAACTGCACATATTTTTATATATAATAACGACTGGATATACTTACGAATTTTTAATTTTGTCGGCAATACTATCTTCAAAACACAGTATTGAATAATTTATACTCAATTAAGAGACCGTTTCAGTTACACCTGGCAGTAAAGCTTGCTATAGAAAGTTTTAATTTATCAAGGACAACTCTATGTTGTTAGTTTTAGTATTAGAGAAACTTGATCTATTGGCATTATAAAACTTAGAGATAAGAACATTATCTGTGTCGTGTCGTCGTTTTTTTTGATATTTCACACACTCATATCGTGCTTAAAAATTGAAATCACGAAAAAAACCAACAACACGACTCAGATAAATGTTCTTACTTTTAAGTTTCATAATAGGTCAATTCATTCTAATATTACAACTAACAGCACAGAGATATCCCTGCTGAACGGAAATTCACTGTTTCGCAGTTGTAAGATGAAGACAGCGCATGCGAGAATAACGTCCTCTTAATATAGCCATCGAATAAAATATACAAAATAAACAATGTACAAAAAACTCAAAAATGTAAAATATATAAACCAACTCAATTGTCGTAAAAAAAAATTTGAAAATTTCACCACACCTGGAACAGGCCAGTATAAGTATTCTATGAAAATTTACGGTCTATACAATTATTTTTAACTGAATTATAACAACAACAACAAAAAAAAATGAAGCAGTTATTTCTGTAAAATTTTCCGTTTTTCTACGTTTTTATCAGTTAATAAGTACAGAGAAAATCAAAAAACGGTCTTCTAATGCACCAATGGGATCTAAAATTCTATAAAAAATTTCCTCTTGACGTTTTTTTTATTTGAATGCGATCTTTCGTTGAAAAGTTGGTCACAGATATAGAAAAAAAAAATACAATTATATAAAGTCTAAAAAATATAGCCTGGTATAGGTACTTACGGTCAACCGTGTATACCTATACAATATAAGTTGTGTTCATATTTACGACAGGTTTCTAAAATTATCAATAGGCAGATATAAAACACGTCTGAATATTATAAAAACAGTTTAACAGAATGGCCAAATTTAAATTTTTTTGTTCTGTTTTTTTTTTAAATATTCAGTCGCGTTTTATTTTTTGGATTTACAATTATCTGTGTATTGTGTAGTTGCATGCCGATAATATCGAAACCGGTCGTATAACTATAAATCTAATTGGTAACTGCATTTGAGTTATTTTGGAATTAATAGATTGAAACCGATTTTTCATCGATTTAACCTGTTGAAAACCCGATTTTTTTTTTAACGTTTCTTCGTACACCGGAGACATTATATTATACAGACGTTCTTCTCCGGAAATATCGGTTTAAAAAAAAAACAAAAAAACCATCGATATCCAATTTTTCGATATCTTCAATACCGTCCGATATTCATACCACTGTACTTATAATATTATACTCCACAGCTGAATACAGTTTTCTCGCACTTTTTTTAATTATATTATTTATTCATGTCTGTATAATATACATTTACCGGCTATATAATTTATATTATTTTATCAGTGCGTTAACCTCACTAAATAAATTTTTACATTCTGAGCGGAGTGAGATAATTGGTTTCGTCCCGTTCCCACCATTCTGTATTTCTGTCTGTCTAACATCACGGTTTCGACGAGAAAACTTTTTCCGATCGACAACTTAATCGGTGAGCACTTTTTCGCATAGCATTTTTAATTTGGTCGGCGAATTTGAGCTACAATAAAGATAGTTTTTTTTTTTTTGAAATTCCTATTATTTTTTCTGTTTTTTTTCCAAAAATATAGCTAATATCGTATTGACGTTGTGATAATTTTTCGTTTTGAAAACGGATTCGTTTTGTTCTTGTTTTTCGAAACGTTAAATACGATAGGTAATATTTTCACCGCGTATTATTATTATTTATTATATTGGAAATAGTCCATTTTCGATTGATTATAGCGGTACGTCATCATCGCCGGCACACGTAGACTCCGAATAATAGTTCCTTTTATGGTTCGCATAATTGACTCGTGCGAGGTCAACCCTTTCTGCTGGGTGTTAGACATACAGGTTTATTACGCACACTCGTTTTTTTTTTTCTTTGCTATTGTCGTTCCCACTTTTACGTGAGCGCAACGGCGGACGCGATGTCGACGATTGCGCCGTAGGTTGGTATAGTAATCCGACTGCTTTCTACAAACGTAGGTTTTTTTTTTTTTTTTTATTATTATTATTATTATTATTATTATTATTATTTTTTTTATCACCGATAAAAGAATATCGTTCAATATTACGCGTTGAATAATATATAATTCGGGCGGTCGAACAATATTTCGTATGGCGACAAAACTTTGTAGGCGCCAAAAGACACGGCCGTTGGGCGTATAGCACTATGCACGGTGGTTATAGCTGATAATGATAATAATAACAATAATACGGGCGCATAAAGGGTACCTACCTTGTATTATACTTTCTCGCGCCGCCGTCGCGCGTTCTCCTTACGAAATATCGCTCGTTTCCGTTGGCCGGCCTTTAAGGCTCCGACCGCACACGGTATTATAATATCGTTTTCTATACAATCGGCTTTCGCCGTGTAGGTATCATCATTTATTGTGTACAGCGATATTCCTACACGGTATTAGAGATTTCCTGTTGCAAACGACATTTTTATTTATAACGGTATACCTATATGGCGTATGACACGGTGGTGCAGTAATTGCGTGCGTGGGCTTTATAATGACGGTGACGGATGATGCGCAGCGCTGCGCTGGACGATCCGACATTTATCGCGGCGCGAAGGCCCATCGTTCGGAAACGTCACTTAAAAAAAAGAAAAAAAAAAAGTCGCCACCTCCGTTCGAACGATATCGCTGTAATTGGGGCTTTTTAAATTCTTTTTTTTTTTTTCTTTAATAGTTCGGTACCCGTATGTAATCAAAATAATAACGACGTCCGTACGCATTAATTTCGCCTTAGCGGGGGTTATTTCCGTTTTCACAATATATTATTTACAATTTTTTTTTCATCTCGTTTAAAACGAACAATAATCGTAATGACGACGTAGTGTCAACGATACTATTCCCACTCATTTTTTTTTTCGCCGAGTGTTCAAATATTATACCATGTATTATGGGACATCACACAATATATATATATATATATTATATAGAATCGGTTGTTGTAATGTTCCCATTTATATACGTTTGAAAGCGCAGGCGACCGCAAGTATATTTTTAAAACGTTTTATAATTTTTTCAATTTCCAAAGCCAACAATAGTCAGTATTGTAAAGTATTTGAGTATTGGCGTTTAAATATTTTTTCAAGTATTAAATACTTACCTTCAAATATTTTTTCTGACTTAAATTTAAATTAATTTTGAATTGCCGTTAAAATATACGATAATGTCCAAAATCGTAGTATAAGTAGGTACCCTGTCGACAGTTCACGACACTATTAAATCAACACAATATTTTAAAATAAAACATTTGTATTAGTAGTCAAAGATATAGATCATAAATATTTATGTTATTTTATCTAGCTTACTCAGAAGAATATCCTCTGGTTAATCAGATATTATGTTAACCTAGCAGTGAATGTGTTTTGGATTTTTGATAATTTTTTAATCATTTAAATTTAGTTGATAAAATTCTAAACGAAGCTCTACTTATATTTTAGATTTAAAAAAAAAAAAATCTGTATCGCTATTTGGGTAACTATATTGTTATCATTAATGTAGTTAAGTAATTGGAAAAAAAAATAGTATTTAAAATTGTACTCAAATACAATTTTAGAAGAGTATTTTAAATAATACTAAAATATTTTTTAAAAGTATTCTTTACAAACACTAACAATAGTTAACGTTTTCGATTTTCGATTTTAAATATATCCGAGCGTATGTGTAGAAAAACGGTCGTGTAGAAGAAACAAAACTCACCTACCCGGAGGCTAATAAATATAATAACATAAAATATGTGCGCGAAGCAAGAGATATTTCACATACGATTGTAGGAGAGGAAAACGGCGGGGGGCGACAAATAATTATGCCGTATTCTATTTTGTTAGGTCGTGCGCGCGCGTCATCGATTTGACGGATTATAATATTTTCGTTTCTTTGTGGCTCGTGAATATTTCAGAAAAACTAATTAGTTAACATATTATAACGGCATACTGCGAAATTTCGTGTACATTATGTATTTGAGCGTAGCATGCGAAAATCGAATTATAATAATAATATTCTGTTTACGGTATAAATACAATTTGTTTTTTTTAACGTTGAGTTCTCATCGGTAAAAAAAAAAAACACCTACATTAAAAAAATGTCATTTAGGTTTTATTGCGCGATCTACACTACATGATCGATTTACGAAAATTAATATTAACTGTCGGGCAATAAGTATCCATTATTATTTGGATACAAACACCCAGCGACCCGAATCGATATTAGTTCTACGACCACCCGCATATGCCGTTTATATAAGATTTGTACGCAGTTTTTTTTTTTCTCTTATTTATTCGACATCGGAATGGCCGATATTTATTTCATATTTGTTCGGTGTTTCGAAATAAGATCGGTAAAATAACTACGGGTGTACACGATGTGTTTTTTGTCACGTATATTGCAGTATTGTCGTCGTTTGAATTCGACAATAATCGATGATATTATACCTACTCGGGTTTTTTTTTGACATTTTTTCGAATTCAGTCACGTACTTCTATGTTATTTTACACACTCCGAAACAGCGAAAAAACCGTTTAAACTCACAGCGCCGTAAGCACGTGCGCTCTAATCATTCATTGTAAAATAATTTCAATTATGTCCGCCGTCTGCACGGGACGACTGAACGCATTATTATTATTAACGTACAAATCGTCACGTCCGCGCAGGCGATCGCGTAAAATTAGTCTGCTGGCAGTGCTGGTCGAGTGACAGCGGTTTCGCACTGCATAAACAACGTCTGTGGTCGTACAATTTTGTTCGGTCGCTAAAATTAAAAATACGCGTGTCATAGACGACACCTTTGCAGGCGGTAACACTGCCACATTCAGTACAGACTAACAGAAATACGAAAATGGCTAGAAATTAATAGAAATTTGGTCCTAATACAGCGTCGGCCCGGCCATGGCCGCGGCCCCCCAATCGTGTTTGTGTCCGAGGCGCCTTAGGCCCCGCCGACACGTTCGTATTCATTTAACTGTTCACTGTCCTCTGTTCACGAATCAAACAATATACATAGTATTGTTTAAACTTTAGTTGACTATTGTAGACTGTAGTGAAATAATAAAATGTATAGTATTTTTAATTGTTTATTATTAATAATTGTAAGTTTATGTACGAAATACTGACAGTAAAAATATCACTAAAAATTGCTTTTATGAATATAACATATATAAATTTGTTATATTATATTATATTATATTATATAGTAGGTTATTTGTATATGCCTACTCACGTCGTTGCGAAATCGGATATTATTTTTAGAATTATTATTGACCGAGAACTGCAATAATTCATCGAGTAGTATTTTCGCTTTTGTATTTTTCATCTATGCGGCCTTTAAAAAAAAAAATGCTCCTGTGCCTTGGAATCTTGCAGCCTTTGATGTACCAGGCCACTGGTTCTGAATTAAATTACTGTAAATAACAAAATAGTACCTATAATAAATTTTGATTTTGATTTTTCTGTAGTTATGTTTATTAAATTTGTTAAAACTATAAATATACTTAAAAAATATTCGAAAATGTTTAATCTGCACTCTCTTTTACTTCTTAGAAACTAAAAATATCTATCTAATTTTTTTTAAATTGTCTTAATAGTAGGTACCAGTGGCGTAGCTAGGATGATATGAATATTTATTAAAAATATCAAGAAAATAATCATAACTATAATATATTACTATATCACACAATTTGATTAAAATTTAACATTAACAATAAACAAAATAATAAACATTATAGTTTTACACTTGATATTTTGCATTGTATACTGTGTGTAACAAGTTATTGCAAAAAAGAATAAATAGGTTCGGGACTTTTAGACTTCTTTGGGGGTTTATACATCATTCATGTCTCCACTCTTGAGAACGCCATCGGCAGGTATAAAAATTGTTCGCCTCCAACTACTTCAATTCGTATGTTTAATTAGCGATATTCCTTCCCCCCCCCAAAAAAAATAACAATCGTGCTTTTATACATTTCACTAAAAATAATAATATATTATAATACACACAAAATTAACGTACACAATTTTCACGCCCTAGACCCAATTGAGCTGATCTCGAGACAAACAACGATCTCGAGATAATAACGTTAGGCTCTTCTATAGAAACTTCACCGGATTATAATAATATGTGGTTTTTATCTATTACGACATCGATAGTGCATTATACCTGCACACTATATTATAATGGTTTACTTTTTATTAGGCTGTTCTAATTATTCGTCAAAGCATTTTTTTTTCTTTGTAACGACTCAAATAATATAATGTTTTATATAATAGTGTAATATACAGATCATAAGGTTACTATAACATAATGTCCACGGTGATGTGCCCTTGATACGTATAGATGACTGCGGCATTCACCGGTCACGGATAGTTAATTTTTAAAATCAAAATAATATATTACACTATTATATGTAGATATACATTGTAATGATATTGTGTACACTTAACTTATGAAATAGCAACAGGCCAATTCATTAAAAAAAAAAAAAAACCTGTTACAATTTATTTAAACTTTTTTGTACCTATATAAAACTAAATCTTATACTTGGTCATAAATAATATTATGTTTGTTATCGGTGTAAAATATTGAAAAAAATAATATAAATTTTTAGGTAACACTGCCAGCGATTCATCGTGTAAACGTATAGGTAAAATCTTATTATATATGTCAACGTTCCCGGTGATTTATGTAGACGTGTATTCAATGAAACGGTTAATTATTATTCGTATACTTTTTATGGCTTAGAAGACGAACGTTTGTGTATTATCGATTTACAATGAAACAAGAACGTATAATATGTACAGTACTATAGTGTCACCATAACCAGTGGCGTAACCGGAGAATCTAAGGGAGCTTCAGAAGTAAAAATACGATTAAGAACGGTCATTATCGTTGATAACTTTATTAGACCCTTTTGACTATTACAATTAAGAACGCTCGGTGTGTATAATTCCTCGCAACGTTGCCGAATATGTAATAATTTGGAAACTCAACCATTAAGTAATCAAAAATATATATAGTTCGACTTGATATATTTCTTGTATCGTAATCGAGTTTAATGATTACCTATTGTTGTTTGAGATGGCATATTACTGAATCCATCAATAATGATAATAATCTATATAAATGCAACGGTAACGAATTGTTCGCAACGAAAAATCTAAATAATATACGCATTAGTGCATTACTCAGTACGTGTTTTCCCGTATTATGCGTTTTTTGTGAGAAATATTTTACGTTTATACTTAAATACAATGGAAAACAACTAAGACTTATATCTTCTGAACGTGGTGGAAATTTAATAGATTTAAACTTCCACAAATACCGTTTTATCAGAAATTGTGCATACGTTTTTCATAATTTATTTATGAGTTTTGACTTGAATATAGTTCGGCAACCTTGCACATAATTTCGTTCTCAATAGTAGATACTGTTTTTTTGGGTAAGCGGCTATTTCATTTCGAACGTCCTCAATCGTATTGTAGCCCCTTCATACCCCAAAGGTCGTAATATAATAATATATAAATCAATATTTAGTATTAAACAATTTCGACAACTAAAGTAATAATAATCGTTACACATTTGCACTAATTGTAAAGTACAAATAATATTATGTCGTACTAACATAATTATGAATTTCGCAAGACATTTTTTTTTTTTTTCTCATTCGAAGTTATATAGTTTAGTCTTTCTCATTGAAGAATCTCGGGCGCGCCACCGGCCGTACACACGACTAAACGAATCGTGTACACCTATAGTCATAAAAAATTCACAAAACAAACTTAATATGCTTATAAATAAAAAGTATGTCAGCGCGAACAACACCGTATGCTCAGTTATTTGATTCCTTAACATTCTTTTAATAATTTATTACAGTTAGCCGAAGTTACGATTAATGCCAATTCCGTGAAGTTCATGATATTATACGTAGATAAGAAATTTATTATTCCCCGTCCGTTTGCTGGTGTATTCTACTAGATTATAATAATATATAAATGCAACTACGCAGCCGTGCCGGTATAGGTATAGGTAGATAGGTAGGCGTACAATATTATGCACAAGAGAGCAAACCAGCATTAGACTCGACTGTTTTTTTTTTATTTCTCATATTTTATAATAATTACGAATTGTTTTGCGTACCGAATATAATATTATTATTGTATACACTCGGAAACAAACAATAGACAATAAAAGAGAAAATACTCTACACAATTCTCGTACGAATAGACGCAGTTTTATTTTTCGTTTTTGTCATATTATAAAAAAACAAAAATTCGATTACATTTCCCTATAGTAGTATACTGTATCATAATATTATGGTATTATGGTTATTATAACAACCCGATCAAAACACATTATTGTATAATATAGTCGCGTAGTTCAAACTAATAAGTACATTATTATTACGTCCTATGTGCATTGTACATATTATATTGAAAAAAAAAAACAAAAAAAAAAAAAAAAAAAAAAAAAAAAAAACAAATTATTAATACAAGTGAAAAACGCATATGGTAATGAAAAATTATAATAATTATAATGTTGTAGAAAGTCGGTACAGGTAATTTGTTTAACAAACATTTATCTGTCCGCTATATAGTATTATAGAGTTTCGGAATGTCATTGTTTGATTAATCGTTTGTTCAACGTACCTATCACGAGTATCACGTCACTGTATATATGATATAGAATTCCGTAAAGAAAAAAAAAAACGAGTCCGTATATAACAGTCATTCTTCAAATTTAACGATACACGTTTCGCGTAGAAAAAGTTTTTTTTTTCTATTCTTTACACGACCGTTATTTCCCGATGTTGGTAAATTGATAAGTGTCGTTATTTTATTTGTAAGTATAGGCATCATACTGCGGAAGTACACGACGACGACGACGACGTAGCCGTGCAACTGTGATCGTCGTCCCTTTCACCTCATCGACAGTGTTATTATTATAGTCTGAGATGGTAAACTGTTATTTTTTATTTATACCAATTATTATGTACCTATGCACTATTCGATCATTTTTACCCGCCACTAGAATTGCATACTATAAGCAGTTACCTATCGGAATACTCGTAACAAGTGGTTGTCTATTATGTAATTGTATAACGCGCGTGATTCGAGTACCTATCTATTCGTAATGTATTTAAACAGTATTTTAAATGGCCACGATTTCGAGAGTCACGTTTAAATGAATTCAAAATCATCACAATAAATGATAATAATAATAATAAGTGTATACACATTCGGACCGAAAACCGAAAACCGAAAAGAATAACATTGCCAAATACGAATAAAAGATTGCGCGATTTATAATAACGGCGATATCCGTTTTCATTCGCGTGTGAAATTATTATGGAAGGAGAGGGGAGAATTATAAATATTATGTTTTCAAATATTATATTATCTTGAACTATACAATTAATACATTATTATATTATTGTTCGCTTTTTATTATTTTTTATTTTTTTGTTTTCTAATAATACTTTTTAGGTAATACTGTAACAGAGCTATTATTTATTTTATCCCTAATAAATGTCGGCTGACGTTCGGTATACTATCTATACTATTTGTCCATTCATATTATTTTAAATGCAATTTATGAACTTTTGACAATGCCGATAAGACGCAATGATGGATAGTGGATACGATTGTATTATACCTATCACTTCAGTGAACGTTGCGATTTCTATCCGGTTGTGTTCGGTGTTGGTGTGATATTTTTCTTTGTGCGTAAAACCTATGCTGTCGACAATCGACGATATTATTTTATTTACCCGATTGATCTGCAGTAGCCATTACTCAAACTATATAGAAGGCCAGAAGTGATGTTTTTTTAGTGAAAAATATCGTTGTAAATTAAAGTAAAATTATGTAAATAATGGACAACTCATTGAGCCACGGTAGCAATCAGTTGGCTATAATTTACCATTTGATCGATTTTGGAATGATTTTAAATCTACTTGCTGATTTTGCGTAAGTTTTAATATTTATAATGTAAAATGCGTAAATACCATAAATGTATATTACATTAATATCGGTAAATCGCGTAGATATCCGTCCGACCGGCTGCAGCATTTTCGATAAGCATCTATTTTTTATACGATAGGTACTTCAATTTCAAAATTGCGTACTTTTGTTTTGTCATTTTTAAGCATACAACCGTCATAATATAATATAGTTGATCATTATATTATTATACACCTATAGGTAAGTTAAGGTGACGTTAACCGCTAAATAATAACATTACATTTTTACAGCTGCAGTTATAACATAAACACAATCATCTCTGGCAAGGTCTAGAACGTGTCGGCGCGATTATGCTCGAGAATAAAAATATTAAAATGACTTTTTTAGCCTTAGAAACGTGTGGCTATTGTTGTATATACCAAGGCTAAACTAATAATGTTTTATGTTACCCGCCTCGCCCACGATGTTAATATATATTTATTTTCAGAAACCAACGAGTGTAGGCGAGTTTAGGCATTGTAAGCATTAATCACATGTAAAAACATTGATATTTTCAACGGTTATTCGCAATCATATTTTTAGAAATCCTATTTAAATAATAAGAAAAACAATATTGCTTTAAAAATTAATAATTAGTTATCTATTTTACATTACAAAATTGAACAAGTGATTGTGGAAAAATAATTTGTGATAGAGCTAATAGTTTTCATAGATAAATTCAGCGTCAAATAGAATTCTAGAGTCTCGAGGACTGTTCGTGTCATACGACCCAAATCAGTAGAGCTAAAGATTTAGAGGGTATTACTGAAGAAATTACGGAAATGTATGTTGCTAATTAAATATACCTTTGTCATGATCTTCCTAAAAATAAATTTCTATATTTAATATATATCTTATTGTGCAAGATGTCGCGTAAAATAAAAATAAAATACAAATGTGACCGGAACTTGCAAAATAAATGAGCTAAAAAATATGAAGTCAATCATTATCCGTAATTTATAAAAGACATAGACGAAGATTTAGAGTACCATAGTACCCCGGGGCGTGGCTCTAACAAAAATTAAGATAATTGAAGTTTTCTTATTTTCCGTTTTTGGTATTCCAGCTAGCCAGTTCGTCGCTACTTTCATTTTCTTTTTGTAATCCGTGCTATTTTTGTTTTGAATAAAAGTACAATGCATTAGAAACCTAGCTTATATGGTTATTTGATTTGTTCAATTCGTTACATAAGTATACGGTGCCCATTTTTCTTGAAATTCAACTTCCCAGTTTAACCTGAATATGTGTCTATATCTATAACTATAAAAGATTTATGGAATAATAAGACTTTTCCTACCTACTTCGTAAGCAATCATCGTATTATGCCAGTAAAATTACCAAGTGAGCAGCCGTAAAAACTTGACGGTTTTTCTAGTATTATTCATTTCAATTTCGAATGAAAATTTACTATATTATTATTAGGTTCTTATAATATTTAGGCGTTCACATATTTATAATTCATTTTTAGTGGTTGTAGGTTTCCAATTGAATATATTAGTTAATGACGAAAATAGTTGCCTAATACCATTATGGTAGTATTTTATACATACTATATTAAGAAAAAGAAAACAAAATGATAAATATAAGTGTTGCGTTTTTTTTTTCTTTCGCCGCACACAATAATTTCAATGACTCATATATTTGTTAAAATCAGTTTTATGGTCTTCGTACATTACTCGATTATACAGTTGCTGATTATTGTTTCAAGATAAATACTAAAAATAGGTACTAATATGGTCGATATTTAGGTTAAAAAAAAAAATGTTTACTCCTATCTAAGTATCTAATACGAAAATAAGTTATTACATCGTAAAGTTTGTACATGGGTGCTTTATACTATATGAGTACGCTGGTACAGTGACTAGATATTTAATATTTAATTTGTATTATTGATGGCACGTTGAACAAAATAGATTGGCCATCACTAGTACACAATTTGTATTATTTTTTCTGTGTTTGATCAAATAATTTGTTAAATATTTTGAATTTATACCAAGAACCAAACGTTTCATATATTGTCCAGATGCATTTTTCATAATGTACCAGTAACGTAGCCATAGAATATACACATATTTCAATTTGTATGCGAAAAGAAAAATTGATTTCCGAATATTATGAACAAATTTTATAGATTTGGAGAGTAGCGAGGAATGTATTGGTTTTACAATACAATGGCCCCTGCAGGTCATAGTATCCGGTATGAATGCACCTCTTGCACCTCCCTAGGCACGGCCCTTGGTTAGTATATAACTTAGTATATAATTTTATACATATATTTTTCGTGAAAAAAATGACATTCTGTTTTACACATTTTGTAGATTGATGATATGTTTTAAATACAATACATATCACAAAACAAAATATTAGATACTTAATACAATTTAAGTTAATAATGAATAAGATATTGTTAATTAAAACAAATTTCTTCTTAAATCTTACCCACAAGTAATACTAATGGTAAATATGAATATCGATCAATTTTGACGATTTATGCATTTAAATACAAAATTTTAAAACAGCATTGCTTTTTGATTAATATAATGTCTAAAAAATTGATTGTATTTTTTTATGCTTACTTTTCCATTCAATAGTTTTTATTGTACATTGTACATTATCTTGATACTAAAAAACTTTTAACAATATAATAGGTAGGTGTTCGACTGTATCGCGTACAATTGGTACAAGTGGTTCAGTGTCCTATTGATTAATTTGAATGCAAATCCCTGAACATATTGTTCCAATTTACAAACGTATTTCTAGATATGCTTGTGTAGGTTGCAATACGCACAAAACTGAAAACACATAATTAATACATTGAGTTAGGTGATATGATTTTTATTCAATATAAAAAACTTAAATGTATATTTAATGTACAAAATAATTATTTATTTAACAATTTTTTTTTTTTTTAAATGTATAGCCGCCACCGATGTTCACATACACCTGGTTTAGACGGGCCTCCACTCGATTTGGAACCTACATCCGTGCCAAAACTATCGAGGACTAAAGAAGAATACCAACCAATACCATTTGATCGCGTCGAAAGGCCTACTTTGCATAGACTTAACACTGAATTAACTCTAAACGAAGGAAAAATTGAAGCTACTACGGCTTACAGATCTGAGTTTGAAGAAAAACATGCCGAACGTCAAGTCCGGTAAAAATAATTTTAAATATATTTTTGGATAATATATATTGTTAAAATCATAATTAAGAATAATTTGTTATATAATTCATTGATAGATACACAATGGTCGATCAACTTCATCTTGAAGGTGATTATGTTCCTCAGAGAAAACAAGAGTATGCAGGCCTCCCGGGCGATCGCTATTTGCCACGTAAGCCACAAGATAACTTAAAACCAGAAGGTGATTTTGAAAGACCGATTCGCGAAAAAGTAACACCAGCAGAACGACAAAAACCGATAAAGCCAAGTGATAACTTAAAACCTGAAGGAGATTTTGATAGACCAACACCATCAAGATACGGACCTGGAGATAGAGCACCAATAGTAAAACATTTAGACAATTTAAAACCAGAAGGGGAATTTGAAAGGCCGATTAAATCGAAAATAGAACCAGGTGAACGTCCAAAGCCATTCAAGCCAAGTGATAACTTAAAGCCAGAAGGTGATTTTGAGAGGCCAACTCCCACAAAAGTACAACCTGCAGACCGTCAAAAACCAATAAGACCAAAAGATAATTTATGGCCAGAAGGTGAATTTGATAGACCTGAACATACCCAGTATGGACCAGGTGATCGTGCACAAATAGTCAAGCACCCAGATAACCTTAAACCAGAAGGAGACTTTGACCGACCGAAACCGAGTAAATATGCACCAGGTGATCGTGCGCCAATTGTAAAGCATCCAGACAATTTAAAACCCGAGGGAGATTTTGAAAGACCAGATCAGCCCCAAGCACCGAAAAGAGGAGAAAGAGCATCAATTAAGAAACCAGACGACAATTTACGACCCGAAGGAGAATTTTATGGAGAAAGAACAATAACTAAAGTTTTGAAAGGAGAAAGGGCTGAAATTCGAAAACACGAAGACCAACTAGTTATTGGTGGAGAATTTACAGGTAAATAAATAGATTTTTATATTTTACAATACATATACAGATTATTAGAATTAAAAAAAAAAGTATAAAATTCGATAAAGTAAATACTAGAAATCGAACATTAAGCTAAACACATATTTTGTAATATTGGCAAGTAATTATTAATATTAAAAAATAAGATTAGATGAATCATTAAAATGGTATATTTATTATTGCTAGGAAATAATATTTTACTTATTTATCTAAGATTATTTAACTAATTTAATGTAAAATTGTTTATTATAATTTAATCATAAATTAAAAATTTTAATGGATAGTCAATACATAATATATAGATTTCAAATGAAAAAATTATACTTAACGTTGACAATACATTTTATAAAAAAAAAATGTTAGTGATGATTTCTGATGTTTTGTACGTTATCACCTTCGGACATGATAGTGATTGTTATCATACTTAGGCCATTGTTGTAGATGGGAAGTTGGGAAGATATGATAAATAGAGTAAATAATGAATGAAACTCTACTCTATATACTGTAATCACCGTAAACAAAAAAACGAATCTGAGCCGAGATCGGTTAAACATACTTGTGAAAATAAAATTGAAAATTTTATTATAATATGTAGTATCTACGAAATAAATTCTAATAGTTCATACATTTTATAATACATTTTTCCGTAAATTTGAACCTAAAACGAATAGACAAATAAATAATGACATTACGTTAACTTTTTTTTTTTTAGCACTAAGTATAACTTTTGAAAAACCTTTTAATATAATTGTCGAATATTTTTATGGGGCTAAAAAAAATAATTTACAGAATCAAAAAGTATTACATAAAATGTTGGTGTTTATCATAATTTCTGTCAACATCTGAACCTAAAAATACTTTATGATAGCATTTTATTTACAAATTTTCTATATTTTTAAAATACTATGCGAATATCTAATAAGGAACCTTGTATAAAATTGTCGAGCATTTATATGAACAAAAATAATTTTATTCACGTACTATCAAATACCTCAATTATTTTAAATATCGATTAAATATCTTAGAAAGTGCCAAAATTTAATATTTAAAATTGTACCACTTTTAGAAAGGACTTATATTAATATTATTATTTGTTGTCAATATTAAGTTCCTTAAATTATTTTTCACTGAATAACCAAAAAAAAAAAAAAAAAAAAACTATTTTAACATCATTGTTATGTAAATATTCCCTTTTGTCAACAGTTTTCTCGGGTTTCTCCCATTTTTATAAGTTAAGATTGAGTACACCGAAGTTCAAAAATGACTTCCTCAATGAACTAACTAGTGATAATTTTCTACAACCACAAAAATTAATAATATATGATAATTCAAGAAGATTTCAAGTCAAAAATTTGTTGATGGACAGTAAAATAAGACATACCATTGCATACTAATTTAATAATTGGTACATATCTAAATTATCTTAGACCATTAATTGCAAAAGAATACGTTGATAAATGAATGAATACTTATCATGATTAGCTAGCGGTTGTATGTACTTTAGGGTTTTTAAATAGCGATCCAAATCCCTGATCAGCACAAATTTAAAAAGACAAAATGTATCTAATATTTATGATATTATATTTATCATATTTATTAGATTGGAAATAAATAAGTTACAACAGATATAAATTTAGACCAAAAAGGTAGAGAAGAGAAATAAATATCATATAATTCATTTTTAGAAGAAAAATGAATAGGACCATTTTCAATAAATATTTATTTTATTCAATAAAATTGCGGTTAATTTCAAAATTCGTTTTAACAGATAATATTGAATTCAAATAATAGATAAACGTCACATCTTGAGTATTATGAATAGTCAACCATGAAAAATCAAGTAATAAATTATTGAAATAGGAAATTTCAAAAAAATGTCAGAGTCCTTTTTGTAAATAATTCTGAATGGTATTCAAAATTAAAAACATAATGCTAACTTGAATACCTTCCTACCTTATTTTTAAAAACTAAGTAAATAATGGTTTTCAGATATCACCACACAAAAAATGGAATTCACAGGAGAGACGTCTGAACGACCAAGGATGATACGCAGAAATACCTGGACAAAATTAGAAGGAGATATATTGGTAAAATTAACTTAACGAACTTAACTTTTTTTTAATAAACATATCAAATTACATAATTTCATTTCTATACAGGCCGTATCGAAAAATAAAGAAGATTATCCAGAACGACCAGTTACACAATTAGAAAAAGGTAAAAAGAAGACAGATACACTTAATATAACAACAGGCGAATTTTATTCAAATACATCAAATCAAGAAACATATCAAAAGCATAATGTACAAAAAACACAAATTATTAAGAAGCGATCAGACAATTTAATATGCGAAGGAGAGATGCTATTTGAAACAGCATTAAAAACTGATTACCCGGCAAAAACGACAGAAATAGAAAAACCTGTAAGACGAAGAACATGGACTAAGCAAGATGGGGAAATATACTTCCAGACTACCTCGTCAGAAGTCTTCAAACATCACAAAGAAACAAACATCCGACAAACTGTAACGAAACAATCAGATAATATAACAATAGAAGGAGTATTTGATGACAGGACTCATTCCAAAGAGCAGTATAAATATAAAACAATAGAAAAACCAACACAGAAAAAACCAATCGATAATTTAAAACCCGAAGGAGAATTTGATCGTCCCCAAAAAGAAATTTATAAACATTCAGAAAGGCCAAAACAAATAAAACCAACCGATAATTTAAAACCAGAAGGAAAGTTTGACAGACCTAAGCAAAATGAATACAAAACAACCGAAAGGCCAAAACAAATCAAACCACATGATAACCTAATGCCCGAAGGAGATTTCGATAGACCAATCAAAGAAAATTTCAAGCCTAGTGAAAGGCCGACACCGTTTAAACCATCTGATAATTTAAAACCCGAAGGTGACTTTGAAAAGCGAGTACCACAAAAGGTAGGATCAGGAGATCGTGCACCTATTGTAAAACCAAAGGACAATTTACACCCAGAGGGTGAATTTCAGAGACCTAAACAAAAAGAATTTCAGCCAGCTGAACGGCCTAAACAAGTCAAGCCCCATGACAATTTATATCCTGAAGGTAAATTTGAACGTCCAGAACATCCAGAGTATTCACCATCTGAAAGGCCAAAAAAATTCAAACCTACCGACAATCTTAAACCAGAAGGTGATTTTGAACGCCCTATTTCCGAAAAGTTTAGGCCTAGTGAGCGTCCTGCTCCATTTAAACCATCCGATAATTTGAAACCAGAAGGAGAGTTTGAAAGAAGAGAACCACAAAAAGTAGGTCCAGGAGACAGAGCGCCAATAGTAAAACCAAAAGACAATTTATATCCCGAAGGCGAGTTCCAAAAACGCAAGCCAGATGAATATCAACCTTCAGAAAGACCAAAACAAGTTAAACCGCAAGATAATTTATATCCCGAAGGTAAATTTGAGCGACCCGAGCACCCAGAATACTCACCCTCAGAAAGACCTAAACAGTTTAAACCTACAGATAACCTTAAACCTGAAGGTGATTTTGATCGCCCTGTTTCTGAAAAGTTCAGACCTAGTGAGCGGCCAACACCATTTAAACCGTCCGATAATTTGAAACCGGAAGGAGAGTTCGAAAGAAGAGAACCACAAAAAGTAGGTCCCGGAGACAGAGCGCCAATTGTAAAACCAAAANGCGACCTGAGCACCCAGAATACTCACCTTCAGAAAGGCCTAAACAATTCAAACCTACCGACAATCTTAAACCAGAAGGTGATTTTGAACGTCCAATTCAAGAAAAGTTTAGACCGAGTGAGCGTCCTGCTCCGTTCAAACCTTCAGATAATTTGAAACCAGAAGGTGAATTTCAAAAGCCCAAGCCTGATGAGTATCAACCTTCAGAAAGACCGAAACAAGTTAAACCGCAAGATAATTTATATCCCGAAGGTAAATTTGAGCGACCCGAGCACCCAGAATACTCACCCTCAGAAAGACCTAAACAGTTTAAACCTACAGATAACCTTAAACCTGAAGGTGATTTTGATCGCCCTGTTTCTGAAAAGTTCAGACCTAGTGAGCGGCCAACACCATTCAAACCGTCCGATAATTTGAAACCGGAAGGAGAGTTCGAAAGAAGAGAACCACAAAAAGTAGGTCCAGGAGACAGAGCGCCAATAGTAAAACCAAAAGACAATTTATATCCCGAAGGCGAGTTCCAAAAACGCAAGCCAGATGAATATCAACCTTCAGAAAGACCAAAACAAGTTAAACCGCAAGATAATTTATATCCCGAAGGTAAATTTGAGCGACCTGAACACCCAGAATATTCACCGTCAGAAAGGCCTAAGCAGTTCAAACCTACCGACAATCTTAAACCAGAAGGTGATTTTGAACGTCCAATTCAAGAAAAATTTAGACCGAGTGAGCGTCCTGCTCCTTTCAAACCTTCAGATAATTTGAAACCAGAAGGTGAATTTCAAAAGCCCAAGCCTGATGAGTATCAACCTTCAGAAAGGCCTAAACAATTCAAACCTACCGACAATCTTAAACCAGAAGGTGATTTTGAACGTCCAATTCAAGAAAAGTTTAGACCGAGTGAGCGTCCTGCTCCTTTCAAACCTTCAGATAATTTGAAACCAGAAGGTGAATTTGAAAAGCCCAAGCCTGAAGAATATCATCCTTCAGAAAGACCGAAGCAAGTTAAACCGCAAGATAATTTATATCCCGAAGGTAAATTCGAGCGACCTGAGCACCCAGAATACTCACCTTCAGAAAGGCCTAAACAATTCAAACCTACCGACAATCTTAAACCAGAAGGTGATNCTCCGTTCAAACCTTCAGATAATTTGAAACCAGAAGGTGAATTTCAAAAGCCCAAGCCTGATAAATATCAACCTTCAGAAAGACCGAAACAAGTTAAACCGCAAGATAATTTATATCCCGAAGGTAAATTTGAGCGACCTGAACACTCAGAATATTCACCGTCAGAAAGGCCTAAGCAATTCAAACCTACCGACAATCTTAAACCAGAAGGTGATTTTGATCGCCCTGTTTCTGAAAAGTTTAGACCTAGTGAGCGGCCAACACCATTTAAACCGTCCGATAATTTGAAACCGGAAGGAGAGTTCGAAAGAAGAGAACCACAAAAAGTAGGTCCAGGAGACAGAGNCAAGATAATTTATATCCAGAAGGTAAATTCGAGCGACCCGATCACCCAGAATACTCACCATCAGAAAGACCTAAACAGTTTAAACCTACAGATAATCTTAAACCTGAAGGTGATTTTGAACGCCCTGTTTCTGAAAAATTCAGACCTAGTGAGCGGCCAACACCATTCAAACCGACCGATAATTTGAAACCGGAAGGAGAGTTTGAAAGAAGAGAACCACAAAAAGTAGGTCCAGGAGACCGAGCACCAGTCGTAAAACCAAAGGACAATTTATATCCAGAAGGTGAGTTTCAAAAACGCAAGCCAGATGAATATCAACCTTCAGAAAGACCAAAACAAGTTAAACCGCAAGATAATTTATATCCCGAAGGTAAATTTGAGCGACCCGAGCACCCAGAATACTCACCCTCAGAANATTTCGAACGACCTACCATCCGGGATAGTTTGGGTCCAGGTGATCGTGCTCCAATTGTTCGACCTAAAGATAATTTATTCCCTGAAGGTGTTTTTGATACATCATATATTAAAAATGTAACAGATGTTTGTGTCGGTGAAAGAGCTGTTATTCATGTACACGAAGATAATTTGAAGATGTCTGGTGAACATCACATGTTTAAGAAAGATGATTATTTACAAAAGACTTCTATTCGTTCTGATATTATTAAACATGAAGACAATCTCAAGGTTGAGGGCGAATTTATTGATAGATCTAAGAGAACAGATTATGCTGCCAGTGCAGGACACCGGGCTGAAATTATTCACAGAGAAGATAATTTAAGAATGGAGGGAGAATTTATTGATATGCATTCCAGAAATGACTATGTCAAACACACTGTGAAGAAAGTATCATCGTTTACTAAACATGAAGATAATTTAAAAATGGAAGGTGAATTCGAAAAACGTACTACCCATATTATTGGAACTGGCGATAGAGCACCAATTGTTAAGCCTAAAGATAATTTGAAACCTGAAGGAGATTTTATTGATAGTGTAAAAAGAACAGATTTTTCAGCTACTATAGGAGAACGACCTGAAATTATTCAAAGAGAAGATAATTTAAAAATGGAAGGGGAATTTATTGATATGTGTTCAAGAAATGATTATAGTAAACATGTTACGGAAAAGATATCATCCGTTATACGACGTGAAGATAATCTTAAATTGGAAGGCGAGTTTGTAAAACGTCAACAATCTTCATATGTTTCTAGTGATAGACCAATGCAAATAAAGTATCCTGATAACTTAAAACTGGAAGGCGATTTCGAAAAACGTTCACCTCAAAAAATTGGACCTGGCGATAGAGCCCCTATAGTTAAGCCCATAGATAATCTTAAACCCGAAGGTGAATTTGATAGGCCGAATAAGGATAATTATAGACCAGGTGAACGTCCAAAACAAGTAAGGCATCCAGATAATTTAAAAACAGAAGGTGAATTTGAAAGACGTACACCTCAAAAAGTGGGAGTCGGTGAAAGAGCACCTATTGTCAAGCCTAAAGATAACCTTAAACCAGATGGTGAATTTGATAGGCCGAATAAAGATAGTTATAGACCAGGCGAACGTCCAAAACAAATAAGACATCCAGATAACTTAAAAACAGAAGGTGAATTTGAAAGACGTACACCTCACACAGTTGGACCTGGAGATAGAGCACCTATCGTTAAGCCTAAAGATAATCTTAAACCAGAAGGTGAGTTCGATAGACCGAATAAAGATAGTTATAGACCAGGTGAACGTCCAAAACAAATAAGGCATCCAGATAACTTAAAAACAGAAGGTGATTTTGAGCACCGCACACTTCAGAAAGTAATTGTGGGTGAGCGTTCTGTTTCTTCTAAACCTCAAGACAATTTACGAATGGAAGGAGAATTTGAAAGAAGAGACCGTACTTATACAGTCCGGAAGGTTGAACAAGCTGTTATAAAGAAACATGTCGATAATTTGAAAATTGAAGGCAAGATGCATTTTATCAACAAAAATTTACAATCTGATCAGAAGTCATCAGATATTGGTTATTCTCAAACTAAAATTCACGATAATGATTCGATAAATGATCAAAGGCGAATAAATCAAGTTACAAAGATTCATTCTTCTCAAATTACTGATAATTTTACGTCTGTACAACAACATAAAAGTATTACAAATAATAGAAAACATGTTGAATCTCAAATATCTCTAGGAAATTATGCAAATGATTCAAATAAAAATGAAAAAATAAGCGTTAAATATGGACAATCTCAATTTGAAGGAGAATTAAGACAATCGTCCGAATCTCAAAATATTGAAAATCGCATTGATAGACAAACAGCCAATTCTTCATTCCAAAGAAGCACCAGATCAGAACACACCGATAAAGTAGAAAGAAAAATGTGGGAGACTTCTCAAAAGAGAGATTATTTGAAAGGTTCCGTTACAGATTTAAGTACAAGTAAACATTTATCATCCTCGAAGCTACAATTAGACCAAACCAATAATCAAAGATTATCAGAAAATGCTGTACTTCACCAGTCATCTAATCAATATGATCATACTTCATCCCAAAACATCGGTAGTCAAAACTCGCGTTATGGAATTCAAAATGAGAAACATAATTATTCTATGAGACAATCTCAAGAATCTAGAGAACAATTAAGTAAAACTGAAAGATCACAAAACAATAGTCAGTATACATTATCACAACATCTAATGAACCGAGGACAAACACAACATAAACACGAGAGTTTAAATAACGATAATCGCAATTATTCTTCAAAACAAAAGTCTGTTCATAACGTCAGTCAATCCATTGCTAATGAAAGATTAGAAACCAATGATGTCAATTCTAAATACAGTACTACTTCAGTAAGCAAAGATCAAATCAAACGTCCGGAAAGTTTTGTTATAAGTTTATCCGACACAAAAATAACAAATAATCGAAATGCATCGTCCATAGGACATCAATCTGAACAGTATTCAAATAATTTACAGACTGTCAAATCCGAAACGGAAAGACGATCATTTAGCAGAGAAAACAAAAACGATACTAATTTTAGTTCTCGTGATTATTCGTCAAATCTGCGTACAGGTCAATCGAATGAACAATTGAATAGAAATAATCGTTACGAAATCGCCGGTCGAAGTTCAAGCGGTTATCAGAATCAATCTAATTTGGTTACTTCGCAACAGAATATTTCTGATCAGTCTACGACTAGTAACGCGGTAAAAAGTTATTCTACGGCAACGTACAGGAAGTCTATGCACAGTTCCAGGTCTAACATATTGAACATCGACGCGTTGACCACGATCGATAAAAATAGTCACAAAGACCAATCACATCATCGGAAATCTATAATAAGTTCGAATACCGACCTAAGTAATTCAGTGCTTCACCGAAAAGGAGATATCACACACGTAGAATCACCCCATACTACTTCATCAGCAGCCGCCGCACAAAGACGTAGTATTAACACATTGGACTCAACTTTTATAGTGTCCGGTCAAGACAACCGTAACAGTCTTAGTTCGCTTCATCGACAAGATAGAGTTAGTTCATCGCGGTCGTCAAACAGATCAAACTTCAGTTTAGGTGAATCGTCAACAGAGTCAAGCACGAGTCATTACAAAAACGAATATAAGCCGAGAGTTACCTGCCCGTGTCCGGTACCGTTAATCGAAAGGAATCAAGCACCTTTTAAGCATACCCGGGATACAAAAGCGCATAAATTTTACAAACCAACCAGTTCGGACGGAGATCGTAAATAAGCTATGTAGGTAAGCCAAGCTAGGTTATAACTTTGGTATCATTTTTGTACACAAAAAAAAAAAAATTATAAAATATAATTACTTTGTCTATTGTATATATTTTCTGGCGGAATTTGGTCTTTTACGTTTAGGTACTTTAATGTTGTTGGAATTATATTTTATTACTTGTGTGCCATTTAATTATTGTTTTCATAGTAAATACGAATTGTTCCTAATTCGGTGATAATATAGTGGATATACAGCTGTTTCGCATATTCGCATACTAAATATACTAAAACGACTGTACTATTTTGTTTTCACAGTCTTTTTCAACAGTATTAAAATTAGTTTACTGGAACACATAAAATAGTATTTCGTCTGACGTAAAATAATAAATAATAATATCAATAAATTGATTGTATAATTACCTATTAGTTAGTGTTAAATTCTAATCATATTTAAGAAAAATTATATAATTTTAATAGCATATTAAAACTTACGTACAATTTACTTTATATATGTACTGTTTTAGGGAACACGTGAAACGGACATACCACTAAAAATCAAATCCAACCGAAATCATATTATTTGATTTAATTTTATATTATATTTAGAAAATATTATATCTCTTTTTAATGTTGTAAACTACAAGGCGCTAAAATATATTATATTTTTGTGAAAAGCACTGGGTCATTTGTTTTGTCTCGAACAAAATTCTTATTTAAAAATATTAATTAATTAAACAATTTTAAATCGATTTTGTCGTCGTTTATAAATGAAAAAAAAAACACAATATTTAAGGATAAAGGTACCGAAATATAATAATATTAAAGACGTTATATGAGTACACGGAGAAATCACCAGAAAACCTAAATGGCGGGTACAGTTTTGTAAATAGGTTTTCAATAGTTACAATTAATTTTGCTCCGTTCGACATTAGTACCGTCTGAAATAATATATTATTTATCCAATATTGATAAGCGATTAAGTCATTTTAATATCAGAAATGCCATTCAACATATAATTATATTATGAATTTGATAAAGTATTCATTTTACATTGTATTGTATATCGAAAAAGTTTAAATGCTCTCCCTTCTTTAAATTATTTCGAGACAAAAAAAAGAAACCAATGTTTAACTATTATTATTTATCATAGTAACTATTCATTTTATCTAACATTTAAACACTTATAAAAAAAAATAAACCATATCGTTTGATTATGTATACGATCGATTAATTATATAAGCTTTTAAATAACCATAATTTATGTATCTAATCTAATAACTAAATAATAATAATTATAATATATACTGTGATTTTGTCTGATTATTTTGTGATTTGGAAATTATACTCAGTGATGATCTGTGATATATATCAATTAAAAAAAAAAAAAAAGAATGTATTGTATTAACATCAAAATATGTACACCTATAAAAAATCTATTTATTAAGCTACCTATCTACTTTTGATTATTATTATTATTATATATTTTTTTTTAAATTATTATTTCGTTTTATATTTGTTATATTTTTTTAAAAAAAATAACTATTGTTTTCTATTGAAACGTATATAAAAATAAACTATGCAAAATCAAAACTAACAAATTCAAGTTTGTTTTTTATTATTATTATAAGGTATATTATGACGTCTATTATACTATTATTATCTTGAGTATTGAGAATACAATACAGGAACAAAAAAAACCAGTTCATTTTTTTTTTTTTATAATTTTATTTATTATTAAAGTGTTTTATAACGAAGATGTACAATAAAACATTTACAAATATATTTTTTTACATGCATATAAAAAAACAATTCGAAAAAAATGACGAAATACAAAGTCAAAAAACGTTACTCGGACAAAAAACGCGTTCTATATATTATAATATATTTAAATAATTAATTAATAATTAAAAAACAAAATCACCGATGCTTTTTCCCAATATTGGAGGGCGGGGGGGGGG